CGGCTGGGAAGACGAGAAAGGGCAAAAGGGCAAATGGAGTCCAGTCAACACTCTGACTGCATCCGGCCGGATGACCGTGCTCCTCCTGCCTGCCATTCTCCTCTCCAGCTGAGACCCTATCCCATTACCCCCATGAGAAATCGCACGCAAAGACTTCATGTTCATGAAGAAAGACGACTTGAGAGGTCAATGGAACTCGGCTTCTTGGGCAGTTTGGGGGCATCTCCGCAGGTTGTCGTCCACCCATCCTCCTCCTGTCCCACGTCCCACGTCCAGAAACTCTAGCCGGAGCTATCTTCCCATTCAAGCATCGTCGAGTCAGAAGCCGACAGGTTCTCCACCCACCGGCTGAACTAGAAGTGGGCGATATTTATCGGTATTATCCAAGTTCCCACCTGCCTAACCCCATCCTGCATCATCAAAGAGTTGCACCCAGCAAGCCCAGCATTCGAAGAGGCGTTTTTCTCCAAGTATCATTATTCCTCATTCCCGCTCAGAGACCCTGTCAAAATCACCACGTTCATTTAAATCGTAACAAAAGAAAGGTTCGTTGTTGGAAGGGCGGAAAAGGAGACCCATGATTTTCAAGGTGGGAGATGAACATCCTTCCTCGCTCCTGCACTCGCCTTGTGAGATTCGTCAATCCGCAGATTGACCCATGGGCCAAGCCAATGGATCTAATGTTCCATCCGTCTGGTAATAATATCCTGGACAATACGTCTCGAATGGGTCAAAGGCCCTGGCCCGCGAATATTGGCCTCCTCGTCCTTTTTCTCATTCTTTTTCCCATTCGTATTGTTCTCTTTTGCTTCCTTACTTCTCTACGTTGCTTTTCTTCAACCCTGTACATGTATTATACGAGCGCCGTTGGCTCGTTTCCTGCGAAGGAACCGTTCGTCGAAGGGAGAGAGGGGAACTGCCTTCGTAATAGCCCGACCCCGATCATTCCAAGGTAAAATCAGCCTTGGTCGGCAGGCGATGCGCGCGGAGAGGCATTTTCCAAGGCTAAAAGATTCCATTGATTCTCTCACCTCTTCCGAGACCCAAGCTGTACCTGACCAGGTAGAAAATACGGCAGGAAGCGCACAATGTAGCATAAATAGTGAGCTTCACGATATGATACGCCTTGTGGTCTGGTCTGGTCTAGTCCGGCCCGGCCCGGCCTGATGACTGTTGACATGTAGCACTCGTTTGTCGAGCGGAGGGTCAAGCCAAAACCATCCACCATTTATTGATACTTGGCGCGTGACCCGCGATGGCGAGCTATGAAGCCAGACGATCGTCCAGCTCTGGTAATAGACTGGTATGATGATGGGGCCAGAGGCTTTGATGGGTGCGTGCGGAGCATCAGGCTGCAACTGCATGTGGGACAAGTATATTCGTACATGGCGACCATGGGCAGGGGAGGGGTGGGCAAGCCCGCGATTCCACGATTTCACACATCACCCCTGGCAAGGGTTCCAAGTCAGCCTGGGATCCTTCTGTTTATTGGTCTGTTGCTCTCCGATGAGACGTTTTCAAGAATGAAGGCGGCGAGTGGGCTGCCGAATCGTCACCTCCCTCATCAGAGCAAAGAGGGCGATATATCAGTGAGAGGTCCAAATATTTTCCATGCCACGCTACGAATGCCTGGTACTTAGAAACAAGGCGAGCCCCTCTCGCGGTTGAAGGTTACACGGTCTCTTTGTTTCGTGCACGTAATATAACTCAATTTCGTATCTAGAGAGACGCAGTCCTGCCAAGATCGTTGAATACACATCTATGGATTCATCAATGATAGCTACACTGGGTCTTCGTGGAAGACCCAAAGCGGCCTTTCCCCGCCCCATTGAAACGAGGCTGTCTGGTGAGGTCACTCCCAGGCGGCCCTAGGCGATCCCAGGCGAGATCAGAGAGACACATGGCGAGACATCGGCCGCGTTAAAGTTGACAGAGAAATTGATTATTTGGCACATGGCAAGGCAGGGACTTGCCTAAAACTGAGACCTAATGAACGGCCCCATTCAAGACCGCATGATGAATCATTGTGTCGGCATGGGCCAAGAGAAGAAACGGCACATTGGGTTCGCTCAACCGAGCCGCTCTCAAATACTAGCACTTTCCATGCCAGCTTCGACAATGTGCGATCCCCACCAGATCCGTGATGGCTTGCTGTACACTGGATACATTCAATGGATCGGTGGATGTAGGCAACGAAGGCCTTACAAACGGCTGTTTTCCTTCTTTAAAATCAACCTAACAGATGTTTCGAAAGAGAAGGGGCGGTAATATGGGGATACTTGATGTCCCCAGCACGTATGTGCTACTAGATTAGCAGCCATTTTCTCGTGGCTCCATGAGCCTTCTCCATAGCGCGAGAGAGGCACGACACACAAGCAGGGTTAATTCCGCCCGTCAACATATTCGGCACAAAGACTAGGAAGACATTTATTAGAGCCCAAGGCACATACATGTCCCGTTAGTGAGCATATCCGTTGCAACGGATCAGCTAGTAAAACGACAAGCACCTATAGGCCGACCTGTGCTCGACGGCTGCTTCATCTCGGCTCTCCCTACAAACTCGGTTACTGAATAGAAAATCCCATGACGAGCTCGTCAACCTATACGGCGGCCCAATGATGTTGAAATGAACACTGATATCAAACCCGAGGCTCTGGTATGCTAAGCTAGCCCAGATAAAGACAAGGGTATGTGATAGTGCCCTCTAACTCAGAGACGGGCGAGTCCTACGCTCATCCTTTGTTCCTTCAACGTCATTTGCGCACCAAATGCGGCACCTGTTCTACCCGTGGGGGCCTTGGGCGCCACCTAAAAATACCTGACAGTTTGGGTTCAAAGTGTCGGCTTTAAAAAGGACTGTAACTAGGGAAGTGCGTTGTAACAATCGAAAGGCTGTATAGCTGGTCGAGAATGGTCTGAATCATTGTCGAGATGGCCTCCCGGGATGGTCATGGGAAGACAGTGTCTTTGAATACACCAAAGTTGATCGTGGTGAGTCAATTGATTCGATAGCGTGGCTGCTATATATCATAATTTCTGTTCAAAGGTCGTTTGAAGGTAGGATCGATGAAATATGTCCTTGTACGCCGCGCATTTGCCCTGGCCTTGATGAACGAGCACCATGGCAGCCAGCAAGCGTTGGTCCCTCTGAACAGGCCCGGGTAGGCTTAGCTTGATAATCGTTATGGGATGAGAGAAAACAAAACGGTTTGACATGTGAAAGACCTTCGCTTTAAAGTTGTTTAGCCGCGAGCGGCCCGTGATGCAAGCCGTAACTATTCCCGGTCCGGATCGGGGACGGGGAGGAGGTATTGATCCATGATCCACCGGCTGAGTGCAGCCCCGCGCTAACAGCAAAGATGGATCGGGGCTCTGTCCGTCTCTCCAGCGTTCTTTCCACTCCACGTACTCCATTGCTTTTCGTTTAGGAGAGCGCAATAAACATTCTAATTGAACGTAGGTAAGAGAGTTGGTTAGAGATAGAATCGACTGGTAATCATGGCTGGGTTGGGTTGGAAATGGGCCCGATGTATACATCCATGGATTATATAGACTTCAAATGTTCAATATGCATCTTCGTCGCAGAATATATCTCGCTTAATACTTCGCTTCCAGCTCGTTGACCCCTTCCATATGGCACTGCATCACGCTGTACGCCACATATAGAGCGCAAAGGATGACACCGGCTAGGTTGTCGAGTCTACTCCTGATGTCGATTGAACCTCTCGCGGAGAGGGCACCCACACGATTTACATAAGGTCTCTAGGTTATAATGGGTACATATGTATATATATATGGATTCTTCAAGTGAATCGATCAAGGACCCGCCCCAGTGTAGAACGAACATAGATCGATTATATACAAAAGGAGAAGGCTGGTAGCCTGCGTCCAAGTGGGTTCCGCGCTTAAGGCTGTCTTGACGACATCATGTGTGCTTGTTGCGAGGCGTTTTGGAATGCCTCCGCCCTTTCTTTACTGAAATCTCGGTTTAATAGTGTGAAGATGGTCAGTGGTATGAATTTAAAGACAAATGGAACACCGGGAGTAAGGCGCCGGCTACTGTTTGTTTTCTGGCGGATAGGAGCAGATCAACCTTCGAGAGATTGTTTCAAGCCCTGCCGGTCGTCGCACAGCAGATGGCTACATGTACCTGAAAGACCGTCCTTACGCGAATACATTTGAAATTGATCACTGCTTCGATCGCAAGTTAACTGGAGCTGATGGGAACGACGCCTCGAGAATACATGGCATACATGTATACTTTAATACCCGAGTGGCCAAACGGGCCTCGGAAGTTCAACACAATTGAGCAGGTAAATATCTCTTGATTTTAATCGGCGGTTCAACATCAAAGGGACACAGACTGATACATGTAGGCTGCGATGTCGTGCGCTTTGCTGAGAGAAAGGGCAGTGGTACGCTGTCTGCAGCATCAATTGATCTATGGATCCATTCCATTTATTACATCCATATACAGCCGTGTAAAGCGACAGGAATGTCATCTCGCCGAAATCAATACTATCTGCATATGGGCCCATGGATAGCGCGTCATCCCTTCTTACTTTCTAGACGAAACTAAATCGTGTATTTAGCTGCGCAATATCCGTCCTCATAGGTGCAGGCACTTCTTGGTCCAATGATGCTTTCTTCCCGCTTCCACTTCCCCTTCCATGGAGCGCGGCGCTACTCCATTCAAGCTTCATTCACCAAAACTTAACCGTGGAGGATATGGCGCGACGCTGTACCTTTGGATGTAAACAAAGACTCGAAAAATATAGAAAGCAGTACATGGTGAGATGATATTTGGCTGGAGAGTATGGTGGTACCATAGGCTAGCACTGTTTCACGAAGACGCAAGGGAAAACACTTAGAAGACTTGTCGAGACACTACTTGTGGATATTCAAGGATAGAAACGGCCGAATAATGCTAAAAATAAAAGCAGAAAAAACTCCGGCTAACGGTATAACATATATTGCACGTCCTCCACAGACGGCGAGGCTTATTTCGAGACTACCAGCTTCATGTGCTCGAGAACCTTGGCGATTCCCGGCTCCAGATCCTCCACCTCCAACACCGCATCCACCCATCCGACGAGCTTCGCCTGCAGGGCATGCTTGTCGTTCGTCGCATCCACGCTCTCCGGTAGCCGAGCGAAAACCGTGCGCAGGCCGCGGGGAAGTCAACCGTGTAGGGGGACACGCCGGCGACCGGTTCCCGAATGTAGCAATATATCGTCTCGGGCGCGGCGGGATAGGCGTCCCGCATGGCGTCCAGCGTATTCTGTAGAATCTTGGGGCCGGCGACGACGGTGGTGACGAAGGTGGAAAACATGTCGAAGAAGGATTCCGCGACCGCGGGCGAGAAGAAGGCCTGCTTGCGACTGACATCGAAGATGGCTATCGGGATCGCACCATTGAGGGCGGGGTTGTTGAGCGTCTCCTTTGTTTCTGCGGTAAAGACCTTCTTGGGCTTGGAGACAAGGGCGTCTGGGTCACGGGCAATCCTGCCGTCCTCGTCGATGTCCTCCTCCTCCTCGCTGTCACTGTGGCCAAGGCGGAGCTCATCCTCCTCGTCGACCTGGCTTTCCTTGATGACATCCTGGGACTTCTTGCCCGTCTTCTTCTTCTTCTCGTCCATCTTTTGCAACCACTCCATTTCGCATCTGGCGTACTCAATCCACACCGCGCTGTCGTCGGCGCAGAACTTGCACCCCCGCATGAATAGGCTGCGGGCCGTCGCCATATCCCCGTGGCCGGCGGACCTCCTCGCGGCGAGGACCCATAGAGCAGTATCGGAGGGCATGAGCCTGAGCATCTGAGTCATGACCTTCCTCCACCGCTTGGACGCCTTCACCTTGGCCATGTAGTCGAGGTACTCGATCCATAGCGGGCGGGCGAAGCGGTGTCTTTCCACACCACGCTCGTAGATTTGGAGAATTCGGGACTGACTGGCGTGGGCAGAGTTGAGATAGCCACGGAGCTTGAGCCGAATGCACCGTTTTAGGCGGAGGGCGTCTAGCGATTGCTCCCACTTGGCGTACTGGGAGAAGTCGGTGGGCTGGCAGCCATGGGCGAGGATACGGTATTCGAAATCGCTTCGCTTCTGCACTATGGTACGTATTTCTTCCTGAGAACAGGAACCAGACAAGTCAGCTACTGCACTGCAAACGACAGGCAACCATTGAAAGTCATGGAAAGTTATGGATAGTCTTGCCGCGGGGGAGGTGGGGTGTAGACATACCTTGGAGAAGACTTCCTTTTCCTCCCACTCCCGGAGCTGAGGCACGCTCCGCTCGAGGAAGAAGCGGGCCTTTTCCGCGACGTTTGACATTTCTGCGGGGACCACCGATTGGTAGGGCGCTAATATCGAGTTGAGGTGAGTCGTGCGCGTGTTATGTGGGAAAGATTGTGTGTCGCGATCGCGATCGTGGCTTTCACCAGTAGTCGTCTTTTTTCTTCTTTTTTGTGAGGGTCTCAAAAATATTTTTTTTGTTCCCCTTCCTCTTTGGTCTGAGATCGGATTGATGTGGGGAAATTTCTTTATCGGATAAGACCTGAGAGCTTGGGTCTAGTCCAGTCCTGCAAAATTTTTGGTTGTCTGAACCACACTCTCATCATCCGCCAACTTGGGTGGATCAGGTTCGGCAGGGGTAGCGAAAGGTGGTGGAGGTGGGTGGTCGAGCCAGGGCCAGCCAGGGCCGGCCAGGCCAGCATCTTGTGGCTTGTACAGTGCGGTTGTGGTGTGGAGAAGGTTACCTCTTCCCCCGACGGAATGACATAATTACCCCGACCCAGCAAGCATTCGCTGGCAAGCCTGGCCGAGGACCGTGCTTCGTACTGTACAGCGAACTCTTGCAGTGCTCGTGCTTCTTGACGGAGAGTGCTGAGTGGAGCTTGGTCGAGCTAGTCCGTAGTTCGGCCCCACTGGAAGGTTTGTAATGGACATCAGTGGACGATTATGGATCAGAAGCTGTTTTTCGATCTCGGTCTCCTCCCCAAGTGCTCTCTTGCCTTTGTAGAGAGAACTCTCCAACCCTCTGCGCAAATGCTCTAAGCCTAATTTTGACAGGTGAACGGGCCTGGTTGGAGCTGACCTGGCCCGGTCTGGCCAATCCGTTGCCAAACAACCCCTGTGGTGCCTGGGTTTTTGTTTGCCAAGCCGAGCTCCGTCATCCGTCATACAACGCACGAGGCTTGCTTGGGGGAACAAAGCAAAGCTATAATATGGCATCTTCTGCTCCTCCCCTCATCATCCACCCCCTGTCCCTTTGGGCATTTCACTGACAAATGGGCAACTGCACCGTGGCAGTAGTCGTGGAGCACCAAGCTTTTTGGTGTCTTATGGTCTGAGTTTTGGACTGGATCCCTCATTAATAACGTTCTTTCCGACCGGGGATGGACGGAGACTTGGGAAGGCCGCCGCCTGCGGTGCGGAGCGAAATGTCTTAAGACGCGCTGGGTGTGGATGCATGTACATTATTTTTCCCCCATCATCCGAGGAATCCGGATCTGGGCGTCTGGGCAGTAAATTACTCTGGAACACAACCTCTCTCGTTCCCCTCGATCTTCTTCCTCTTTTGTTTCTCTTGGCTTTCTTCTCCTCCTTTTCCCATTTTTCTCCTCTGCATCTGTTGCACCGATTCCCTCTTTTTCCAATGGGTGCGGGCTGGTGATAAATCCACCCATTGCTCTTTCCCACCTTGTGCGGTTCCTCTTTTTTTTTTTTCTTTGAATTTCGGCATCCCCCTCCTTCCCCCGTTGCCAGCCCGCCCGTCGCTGAGTAGTCAGACGTCTCGCCATCACGACCTTCCCCACAATGGCGGGCTACAAGGACAAAGACGGCGGCGTGGTGCTGTCCTTCAACGGCAGCTGGGTTGCCTGGTCCCACACAGCCGTCGCTTACAGTAAGTCGAAATAACTTGTTGCCGGATTTGTTTTCTCCTTGTATTTGGAGCTAGCGATCGTTGCGCGGAGCCTTCGGGAGCAAGCTTCTTGGGAAGCTCTCGGGAGCTTGCGAGTTGACAGCTTGCGCCTGATCCGCGGTCGTTTCCCTGGGTCCGTGTTGATGCTGCCACCGACGCGGTTTACCATTACGGCACCACCGGGAAGATGCGCAACCCCCGCGAATCGAGAACAGCCCCCAAAAATGGGTTTGGGGGAGCTCTTAGCTTGGACCTGCTCTGCCTTCTGGGTGAGATCTGCTTTGCTGACGATGATCTCCGCTCCGCACCGCTTTAGCCGCCTTCCTCTCCGCCCTCGTCATCGGGTCGATGCTTCATTACCACAAAATTGTGAAGAACGAGTGGTTTGGATATCCCGACGAGTGGTTCCCCTCCGTGTCTGCGACGATTGGTGATCGATACCCCGAACGATCGCTCTTCCAGCTCTTCATCGCCATCACTTCAGGTACGGTTGCGCTTCCCTTTTCTTTCTTACCCTTTTGCCCTCCCCCTTGGCGGAACCACCCGGCTGCGTGATAATTTGCGGAGCGTTCTTGGCAAACAGGCTGTGAGCGCCTTGGGCATTGCTAACCAAGGGCTTGGCTCGTGCCTCTCGGCGCAACAACAGGTCCACGATTCGCACTTGTCGGACTATGGTATATCCTCACGCGCAAACCCGGCCATGCCCTGCCCAAATTTGTTGGCGCGATGGGCCTCTTTAGGACGTTTACCTGCGGTGGCTGGACGTACATCACCTCGACCGACGACCACGATTGGCACGACATCTTCATGATTGCTTACCTCGTGGCTACTTTGCCGTGGACACTGGGTTGCATCGCGCTGAGCCCGCCTAACCCGAAGGCGATCAAGTACCGAAAGTACATTGCTTCGGCCTTTTTCGGCACCCTGGTCCCCATGGTGTACTTTTTCCTCCAGCACAAGATTCACCGCGTCCCAGGAGGTATGAAACCCTGATCCTTTGTCGCTGGGATAATTTTAGCAGCGATGCCATGCGACAAAGCTCCCTACGAGCGGAGTCGAATGGACACATTCCTTCCGTACTAACACGACTTTGTTAATTTTTTTCTAGCTTACACCGTCTACGCCTTTTTCGAATGGTCCTTGATCCTCTTCGACGTTGCCTTCGATGCAGTCACCGCTCTCGATTTCTCGACATTTGAGGTAGTGGTGAAGGACGTCAAGGGCGCCACTTCGGGGTACGTGCAATGGCTTCCGAAATGAGAGAGACGTGTACTCTACTGCCACATCTCTGTCCTGTCTTTTTTTCCTTTTCTTTTTTTCTCTTTCTTTTAGTTCCTTTGTGGACCACACCAAAATCACCAAATATATGGGGCGTATTGGTTGGCTGGCCTGTCTTTTATTAAGGCGTTGGCGCAGCTTTTAACCATTGGCGTTTTTTTCTTCTCTTTCTTTTCTTTTTCCGAGCGTCACGTATGATGTCAACATGGACAAACCCGATTCTAAGACATTTCTTTTTGCGCTTGCAGATATGCGAACGGCTCGTCGCTGCCCTCAGCCGTGATTGAAAAGGAGTATGACGACCCCTCGCCCCATCAAAAACCCGACCATGTGTAAATCCGGGCGAAGCGAAAGTGCGTTACGAATGCTGATGGGATGTACTTGTATAGGAAGGAGTTGCCATTAGGCAATGTCCTATCGCTTCGATTTACTTGGGCGGAAGCCTTTGATACCGCCGCCGAAGTCTACCATGGGGTATGTGCAGGAAGCAATTGCCCTTCACGCCTTTTTACCTCGTTGCCGAAGCTAATGGAAATTTATTGGTAGTATGTCTTCTGGTCCATTGTGACGAGCCTGGGCGTTACTGTTTGGTGTAAGTCGTGCCCTCGAGCTTTTTCCCCTCTTCTAGCAGCGCATCGAGTTAGCTTAGAAGTTGTGCGCTAACGCTGGGGTAGACTTCCCGCTCTGGCACATGGGCATTTCCGGCTACGAAGCCTTGATCATGACGACGACGGCCCCGCTCCTTCTCGCGATCAAGCCCCTCCGACCGGCGTTGCTCCACAACCAGCGGGCCTTGCACCTGGCATCGCTCGCCGGTATTGCCGCCTATCTCGTCGAAACCCCCGAGATCCGCCTCTTCACCGTCGGTTTCGGAGTATCCATGTCGTGCCTCTCGTGGGCGACAACCCTGTACGCCGAATCGATCCATGAGGGAAGGCTCGAGTCCAAGATTCTGGGCCTGATTGTGGGCCTGATCCTCTCGTCCACGATGAAATTTGCTTGGTGGACCAACAACCCCATCTGGCCCATCATGCACGCGGCCAACGGCGGGTGGAACGGAACCGGCCTCGTTCTCGGAATTTTGGCGGCGCTGAGATTTACGCGCAAGGCGCCATTGACTTCGGGAGAGGCTCCGGTTTCAGCCAAGGGGGTTCCGCTTGGCTCGCGGCGTGTGGATTCGGCGGCTTGTTCTTCGGGCTTCACTCGCTTCTCTCCGATACTAGCACCATGATTTTGTGGGTGTGGGAGGGCTACCCGATCCGTGGACCTTATTCCGCCACTCACGGTTGGTGCACGGTGGCTGCGATGAGTGCCGGTCTCCTCGTTGGCCTGTACAGGCCTGGACTTGTGACCAGCTGGACTGCGTACGCTGCGGGCTGCGCTGGCGCGGCTATCTTGACGCTCTACCCCAACTGGCTCGGCTACTATGGCGCTCTCACGACCGCCACGTACCTTACTTCTGTCTGCATCCCCTTTGTTACCAACGCGGCGCGGCAGAACCCGGTGGTCACCTTTGGTGTCGGTTTTCTCATCTACAACTTTGTGGTGCTCTTCCACGTGTGGGTTGTCGCCTACGCCTTTGTGCCTGGCGGTCCCCTCGTCCGTGAGCGGACGGATTGGGTCATGCTGACCTTGATGGGCCTGATCGGGTGCGGCGTATACGACATTAACGAGCAGCAGGGCTCCAGCAGGCGACCTGCGAGGAGGCAGTCGTCCTCTCAGTACAAGAAGTACCACGCGGCGGCGGCGGGGCTGGTCAACATTCTTTTCTTGTGCGCGACGGTCAGACGCGTGCCATCGAACGACTACACGCCCTACCACCCCGAAGAGCGCCTCATCACCGCGGGTATCTGGACCATCCACTTTTCGCTCGACAACGACATGTGGTCGTCCGAGTACCGCATGCGCGACCTCATCAAGGAGCTGGAGGTGGACGTCGTGGGCCTGCTGGAGTCGGATCTCCAGCGCATCATCATGGGCAACCGCGACACGACCCAGTTCCTGGCCGAGGATCTGGGTATGTACGTCGACTACGGCCCGGGTCCTAACAAGCACACGTGGGGCGCGGCGCTTCTCAGCAAGTTCCCTATCCTCAACTCGACGCACCACCTCCTCCCCAGCCCAGTTGGCGAGCTGGCGCCCGCGATTCACGCGACGCTAGACGTGTACGGACGATTGGTGGACGTTTTTGTTTTCCACTCCGGACAGGAGGAGGATGTGGAGGACAGGAGGCTACAGAGCGAATACATGTCGAAGCTGATGGGGTCCACCGACCGCCCGGCGTTCCTCCTATCTTACCTGGTGACGAAACCGCTCAAGGGCAACTACAACAAGTACGTTTCGGCCGAGTCTGGCATGCACGACGTGGACCCGACGGACTGGGACCGATGGTGCGAGTACATCCTATTCAAGGGCCTACAAAGAGTAGGATACGCACGCGTGAGCCGCAGCACGATCACGGACACGGAACTGCAGCTGGCCAAGTTCGTGGTGCCGGAAACAAAGCAGGCGAGCGACGAGCTAGAGGCGCTCGACATCAAGACGAGGAACCAGAGAGTGGCGGAAGAAGAGGTGCCCAAGGGCTGGAGGTTCCCGTCCATGTTCCGGGGCGATGGTGTGAGGGGTCACCAGTACCACGTCTTTAAGGAGCCGAGATATTTCAAGCCATAACTTGCCGAAGCGGCGGGAGAAGGCATTTCGAGCTGATTTGTGAAGACGAAGAAAAAAGACGGAGCTTAACAGAAAGGAAGATGGGAAGGTGGATATCGATCTGAGGCCTACCACCTTGCCCTCTTTCTTGCTCCATGTTGCTCTTTTTACTAAATTTTGTCTCTATATCGAGATACTGAATGCATATTTCAAAGGGGGACGGTGGTGGGATGGTGTAATGGCCGGCGGAGGATACGGGGCGTTCATTCGCTTTTTTTCTTTTTGTAACTATAATTATTATTATTCCCAATATTCCCCAGGAGGCGGTTTTTCTCTCATTATCAATGAAGGGGACGAGGCCGGATATGGGTTGCCCCTTTATAGAAGGTGAACTCTTTTCTTGACACGCTCGTTTTCGCAATGGATTTATGGATGTTTCCTAACGTGAGTGGCTTGCTCCGCAAGACCAGCCCTGTACCAAGGACCTTGGACTGACTTATTCTATGTATTCTGCGTCACGTTGGTTCATGTCGGAAGAAGGGGGCGGGGGAGGTGTGGGTATAGGGCTACGAGATGTAAGACACGAAGCGGGGATTTCTTTCGAGACTTCTATTATCTGCCCTGGTGGATAGGCGGCCTGGTAACGGAGATATTTTCGACATTGCCGTGCGGCTCTTCCGGGCAGGGAGGAAGAGTGATAATTCCCGTCGTTGCCGCGGCTGAAGAGGCTATTGCCTCACGGAATAGATACCATTGCGCGTTGTCCTTTCGGAATCGGCCCTCGCAAAGTGAGTTTTACCCCGCCAAAAAGGACAGAAAAAGATGAACACCTTGTAGGGCAGACATAGAGGGAAGATAGGAGGGGCCAAGGGGGAAACGATTGCGGGGTGCTGTGCGGCGGAAGAGGGCTAAGCGGAAGGCCCGTGTTCGGCTCAAGGCAAAGGGGCCTTCGCGATGCCGGGGCCGAAAGAAACCTCAGGGAGACAAAGGTGGATCCCGCCCCGTTTTGGAGGGAATGGGCCAATGGGGAGGGCGCCGTGGTCAGCAGGGAGGTTTATTCGGGGGAATTGATGGATGGATTTGAGGCGCATTTTCTGGTTTTGAGCTAGCCAACGCATCAGATCTAGAAGGGCAACTTCACCTTGTCGAGGATTTGTCTCACACGAGCACAAAAAGACGCCGGAAAAGAATTGAGACTACACTTTCCGTCAGCTCCTTTCAAAGGAAAATTCTTTAGAAACCAAAAAATCCTACTGACGCTTTTGCAGTGGATCGTGTCGATCGCTAATAGTGACCAAAAAAATAAGAACGCGTTGTTAAAAAGGGCCCTAAGGGCTCACCGAGTGTAGCCGACGCTAAGCCGCCGTGAAGAAAGTAACAGGATTTCATGACGTCGAACGCTAAAACACGGGGTAACGTGGGAAAAAGTGCACCGAAAGCACCGCAATGCCGTGGGAAGCCGGGTCCGGTAGGCGTAGAATAGGTGAGGGCTAGAGGACGGAATTGGTGCCCGGGCAGGGCGGAAGTGAAGCGTGATGTGATGGTGAGAGGGATGGCGTAGGACAACGGAAAAGTCGAGGAAACGGCGGATGAATAAATACCGGGCGTGCCAATGGGGAGCAGCATGGTTTCTTGAACGCAAACATTTACACGATTCCCGTCTTGACTGATCTGTGAATGGCATCTTGAACAAGTCAAGGATCGTATATGATAGGGAACGCTCCAGGGTAGACTTTTGTTTTGGGAATCGAAGCCGAAATGCAGTTTCACACGAGTCACGTCGTCTTCTGGCTCGGCGCCGTATCCGCCGCGGGCATCTTTTATGTGAGTAAAGCGAGAGATTCGACGATTGTTTTCTCTTTTTCCGGCGTGCGAGACTAGGACGGGACGGAAACTGACCTCGACTTGTGCGTAGACCTTTGCTCTCGTCGTTTACCGCGTCTTTTTCCACCCTCTGGCCAAGTATCCCGGCCCCTTCCTAGCCAAAATCACCGACGGCTACCAGCTCTATCACGCTGGAAAGGAGACCGACATCTCCAGTTCTGGCGTCTTCACCAAAAATACGGTACGTCGTCTTATTTCTTCCTCTCTCCTTCTCCCTTTTGAGGTCGCCTGTCATTCCACTCACCTACAAGCCATCAATGCTAACTCCCCCAACTTCCAAAAGGCCCCATCGTCCGCTTCGGCCCCAACGCCGTCTCCTTCAACTCGTCGCCCGCCCTCCGCACAATCTACTCCTTCCGCTCCAACGTGCGCAAAGCCCACTTTTACGATGCCTTTGTCCACCCGGCGCCCAACACGCACAACACGCGCGACCGCGAGGTCCACGCCCGCAAGCGCCGCGTCATGAGCCACGCCTTCTCCGAGTCCGCCGTCAAGGAGATGGAGCGCTACGTGCTCGCCAACATTCGCACGTTTTGCGACGCCGTGGGGCTCCGCACCGGCGAGAGCGCCGACGAGAAGAAAGGGTGGGGTCCGGCAAGGAACATGAGCGACTGGTGCAATTACTTGGCCATGGATATCCTGGGGGATCTTTGCTTCGGAAAGGCGTTTCGTATGTTGGAGACGGATGAGAATCGGTATGCTTTGGATTTGGTTGCGGCTGCGACGAAGCGACATTTGATTGTAAGTGCATTATTTTCCTCCCGCATAGGATCGTTCAAAGGTGACTAACGAGCATTGCGTGGTAGTGCGGAACGATGCCTCTTGTCGGCGAGCTCGGCATCGACAAGGTTCTCTTCCCCGGCGTGGCGGCCGGTAGGGCTCGGTACATGGCGTACAGCAAGTCGCAGCTGATGGAACGAACCAAGCTCGGAGACGACACGGACCGCCGTGATTTCTTCTACTACCTGCTCAAGGCCCGCGATCCCCACACCGGCGCCGGCTTCACAACCCCTGAGTTGTGGGCCGAATCCAACTTGCTGTGAGTTTTCTTGGACGCCCTCTTTTTTTGTCTTTTGTTCTCCTTTTCGTCGACTTTGCTGTCCCAAGTTGCCTCCCTCGCCAGAGTCGCATTGAAGCACTCTCCCTTTCTATCCCGGCCCCACCCCTTCTCTCTCCTGTCTTCATTTGTTCTCTACTACGCCCGTCTCCCGCACTGCTACCCAAAATCCCCGAGTGAACCCCCATCACTCAATCAAGAAAAGAAAAAAAGCGGGTTGCTTAACCCCCTTTAAAAAAGAACTGGACGCTAACTCGGCCGCTTTCCTTCGTGACCAGCATCATTGCCGGATCCGATACCACCTCGACGGCCATGGCCGCCACGCTCTTCTACCTCGTGCGCAGCCCCACGGCCCTCAAGCGCGCCACAGAGGAAGTCCGCTCCAAGTTCACCGACGTCGAGGAGATTCGCCAAGGCGGCGCCCTCAGCGCCTGCACCTACCTGCGCGCCTGCATCGACGAGGCCATGCGCCTGTCCCCTCCGTCGGCGGCCTCCTCCCGCGCGAGGTGCTCGCCGGCGGCATGACCATCTGCGACGAGTTCGTGCCCGCCGGCACCGTCGTGGGCACGCCGCACTACGCCGTCCACCACTGCGAGGAGTACTACCCTTCCCCTTTACCTACGTGCCCGAGCGCTGGCTCGTGGGCGAGGCGAACCCTTGAAGGGCGGCGCGCCCGTCACCGAGGCCGAGGTCGCGGCGGCGCAGTCGGCGTTTTGCCCGTTTAGCATCGGGCCGAGGGGCTGCATCGGCAAAGGGTTGGCGTACATTGAGATGTCTGTGACGTTGGCGCGCGTGCTCTTCCTCTACGACGTGCGGAGGGCGGCGGGCGTGGTGGATCCCGGGGAGGGAGGGATGATTTGGAGTGGGGGCGGCATAGGCGGGAGGAGTATCAGCTCGTGGATACGTTTACGAGTATGAAGGATGGGCCGATGGTGGAGTTTAGGAGGAGAGAGGTAGCGGCGGCGTAGATTTCGGTGGAAGGGGGAGAATGGAGAATGGTTGCGTGGACGTAGTGACGCGCGATACTGTAACGAACTACTACATCATATCAAGATGACGAACAAATCATGGCATCCAATCGGTGGGGATACATCAGCTAGTATGAATATTGATGATAAGAATCCATCCAGCACTATACGTCCTTTACATCGAGAGGTGCGGCTACCTGTGTACGAGTATCGAGCCATGTGATTCCTCGACTGCCCGTCTAAGTGGTAACCGCGCGACTAACACCTACAGCGCTCGGCCGAAGGCAATATTGATGGAGGTAGGGGCCAAACAAGTGCCACTGTTGCATTGCGGGGAAGAATGGCAGCGAAAAACTACTTACTTATAAGTAGGGCCACGAGGAAGGAGTTGGAAATTCAAAATTGGGGGTGGGGGAGGGGTGCAGCAAGATTACCCTGGCCGAAGGAGATCTCCCGGAACAAATGCGTCGCTTTTTACCCCGGAATTCTCGTGGATTTCTTGGTTCTGTTTGTTTTGTGGTTCCCGGCCGCATCGCCCGATTGGGGAACCGACCATTCTCGCCTCCGATTGATGCGCTTCCGGTTCCTTGATCATCACCCTTCCCCCATCGCCTCCCCTGAAGATGGCTCTTTACGGAAGGAACTCACCTCCAACGGCGTCCGCATTGACGTCTGAGAGCGGATAGAAGTTTGGTGATGTTTTCGAGATGCGCCTTAACTTTGCACATGGAAGAACAAAAGAACGAGTACCCATACGGACATACCAGATAGGTTGCAATTTACTTAGGTCAAGGCGGTCAGCAGAGCAAGTGGATGACACGGTATATTGGAGAGAGGGGTGAGGAGACCGACCTATTGATTCATCTTGCTGCACGGGCACTATATTGGCGGACTCCTTGATATTCTGGAAAAGGACGGGATATTGCCGTCTGCAAGCGGGTTAGGGAAGGCAGCCAGAGTAAATCACTTTATCCGCTCCAAGGAGCGAAGGGGAAAATTGGAGGTTAGATACAAACCTGGGGGTCCCCGTGTCGGCTCCAGGAACCGCACATTCCATATTCGAATCGTTTGCCGTCCATGGAGCCAAGAAAAATAAGAGGTGAATGAGGGGAAAAGAGAGAAAGAAAAAGAGGAACCTGAAAGCTCAGTCGGCTCGAGATCATATGAGATTAAAAAGGAGGCCATTGGCCCCCTCTCCTAGCCCGGGATGTCTACCTCTTCTAGAGTTGATACGGTTAGGGATTCTCTCAGAGACGGAGTTTCCTTCTCTCGATACGATAACATCCGGCCCCGCGCGTGTAAGTAGCGACGGGAAAGACCAGAAGAAGAAGACGAACAAGAAACCACTCCGCCCACACACGTACCCACCACAATCATGAAATTCATGAAGTCTCTCCTCGCCACCGCGAGCCTCCTCCTCGCCTCGGCCTCGGCCCTCCCCAACGTCGACCGCCGACAGGAGGAAGGCCCCGCCGCCCCGGCAGCCGGGAGCTGGCCCGACGGGCCCTTCAAGGTGGAGGGACGCTGGGTCCTCAACGCGTCGGGCAAGAACGTGACGTACGCGGGCATCAACTGGTCGGCGCACGGCGAGGCCATGGTCCCCGAGGGTCTGCAGCACCAGTCGATCGAGCACATCGTGTCCATGATCAAGGGTGCCGGCGTCAACGCCATCCGCCTCACGTTTGCCATTGAGATGATTGATGATATCTACGCCAAGGACGGGGACACGGATCTCGAGACGTCGTTTATCAAGGCGCTCGGCGAGGCGAATGGCCGCAAGGTGTTGGGGCAGGTGTTGGAGAAGAATCCGGGTTTTACGGCGCAGACGACGCGTCTTGAGGTGAGAATTTGGTTTCCTTGGCCCTTTGAGGGAGAGAGAGATTATAGAGGGAAGAAAGCTGGGATGGCTAATGGTTTGTTCCTCTAGGTCTTTGACGCCGTGGCTGCCGAGTGTGCCAAGCAGCAAATCTACGTCCATCTGGACAACCACATCTCCAAGGCCAAGTGGTGCTGCGGCGAAACTGACGGGAATGCGTGGTGGGGTGACAGGGAGTTCCCCATTGATAACTGGGTCCGCGGTCTCGCTTACATGGCCGAGCACGTAAGTTGATTCTAGTTCCCTAGCAATGCATCGATGATATCTTTTGGTCCCCGCATATACCCCCAACGACTGGAAATACTAACCGCGGCGCTCCCGTTTTCCCCAACACGCAGGGCAAGAAATGGACCGCCCTAACCTCCCTCGCCCTCCGCAACGAGCCCCGCAACCCGTCCAACAACCCCGCCGCCGCCGCCACCTACAACTGGGAGAGCTGGTACAAGTTCGTCCGACAAGGATCCAAGGCCGTCTTCGACGCCAACCCGGACCTGCTCATCTTCCTCTCCGGCCTCAGCTACGACACCTACATCGAGCCCGTGTTCCTGGGCACCGCCCTCACTCCGGGCAACGGCCGCTTCTCGCGCGACGATTTCGCCGGCTACGCCGACAAGCTCGTGCTCGAGATTCACAACTACGAGCGGTCCATTGGCAGCTGCCAGTCGCTCAGCGGAAACCTGTATAAGAAGGGCTTCCAGGCTATGCACCCCGAGGACCCCGGCACCGTCAACGTCTTCCCCGTTATGCTTACCGAGTTCGGGTTCCCCAGACGGCGCCGCCCACAATGACGTGTATGCCCAGTGCCTCTCGACGTACTTGCCTGAGCAAAAGGCCGGCTTCTTCTACTGGGTCGTCTCGGGTAGCTACTACATCCGGTCTGGAACGCAGGAGTACGACGAGCTGTGGGGATTCCTCACGGCTGACTTCAAGGACTATCGGGATCCCGGATACGTTAACGGGGCGTGGAAGAAGATGGCCGAGGGTGTTTTGGCGTACTTGGACTAGGTCAAATTTATAGGGGGATGAAGTGGAGGTGCCATGAGGATGGAGGGTAGAGATCACCGTTTTCCATCTAAGCTGGCGATTTGCCCAACACAATTCTCGGCACAAGTCATATAGTCTAGGCAGAGTTTCATCCCCACAAGATATTGTACTTCGCTTTCCATGGCTTCCCATGATATGATGCTGCAACAGTCCATCACCCTGTCGAAAGAGTCAAGTCAGAAGACTGTACGAGGAACCCCTACCTATCCTCTGCTAGCATCTATGGATTTCGGTTAGCAGGCCTAGGTCTTTACAATTTTATTAGTTTAACTAATCACCTCGTTTTAAGTCAGTAAGGTGGACAGGTAAATATATTGAGATCCAAGGTTAACAAAGAGAGGCTCATGCCTTGGTAATACATAGAAAATATAAGATACGCGATCAAAATGGCAGGAGCATGGTCCTTCGCCGGGGCTGCCGCAGGTACTTCCGCCCTTCCGATGCCGAAAGCTAAGACAGACGTTGGCTCTTTCCCACTATATCTTGATGGCAAGCAAGACTCCAACAGCAGAATTGATTCCGACTCTGTAACTACAACATCCAACTTGCACTAGCTTCCGAACATTTGGTTACCCGCATGTGTTTCGGTATGTGCGATGGTCAAAATTCAAGCCGAATTTTCCGTCTTCAACAGGCTCTGGTTTGCTGGTTCATGACATCCATCGACTGCCGTCTATCTACGATTTAAGCACCCTCTACGACCGCCAGAGGACTGAAAGAGGCCATGTGAGTCCATGCGCTCCAATTCGATCAACTTCATAGTTTCGGATGTCGATGTTGGCTAGAAGCGAAGCCTTAGTCTAATTTTGGAGCCTCGCGCAGGGGTCGGATCACACTGCAATCTCTACATCCATGGATGTCTTGATGTCTGGGCCCCCGTCTATCGATATCAATAGAGGGAACTAGGACATGGGAGACATCACGGATGTGCTGTGGTGTCACGTGGTGATGGCATTCTCGTCCATGGGCGTCACCAGGCTGAGCTGAAGAAAGGGATGCATGGATGCGGAGGCGGTTGGGCTTCAAGCATCCCCGCCTGCTCAACCCTCATTCATCCTGTCTAAATCAACAGCATCCACGTCTTGTGCCTCCAGTCTTACTAGAACCATCGATTCGGAAACTTAAATTTTTACTTCCTTAACTTGTTAGAGATTAGGCCAAGCTAAAGATCCTTCATCCCGACCATGGCGCAACGTTACCAGCAGCAGGTGACCGTGGGATGGATTGCTCCCATGGCCTTGGAGCTGACGCCCGCCCTTGCAGTCTTGGAGAACTACGAGCAGGTAGCCACGGACGACGAGATGACTTACTACGTCGGCAAGATTGGGGCACACTTCGTTGTTGTGACAGTGTGCCCAAGGATTGGCACCACTCAAGCGGCTTCAACCGTTACCCACATGCGTCGCTCATTTCCAAACATCAAACATCTTTTCGTGGTAGGGATAGCAGGAGGGGTTCCAACTTATGGGCTTGACGAGCGACAGATTGTCCTTGGGGATGTTGTAATAGGCTACCCCCAGGGAAGTGAAGGAGGGATCAAGCACTATGAGTTCGGGGCCTGGCAAGGGAGAACTGATTTCGCGAACAGCGGGCATACACTTCACCCATCAGATATTTTGCTCAGTGCGGTGAATAGTCTTCGAGCTGAGCACGATTTGGCCAGAACAAACATCCCAAACATCCTCAGTCGGTTACGAGCACAACTTGGCGGCCAGCAGAAACGAGACTTCAGTGACCCAGGCGGCAAGAACGACTACCTCTTCCCAGATCGTTACCTGCACCAGGTTGAGGATAAGCTGTGTAAAGTAGTCTGTGACTTGAAAAAGGCAGTACCACGGGGCTCTCGAGGCCCTACCGCCAGCCGAGCACCAGACTCACCTCAGATCCATTACGGGACTATCGGTTCAGCGAACGCACTTGTTATGTCGAGTGAGAAGCGAGATGAGCTTTATAAAAGGACCAGATCATATGTGTGGAAATGGAGTCCGCTGGTGTAATGGGAAGCCATCAAGCTCTGGTGATACGTGGGATCTGCGACTACGCCGATTCCCATAAGAACAAGAGATGGCAAAAATATGCTGCTACTACCGCAGCAGCATATGCAAAGGAACTGTTGTTGACTCTACCACCAGCTCCTCATCTTAGTAGCCATCAAGATCTAGTGATACGTGAGATCTACGACTACGCCGATTCCCATAAGAGCAAGGAATGGCAAAAATATGCTGCTACTGCCGCAGCAGCATATGCAAAGGAACTGTTGTTGACTCTAACACCAGCTCCTCATCTTAGTAAGTAGGGAATCGGCTCATCAATCGATGCAAGGTGCCTGTATCCGATAATACTCACTAGCTGACTGTCTTTGCAGTTTCAAACCGACCCCGAACCACGCGATATGGCGACGCGCCACGCCCTGACCAGGACGCAGGTGAGTAAACGTAATATATGCGTGTCCACAGGTGCTAGACTTGTCCTAACTAATGGGTCCGCGTAATAGCCACACTGAGAAGGCAAAACAGAATCCTCCGAAGCCTTAAAACCTCGAATTACCTGGCCCAGAAGAACAGAAACCCCCAGCGGGTTCAAGGGACATGCGAGTGGTTTACGGCGCATGAAATCTTTAAAACATGGGAACAGAGCCAATGCTCGTCTATGCTATGGGTTTCCGCGGACCCCGGCTGTGGGAAGTCAGTCCTTGCAAGACACCTGGTTGACGATGTGCTTCCGAAACGTGCCGCCTCTAGAACCATCTGCTATTTTTCTTCAAGGAGGAGTTTGAGGATCAAAGGAGTGCGAGGGGTGCCCTTTCTTGCATCCTCCACCAACTATTCATGCAACGTGACTTCCTCCTTTCCGGTAACATCATCCGCAATTTCGATGCAAGTGAACAGAGTCTCACGTTTAGCGAACTTTGGGATATCCTCATCACTCTTTCTGAAGTTCAAGATGCTGGCGAAATAATCTGCATTTTCGATGCACTTGATGAATGCGACGAGGGGAAAGACCATCTCCAACAGGCAATACGCGGGTATTATTCCACTCAAAGACCCTCCTCGAACTTGAAATTGCTTGTCACAAGCCGACCTTATTCCGAGATACACCGTGACCTCCTCCCCCTCCACATAGACGGGCTCCCCGTCATTCATCTGTGTGGAGAGAGTGAGCATGAGAAGGAAAAGATTTCACGAGAGATCGATATTTTTATCAAGTACAAAGTAAACTGGCTTCGACCAGCTTTAAGCGATGTCGAAAAATGCCAGTTGCTTCAAAGGTTGACAAACTCACCTAACCGAACCTATTTATGGGTCTATCTTACCCTCGACCTGATTAAGGAAGCAATCAGGTCGGTTGAGGGTAAGGATCACGTATTGAACGGCATATCTTCTCTCCCTACGACATTGGATGAAGCATACGGCAAAATACTCTCTAAGAGTGCTGACCATGCTGAAGCTAGGCGACTCTTACATATTGTCGTTTCTGCAACACGGCCCTTAACCCTACAGGAAATGCAGCTCGCTCTCGCGGTACAGGAGGAGCATAACTCGTACTCGAGCCTTGATGGCCGGCTCAGGTCTGAAAAAGAATTCTATGAGTCTATGCGAGATTTCTGTGGTTTATTCGTGACCGTGGTCAACAAAAGAATATACCTAATTCACCAAACTGCGAAAGAGTTCCTGGTCCAGAGCGAGCAGACAACCATTACCTTGGGTCCTAATGACGATCCAAGTTGGAAACATCGCTTCAGTCCCCAGGAGTCCCACGCTCTTCTTGCCAATATATGCATTCAGCATCTACTATTCCGGGAGTTCGAAGTGGATATTGAAGGAAAAGAATACACCTTTCTAGATTACTCTGCAGACAACTGGGCGACCCACCTACGACTTTCACGAATTCAAACTGATTCCTTGATAGAATCCGCTCTGAATATTTGCGAAAGAGGATCACGGCCTTATTGGACTTGGTTTCAGGTATATTGGAGAGACATGGGATCTGAGTGTCCTCTCGGCCTTACCCCTCTTATTATTGCATCCTACTTTGGACTCACTCCGGTGGTGAGAGTTCTTCTCAAAAGAGAGCTTTTGACATAAATGGCCAAGATGCTACATATGGGAGGACCGCACTGTCTTGGGCTGCGGGAAATGGGTTTGATGATGCTGCCGAGCTTCTAATTCGAGGCGGCTCAGAGAAAATTTCGGTTCCTGAGTCAGTACCCCGGGAGGTGGTGAATTCTTTTGGCGGGGAGCTAAAATTGATTCAACCGATCTCGGCCTTCGGACACCACTGACCTATGCTGCGTGGAACGGCCACGTTAAGGTAGTTAAGTTGTTGATACGCGCAGGAAGTGTTTGCGTTAACACGCCGGACAATATAAATGCAACACCACTTCATTATGCAATATGCGGCAACCACCCCGCCGTCGTTAGTTTATTTCAGGGGACAGGGCTGGACCTCGCGGCTGTTAGACCTGGGGTTCTTTTTGCCGCCTTTGAAAAAGGTCAGGAACCAGTCATCCACCAGCTAATCAAGACTGGTAACATAGACGTCAGCTGCACTGACGAAATTGGGCGGACACCACTTTGGTATGCTGCCAGATACGGCTACGAAGCTATCGCCAAGCTTATTATCGCTACACGGGGCGTCGATGTCAATGCGCAGGATAGGTTCGGCGAGACGCCGCTTCTATGCGCAGTCAGGTGGGGGAATGAAGCTATCGCCAAGCTTCTTATCGCTACAAGGAACGTTGATGTTGATGCGAGGGATAAGGATGGCTGGACGCCGCTTCTACACGGGGCCAGCGAGGGCCATGAAGCTGTCGTCAAGCTACTGATTGAGACAGGTACCGTCGATGTTAACGTTAAAAACAATAATGGTTGTACGCCGCTTTTATGCGCAGCTAGAGGGGGCCACGAAGCTGTCGTCGAGCTACTAGTTCAGACAGGTGCTGTTGATGTTGCTGTAAGAGATAAGGGTGGCTGGACGCCGCTTCTATACGCAGCCAACGCGGGCCATGAATCTGTCGTCAAGCTACTGATTGAGACAGGTACCGTCGATGTTAACGTAAAAAACAATAATGGCTGTACGCCGCTTTTATGCGCAGCTAGAGGGGGCCACGAAGCTGTCGTCGAGCTACTAGTTCAGACAGGTACTGTTGATGTTGCTGTAAGAGATAAGGGTGGCTGGACGCCGCTTCTATACGCAGCCAACGCGGGCTATGAATCTGTCGTCAAGCTCCTGATTAACACAGGTACTGCCGATGTTGATGTGAGAGATCAGTTTAATCAGACACCGCTTCTATGTGCAGCATCTGGGGGCCATGAAACTATAGTCAAGTTACTTATTGCGACAGGTAACGTTGATGTGGATGTGAAGGGTGAGAATGGCTGGACCCCGCTTCTATGCGCGGTTTTCAACCGCGATGACAGCATGGTCGAGCTACTTCTTGCTACGGGCAACGTCGACGTTGACAGTACAAGTGAGGATGGCTACACGCCAATTAGTCTGGCGTTGGAATTGGGCCTTAGTTCTATCGCGAGAAGGCTTGAGGCAGCGAGGCCTCATTCGCCAATAGGTTAAACACACGAATTGTACGTCCTCGTTTCAGTTTCTTCTCTTTTTAGTTAGGTTTCTAATTAAGTGGCCTATTTCGAAGAAAAGGCCGTATCTGATCAATGCTTGTTTTATCGAACTTGTAGTTGGTGTTGGGAGGATACCTCGCCATATTCATTTCTGTAGTACCTCGGTAGCTGTCGTCATACTAAAACATCCACCATCGAGCCATCGAGGAGAGGCAGCTCTAGTAAATAGGGACCATTTAACCTTCCTGTCCCACAAGGTTCGACTACACCAGCGGTACCTTCACCAAGGTTCTGCGGTGTATCCAATCCATAGATGGATTTGAAAAAAAAAAATTATTTAGAGCGGTACCATCACATAGATCGTTTCGCGGGCTAGAAAATCCAAGATCCCCACACAGGAAAGAGTGATGGATGCTGTCTGAGCCTCATCTTGGCGCCGCTCATGGACGAACGCCACATTTCCCAGCCAATCTAACCAACCAAAAACGAGGCTGTCATTTGCTCCTCTAGACGCACGGCCATCAACCAAAGAAAGGGACGACTTGCATGACCAGAGCCTTGATTATGTTTACATTCTGGAGTCAGCCTCCTCAAATTATTTGCATATGCTCCACTCAAGCTCAGCGGTTGGCCTCGCCAGGTGAAATTTTCCCCTCCCCCACGATATTTCCGTCTTACTATAATCCTCTCGGAGCAAGGAGGTTTAGTGATACGGAATCACGACTGCGCCGCTCTTTGCCTCTTTCTACACCATTCCTTCTCTTGTTTCTCCTCGCCGGAAAGGCGACCTCAGCAGCCATGGCCCAGGTTTGCCGCTTCTACCAGATGGGCACCTGCAAATTTGGTGGTACGTCGGCATTCAGGCTTACGCGCCTCGATGGAACATCTATCTTTGAGGGCCCAGCACTGACTTGAATCTTCTAGACAACTGCAAATTCGAACACCCTGGTGCGCAGCGAAATAACCGATTCCAGCCGTTTGGCGCCGCCCGAGCCCTACCGTATTCACTTTCGAAAGAAACCATCGAAAAAGACCTGACTTCGGAGCTTCCCACGTGGATATTATCCTGCTACGGGCCTGGACGGGACGCTCCTGAGCAGCTCTTTGGTGGTTACCCTAGAGAGCAGAGCACAGATGAGATTCGGTTACACTACGAAAGGGCGTCGCTGCCGGGAAGCAGCAAGAAGTGGTAAGTCGAAGCGGCTGCTCTGGTCCTCTGAGAATGGTGTTTTTTCGCACGTCACTGACGTATTTTGCAGCTTCAAGAAATACAGCAACTCTACCAGAATGCGCAGCAACAGATGCAAAACGCCGTATCGAATCTCGATAACGCAATCCAATTCGTCGTCGACAGTGGCAACAAGCACCCGAACCGTGTCGATACCGTAAACCAGTCCAACCCTACGAATGGAACGCAGGGCGAGTTCGCCGTAGGCAAGCGGACCGTCGGGAACCAGCAGCAAACCTCGCAGCCTTCGAATCCCTTTAGCACGACCGGTAATAGCAATAGCGGGGGCGGTGCGTTTGGCACAGCGGCGGCGACGGGGAGCGCCTTTGGACAGCCCTCGTCTTTGGGACAAAGGCCGAGCGCGTTTGGATCTTCACCCTTTGGCCAGCCCAGCGGAGCAAGCGGGACGACGGGTGCATTTGGACAAGCTTCCAGCACACCCGTCTTTGGCAGTGTATCCAAGCCCGTGTCGGCCTTTGGTTCGTCCAACACCCCTGCTTTCGGCCAACCATCGCAGCCTACCTCCGCCTTTGGCCAGCCTAGCCAATCTGCCCCGGGAAGCGCATTCGGTCAGACCTCCACTATGGGTGTGAGGCCAAGTCCGTTCGGCGCACCTGCATTTGGTCAACCTTCCCAGCCGAGCACGGGGGTAGTGGCTTTGGCCAAACCTCGCAGATGGGCGCTACTCCATCCGCGTTTGGGCAACCCAGCGCCATGGGTCAGAAGCCGAGCCCTTTCGGGGCTCCTTCGGGAGGGTCTAGCGGCACTACAGGGTTCTCCGCCTTTGCCGGCGGGTCAAATTCAAGTCCCTTCGGTCAGGCTGCCCAGCCCTCGAGCGGGTTCGGCCAACCCTCACAGCCAGCTACCTCGAGTCCTTTCGGCCAACCCTCACAGCCAGCTACCTCGAGTCCTTTCGGGCAACCTTCGCAAACTACGACCGCGAGCCCCTTTGGGCAACCGGCTCAGGCCGCGACAACGAGTCCGTTTGGCCAGCCGTCCCAGCCGGCTGCTACCTCTAGCCCCTTTGGGCAACCATCGCAGGCTACCTCAAGCCCGTTCGGCCAGCCCTCGCAATCGGCGGCATCCAACCCCTTTGGCCAGCCTCAGGCAGCCCCTGCGACGAGCAGCCCATTCGGACAACCCGCTGCCTCCAATCCATTTGGTGCCCCGTCGCAGAGCCAGCCCAGCGCATCTAACCCCTTTGCCAAGCCTGCGGACACCACCGCCGATTTTACATCGGGGCCCAGGGCCAACAACCCGTTTGGCGCCCCTTCCCAATCGACGCCTGCGCCTAATCCTTTCGGCGCGGCCAGCGGTGGCAGCAGCGACCCCGCGCCGGCGACGCAGAGCCCTTACCCGGCCAACAGCCAGGCGCAGCACCCGGATCTGTCGTCGTACTCGACGCGCTCCATGGGTCGCCTCACGACCTGGAAGGGTCAACCCGTGACGTACCGCGAGGACGCCCCGGGCTACTTGGACGGCGCGACGCGGCGGTGGGTCAGGATCTGGTTCCCCAATGGGCCGCCCGGGTATAATCCGGAGACGGAGCCCGAGGAAAAGACAGGAGCAAGGCACAGGCCGCTAGCTCGTTGTGGGAGGCGTTTGGAAAGCTGGGCAGGTTTGAAGGGTTGGTGCCGGAGGTGCCGCCGATGCGGGTACAGTGCCGGTGGGATATTTGAATGGGGTAGACACGGAGAGAGTTGAGCTGAGCCCTTGGGAGTAGGAGAGTCTGGCTTTGGAAGGGTTGGGACGGGAGACTTTTTACGAACAGCATGCATCGTCAATGGCGTTTTGGAAGGTAGTTGGGATTATCTAATTTTTATTCTTGACGATGAAGGTCTGGATCTTTTTCTTCACTGGATTGGTGAAGGAAGGGTTTCCATATTGCAGGGAGAACAGGACAGCCATTAGTTCTGTTCATTTTTGAAGGGTCGACTGACAGGACCTAGCTACAGTAGATAGAACGAAAAGATACAGCCAGAAGCGAGACTGGTATGTTGAGCTTTATGCCAATCATCAATGGTTATTTCTTCACCGTGACACCAATACTCTCCACATTTTCATCATCTACTAAGCTCCCGTGCAACACATAGGTCTGTGGATATGCACACGTACTCAATCACATGTCCAAGGCACGAATACACGATGAAGCATTACGTTTTGGTTTTACGATAGTATTGAACACATGCTAACCTCTAAAGACTCGGGGCTATTTCTAGCGGACCAGCCGGTCAACATGACCAATTCTACGCGGAAACCATCAACCACCTTTTGTTTTCTTGTCTCCCCTTCAGAGTCTTACGGCTCTCCCGCTTAAGCGGCGATGGTGACCTCGACCTCGACGCCGGCCTCGATGTTGACAATGATCTGCTTGACGACCTCGGTGGGGGCAGTGAGACTATTGTTGCCCATAGTTAGCCTTCTGCGCAAAAATTTACACCACTACACCACGAATGCCCTGTTCCCCATCTCGTACGTTCCCCTCGCGGGGAACGTAGCGAGAGAAACCGGCGCGACAGGGTGCCGTCGTAGTTGAAGAAAAGAAAGAACGTACTCGATGAGACGCTTGTGGATCCTCATCTCAAAGGTATCCCAGGTCTTGGAACCCTCACCGTTAGGGGTCTTTCGGGTAGTGATCTTGAGGCACTTGGTGGGGAGGCGGACGGGACCCTTGACGCGGAGGTCCTTGGTCTTGGCGCGCTCGAGGAGCTCGGTGCAGACCTTCTCGAGGGCCTTGACCTTGCGGGAGGAGAGGGTGATGCGGATCTTGTGGACCTTCTAGAGAAAGAGAAAAAATTCCTTGTTAGCGAAACTATGCGACCGAAGCGGATGGGGGAGCGGTATGCGACGAGGAGCAAAACGTACGGGGGCCTCGCCGAAGTCCTTCTCGCCCTTCTGGTAAGACATCTTGATGGATTGGTTTGGGGGTGGTAGGTGGTTTAGGTGGATTGGGTTATAATGAGGAGGATGTTTCCTTCACGACTCGAACGGCTCTACGCGTTTCGGCAAAGTGATGAAGGCTTGGTTTGGGGGATCGTAAAAAGGGAGGAGGGAAGTTCGTGGTGGGCTGGCGAAAGCGGACCCCTTCTACCAGGTGCGGAAAAAACCCAGCGATTGGAAAATTATTATGCAGGTGGGTTTTTTGGTGTGGGCCGAAGCTAGGGCAAAGATTCGTCGTGGGGTGAGGAGACTGGATTACGGCTGGCAACAGCTGCGTGTTGTCTCAGGGCCGGCAAGCGGCAAGCTTCGGCGCTGATGTGAGCCACCCACCTCATCTGGAGATTGCTCGCTTGGCAGCTCATCTACGAACAGGCTTCCATCTCTTTAGCTCCACTGATTTTCCGCTTCTGGATCTTACTTTATTAGTCTATTTTCAACTTTGACTCCATCTACTATGAGGTTGCATAAACAGGCAGGTTTGGAGCAAGAAAAGGTGAGGTAAGCTCGCACGACAGGCCGTCTTGTACTTGGAAGGCAGAAAGTACTTTGCCGTATTGCCATTGAGCAATATAGAACATGTGGGACAAGCAAATAAATAGGCCCGACGATCTTTGGTGAAGTGGGAAAAGACACTAAGATGATGTGTCACTGTGAATCATCCGGCGAAAAAAGAACCGGCGCCAGAGCTTAATCCGGACGGCAGCCTCTGTGTGGCGGGAGCTGGTGCCTAGACACCGGGCCCGAGAGTAGCTCAGGGTCGGGCTAACGCTTCCACAAGGATGAAGATACTTAAGAATGCAAAGTAGGAACAGAATTCCCGTTATCCTTCCTCGAAAATCCAAGAACCTCTGTTTGTTCTCCAAGTCTTTCTTTGGTTTCCGACTCTTGCTAGCGGCCTCTACGTTTCCCAGGCGCTTCTCTCCAAGCATTCCTCAAGCTTGACCATCTGAACCCCGCCATCCCACCTTCCATTCCCGGCGCCCCACTCCTAACCACATCTCACATTCCAGTGAGAGAAAGCCTCAAAGACAAGGATATTTAACAAACCAAGGCCAACTTACTCGGGGAGATTTCTTCCGCTCTTTCCCACGAGCTAAAGCTCACGATGGCTCACTCGCAATTACCCCCATTCGCCCCTTTCCCCATATCCTCCTGGCGTCAAAACCTCCCCTCCGACGATTGGGTGACGTGCCAAGTCGCATGGGCCACCCTCTGCAGCGCCTACCTCCAACTTCCGGAGCCGGAGCTCAAAGCCCAGCTTTCGAGGGACTCCTCGGCCACCGAGTTTCTCACCACGTTTGCGCAAGAAGTCGCTCGCGATGGCGCGGCTACCGTATTAAGTTCCTCGTCGGCGTCCAAGACGTTGCTACATACCGTCTTTGACCTCTCTTCGCGGATACTACTGCTTCCGCAAGCTGATTCGTCTTCCGCGCCACCCTTGCTTACATGGACTTTTCTCGCGGACCTGTCCAGGATATACACCAAAAGCGCACCGGTCCCCTCCTCGCCACTCTGTCCTCGGATCACCCTTCCTTCGAAGCTTCCCTCCTTGCGCTCAAGAAGTCGCTGACCCGTGACCTCGAGTCCGGCGTCCGGGGCCAGCCTCGGGTTTTAGAGGCGACCCTGTCACGACTGAACCACCTCTTGCACGCTTCTCCCGATGCTGCATCCGTATTCCTAGCAGGCGCCGATTTCCTTGATGGCCTGGTCGTAGGGTACCGCCTCATGGACCCTCCTCTGCGGAGGACCATCGTAGCAACGGCCTACCTCTGCCTCTTCGGCCTCATCGCAGGCGCCACACCCAAATTCTCCATGCTGTCCGACCAACTCTACGCTCTCAAAGAGCATGCCGAGACCCACCGCGCCGGACCACTCAACGCCAACGACAGCCTCGTCCCCGAACTCGTGACTGCCACACCTCTCCTCCGCCAGGCCCTCAACAAGGCCGAGGAGGCTGGCGTGGCCACCTCGGGTCTCAGATCTCGTATTACGGCGCTGGAATCCTACAAGAAAGCCAGCTCCAGCACGAGAAGGGCTCGGCCCCGCGGAAACGCAGACCCGACAAGGGCAAGGCCATCGCGATCGATGTCGGGGAAGAGGACCGCGCAGAAATGCACATGCACCGCATGAGCCAAATCTCCCAGATCCAAGACTTATTCCCCAACTTAGGCACTGGGTTCGTAGCCAAGCTGTTGGACGAATACGAAGAGGACACTGAGGCAGTAATTGCGCATCTGCTAGAGGAGTCGCTTCCGCCACACCTCGCCAACGCGGACCGTAGCGAGGAACTGTACGTCTTTTCCCATTCCTCACTTCCTATCCAACCCCGCACTAGGAATGATCTCCCTAGAAGCCCCGCCAATCTCCATCCTCTCTTCAACCGAATACTAACAACCCAACCAGGTCAAGCCCTCCCCAAAAGCAAGCCACGCCGCCCCCGCCGCAACACCCCCACCCTCGCCGAGCGCCGCAACATCTACGACGACGACGAGCTCGACGAGCTCTCCTCGCCACCGCCTCCAAGCTCCACTTCGGCAAACGCAACCCCGAACAGACTGCCGACGGTCTCCTCGAGGACCGGTCCTCCGCCCCCGGCAAGGCCGCCATCCTCTCCGCCCTCGCGGCCTTTGATTCCGACGACGACGAGCGCGACGACACCTACGACGCCGACGACGTCGGCGGCACCGTCGACCCCTTGGCCGGCGCCGAGGCCGACGCGGACCGCGAGGTCGTCGAGGAAGCCCTTTACCGCGCTTACCAGGCGAACCCACGTGTCTTTGGCCGGGAAGCCAGCGCCCGCACCGGTCGCGACAGGGAGGCTCTCCGCCGTGACACCGGCATGGCGGACGAGGCTATCGAGGGCTGGGCTGTCATGCTTGAGCGGAGCCCTCAGCTGAGGCAACGCCTCGAGAACAAGTATACGAGCTTCAGCGGCGCGCAGAGCGAGATTAGCTCCTCCGCTGGCGCCAGGGCGATGACTCCGAGGCTGCGAGCGACTCGGCGGGCGGTGGTGAGCGCGGGGTCACCGTGGCGGTGGTCGCGGCCGTGGAGGAGGTAGGGGTGGTCGTGGCGGTGGAGGTGGAGGTGGACATCCTGCCTCGGGCGAGTCGGGCGAGAATACGGAGGCGTCGAGACGCAGGAAGGAGGCGAACAAGGCGTCGAGAGCAAATCACGATCGACGCGCTCAGCGTGCGCGGAAAATGGCCCGCGGTGGTGGCATGGTTGGGTAAACACAGGCAAAGTTTCCAGCATTTTATCGTAGACATGAATAGAAAGGGAGTTTATTTCTCTCGTTTTTTTCTTTTGTATTATTCTTTTTTAAATACGAAGAAAATAGGTCAACCAAAGGCTTGGTTGGCAAGTATGGAAACTTGATCTAGATCCAGTATGACGTACCGCGCCCAAGTTTCGGTAGGTCCTGTCAACGGGAACTTGTCGGTTACACTTTGATCCTCTTTGCATGGTCCTCAATCTTATCAGACCCAAACGAAACTCTCCTCTTCTTTACGTCCATCTCTACTTGCGCTTTTTGCGGAACCACCAGCGGCGGACGCATCGGTCCCGGTCCCGGCCCCATGAATGCAAACACCGTCGGGTCGACCCCAATCGGTCCCAGCGGCAGAATATCACCCACTAGCGGAGGCGATGGCTCACGGCTTCTCATACCGCCACTTGTCGCGAGAGCTGAGGTGGAGGGGATGGTAGCGGCCACGCGGGCGGGGAAGGGGCTGGATCGCAGCACGTGGGATTTTCGACAACGCGACCCTCGGGACCGCCGTGGACCTGCGGAAGGGCCGGGTACGCACCATCCCATTCGCACTTTTCGACAATATCGTCGAGGATATCATGGATAGGGTGAAATACGCGAGACGGGGTCCGGGGCCATGGTTTTTGTTCCGCCCCAGAGCTGGCCGTACAAAACAGAGGTTTCGGCATCGACGATGGCGGCGCCGCTATCGCCCTGCACGCCGATCCCGCCCATGATCCATTCGTTGTCATCCTCGTCCTGGTCGACTTGCTCGATAAACCACTCCTTTGTGGGGGCAGTGCCATCGCCGTGGTCGATATGCATCGGCCACTCCCCGATTCGTCCCCGCTGCAGCCCGGACGTGCGTCCCGAGGCAACCACCACCGCTCCGGGCTTGATGTGTGCAACCGACACAACCGGACGGCGTCTAATTTGGGGCCCGTCACCCGTAGAAGTAGCGCGGAGATAATTGGCGCCGCTGCCGGTCGAGGAGATTAGGCACCAGTCCATAACAATCTCTGGCGGCGCTTCTTCTTTCTCCGTCCAAAACGGGTCGCGCGTGATGCGCGTGGTCTTAAGATCGATCCCCGACGCCTTGACTAGCTTCCCGAGAGAAAATCTGGCACCGTTATCAGCGTCACCAGTGAGCTCCACAAGGTCGGGATGCAGACTGCGGCAAGTTCGACGATCGGCGGGCGACGGGTGCTCGATGTCGGGCCCGGCAACCTTTGGGACCTCGACGAACGGATGGTAGCTCGCTAGCCAGTAAGATTCATCTCCCTTTTCGATGCGGGGGCCTAGGGTTGCGGTCTCTTCCTCGTAGCCTAGCGTTTTTCCTACCCCTATGCTGTCCCCCATACAGGGCTCATCGAAGTGGTGGGGGTTTCTTGGATCGCAGATGCCGTCAGGTCGAGCCTCATCCAACCCACGCGCCCACCGGAGGCGGACAATCTTGCCTTCGGAAAAGCTCACTTTGATAGAGCTCTTGTAATGCTCCGGGAGCAGATCCTGGATGTGGTGGACAATCACCAGGGTCCTAGCCAGAGCCACTCTTCCCTAGTCATGATGCAAATTTGGCGAGGAGGGGGTAGGGTTTCCTTGTTGTCCTTTGACCTCCCGCGCACGAAGCCGATGCTGTGACCGCGGCCGCACCATTCCGTGACAAACTTGCACAGAAACGGCAGCAGGGAGCTTTCCCAAAGAACCGGGAAAGGAACAATATCCTCCTTTATCTTGGCCGTCTCTTCCGCGAGCCGAAGCCGACAATGCCTCTTGAAATCCTCAACATCATTCATTCGTGCCTCGAGGACCTCATTGAGCAAATCGCAGGATTCCGCTTCCAGAAAATATAACTGCATACGAGCAATGCGAATATCGGACCCTAGTTGAGCGATGTGCTGTGCTTGGCTAGTTTGCCTAGCGGTGGAGATCTTTGGAAGGATCTTGGGCAGGCTCCTCGGGGACATGGTTTCGTGCTCTAGCATGTGACGAACCAATCCACGATTCGTGGTAAACGGTGCCCTACCACAGTATAGGTAGGGACAGGCCATAAGATGACGTTCTTTTACGTGCCAGATGAGAGCGTTTTGCGACCTATACGGCGGCTGAGTGCAAGCTTTCCATAGACAATAGTGATGACCTTGCCCCGTTGTTGCAAGTTGTGACTCTGATTCATCCAAGTCCGTTATCCTTTCTGGGGAACGAGTGTACTCGTAAAGGTCCCCGAAAGCCGGTGGTCAACCGTTGTATAAGAAGATGCTCGAGAGCGGGAGTCCCAAATGGATGAAGCCGAGCTCGTCGATAAATGGGCTGCCGGCGAGCCAACACCGGTATTAAAATGTCCCACAACCTCTTGGTTGTCTTCATCTTCATTCTCTAGTCTCGCCGGCTGCGAAGCCTCCGGTGACTCGATCGTGAGGGTAGGCGGCGTGAGGGCACACTCGTTAGATGGATATTCGGGCGACGATGCCGATGGAGACGCTGGAGGGGAAACTGGCGAGTTAACCGTATCCATTTTTTTATTTCCTTCCTGAAATTTCCTAGATTAATCGCTTCCGGCGGCGGACCTCTTTTCGTACGCGTTGGCTGCCGAAGACGATGTGTTAGTGTTGAAACTAATGACGGTTCTTGCGATTGGGTTTCATGAGAGCAAGAGCAGCTGGTCGGTCCAACCAGCACCTCAAAGGAGAGGCCGGCTCGACACCAGGCCGGCTCTCCATATATGGCGAGACCGTAGGCTCAAGTTATTGGATAAGAAAAATGGAAAAAGAGGAGAAAAGAAAATAGGGCTTACCTCTGGGGCTGGGGCGCGTTCGAGGGCGGCTCGCGGTTCGTCCTCGCCTCATGGCTAGGTGATAGCTGCCTAAGAATCGCTAGACAACTCTCAAGGGTTATTGGCTGCTCAATCATGGCTTCTATCGTCATCACCGACTCCTGCTTCGCCGAGGAAGTGCACAAAGGCACAGCTGTACCGGCGTCCCGAAGTCGCGAGTCGCTGCCTGACGGCACTGGAGGCCCAGTGCCACCTCCAGCCTGGTCGTCACCGAGACTAAATACGGTCATAGTCAAGGGAAAAAGAGTGGTGGTTAAGATACGCGTGAGTTATTGGAGGTCTTTCTTTGTCCTTTTCCGACACTTTTTCGAGTTCAAACGAGGGAACTCGGGGGACTCGAGCTGGTTTTATGACGCACCCGGCCCGATCCTAGAAGCCACGCGGGGCTGCGATTAGGAGGATCAAGACCCGCTCTCAACACCGAACAATATGCCAGTGGCACGGAAGAACCAACAGCATGGGAGCGCCATATGATGCACAGATCCAGGGCCTGGGCCTCTTTCCTTCCCGAGTATCAGAGGTGTTGCACAACCCCAGCAATGACGAGAGAAAAAGGGTACTGGTATCAGTACCGGGGCGCGGGGCCGGTTACGGACAGGGATCTGAGTGAGCCCAGTTGTCAGACCCGGGCCTCAAGTTGACGCAGTTGGAGCTATTATCAATAAGACCAAGCACGCGTGGGAGACTTGTCTATCACACACCCCATCATGCTGGATGGTCGTGCGGTTCCACGGATCAGTGGTTGGCGGAGTTTTTACACGCCCCGAGCCCTCTCTAAAAACCCAAAGGCCTCCACTTCCCTCGTAGAGACTCGGGGACGAGCGACATATAGTACGCCACAAACAGAGCTCCCAGAGACCCCGAGACTTGGCTGCTCATTTGGCTTCCTCGGAAAGCGCCCATCACAGGGATCAGGATTCAGCTATGCGAAAGGTTTCTGTGGACCTCTCATCAAAACAGTGCTTAGGAGAGTAGGGACATTTTAAAGGTCCAATGTGTGTTTTGGCGCCTTCTGAGGTGATGGACTTTTGGATGATGCCCACGCTAAATCGTAACCAGCGCAAGAGAGGATCATTTGCATTGGTGCGGAATGCTACCTTATTGACCCGAGCACGCACTAAGCATCTTCGCCTCGACTAACTTTGGTGAACAAAAGCCCCCAGGGATAACCTCAGTGAGCACGAAAATTTGGGAAGAGTTGTGGATGGATCATTCCGAGATTTGCGTTGCGACCCCTTCCTGCGCAATTCCCAGGCATTGTCATTTTCCTGCAACGTGCTACCCCGCCTGTCCTTTCCAACCGTCTTCAATCGGTACGTATTATCATGTTTCGCTGTGGCGAGTCCAAAGATCCGGTCATGGTCTTATTGGCCCAGCATTCATCGGAATGGGTTACATGGAGTGTTGTTCGGTACAGTTCGGGGGTTGTGCTTGTTCTCCATTGCGACGGTTGATGTATTGTATTCAAGGTTGGAGTGTCGGCCAACGGGGCTATCATGGACCATGATTCGTTAAGAACAGGGTGGAGAATACATGTACCATCAATCGACATCTCGAGGCGTCCAAAACTTCGGGACGACACAAGTCGCAACTCACGCTCTTGAGGGATGCCAGGCGGGCTCGAATCCACCTCCTCCCGGAAATCGGGATGACAAGTCGTATCAATCAAAACACGGGGACAACAACACAACTTGGAACCTGCCAACCTAGGCTCCAGTGTCCCCCGGCACCCTCTCATTGGCTCATATCAAAAGGAGACGCAGAGGGACGGAGGCCACTCGAGGTCGAGGTCGGTAATTCTGCAGGCAGGGTTCGGCGCCTTGCAGCTAAGGGAGATCGGGCTGGTAACGTGTGGTCGCCTTGATGCAAGTTGATGCAAGGGAGGAATGGGAGGCGTCGCCTGGTTGGCATTTCTGGGCCAGCCATGGGTTGCCTCAAGTTCAGATGCTCCATGCTCGCCCGTTCTCTCTCCCTCTCCCTCTATTCCCGGGCTCTCGCATACCAATACTCATCAAAGATAAAAATAAAATTACAAGTGGATGAAGAACACCCTCCATCAAGCTCATCGGGTCGTTGCACAATGACAAGACGTTTCGAGGTTTTGTGGCGGCTCAGCATCGCCAGTGGACAAGGAGCAGGCTGGCCGCCACGAAGGCTTCAGCCGATGGAAGAAGACATGATCTTCCGATAAAGATGGCGAAGGAAGGAACAATGTGGATAAGCGAAATGAGATCAAGGCCAACAAGGGGCGAGAAAGAAGCCGAGATCAGCGGAAAGGAGAAAAACGAAGGAGCCACTGCTGAAAGGGTCGAATGATTGTTCACCACCTTCCCGAAGTTGGACTTGGTCGCACAGGCAGGATCAATGGAGGGATGAGTCCAGACCTCTCCATCGGTGGTTGCTTTAAACTTCTCGTTACCCCTGCAAGAATATCCCTCTAGTCAAGAACAGATGTAGCCTCGCTTCCGCGGCAGAAATCCTGCAAGTACTAGTACTCCTTCGAATGTTCCTTCTTTCCACAAACATGCTGAATTCTCCAAGAGACCATCGTGACTGCCTTCCTTGGGCGCATCCACGAGGTCTACCTGCCTAGGCGAAACAGAAATAGAAATTACTCGTCGAGTAGCTCTTTCCGCAACATTGGGGCGGGCAATGGAGACATGGGGAGAGGAAGGCTGGACCTGGCCGTTGGAGGCTTACAAGTTGCGACGGGCCGGCGTTTGCAAGAAGTGGATCATTAGCCCCGGTCACCTCAAGCGCCGGAGAATCGGATTTTTATGACCTTCCCACTGCAAGTTCCCCCTCCTGCGCTGCGCCCCTCCGGCGTCAACACCAATCCGCGGATATAACCTCCATCTTGAACCCAGCCCGGCTTTATCCTCAAAAGGTGTGGACAACCATCTGTCAAACCCCATCCGTCACAGACCACCCATGGATTAATTCAGTGAGAGTTGATTATTTTTTTCTTCCTTCCCTCCCACATCTCTCCGAAGTCTGCATGGAGACCGTGCTCTCACCCGACCTTTCCTCCCAATTCCGGGCCCATATGCTACTCTACGTAGCTCGCATCTCCGGAGCACGACTGTGACCTACCCCCGTAATCATAAGTTGGTAGGAATGCAACGAGCTGGGCTAACGCGTACCACCTCAAGAGATAGTGCAGCGCTTTGAGAGGGAGGAAGCGCACGCGCAAAAGGAGAGGTCATCAAGTAGTCCTCTAGCCGTTGGCTACTCGTTTCAGGGGAGACGCCCATCAGGTATTATTACCATTTGGCGAGTGCGCTTGTTGGTACCGGACAGAAATAGAAAGAGTTGGTTAGGCTTATCGCGCTGCGCGGCCGCGACATTGGGATTCCGTGGGTAAGACACGGAATCTTTGAGGGCGAGGAACCATCTGCAAGTCTCACTGCCATTTGGGAGAGACCTCGCTCTCCCAGTACCTTGCCCCCAACGATATACCGAGACAAGATTCAAAAGCACTCGCATATTTCCCCTTTCCGTCTTCTTTTCCTCTAGCCCATCTCTGCGGCCTCTTTTCTCCGAGTTCTTTTTTCTTTTTTTCTCTCTTTTCTTTTCTCTTTCTTTTTTTTTTTCTTCTTCCCTCTACCTTCCTTTTCCCTTATGTTTTCTTATTCCTATTTTATCCTCGCCCTCCCCTGGCTAACACCCCTGAACCCGGCTCACATTTTCCAACAGACATGCTGGCTCACTGATTTCCCCAAGCGTCAAAAGGTATCATGCATGTCCGAGCGGGCTGGGTCGGACAGATAATGTTGGGTCCTCGCGTCTGCCATCCAGATTGACACTATCACATCGAGAGGGTTGGCGCTCCATCTCAATGCGATACACCAACAGTACCCCAACCGTGGCAGACTCATCCCGTCCTCTGATTTATATCCTGCATGTATGTTCTTTAGGAAGAGTATGGTTTACAAGTTGCACAGGGGGCCATCACACGCCCATCTGAAAGGCCTGGGTTGGTTCGTTGGATCGTCTCACCGGCCCGAGCAGAGAATCCCACCAATCCCGTGGCAGGTCCCAAGCTGTCGGGTCCGGTTGTTTGCTCATACGTATATGGTGCCATGTCCTTGTAAAGTCCTTGCTCCAAAGTACAGTACATGCTTTCTGTTACTTACTCACGAAGCCTACTCACGAAGCCTACTCACTGACAACGGGGCGGTTTCGCTCGCCAGCGAGATAGACACGCATGGGACATGGAGTGCACGACGCATTTGATATACCCTCCCCGCGCTTCGGGAAGAGAAGAGGGCGACCGGAAAGTGCCAGGCGCTTTCCTGAGCGGTTGAAAGGATACAGAGGAGAGAAGATGCTCAAACCAACGCCCGGTCTAACAATATCGGGTGTCGACGTGCGTACCTAGAAGCCGGAAGGGAAGGGCAAGAGGTCCCCGCTGCCCTGACGATAGGAGGCCAACTGGAAAAAAGGCCGAGGAGATACTGGTCAGTGCGGGGCGAGCGTGAGGAATGATGGGCGATGACTATTATACAAAGAAGCGTGATGAATTTGTGAGACTCTTGTCTTGAACGTGGACACCCTCCCTACCGTGCCCTTCCTGTTCTCTAGTTCTTCTTCTTCCCCTTCTTTCCTTCAACTCTTCATGGCCTTGATGCAAACTTCGTCCTCTTTCAGCGTTCTTGTTAATCTATCGGTTTGCGTGCTTTCACTTGTGTGCCATTTCCCCTCCCCTCCCCTAGATATTGTTTTGCAAGACGAGGCGAAGCCAACACATCACGATTTCATTCCAGTCCAGTTCGTCTCCTTTTCGGGACTACAGCTCCGCTTGTCACTGTCACTCCTTGTCATTAGCTTATCTGTTTCCTTCCTCGTCCCTCGCCCCTTTCGACCCCCTTTCTTCTTGGTGGATACCAAAGAACCGGGATTTTGAAGAAGAATCGGAGCCGCGAAATCATGGATAGGCTACCTCCCGAGCTTCTCCTCGAGATCATATCTCACCTCGTGCCTTCGGAGGACCACAAGTGTGTGCCCGGGTGTCCCTACATTTCCCGACTCAGAAGCCTCGCCTCTACCAGCCGTCTCCTCCACCAGCTTGCCACTCCTCAACTCTACATCCACGACGCCACATACGCAGGGCGAGCCATCCTCCACGGAGCCGTCACCGGGTCAGCTACCATCATTGCCCTATCCCAGGCATGGGGTGGGGACATCAACCGCTCGGGCCTACTTCGTCTACCTGGGTACCATGAAACTGCTACCGGGACGCCGTTGCTCGTAGCGGTCAAGGAAGGCCACCTCTCGGTAGCCAAGTACCTCGTCCGCCACGGGGCCAACCTGAATAAGGTGGGCATGAATTTGTGCAACTGCCAACACTCCGACTACCCATACTGGCCTGCATCGCCATGGACTTCCCTGCACCTTGCCCTCTGCCAGGAACACAGCGAGCTCGCCGAGTTCCTCGTCGCCGCCGGGGCCCAATTCTGTGTGAGTAGGGAAGAGTTGGGAATAGGCCCGGACGGGCGGCACTTTCGAAGGGGCAACCAGGTGGTGGTGCGCAGCTCGACCGGCGTACATCTGATTGACGAGGTGGCCAAGAGGGCGAATCTCCGCGTTCTCAAGTTCCTCGTTCAGCACTGCGAAGGCAAGCTCAGGATCGACCAGTACTCGGCGGATAGCACGACGCCCCTCCACCACGCGGCATGTATCACGGATAATCTTCGCGAGCTCGAGATGATTAGGACGCTCCTGGATCACGGTGCGCTACTATATCCGTCCAACTATGTGCCAGGGAGATTGGTGGGGCCGCTGCCCTTTGACAGGGCATTTCTCGACTGGGTCAAACGGTTTGATCGCTCGAGCAAACACGTACTCCCCGGACGCGGGCACCCGTATTCGCAGCTCCTAGCCTTTCTCAAATACATGAAGGAAGGCGGGCGGGACCACCTTCGCCCACTCATGGCGCGTATCCTAGAACTTTGGATGGATCGCGGGCCCGCGCGGCTAGACTCGGCGTGGTCCCTCCTATACCAGGCGTTTGGGCTTTTCGATACCAAGGCGCCGGAGCCGGGAGTCATACGCGAGTGGGTCCTCCGGTCCATTCGGAGCCCTAAGCTTGAGCCTCTGGGGCCCATGTCGGTGGTGGATGTGCTCGAGTTCATCCCAAAACTAGGATTCTCCCTGACGCTACTAGAGCCCGTCAACGAGCTCTTTTTAGAGGCCGGTGCCCTCGCGCTCCGGGACGAGTGCGTCTGGTTTCTCAAGAACGGGGCCGACATCAACGCCAGGACGGGAGACGGCCGGACAGCGCTGCACCTGGCAGCCCGAAGCGGGGACTTGGATCAACTGGAGATGCTCCTCTCGTGGGGCGCCGACGCCGAGGCGCGTGACCGGGGAGGACACGCCGGCGCGCATGGCGGCGCGGTACGGTCAGCACGAGGCCATGGCGATGCTGACCAAGTTTGGGGCGGGAGAGGAGTGGATGCGCTCGCTGGTCTTGGGGCCGGAAGCGGAGAATGCGCCGCATATGAGATGTTGTTGGGGATGAAAAGGGGACTCTTTTGAGGGCTGGTGATGGTATTTTTCTGAGCGAGTCGTTTCATGCGGTTCAAGCGCGCGTTTTTTATCCCATGGTAGTTTCTGTTTTTCTTGGTTCTTCTTCCTTTCAATTCTTTTGAATTCGTTTGCTCACATTTTAGCCTTGCTCTTCTCCTTCAAATATTCTTCTCCAATCTTGTATTGTTCATTTCAAGATTTTGGGTCCCTCCTTGCAGGCCTACCCGTCATATTGTCTTCTCAATTGCTTTTCATTTTCTCTCTATCTCTTCTTTTTGTTTTGTTCTTGTCTTACTCCGCTAAAATGATCTAAGGCTATCTCATGGCAGATTTCGCAGCGGTTTGAGCTCACCTCTCACATTGCCGCGTCTACAGGACCCGTCCCCTCACTATCCCATGATCCCATCTCTATTCATATTCATTCCCTGTTTCTCGGGGCTAGGATGATCATGGCGCGGAAGCGCTAAAGGTGCCGTGCCCGAGCCGCGAAGGAGGTTTTCTCGCTAAGCGAAAAATTGTGGCTATGGCCGTTGAAGTTTTACGAGAGGGACGCGGGAAGCCTGAAGGCCCCTTGTCCCGAGGTCTCGGAGCTAGTGGGTGATGTGAGAGCCGGAGGGAGCGAATATTGAAGCATAACATAAGTCATATGACTGTCGAGAAGGCTTCGGATAGTTCTTCTTTTTGTCTCTTTTAGGGTGGCGTTCTGATTCATACGTTACCTGGGTGCAGAGCTCGCGTTATCTGCGGTGTCTTGCTTCCTTCGCGCCAAAATCCTTTTTCACATTTTTTCTTTTCAAACAGCATGACACGATCTCTCTCAGAGGAACGATTGTAAGCGCGTCGCAATGATAAATAATAGTTTTCTCTTGGCCCTCTCCTATCCAACGCGGTTGCTTTTTTCAGCGGCGTCTGTCTGACAGTTTTGCTCATGGTAGCTGGGAAGAGACTGCAGATACTGAGCAACGTCATTAGTTTGCATTCCCACGATATCCACGGGTCAAGTGAAACCAAGACAGGAAGACCTGCCTGACGTAGCATTCAGCTGTGCAGGTTCCCTTTCTTTGCTTTTTTATCCATCTCCTTCCTCTTCGCGTCCGTATGGCAATTCAAGAAAAAGGAAAAAAACCCCTCTTAGAAAAGAGGGAGAGGGAAAGACAAAAGGCAAGAATAAGGGAATCGCACGATTGTCACAAGAGAAACTTTGGATGGCCCGCAATATTCTATTTTAAGGTCGACATTGAATGATAATAAACGTGGCAACCACTCTGGGGTGCATAACAAGGGTTTTCTTTCCAGTGGCGGGTGACCTGTACGCAAGGGGAACGAACCAGGCATAGAGGTTGGCTGCAATATGAACTTCGGAGGCAAGGTCCCTGTGAGAACCGGAAGCGAGCGGCACAAAGGCAGCACGATTCAAGGGACCGGGGCGGCCTGCCGCGTGGAAGGGTGGGATGTAAACAACATGTCAAGATGAAGGGGTGCCAGCAATTCGATCCAAGGCTACATGGTCAAAAGCCCATCCGTCCTGTTTGAATGATGGACGTGTGATGGCGATTGGAGTAATGGGGGCGAGGATATTATTAGAACATGGAAAGAGGAGGGCGCGAAAAACCGAGGACAGAGGATTTGGGTGCCAGTCGTCACGCCTAATTGATCTATTGTGTTGACGAGAGGTGTAGTTGTGGATACGGTATATATTGCGGGTGGGCCGTGATGCGGTAATGAGCGGTTGTTGGCCTTTGGCTTTGGAGCGAATCTATCCAATATTGTGCGTTTTTGGGTCCTCGCTACCACTAAAATGGGTTGATCTCTTTCAAGTTTGTGCACTGCTGGTTTGATGGCGCAAGGGAGATGGTGTACGCATTTTCTATCTTGTTGAGGCTTTTTGTCTTTATAGATCCTGCTTGCTTGGTTTGAAGGTTCACGAGGTAGCTTAATCTACATGTATTGTCAACCTAGCCGCGTTTCTCTGCTTGAATCCCCTTTTGGGGTTTTTTCCTTCTTCTAACAATGTTTATTCCCTTTCCGCGTCTTCTCACCTCATTCCATCTACGGATGTCTCCTCCAGCACTAGAGGTCTGAAGCGAGGTGGGCGCCATCGAAAGTGGAGTGGTCGGATGACTGCTCCGACGGGGATGTGGAGCCACTTGGCCCGGGGCCTGAAGTCGGGGCGCCGGGTGGGTTTCGGGGACTCGGCAGCGTCCATGGCACCAACACCACCCTTCGACGTAAGATGGGGGTTGGCCCTGGAGCAGGTAAACTGTACGTGATAGGAAGAAGAGCGAAAAGCTTCTTTATGACGCACCGCACCAATACTGGGGCGGGGTCATCGACAGGGACAGAAACCCAATCGTGAACGAACAGCAGCATGCAATGCTACGCTGCCTCTGTGTTTCACACTGGTGAGGACGGCATGGTGCATCATTTTACCCCTCTTGCGACTCTTTTTGTGGTTGTTGCTCTCCTCTCTCCCAACCAACGTGCCTTTCTGAACCTGGACCCGTGAGATATCTACTCTAGCGTGGTATCATGTTGAATAGTGGTCGACTGGCGTGCCCCAGATCGCAGAGTGAAGTCGAGCAAGGCGTCCCGCATACCAGACTTGTATGATTCAGGACGATTTCGGGTCTTCTTGCTTCCTTGCCATATCGAGACCCCCTTCCCCTTTGCCCAGCTGATTTACTCCAATCTGTTGTTCCCCGAGTTTGCTGTCTGTCCACAGCTCGACAGCCGTCACAAGCCGACAACAAAATCCAGGCCTACCAGGGCACTAGTCTGGTAGGTAGGTGTCTTAATATCTATCGATCTTGACTTATGAACAGAGAATGAGGTTCTTTTGGAAATTGCCGCGGGAGCTATTTGGAGCATGGGCCGTCGGTAAGGGCCTTTCCGTTTTCTTTTCCAAACTACATTGATGCCAAAAGGCGAATGGACTCATCTAGTTATCAAAAGGGCCATGATATTGCAAAATTTGAATTCAGTTAGAAAACGATTAGCTGCCCATAATTTTCACCTCGCTGCTCGGAACAACTAAACTCCCCGCGCAGCGATGCCGTTCCGGCCTTCGTTCTTTCCTCGTCCCACGCCGCCTCCAACATCGAGGGACAGGCCGGCGCGACAGGTTGGACCGGACGAGCCGCGAGATATGCAAGGGTCTAAAATAAGATTGCAACCCTTCATCTCCGCTTGGTGGCGAGACCTTTTAGAAGGGGAGACGAAAGAGACAAAAAGAAAAAAGATGGGGTGGATGAAAGAGGGAATCGGAATAAGAATGTGGAATTATACGTTGGCGCGGCTGGATAGACTGCCGATCACTACTGCTAGCGAACACGAGGGCAGTTTGTGGGGAACAGGAACAGGAACGACATCAGGTACCTCACAGGGCAGAGCGAGCAGTGAGTACAGTTCAAGTTGCGGGTAGCGGCCGGCGAACGGCTCGTGGCTCATATGGGAATCATGCCATGCGCAGATCACCTGCCCTCCGGGGAGGGCTTGAAAGGCGTGGTCAAATAGGCGTCATGTGCCTTGGATCAAGCGCTGGAAGCAGTGAAGAGAGAAGATGGGACTGAGGCGAGGATAACTCAAGCCATCCCTTGAGAACATTGAAGAGGATTCTAGCCTCCAACGGTCACCCCACCACCATCGCGTTGTCGGGTTCGCCCGTGTCACGAACGATCATCCATGCGACGGCTCGGGCTTTCAAATCTTTTGTTGGCCGCAGCCATCCATTCTATGAAGGACAATTGATAGAGTCGGTTAGAAGACGGACGAAATATCTGTGCGGACTTTTTCTTAATATGCTGCTCTAATGTGGCTGGTCATATCTACCGTCCAGCTCAAAGCCTCGAGAGCCTGGCCGCCGTGGGCTGGTCCTGCATAATTCACGTCCCGTCTTTTCACTACCGCACGGCACCGAGCCGACTCACTCGCGGCCGAAGAGAGCTCAAGCTTCTGCGATAATCCTCCGAGCTGACAGGTGAGGCTTTGGCTCGTGCGCCGAGTTTGAATGAACAAAAGAGAGAAAGAAAAAGAAAGACCCAAACAAAATATTTTGAAGAATTAAAATTGGGTTTCCAGTATCAATGGGGTTGGGGTTGAGTGCAAACTTCAATCTGATCATCGCACGGCCACAACCAAAACCCTGCGCCACAATTGTCGCCTTCCTTTCTCCGTGTAAGTCGATCTCTGCTCTTCTCATCGCACATGATTTTATCGAGTGGAGGACATGATTTTTCCATCCCCATCTCGCCCTGTTTTGCGGTCGTTCAACTGCCACTCTTTCCTAAAGTTGGCGGAAATGATCGAACCCCGTAGGCAGATTATTGATTGAGACGATAGAGAGGGGCGTGTGTGGGAGAAGGAAAAGAGATGAACCAGCCAAAGTCGATCCCTTTTGGGTGAAGCCGGTATATTAGCCGCGGCTCCAAATTGCTCATGCGTCAACTTGACAATTTTTCTTGGGATCTCGGGCGGCCTTTAATCCCTCTTCGCTTCTCCCTGTGCCGTTTCCCTCTGCCATTTCTCTCTCTTTCTCTCTCTCATCCTTTGTTAACAATTCCATTCTTCTCACTTTGCCTCCCCCTCTACACCTTCCCTCCTCAAGGAAGTGGAGGTGGTCCCCCAGTATAGCATTTAACTGATCTGGCATATGGAAAACCAAGGACTCTCGCTTAAGCATCTCGCCAGATGGTGTGTCCATGGCCGACCGTGATCCCAACTCCGAAGGGGGTTCGGCACAGGAGAGAAACTCACCTTGATGACTTGTTGATGAGCCCGATGTGACCCCGTTATGCCATGTTCTCGCTTCGAACAAGAGCGAGTGCGAGAGATTTCTCTTGTTGGGAAAGGATTGAGGATTACTCGAAGCCCACGTAAGCTCTGAGGCGAGATGGGATAGGAATGGATTTGCGTGGGGTCCGTTGGGCTTGCCGTCACCTTGGAGGCCAAAGGAATCGGTGAAATACCAACTCATCAGGGCAAATGGATAGAGATTATGTATGTGAAGAAGCCCGAGGTTGGGTAAGGCACAGGTTTGAATCCTCCGCCGCGTACGCAGAGACTCGCGTCCAGTTGCGTTCGCTGGAGAGCCAGGAGAGGGCCACCAAGAAATGCGGAAACATTTACAGAGAGCACTGCAGAAGATGAAAGGAATCGCATGGGTATATTCTGCGACTTCTTCTAGTCCCAGGATTCACTGCCTCTGATTGCCTACCTATGCCAGGGACTCATGGTGGGAAGAAGTAGTTCGCCGCTTCTGGGGTTAATGCGTGAAGACCACCAGCAGTTGGGCACACCCTTAGTCTTGGATCTTAATATACAGCCTATATGTGGTTGGTTACTACCCCGGCAGGCGTGGCAACGCCCTCTCCTCGCTCATCCCGCCTCTTTCTTCTGCCTGCTTCCTGCCTCTCTGGTTTTATTCCCCTTCCCCTCTGCGTCCAAGTTCTTGCGAACGTGGTGCGGTGGAGGATGGGAGTTGAGGCCCGTATGTTGGTGAGATATATCACCGTTTCTCAATCCTTCATTCGCTTCCAGACTTGGATTGATGGATTCAGGTGGATGGAGTCTACGAATCACCTGTGCGTGATTCTTTCCCACCGACTCATACCGTGTGCTCCTCGCCAGATAGAAAAAGTAGAGTAAATTGTACATAGTGGAGAGAAAGGGGGCGTGTGCGTGGGAAATGCGAGCGCACGTCAATCAGTGTTTACCCACTTGTCCGGTCGGCGATCGCCACACATACACGTCGCTCTCTTTTTCGATTTTTCTGGTTCCTTGTTCCTATTCTGGAATTCGCCCAATCTATCGAGCTTGCCTCCTCCCATTGAACGATACATGGTTACATGGTTCATTTCACCAGTGCGGACAACACGCCCCCGGCCCGGAGAGGGAGACGAACAATCTTTGTTAGCGATTGACATCTCTTGACCTCATTCTCCCCCTCCTCTCCATCGCACACACCCCCTCTACTCTAGCGTGTGTCCGCCCGCCCTCCCTTCCCACTTCTTTCTCCCCATCGGGGACCCTTGCCATCGAGAAAGCTGCATCGCGGGATTGCGGGAGGCGGGTGTTTATAAAAAGAGGGAGCCGCCGCCACCCCAGACCTCGTTTCTTGTCCCTCTCTCCCGGCCTCTTCATTGTTGGTGATTTCTTGCATCGCGAATCCAAGAGCCAGGAGCCCATCTTCATACTTTATAATAAGCCCACACACTTGCTCCAATTTCTGTCTTTTCCTTCTTCTTGGCCTGGGCACGCACGGAATTACTCCTCTTATTCTTCCTATCCCCCTCACTGTTTGGTTCTATACTCCCCCACCCGTATAACTCATCTCCAAACCATACAACGACATAGCATATACCCACATCCTTCTTCACCATGACCAAGCTCGCCCTCGCCTCCGCCGTCGCCGGCCTCGCAGCCACCACCCTCGCTGCCCCCACTGCCATCGCCGCCCCCTACGAACCCATCAACATCAGCTACAGCGGCACCTGCAGCAACGAGACCCTCAACAGCGTCACCGTGCTCGACAACCAGCTCAACATCAAGTTTGGCGAGTTTGACGCCATGCTCGGCGGCCCCGACGATCCCCTCAAGCGCTTCTCCTTCTGCGCCGCCCACATGGAGATCACCGGCGGCCTTCCCGGCTACAAGTTGTCCGCCAAGCGCGTCTCGGGCCAGGGTCTGTTCTACGGCACGGGAAAGGTTGGCCTGTCTCTGTTCGCCACCATGTTTTGGAGCTCGGAGGCGGAACTCGGCGTACGTATTATTTCTAGTCCTAACAGAATTCAAGAAGAATTAGCTAATTCGTGGTTTTTTTCTTTCTAGGTTACGAGGCAAATTGACTTTGCCGCCGAAGAGCAAACTGCCTTTGGATCCCGCTACTACGAATCCAACTTCCTAGACACCCCTTTCCTCAGCCCCTGCGTGACCAAGGAGACTGACCCCGGTCTCCTCACCGTCCGCATGAGGGCCCGCCTCTCCACCAGCGAGCCCAACGCCATCGGCCTCTTCCTCGGCTCCCCCGAAGCCCCTGTGACGGAGAACATCGAGTTCGAGTGGGTTCCCTGCGAGGCGCCCCCGTCACGTTCGAACCCTCTCCCGAACCCGAAGAGCCCGTAGAGCCTGCGGAGCCTGAAGAGCCTGTTGAGGAGGAACCCCCGACCACCGTGAAGCCCGGGGAGCCGCCCGTCAAGACCGTCTACCCTGACGAGCCCGAGGACGACGACGATATCATTGATAGCCCGCCCATCATCGAGGAGCCTATTGATGTTCCTATCATCATAGAGGAGCCCAAGGAAGGAGAGGTCATTGTCGACGAGCCTGAGGAGGGAGAAGTCATTGTCGACGAGCCTGAGGAGGGCGAGGTTGTTGTCGACGAGCCTGAAGAGGGTGAGGTCGTCGTTGACGAGCCCGAGGAGGGAGAAGTCGTCGTCGATGAGCCCGAGGAAGGTGAGGTCATTGTGGAGGAGCCCGAGGAGGGAGACGTCGTCGTCGAGAAGCCCAAGGAAGGCGGCGTTGTCGTCGATGAGCCTGAAGAGGGAGAAGTGATTGTCGAGGAGCCCGAGGAGGGAGAGGTCATCGCCGATGAGCCTTGGAACCCCTAAACTAGCGTCGTCGTGGGTGCGAAAAGGTACGCTGACGATCTGGGTTGGAGTTTCATTATCGGAGGGGCTAGCGAAAACTGGGCTTTAGAATGATACCGCATCAAGTTCCTTCGACTTATTTTTCATTTTTTTGCCCGCTTTGAAGGGCTTTCTTTTGTACATCTTACCGGGTATTGGTTGCTTCCGAGTTTGGAGCATAGCTAGTCCCATTATATATTTATATCTACCTCGCTTTCTTTACTTCAAGTATGACCTTTTCATCCAGTGATCACCCGTTAAATCCAGTATCCGAAAGCCTGCTGCTTTGGAACTCTGCTCCAAGTGGTTGCCACTAGGCGGCTAGACATCCACATGGAAGAACGGGGGCATATACACTAATCTCGAAGGGAGTCGCCCCTCGGTCAAGCATTTCGCGTCAGGACTAGGTGTGTCAACAACACCCGAGTCTCTCTGGGGTAGTAGCCACTGATGTAAGTCTTTGGTGATTCACGTAGGACTAAGAGACCGCGTTACCTCTTGGACTGCTCCAGTACACGTGAAATCCTAGTCTTCACCTCACAATATACACATATTGATCTTGAGGAAGGAGCTATTGCCATCACCATCACCACGTCACTCACGAATACTGCTCCAGCCCTTCTTTCTGTTTCCTTCTCCAGTGGCGCCGACCCAATGGCGGATCACCGCGAGGGAAGAGTTTTCCTCTGCTGAATCACTACATAAACACACCAACCCCATCTCTCTTCTTCCTTTCCTCTCTCTACCCTCACCATCCTCTACTCCTTTTCCTACCCTCTTCTACTCACACAGAAAAGTTGACTCTTGATCTCAACACCTCCGACAACCAACAAGACAACTTGAAGTATTCTCAAACCCATCATTACTATGCATGCACCTACTGCTTACGCCCTGATGGGCCTCCTTTGTTGGCGGCTGCCGCCCCTCCTATGGGTCCCCGTCTGAACATCAATGTAAGTTGCGCCGCTTCGTGGTTCAATCATCCGCATATATTATTCCACCCTGTTCATGATCACTCACACATGACATTGAAACCACCGCAGATCTTTCCTCCTGTTTTCCATGAACAGAAGGGCAATGAAACCCAGGCCTTGACCACCTCTACGGTAAGTACTCTTGGCTCCCAGCTTGACTATCGATGGGAATGGCTAATATCTCGCAGGTTCATCCTCCCGCTCAGACCGAGAGCCCCAATGTTGAGGAAATTTTCAAATGGACCGCTGTTAACGGCACAGGCAACGTGAGTATCCGCATTATCCAACCTAAGCATGGCCTAAGGAAGGCGATTGGCGAGGAAGACGGCTAATCTTTTGACGACTCCAGGTTTCATCTATCGGTCCCGTTATTGGTGACACCTCCCGTATTGGGGGTGCTGATTCTGGCCGAGTCGGTGCCATGAAGGATTGCGAGTATGTTCCTTGCACCACCATCATTCAGGGTGGCATCCAGGTCACTACTTATGGGGGCCCCATTGAGACCCATCCTGTTTACGGTACCGAGCCAGTCGTCACCACCACCGTCTACCAAGGTGAACCGTCTGCTGTCCCTGATGAAGTCGAGGGCGCGAGCACAAGCTGCACCACGAGCACCGCTCACCTTCACGGGACAGAGACTGTCATCCACACTGGTCCGGAATCCTCGAATGGTCCAGTCTACCACACATCGGTCACGGCTATTCCTACTGGTGCTTCCGGCACAGTGGCTCCCTCTGAGACCCTGGGATACGGAAAGCCGAGCAGCACTGTTGAAGAGGAGGGCCCTTCCGACACCCCTGCTGATGAACCTGAGCAGACCTCTTTCGCTGCTCAAGGCCTTGAAGTGGGTATCTTCACCATGCTTGCAATTGGCGCCGGGATCATGGTCTCCATGGTCTAAGGAGAAGGAAAAGAATGCGAGCGGATTTCTGCGGGCGTAGATGAAGAAACGAGAGATACCGGAATTGTGTTCCAGCAAAATGTAACATGCTGAGTGGAAAAGGAATGTTTACGAGTTGTAGTTCCTAGGTTGTCTTCACGTTAGGCAATAATTAGCTCATTAGTTCAATCGAGTGCCATTGATATTAAAGCCATCCTCTTTCTTGAATGTGAATCGTGCTACGCTCGTCGGGTGGATGAAATGTGCAGTGAGAGGTACGTGGACGGAAACATTGTTTCGAAATGGGTATCCCAACTCCGTTATGCCATAAACTATTGAACACTCATAAAGCTCATAGGTAAAACCCCTACCGTGCCAGTTACGCCCTGTTACCCAGACCCTGCCTCATCCCTTCCAATATAGACGCCCATTGACCACCGAGGCCCTTCTGCGTTACTGCCTCCTCCAGTTTCCCTGTGACTATTCTTCGCATAACGAGGGTATCCCTAGCCCTCTTATGCTTCGCGAGGTCCGTCGTCAGGTATTCCTCAAACCAGGCCTCCTCGTCCGCGTCGAGAGCCAGACTGATGAGTTCTAGCCCCCTCTGTCCAGCCTCGTCCCCGGCCGGCGAGTCGAGCACCGACGTAATCAGGCGCTGGAAGAGGAGCTGTCGCGTGTGCTCCGGGTAGGTTCGGGAGTAGTGAAAGGCTTGCGCGACGCTCGAGTCAGCCATGGCATCAAACACGAGGGTGAGGGCCTGCGGCGTCTTGAGAACAGGCTGGACCGTGTGGAAGTAGGAGAGGGCGAGGGAGGGGTCGTCGGAGTGGCGGGCAAAGGCGATGATGATGTCGTCGGCGAAATCGGGCATCAGAGAGGGGTGGGAGATGTATTCAAGAGCGGCCTGGGGAAAATCTGTGTTATTAAAACGCTTCCTGCTTGAGAGAGGGAGCCTTGGTTCTAAAGGCATACCTTGAATTCGTGTCTGTCGAGGAGCCAGAGGCCCTTCATGAAGATTTGGTACTTCTTGGGCACTCCACTGACGGCAGCAAAGTCTTCCGAGTAGTCGGATCGCTTGTTGGCGTAGTCGAAGTCGAGGAGGACGTAGTAGAAGATGGATAGGCGGTGGTGCATCGTCATGTTAGCTTCGCAAACTTGTTGGTGAAGCGCCTTGAGGGTGTTTTCCGTCTTTGCAGGGTAGATTTTAGCTGCGCAGTGCAAATAGTTTCAGTTACTATAGGCCCATATGGTAGAAGTTGGCGGGGGAACGTAGGGACCGGGAATAAGCATTACCTTTTCCTACGCCTAGAGCTTTCAGGACGCGGTCGATGAACAGCGCCCCGTCAAACTTGCGACGAACCGTCTCCGTCTCTTGGAAGAAGTCGCGGTTTGGAAAGGGCCGCGCCTTGCCAAATACATGGCTAAAGTCTCTGTAGTCAAAAGTCGCCATGGCTGCTGCTGCTGCTCTGTGCCCGTGAGGAGGTCGTGCCGGTGGGAGCCTCACAATGAATCAAAGCTTGTTATTTTTTTATTTCCTTTCCTTGGGAAGATGCTGCTCTCAATGGCAAGGAAGCTTGGTTTTGAGATGAATGAAGTCGACATCGGCCAAAGCATAACGCTGAACAGCTGACGCCACCCGGTAAGGCTAGGTAGAGTGGCGTCGGTGCCCCGCGTGGGGCGTCGCGATGGGAAGCGTGGCTGATTTGTTTACAAACCCCAATTAGGAAAGACCCATACAAACAAGACATCGTCCAAACAGCCCACAGAAGTCAAGGCAAGTCAATTTGTACCCCCATTAAACATCGAGACAAGAGAAGTCTTTGGAACCCAAGGAAGACGCTTCGTGAAACGAGCCCCCCTTTGAAGTTTTGGGCTGCTGCGATTTTACCCTCCCTTTTTTAGTCTTTCTTTTCCCCCTTCCTTCCCATTAGTTTTATTTCAGCGCAGACCGCTTCTCCCTTTCCACAGCCCGAGTTGGGCGCCTTATTCACATTTCCAGCCATGTCCTCCGCTTCGTCGCGTCCGTCGCGGCGCGCCGCCACGAGGAAGACGGTCGTCGACTCCTCGGATGATGAGATGAACACGACAATGACCAAGCACGCCGCCGACGACGAAGAAGAGTTCGCTCCCCCGACCAGCAGCCCCCGCCGGCAGACGCGCTCGAGGAGATCGATTGCGCCCGCGGCCACCGCGTCCTCCTCCACAAGCACGGCGGCGCCTCGCACTCGCGGGCGTCCGAAGAAGAGCCTTGCCCCGACGGAAGCCTCCACGATCTTGGATCCCGACACGACCGTCATGTCGACGGCCACCGTGCTCGAGGAGCCCGTGAAGAAGCCCATCGCTATCAGGAAGCGCAAGAGCGTGATCAAGCCAGAAGTCACGCCTGACGAGCAGGTGTCCTCGTCGATGCCCACGCCGGAGCCTAGCATGTCCCCTGAGCCGTCTATTCTGCAGAATGCTCCGCTAGCCGACATTACCGTCACGGCCGTCAACGAGCGCCCCAGTACCGCTGACGACAACACGATCAAGCCTATCCGGCCCATGGATACCCCGCTCATGCGCCCGATGGATATCGTCCTCAAATCACGCACCATGGCGATTCCCATGGTCGAGGATACGGGGCCGAAGCCACGCATCGTCATTACCAATCTCATTCTCAACAACTTCAAGAGTTATGCCGGCCGACAAGAAGTTGGACCGTTCCACGCATCTTTCTCCTCCGTCGTCGGACCCAACGGTTCCGGCAAGTCCAATGTTATCGACTCGCTTCTCTTCGTTTTTGGTTTCCGAGCCAGCAAGATGAGGCAGGGCAAGATCTCCGCGCTCATCCATAATTCGGCTCAGTATCCCGATCTGGATCATTGCGAGGTCGCCGTGCATTTCCAAGAGGTTTTGGATCAGGTAGGATGACCCATTTCTAGAAAAGCATCTTCACTCTTCAAAGGTCCCAAAAATGCTAACATGGCGCAGCCTGGTGGTGGACACACTGTTATCCCTGACTCAGAGCTCATTATCTCGAGACGAGCGTTCAAGAATAACTCGAGCAAATACTACATCAACAACAAAACTTCCGATTATACGACTGTCACAACACTCCTGCGAGAACGGGGTATTGATCTTGACCACAAGCGATTTCTCATTCTTCAGGGTGAGGTCGAGTCAATTGCTCAGATGAAGGCCAAGGCTGGCAACGAGCACGAGGACGGCCTGCTCGAGTATCTCGAGGATATCATCGGCACCTCGAAATACAAGACGCCCATCGAGGAGGCGGCGGCTGAGGTCGAGGCTCTCAACGAACGATGTCTCGAGAAGAGTGGCCGTGTTCAGCACGTGGAAAAGGAAAAGAACAGCCTCGAGGACAAGAAGAACAAGGCTATTGCCTACATTCGCGACGAGAACGAACTCGCGTTGAAGAACGCTGCACTGTACCAAATCTATATGAGTGAGTTCGAGGACAACATCGCTGTCACCCAAGAGGCCATCCAACAGATCCAGTCGCGGCTTGATGCCGAATTGGAAAAGCATCACGGAGGCGAGGAGGTGATCAAGAAGCTCGAAAAGATCTACGCCAAGGGCAGCAAGGAGTTCCAGAACCAGGAGAAGGAAACCCAGGCTCTCGTCAAGGAAATGACCAAGTTCGATCAGGAACGTGTCAAGTTTGACGAAAAGCGCAAGTTCCTCAACGACAAACGCAAGAAGCTCGAAAAGGCCATTACCAACGCCGAAACGTCGGCGGCCGAGGCAGAGCAGACGATCCAGGAATGCGGCGAGGAGATTGAGACTCGTTCGGCTGAGATCGCTACCCTCGAGGAGCAGGTCAAGGTCGAGGAGGAGGAGCTCGCCAGCATCAGGGAGAGCCTCAAGGGCAAGACGCAGGCCTTTTCCGATAAGATCGCCGCCAAGCAAAAGGCGCTTGAGCCCTGGAACGAAAAGATCAACCAGAAGCAATCGTCCATTGCCGTCGCCGAGAGTGAGCTCAGCATTCTCCGCGAGAAGGCCAATGCCGGCGCGGTCGCTCAGGCCGAAATCGAGGCCAAGGTTGCCTCCATCGAACAGAACAAGGCGGCCAAGCTCCAGGAGCTCGAGGAGTGCAAGATTGAGAAGGCCAAGCTGGAGAAGGAGGCGCAAAGCGTGGAGACCGAGTTCAAGGAGCTAGCTTCTCAGGAGCCTAGGATCCGCACCAAGGTCTCCAACGTCCGCCAGAAGGCCGAGGAGGCCCGCTCCAGTCTCGCTAAGAGCCAGACCCAGGGCAATGTCCTCACCGCCCTCATGCGCATGAAGGAGTCGGGCCGTATTGACGGCTTCCATGGTCGTCTTGGCAATCTCGGCACCATTGATGCCAAGTATGACGTTGCCATTTCCACCGCATGCAGCGCCCTCGACAACTTCGTCACGGATACTGTCGAAGCCGGCCAGCAGTGCATCGAGTACCTGCGTAAGACAAACCTTGGCCGCGCCAACTTTATCTGCTTGGACAAGCTCCGTGCCCGCGACATGTCCCCCATCCAGACTCCCGAGAACGCGCCCCGTCTCTTCGACCTGATTAGGACGAAGGAAGACAGGTTCGGTCCCGCTTTTTACCATGCCCTGCAGGACACTCTCGTTGCCGAGGATCTCGCCCAGGCCAACAGAATTGCCTATGGCGCGAAGAGGTGGCGGGTCGTCACGCTTGCCGGTGAGCTCATTGACAAGTCTGGTACCATGACTGGTGGTGGCACCACTGTCAAGAAGGGCCTCATGTCCTCCAAGCTCGTGCAAGAAACTAGCAAAGAGCAGGTAGCCAAGTACGAGGCTGACCGTGAGGCCATCGAGACCAAGTTCCAAGAATTCCAAGACTACCAAAAGGAGCTAGAGACAAGGTTGCGCAGCCTACGTGATGAGATCCCCATTCTTGACACCCGGATGCAGAAGATTGGCCTGGAGATTGACAGCGCCACCAAGAACCTTGCCGACGCTCACCGTCGCATCAAGGAGCTGAGCAAGGAGCACCAGCCCTCGCAGGCTGATGACAAGCGTGCCGCTGATCTGGAGAAGGAGATTGCCAAGCTCAACAAGGAGGTAGACAAGCTCCATGCCGAGACCTCGAGCGTCGAAGCGGAGATCAAGCTTCTCCAGGACAAAATCATGCAAGTCGGTGGTGAGAAGCTTAGGGCCCAGCGTGCCAAGGTTGATGCTCTCAAGGAAGAAATCTCCTCCAACAACGAGGAGACGTCAAACGCCGAGGTGCGCAAGGTCAAGGCCGAGAAGGCCCGCGTCAAGCTTGACAAGGATCACGCCAAGGCTAGCAAGGAGCTCGCCGCCGCCGAGCGGGACCTGGAGAAGCTCGAAAGCGAGGTTGAGAACCAGGGCCAGATTTCGGACGAGCTCAAGGCTCGTGTCGAGGCGGCCGAGGCGGAGCTGGCGGATAAGAAGAAGGAGCTCGCCGAAGTCAAGGCTGAGCTTGATGAGAAGACGAGCGAACTCAATGAGACGCGTGCTGCCGAGATTGAAATGAAGAACACTCTCGAGGAAAATCAAAAGGTGCTCGTCGACAACAACAACCGCCTTAGGTACTGGATCGACAAGCTCAGCAAGCTCAAGCTTCAAGATATTGACTATCTCACGGGCCAATCAGCCTCTGGCTCTCAGCAACCGGCTGCAGCCACCGTCAAGACGGAGGAAGGAGAAGAGGCACAACAAGCGCCAGAGGAGAACTCTGACGACAGCTCCGAAACCTCTCAGACCGAAGAGGACACATCCTCGTCCGAGGAAGAGGGCCCCACGACTCTTCACAACAAGAACGGCACGCTAGAGCTTCCTCGGTATACCAAGGACGAGCTCGCGGACATGTCCAAGGATAGGCTCAAGGGCGAGATTGCCGCGCTCGAGGAGAAGACGCAAAACGCCGTCGACCTGTCGGTGCTCGCGGAATACCGCCGCCGCGTTGAGGAGCACGCCAACCGTGCGTCCGACCTCGCGACAGAGGTGGCTGCTCGAGACTCGGCCAAGAAGCGGTGCGACGAGCTCCGGCGCCTCCGTCTCGAGGGCTTCATGGAGGGCTTCAGCATCATTTCCCTGCGCCTCAAGGAAATGTACCAGATGATCACCATGGGCGGTAACGCTGAGCTGGAGCTCGTGGACTCGCTCGACCCGTTCAGCGAGGGCATCCTCTTTAGCGTCATGCCCCCAAGAAGAGCTGGAAGAACATCGGCAACTTGTCGGGTGGTGAGAAGACGCTGAGCAGTTTGGCCTTGGTGTTTGCTCTTCATCACTACAAGCCTACGCCGCTCTACGTCATGGACGAGATTGACGCCGCGTTGGATTTCCGGAACGTGAGTTTCCCCGCTGCATTTCCATCCCCATCTTTTCTGCTTTCATTCCTGTCTATGTACAATTGTGCTAACCGTCGTCGACAGGTATCCATCGTCGCCAACTACATCAAGGAGCGGACCAAGAATGCTCAGTTCATCGTCATTTCTCTCCGCAACAACATGTTTGAGCTCGCCTCGCGCCTAGTTGGTGTGTACAAGGTCAACCACATGACCAAGAGCGTCACCATCGAGAACAAGGACTACGTCCACGGCAGACCCGCGGCGCCGCCGGTAGCCCCGCAACATCACAACCGAGATTACACCACGATGTTGGTAGGGCCGAGGCTAGGGGGCATGTAAGATTCTCCGTGACGAGGTGGTTGATTAAGCCGTTTGTTATGTGGAGCCATCGCATTCTGGGTGTGGGTAGACGGGGTTGGTTTATATATGATTACGAACATCGGATGGGTGGTTTTTCAGTGCCGTGGCACGAGGGGTTCAGGGTTGGGCTATACTCCATTTTTTACGTCTTCGTCAAGCTGGGCTTTGTTTTTTAATCTCTTGTTTTGTTTTTGGTTTTCATCTTTTTAATGAGATTGTTAATGATCATCGTGTCTAATGATGCATGGGCTCCCTCCTTCGTCGAAGTGCATATCTCAACAGGAATGGTGCGTTGATGGGAGACGACATATACGGACAGTATAACTACCAACAGTCACAAGGATCGAGGCATCACGCACAGCACGCAGAGAGGAGACAAAGGTACAAGGTCAAGTAAAATGCCCATTTATGCCCTTTTTAAAACCGGGTTGCCATCATTTTTGGTTTCATAAACTAAACTAGTCCCTAAAAATGTGATTGAACAACGAAACGCCATCATTAAAAAATGCATATCCGTTTCTTTAGCTCTTGCCCTGGGTGGGGACAATCTTCTTGCCGTCCTTGTTGTATCGGACCCTGGGAGGAGGAGCACGGTTCTTGCGGCCAACGGTGGATCGGACACTGCAGAGTCTCTGTTAGCATAATCTAGGTACGAGCAAAAAGAAAGGGGGTGGCTCTGCCTGCTGCGAGGCCTGTTCTGAACGCAGAACGAGGCTCAAGCAAGGCAAGGGCAGGTTTCCCCTTTCGAGGGGCGGGGAGAACTTTGAGGGTGTTGTTCTTTTCTCTCAAAGAAAGTACAACCAAGGATCGTCTGAAGCGCATGCAACGCAGAGCAGCGTGCAGTCGTCACCCCTCTGGACAAACATACCGTACGATCTTGCCGTGGATGGCACAAGACACACAGTACTGCAGCTTCAGGTACATCTTGGGTACGGGATAGTCGGCACCGAAGACGGAAGCCTCCAAGATATCACCTGCGAGAGAGAAAAGGTTAGCAATCACTCATCATTTGCCAAATGACGGCCAATGACCCCGCCAACGTGTGCAGGACAATCGAGCCAAAACAGCGCGATCCGAATTGAAAAGCGAAGCCAAGTCGTCTTGATGGAGGAGGGAGGTTCGAAACATACGGGTAGCAGCAGACTCGACCATGTTGCGGATGGTGAAGCGCTTGATCGCCTTATCCTTGGGAGTGCATCGCGAGCAGTTGGAGCAGCGGATGGGCTTGACGTGGCCGCGACCCTTCTTGTTGCGGCCGTTGTTCTTTCTCTTCTTAGGCATGTTGGCGGTGTCTGAAGATTACTTTGTTAGTCTCGAGACAGAGGAAGAAGAAGAAGAAGAGCGAAGCTCAAAATTTCAAAAAACGTACTGAGTGCTGTGTGTGGTGGTTAGTAGGAGGAATGCTCGAGGGGAGGGAACGGAACAAAAAAATGGCTGGCCAATTCAAGTCAACCATACAGAATTACCCTTGGCCCTGACCCTGCTGACAAGTAGTTTTGGCGGGGCTCACAAATCTTGCCAAAGTGCCTGCGCCTGCACCAAATTCGAAAATTTGCCCGTCAAAAACCCTAGCTCACGTGATTGCAAATTTTGCGTGGTGCGAAGGGTGCGCCTTCCTACCATTGGACCCACTTTGTCACGGCTGGGCCCCATAATCCCGCCTGCGGTCGCACATCCATATAATATTTCTTCCCCTTCCCTCCCCCAAACCCACAACATCTGAGGCTTTGCTTAGGAAGGCAATTAACAATTGTCGAGGTATGTCTTGAGATGTCTGTTCAGTTTATCCCACGGGGTCCCAGGACTCTGCGGCCCTTCGTCTGCGGAAGATGAGATTGTGCGTCGTCGTCGTCTCGCCCTTCTTCGTTCTTTTTGAAGAAATACTCGAAAATCAACGGTCGTGGTGAAAATCGACGCTCGCCATCCGCGTTTTCCGCAGACGTTGCGGCCATCAGCAGCTTGTCCAACCCGTGGGAGAAGACGAATGCTTTATTTTCTTAACGAGGTTATGGAAATCTAACAACCCTCTTGTGTCCTACAGGCAACAATGCAGATCTTCGTTAAGACCCTCACGGGTAAGACTATTACCCTTGAGGTAGAGTCCTCGGACACTATCGACAATGTCAAGTCCAAGATCCAGGACAAGGAGGGCATCCCCCGATCAGCAGCGCTTGATCTTCGCCGGCAAGCAGCTCGAGGACGGCCGCACCCTCTCCGACTACAACATCCAGAAGGAGTCCACCCTCCATCTCGTCCTCCGTCTTCGTGGCGGTGCCAAGAAGAGGAAGAAGAAGGTGTACACTACCCCCAAGAAGATCAAGCACAAGCGCAAGAAGGTCAAGCTCGCGGTGCTTAAGTACTACAAGGTCGACTCTGATGGCAAGATCGAGCGCTTGAGGCGCGAGTGCCCCAACGAGACCGTAAGTTTTGTTTCCTCGTTTCCAATGCTTGTTGATGGCAAAATCTTCTGATGCTAACTTTCTCTTTTCAGTGCGGTGCTGGTGTCTTCATGGCCGCCATGGAGGACCGTCAATACTGCGGTCGCTGCCACCTCACCTACGTCTTCGACAAGAACTAAGGGTCGTTTGGGGGCGTGGAAATCAAAAACATTTTAAAATTACGGGATTGACGATTAAGGGACTGAATTTAGGGAATTTGGGGATGAGGGCTCACTGATACCGGCGTTGTAGCATAGACTCAATTACCTGATTTTGTCTGGTTAAAAATAATACTTCGAGTCCTTCCGTGACACCTGCCACTTGTAGCCTTGATCTTCGTTGTTGTAACTGTCGCCATAATGACCAACCATGTCTGCACTCGCCACCCTTTCCGTGATGTTGACTAGGGACGAAATTTTGCAGCTTAGCCAAGGTTATCGATATTGTATTCGGTTGTTCGATACTACGGTTCAAGCTATTGGCTACCTCCTAGTATTTTTTGTGTGTCTCCTCTTGGCCCCCTCGGCTTGTTTGCCCCACTTCACTGATCAGGAAACCCATTCCTCAGATTGTCGTACTTCGTGTGCGGATAGGAAATGCAATTCTCCTTCTTCTGGAGACAGCCCGGTCCACCAAATACGTTGGTGACGTTCCCAATGATGCTCTCCTGGCCCTCCTTATCCGAGCTGCTCTCCCACCACATGGCACCACCGAGACCCCTCGCCTTGATGTAGTCCGCCTTTAGTCTCGCCGTAGGCACGGTATCGTAAGTAACGAAAGTCCTGGTGGACGGGTTAAAGCAGTAGCTTGCACCGAGAGCGGGATCATTGACCTCGGATGCGCCGTCGAGGGGCAGCTTCTTGAAGTCGTAGACGCCTGCCTCCCAGTTGCCTTGGCCAACGCCTTGATAGGACGAGCCCGGGCCGTCCGTGTTCTCGAATCCGCGGCCGTAGAGAGGCATTCCTATGACGATCTTGTTGGGCGCGATTCCGGCATGGTTCGTGTAGTAGTCGAGGGCGGCCTGCGTGGAGAAGGGCGTGGATTTGGGGTTCGATCCGCAGGGGTAAAGGTTAGCCTGGTGAGCAGCGACGCTGTCCCAGGATCCTGCGTAGTCGTAGGCCATGACGTTCCAGAAGTCGAGGTACTGGTCCATGCCCCGGAGGTCCATCCTTTGGTAGTTCTCGGTTCCGCAGGGACTCGCCACCGTCAACTCAAAGTGATACGGCGTCGGGAGGGTATTGCTATATTGGTCGAGTGCCTCGCGACACACGCGGAGGAGCTCCACGTAGTCCGCCGCCTCCTGCGCGTTGGCGGGGTACTCCCAATCGATGTCGATTCCGTCTAGGCCGACATTCTTGAGGATCTCTACCGACGTCTCGGCGAATCGCTTGCGGCCCTCGGGGGTGCTGGCGGGGCCCTTGAAGTTGGGCGAGTAGGTCCAGCCTCCGATGGAGAGGAGGATTTTGAGGTTTCGGTTGCGCTTCTTCAAGAGGTTCAGCTGCTTGAAGCAACCGTACAGGTTCGTGCCGACGTCGTTCCAAGAGTCTCCATCCCAATGGATGTCAGTGTCGGCCCAAGCGTCCGTGAGATGGCTGGCATGCGTTAGCTCATACTTGAAGTCAGGCGTTGGGATTCGCTATGAATCAACTTACACTTCACCGTCGGGCTTGATGTTGGCAAAGGCATAGAGAATGTGGGTGAGGTTCTCGGCCGGGAGGGTCTGGGGGAGGTGCTTCCGGCCATAAATTGCCCTTCGAGCTTCTTGTTAGCTTGCACTCCTGCAGGATCAATGGGGGAGGGAAGCCTACCAGTTGACAAAGTAGGCGACTGTTCGGTGCGCCATGTCTAAGGACCAGATGAAAATGACGGGGATATAAAGAAAGAATGGTCAAGGGCGAGGAGCAAACGAGGTGGTGAGCTGTAGATACTTGTTAGGAGAAGGAGGTCCTGCTAAGCAATTTATAGCCGACTTTGAATCGAGAATAGATTCAATAGGAGGGGTAGAAATGTGGAAGCAACTGTATGCATCAACAGATCACGGTGTTGACTTCATCCACTCTTCATATATAGGGATTAAGGATAGAAGAGATAGAAGACGTGTACGATGCAGTGGCAAATAAAGAGGAGGAGGAGGCAGCATAAGAAGACTCGGGGTTGAGAAGAGTGCCGTCACGAGTAGGTGGAATAGCTCCTCCTTCCGATCTGAGAGAAGAGGGGCATGGTGGGGGAGGGGAGCTACGACCCAGGGTTGGAACACTGAACTCTACAGGCCCACGAGGTGAACCATCAATTCGACTGACAGGGGCGGGCAACGTACTCAACCGTCCTCAGCCTAGCTTTCAGGTGCGTTTAAGGCCATTTGGCTCCAAACTCGAGCCTGCATCAGGTTTAGCGAGGTACAGCATTCACTCCTCCTTTGGATGATTCGCAAGTGGAGAGCTGCGGCGAGCTCGGCCACAGCCGGTGACGCCGAGTGCCAAGCGACACTGGAAGCGGACGATTGGGCGCGGGGTTTTCCTTTCTGGATGAGGGGCAACAGTGATGACGACGCAGTTTTGCAAACAGGCCCTCCGAGTCCACCAAGGAGGGCGCTGGCCGGGGTCCTTTTGGCGGCCATTAATTGGGGTTGCGGCGAATACAAGATGGACTCGTCAATCTGTGCCTCGTGTGGCTTTGAGACTATTGGCAGGGCGCAATCGCGGATAACCAGCCTTTTTCAGCCCCAGCGTGCAGCGAAATGTGATTCCACGAACACCCTCAAGGGTTTACAGGTGGCCGGAAAGAAAACAAATGAAAAAAGAAATAAAAGGATTTATACTATTTCCATAGCTCCTCGTCTATTCCCCGGTCTGGGGCATGAGATGTAAATGGAAAACCATTGTCGTGTTGCGCCTGTTACGGGGCGGTGTAAGAGCAGGAACAAAGTGGCAGTTGCGCGCAATCCTCAAAGGAGCAGCATAGTCAAGTCCGCCTTGATGAGATCCATTGATCCCACGGGATTCGAATAGAAGCTCCCTTGCGGTGTTATTTTCTCAGGCTGGCTTCCTTTTGGTTCTCCGGTTTCCGTTGAGGGCTGAGATCTTGGAGATTCATGCTATACGCATCGAGAAGGGCTCCTTCTTCACCAATGACAGCCCGGAGCTACCCATCAGACCTCGCCAGATACGGCCTTCAAGAGCTAACGGAAGGGCAAAGATATTCACGCATTTTATCATGACTCCTATGACATGATATCCACAAATATACGTGTGTTGAGGAGTCTTTTTCAGGTCGAAATCTGTAGACGTTACTTAGTCGCCCGAACTGGACTGTACTGATCTCGCCCGTGTGGCTTCAGGTTGTTTGCCCCTTGGGCATCGCTCTATGAGACAGATCCATGCTTTACCTGCGAGGCCTACGAGGGCATTCCTCATGGAATAGAAGGAAGTAGACGAGTTAAACCGTGGCGCGAGATCCTGGTTATGTGATTGCTGCTATGCCAACTTAAAGCACACTGAGTTTTCAGAAACCGATCATTGCCTTTCTTTGAAAGTCGTGGGAAGAGAGTCAAAAGAATTGCCGGCCGTTTCAGCTACCGATTATCTTGAAGGGTATAACTACCCGACCAGTATGATCACAGGTGTATAGCTGCAGGATCCCTCTTTCATCTCTACAGGTCAAATATATTCTGCGATTAACCACTCGACGCGTTTGATGATGCCCACATGCAGCTTTAGCACACCGAGCTCACATCTTTCTCTTCTATCATCTATTTTCTTCCGTTTATTAGAAATCCTTTAGAAATCCTTAAGCGAAAAAAACCCTCATACCTTTCTTCCTGCAAGACTTATCCATAGCGTGTTCACCCCATTGTTTTCCAGGAACACAACCAAGTTCAGAGCTGAATCCGTCTGCCCTCCTCGGTTACAATGCGTTATCTGAGCTGTTGTAGAGGACAGATATTTAGATTCATGTACAAGTACTACTAGCATTCTATATGGAAATCCATATAGACCAGCCATAAACTTCTACAAAGACAGCTTGACACAATATTTGAAGGTATACCGAGGTACTGGGAACCGCCATCTCCCCAACGACTAGAATTTGTGGTGCATCTGCATTCTGGGGTGGTGATAGTTTCACAAATTCTGGCAGGCCAAATCCTATTGAATGTACCATTGATTGGTCACTTATTCTTGCAGTTTATTCCTTGATGCATCAATTATTCGGGCGGCGCTTCTCATCGCAACATCGCAAAGAGCGCGTCGGCTCCAAAGCGTCAACGCACGCTTGGCACGGTACTGGTGCAATTATGATGTGGTCACGTGGAGATAAGATAAAGCGAAAGGACTGATCCTGAGGGGACTCCACTTGCCAATGCGGGACAATGGCGGATCAGTGTGTACCTCCCCCAAGGCGGAAAAAAATTCAGCACACTGGCTCGGTGGGAAAAAAATTTAACCAAGCTCTCCGAATTGAAGCCTTCACCAACCTCACCGGTCACCAACTCCTCTGGCTCAATTCCCTCACCAGAGACTGAAGGCTACTGTGGTTTCTATTCCGTACTCGGTAGAAACTCAACTTTCCAGTTGCATACCACAAATTCGTTCCAGAGAACCCAATTCTCGACAAGACCGATCGAAATCTCCGATTTCCTGGTTGAATAACCAGCCACTCCGACAACCTTTTTCCTCTTCCACATCTTAATTCTGGCTCGGCATTGCCTTGGAGGAAAAAAATGGCTGCCCAGATTGATTACATCCTTTATGACTCGTCCCTGGGTTACTCGGTGTTCCAGGTGACGCACCAGATTGACGGCGTCGCTCTCCAGAGCGCCCAGTTCCAGGAGGCCGCTGCCTCGCTCGACAAGTTCGGCAAGCTCGTTAAGCCCGTCGGCTTCTCTCCCTTCCGGTAAGTTTGGCAAAATATCTTTTTGTGTGAAGATGTCGATTGGGAATTGGTCTACGTGTGCATGCGCCCTAGGGGGCGTCTTTTCTCGTGTCTTTGGAATTGGTTTAACACGCCCGCTATAGAGGATATGCCGATGCCTTCGACAATGCCAACAAGATCGCTGAGGGTGTCCTCTCCGAGGCTCTCGAGTCCTGTATCGCAGCTACGCTCCCCGAGACGAGCGGAAAGAAGGCCAAGGTTACCCTCGGCGTCTACGACTCGGCTACCGCCCGTGTGTTGAAGGAGCGATTCCCCGGCTATCAGTATGAAAGCCGTGAAACTTCCCAGGCCGTCGACACCCTCCTCCGCGGTATCCGTCTCTACTGCGATAAGATGGTGTCGGAGCTCAAGTCCGAGGATATCAACACCGCCTGCCGTGCCCTCGCCCACGCCTATTCCCGAGGCCAGGTCAAGTTCAACACCAGCCGTGATGACGTTCACATCATCCAGAGGAGTGCCGCCCTTGAGGCTATCGACAAGGGTCTTAACCAATGGACCATGAGGCTTCGTGAGTGGTATGGCTCGCATTTCCCCGAGCTCGTCACCATTGTCTCCGACAACCAGACGTATGCCAAGGTTGCCCAGGCTATCGGCGACAAGTCTACCCTCAACCAGGACCGCCTCCATGAGATTGCCGCCCTCCTCAATGATGACGAAGAGAAGGCCCAGGCCATCATCAATGCCGCCGCTACCTCCATGGGTCCCGAGTACACCGAATATGACATGCAACAGATCATGGACCTAGCCACCCTTACCGTCGATACTTTCTCTCGCCGCTCAACCACCGCTAGCCAACTTGACACCAAACTCGGCCTCGTCGCTCCTAACCTTCGTGAGCTCCTCGGTGCTCCCGTCTCTGCCCGTCTCATCTCCCAGGCTGGCTCCCTTGTGACCCTTGCCAAGTACCCCGCTTCCACTCTTCAGATTCTCGGTGCCGAGAAGGCTCTTTTCCGTGCTCTCAAGACCAAGGGAAACACTCCCAAGTACGGTATTCTCTACCACAGCAGCGCTATCGGCAAGGCTGGCGTCAAGAACAAGGGAAGGATCTCGCGTTATCTTGCCAACAAGTGCAGTATCGCCTCCCGAATCGATGCCTTCTCTGGCACTCCCACCAACCTCTTTGGTCAGGCTATGAAGCAGCAGGTTGAGGACCGCCTCGAGTTCTACGCTACCGGAAAGAAGACGTCCAAGAACGCCGACGTCATGGCCTCTACTTTGGAGGCCATCCAGGCTATCCTCGGCGAGGCTCCTGATGGCATGGACATCGACGAACCCGAACAGAAGGAGGACAAGGATAAGGCGGCCAGGAAAGCTGAGAAGGCTGCCAAGAAGGCCGAAAAGGCGGCGAAGAAGGCTGCCAAGGATGCTAAGCTAAAGAGGGCCGCAGAAGACGAGGTGGCCGATTCCCCGGCCGGAAAGAAGAAGAAGAAGAGCAAGAAGGTTGATGCGTAGTCGGGTCCCGACCTCTTACCATCGTTCTCCCACCATCTATGGCGTCTTTCTTTTCCCATTGGGGGTTTCCGTTTTCCTCCCCAAATCTTCTCTCTTTCAACCATGTTCCGCCATCCGTCTGGAAAGCACAGGGGTTCTCGGCAAAAGGGCGCGGGCCGGAGTTTTGGAGTTTTCTTCTAGGGTGGGGCTTTCATATTGCAAAAGATGTGTGTGATTCCCGTTGCCGTCGTCGTCGTCGTTGTCATCGTTGGTGCCGTCTCTAAATGTTGATGGGGTTTGCTTGCTTCTTACTTCACCAAGTTTTCTTTGCATCCACTTGTGTATCTGTAGCTCTTGCAGAACTGTTTACATACTCGCTATTTTTGTGTTTTCCGGTTTTAATGCATCAAGATCTACATAAGCCCTCTTTTATGATTGTCCGGTGATTATCCTGCGAGACTTTTGAATAGCACGGATGGAGAACGCTGTGATAGAAGCATCGACCAATTTCGAGTGTCTGCCTGGGAAACCTACGCACAGTGTGTTGATACCGTGAACTTGAAATTGGCACGTTGCGAATTGACGTAACCGGAGCTACAATTCAGGGACAACCGCTGCTGCTCTACAGGGCAACCACCACCCTGATTCTGGTCCAATGTTCTCCATTTCCCCTCCCCGCCCCGACCCAGAAACAAAACTCCCCTCCAAAAGTAAACATTTTGTGACGATCCCCGATATTCAACGGCCAGTCCCCGCTTGCGATCTTGCCTACCTTTGGGGGTTTCAAATCGCATCGTAAGCTTTATCAAATCCCTTCTAGTGTTTTCTGCTGCCTAGCCACCTTGTGGCGAATTCCTTTCCACTAGAGGCAAACGGGGTCTTGCAACCCCTTCTAAAGGCGAGGCCGAACTCTGCAACCAAAGCCCTGGGACCCAAAGCGAAAAGCGCCAACCGACTGGCCGAATCAACCACCCATCCTCCCACCACCACCCCCTCCACCTACTCTACCTCTCTACCTCTACGAAACCCACGATCGCACATCCTCCGGGTCGACTATCCTCAGGCGATCATGTCAGGCATCACAGATTTTCTCGGGCGGGCCATCTCGACGGTCAAGAAGGCCATCGACGCCGACAACGCCCAAGAGTACGCCAAGGCCTTTCAACTCTATACCAATTCCATCGAGCTCTTCATCCTCGCGGCGAAGTGGGAGAAGAATGCAAAGTCCAAGGAGATGATACGCCAAAAGGCCGCCGAGTACATGGACCGCGCTGAGAAGCTCAAGGTGTACCTTGCCGAAGCAGAAGCCAAAACGAACGGCAACGGAAACGGCGGGGGAAAAGCGGGCGGCGGTGGCGGCGGCGGCGGCGGCGGCGGCGCAAAGAAGGAGAAGGCGGCGGGAGGGTTGGACGAGGACACGGAGAAGTTGCGAAATGCGCTGCAGAGCATCGTCATCACGGAGAAGCCCAACGTTCGATGGGACGATGTTGCGGGGTTGGAGGAGGCCAAGGAGACGCTGCAGGAGGCTGTTATCCTCCCGATAAGGCTCCCGTCCATGTTTACTGGTAACAGGCAGCCTTGGAGGGGCATCTTGCTCTACGGACCGCCGGGTACGGGTAAGAGTTACCTTGCCAAGGCTGTCGCGACGGAGACGGGTGGCTCGTTCTTCAACGTGAAGAGTTCCGATCTCGTTTCCAAGTGGATGGGTGAATCAGAAAAGTAAGTGTCATGCTTCAAGGATTAGACCGTCGCTTTGTTCCCTGGTTTTTGTTCGCATCTAACCCACCACCCCAACAGACTCATTAAACAGCTCTTTGCCATGGCCCGCGAATCGAAGCCCGCGGTCATCTTCATCGACGAAATCGATGCCCTGTGCAGTGCCCGAGGTGAGGGCGGCGAATCCGAAGCTTCTCGACGCATCAAGACCGAGTTCCTCGTGCAGATGGAGGGTGTTGATAACAACAACCAGGGCATCCTGGTCCTGGGCGCGACCAATTTGCCGTGGGGTCTGGACTTGGCTATGAGACGACGTTTCCAGCGCATCGTCCACATTGGTCTGCCTGGGCCTGCTGGCCGCGCGAAGTTGTTCCGACTCGCTGTCGGAAACACGCCCTCGACGTTGTCCCCACAGGATTACAACACGCTTGCGGGCATGGCGGAGGGATACTCTGGTAGCGATATCACGAATGTGGTCCATCAGAGTCTGATGTATCCCGTGAGGAAGATTACGCATGCGACACACTTCAAGAAGGCAAGTTCTTTTTTTTTGAGCCCCGCTCTTCGTGCCCCGACCCCAGGCATGAGACTAGATCTAACCAGAGTTTCTCTACAATAGGTTTTGGTGGATGGTGCCCAAAGATACACGCCCTGCTCGCCCGGCGACCCCGAAGCTCTGGAAATGAGCTACCTTGATATCAAGGACGACGAACTCGCGACCCCTCTTGTAGAGCTTCGCGACGTCATCAAGGCTTTGAAGCAGTCTCATCCCACATCGACGCCCGAATCTCTTCACAAGTACATTGAGTGGACGCAAACATCGGGCAGCGAGGGGTCGTAGGCGAAGACGACCCGTACCCCTCCCTTAGGGGAGGACTGACGAGCATAGCTTTTCACGACATATTGCGGACGGAACGAGTCATACACATTGCAAGGAATATAGCATCATGGTACCATGGCATGGAAGAGGGAGGAATCTGTTTTGCTTTTATCTTTCTTTCTTGTTTGTGACGTAGAATCGGCGTGGAGGGCAGGCTGTGTGCGAGGATTGATTTTCCGCTCTCGAGCGCAGGAGTGTTGGAGTACATATTTTTCTTCTTTTCATTTTGGTCCTTTCACCTCCTTGTTATATCTTTATCTTGCTTTTTTGTTTTCCCTTTTTCGTTTTATGTGGAGGAAGCAAGAGAAGAGCGAGAGCAGGCGTGATTCGCAAAGAGACAGTTTCCAAAGGCAGGCAAGGCGTTTGTTTGTTTGACTCGAGAATCTCTTTTGAAAAAGGCATCATTCCAAGTTTAGGTTTCCGATTATGTATTGCTCGCGGAAAAGAAGGCCATCTGGATAGCTTATCGTTAGTTAAAATCGTGCGTCTATTGACTTCACTTTATATTGATACTGCATCTGGGTTCAAGCTGTTAATCTTCTAGTGCTTGTGAACCGGCCGCCACCGCAAGCTCGATGGGCAAGCGTGCGTGGATCCATCCCAAAAGTCAAGAGGTGGGATGAGGATGTGTAGCGGGTACAGACTCTGTCCTGGGCTGTCAGTGGTAATTTTTCGTACCTAATACCCGGATCTGCCCCTCCAAGAAAACCCCTCCACTCAAAATCGACGACACACAAAACCCATCGCACCACATACGAAGAGACGACTATCCCTTGTGACTCGCGGCAGGAAGTCGGCAACTCTTTGAGGCATAAATAACAGAGATTAGATACCGAAAGAAAAGCTCGGGACGCTATGGAGCTATTACAGCAGGAGATGGAGAAGTTGTCGGGGAGTACCAGAAGCTGGAGCAAGGTGAGAGTTTTCAAGCCCCCTCCTTAGCCCCCGTCTCGCCCTCTGCTCGGAGACGTGCATCACCGCACATGGTGATGGGGATATATTAGTCTCTATCTGCAAAGCACAAGGGGGTTATCGAGTATTCATGACGCTTGCTAACATGGAGGACAGACCTGAGCGCGGCGGTACAGTCGAGGCAAAAGCTGGAGAGCCAAAGGCAGGAGAATGAGTCGGTGCAAAGGTGAGGCCCAAAGTCACTCGATGGAATCTGTCCTTTTTGCTTGAGGAGACTTGTGTGGAGTTTGAAGTTTCTTCATTCCTCTGCCACTGGGAGATGTTCTTTCTGAGGAAACGTTGAGGAAAAGGTAGACGATGGGCGTGGTAACTAATGCGTGTCGGCGTACGGCCTTTTTCGCCTCGGGTAGGAGTTTGAGAATGCCAAAGATGATGAAGTCATCTACAAGCTCGTTGGGCCGGTACTAGTGAAGCAGGACAAGTTTGAGGCGGAGAACACGGTCAAGGGACGACTCGAGTTCATCGGCAAAGAGATGTACGCACTCTCCTTTTCTACTTTTTTTTCTATTCCTTTTTTCCAGATCGGGCTAACATTACGAACTTTGACGGTAGTGACCGAGCGGAGGAAAGCATCAAGGATATCCAAAAGAAGATTGACGCCAAGAGAGGGGAGTTGATACAGCTCCAGGCTGCGGGGCAAGCAGCGGCACAGGCTGCGGCACAGGGTGCGGAAGGCAAGGGCAAGGAGGTGGCGGCGTAGAGGAGATCACGAGGGGATAGGGGGCGGACCATTATGAAATGAACGATAATAGATATGGCTGGTGACTTCTATCTTGTCTGCAGGCTTACAACGTTGGTCTACGTGAGTATGTACCGTATTCTTCTTAATCACTACGGTGGAACGGTGCGGAAAAGGTTGTTGGAAAAAAGGGTGAGCGGCGAATCTATATCTTTTATTCATGGAGCTGAAATTTGGGAATGAAAATAGTCAAAAAAGAACACATGATAACCCAAGACGCCCCGACTCCTCTTCTCCAAAGCGCAGTCCACCCTGTGTGCAAGCCTCGCTAGAGCGAACCCCATTGTTCAGGGTGCGCATATAACCTTCCTGTTTTTAGTTTGTGTTGTCCGTCCCATCCCATCTCATGGTTTCCTAGTACTTTGTTGGAAGAACAATTGATCCCTTTTCCTTGACGAGTATGTGACGTTTATATATATGTATGATAGAAGCGAAGCAGGGGGTATCGTGACGGCGCCAGGAGAAAGTTGGCCACTAAAAGAAAAGTGGAAATCGAAAGTGAGACCCCAAGATATGGTGAATAGAGAAAATTCTTGATGGGCGCAAAAGAGAATAGATAAGAAGAGCTGAGAGGCACCTTGGTATGGTGGTGGCGATGAAAAGAACAGATAGAAGGCCGTTAATATGAGCGCCAGCGCATGGCACTGTAGTAGTAGGAAATTTAAGCAAAGGAAGAGAAAATATGCGAGGACGCGGAGTAGAGTGCATCATCTCGGCCTCTCCCGTTTAGTTGACGGGCAAGATGGAGAAACCCCACGGCAGACCCATGTTCCTAGGCCTCTCGACAGTCCAACCAAGGGAGCCGGCAGCGTCTTCCGTAACGCCAGCATCCTCGAGCATATCAGAGAGCTCCTGCTCGTCGGCCGCGCGCTCAACAACGCGGGAGACGAGGCGGGCGACCTGAGCGCGACTCCGGCAGCCGTGGGAGAAGAGGGAGCTCGCCTCGATGGCGGTGAGGGCGGCGATCCTCTCGGGGCTGTGGCGGAAGGCGTCGAGCTCGCGGGCAAAGAGGTCGTGGGTAAGGAAAGGAACGTCGTCCTCGGCGGCGAGGACGTCGGCGAGGCGGCGGAAGAGGAGGACGAGGCCGGCGACGGCCTGGGCGAGGAGGCTGGCCTTGAGGTCCGGGGTGAGGTTGGCGAGGAGGGGAGCGTCCTCGAAGAAGAGCTTGGCGTCGGTGTCGAAGATGGCGTCGATGGCGGCGGAGGGGCGAAGGAGCCGGAGAGAGGGGGAAGAGGGGTCTTCGGGGAGGAGGAAGGTTTGGCGGGCGACGGTGTAGCAGGATTGGGTGATGGAGTAGAGGGAGAGGGTGGTGGGGATGGAGACGGGGCCGGTGGGTTGGATGGTGAAGTAGGAGGATAGGGCGGAGATGGCGGCTGTTGGAGGGGTTTTTCGGTTAGCTTTGGCTTGTGCTTGTATTTGGAGGGATAGTAGAAGATGGGTGGTTTGTTTGGTGAAGGGTTGAGTGGGAGGCGGGATGTATCCGGTGGGGATGTATCCGGTGAGGATGTACCCGGCCGGCCGGGAGGGGAGGGGGAGCTTGGGTCTTGGAGGGGGAAAGCTGAACATACCCGATGACCTCTCTGCGATGGAGGCAGTCTTCTTGGGGGCCACGGGGACGACCCGGGTGGTTTTGGAAGTGGAATCCGAGTTGACGACCATTGTTGCGATGGGTAGAGAAGATGTTCTTAAAGTTGTGGGATGTGTGTTGTTCGGAGTGGGTCCGGGTTCTGAGCTGGGGTGTGGTGGTGTTTATAAGAGGTTTGGGAGATGTCGATGGTTTTGAGGGTGCGGTTGTGACTAACACGAAGAGCTGGTATTCCAGGATGATGGAGAGGGGGAAGAGGAACCAGGCTCTAGATATACTTTTCTAGATGTCGACTTAAAAAGGCAAAATCGACTAGCAAAGAAAGCGGCGAAAGAAAAAGAAAAAAAGAAAAAGAGCCCATTATCCGAAGCGACCCAAGCCCAAGGAAGCTCCGCCATGTTCGCCGGGGGCGAGTCCTTGGTCGGTCCTTGGCTCTCGCTGGCCTCATCTCGTTTGGGTGCCTGGGTTGGCTGGGGCTGGCCCCCCTTTCCCAAAAGCCCACATCAGCCCGTTCCCCGTCATCGTCCCGTCCGCACCGGAGCATGGGGCATGGGCCATGGGGCATGGAGCAGGCGACTTTTACTTACATCGCCGCCCTCCCTTTTCTACAGCCTTTCCATGTCCCCAGCTTGTAAGTGTCCCCAAATATTGTTTCCCTCATGTGGAGATTCGAGAGCTACGATGTCAGGCTGTGGGTCGGCTGGCTATTGCCCCAACAGATGTCTTCTCAGATCTATTGCGTCCTTTTTTCTTTTTCGTGTCCCCTTGGTTTGTTTACCATTTTTGCCCGTCCCCCGATCCTGCCATCGGAGACAGGCCAGGAGATCTAGAAGTTCTTTGCAATCTCTTTCTCTCTCTCGGACCCATGAAACAAGACCGAGTTGAGGAAAAGCATCTCCCAGTCTACTTGTGCTGCGGGGATTTCCCAGAGTGTGTCGCGTGTATGTGTACGAAGGAACGGCGCGATAGCAAAGGAAACCTGTGTAGCTGGACATGGCCGCAAGATTTTGGCCGAAGTAGTTGCCTGCCGCGTCTCCAAAAGATCCCATGGCCTTTTTTCAGCGGTCTGGTGTCTCTCTCCTCCCCGTTACCCACTGCGCACAGAAGCGTCATCGGTATCGGCTTACGGTAATGGTGGTGGACAACTGTGCTCAACTACAAGTCATCGCGCCCCTCCCAACCTTGTCTCTTTTCCTGTGTCTGGCAGTCTCCACCGTTTGCTTCTTCTTTTTTTTTTTTTTTTTTTCTCCCTCATTTTCTAGCTAGATTTGGAGGAAAAAACTGGGCCGCCCCATATCTATTAACCTCTACGGTATTACCGTGCCCCAAAAGGAAAAAAGATCCTGGCCCAAAACTGTACAGTGCCGATATCCCGCGGACGGGAGGATGCGAGCCATGACAAAAGACTTGCCCATCCAAGGCCGACGTGCTTTCAAAGGACCTCCCTGTATCAGAATGCTATCTGAGGGAAGACGCAGGAGAGCAAGTTTCCTTTCGAGCCCTAACGGCCGTTACTGTTTTCCTCTTCTGCCCTTCTGACTACGTACTCTCGCGGTCCTTGCCCCCGACTTCTCTCTACCGGACCTTTTGTCAGTCTCATGCGTGCGCACACCGACCCTCTTGCTGCAAATCTGTTGATCCTGAGATCAAAAAATGTCCCTCGAGACCGGATAGCACGGAATCGTCCACGGAGTCTCACGAGGGGAACGTGAGGGGAGATTGGGAAAGGCGGGAGAGGACAATAACAGAAAGGAGTGCCAGAGTGAGGCGGGGAAACGCTCTACACTCCAAGAATGCCGTGGCAGAACTTGTCGGCAACATTGATCGGGACCTGTCACTTTTTCTTTCTTTTCTCTTCGTGACCCGATGCTTTCAAGTTGCACCGGCGTTTTGTAGCTACCACCGATCAAGGAAGGGACTCGCGTAAAGAAGTTGCGGGAACAAGGTTGGGGGCTTGAGAGAAGCCAAATAGCACAGCACTAACATGGGTTCGTTGAGACTAGCTGAACCGCCGGCTCATTTTTTTAGCAAGCCGCAAACGCCTTCCGAAGTGGTACTCCATCCTCATTTTTGTCCTCTTGTCGATACCACTGGTCAGTGATCCGGGGTGGATCAACGGATTGGTCGGCTCGGAGCTTCTCCAACAAGGCAACTCCAGCCTCCTCCTTGAGAAGAAAAAAAGGAGGGAACCTACTAAAAAGGATACAAAAAAAAAGCTCATCTTTAGTGGCCGGGCAGAACTGCCGCTGCATGCATCCCCCAGCGTCGCAACAATGTGATGAAGAGAGCGCCGGAGACGGGCTTCTGATAATGCACGTCTTTGGAAATGAAATGTGGAACGAAACGGCCCGTCCCTCATTTCCATCTCTTCCAGACCTCTTTTCCCCTTTCACCTTGATGCGAGGTGACTTCTCTACCCGTGGCGTATTCTATTTTTCCCCCTTTCGTATCTCTTTCCCGTTCGTCACCGCCCACGTCGTCCGTCTTGATAAGGGCCCCACGAAAATGGAGCGCGGCGCATGGATCACTTGGTTGCTGCTGACCACCCTGTCCTGGCCAGCAGCGCGCACACGATGCCCGACATCTTCCGATGATCGGATCCACGGGAGCATGAAGCGGACCCGGCTCATTAATCACTTTTCTTTTTCTTTTTCTTTTGTCGTCTTCTTTGTCCACTTTTGGCTTCCTCGTTCATAATAGAGACTTCTTTCTTTCTATTGCCGCCTCCAGGCTGGTCAAGGTACTAAGAAAAGAGACGGAACACGGATATCAAATCGATAGACAAGGGGGTAAAAGGGAAAGACGAGACAAAGAGATACACGTAATTATCACTCATCTTTTTTTCTTAGAAAAAAAGGAAGAAAGAAAACGTGAGCACGGGGCCAAATTGCTCCTGTCCTCCAACGACGCGGGTTGGACAGACGGCCTGATGAGCCTGAGCCTGAGCCTGGACCTGGGCCGATGCGAAGCTCTCGAGAGTGCGAAAACGGTCGATTCGGGCGGCCTCATCTGGCCATGCCTGGCACCACTACAAGTACGATGTTTAGGCTTGGGCTGGAGAGATTGCACGTTTTCTGGTCGGTTTTCAGAGGGATTAAGCGGAATCCTAGCCTGAGGTGGACAGTGCGAGCTTTTTCATACGCCTTTGACAACCACCGAAACCCCACGCTCCTTGTTGCCATCATAATATCAGCGTGAACCACCATGTGGTCAGGCGAGGACAAGACGCCTCAAAACCCAAGACGTGAAATGAAATAAAAAAGAAAGAAAGAGTTTGCTTGGCAAGTCTTGAACCGATAGCCCATACCACACACACGTTTTCTGCATCCCTTTGCCAAGACGGAGGACTCGATCGAGCACGTACAGGCGACCCAGCCCTCGCCTTCTCTTTGCGGCGGACCAGACGGGCTATGAGTCACGTGCCTTGGCGTGTCGCCTCAAGCTCCCTCGCCGAAGCTAGTTGCTCGTGGACACGCCAAGTTCCGTGGTTCCGCCAGTTCCATTGGCCTTTGTTCTCGGAAACGACTCCACTCTAGCCCCACCCTAGAGCACCTCCGGCACCGAGCCTATGCGGACTCGTCGGCCGGGTGGGTGTCCCCAAGCTGGAAAGGCGGGGAGGCAGCGGTAGCATGCTCGGTGGGAAAGAAACGGGGAGAAGCATGTGGACTCGTGGTGGCCTTGGCATTTGAGGACTTATGACTCCTCTTTTTCTTGTGTCTCTTTTGCGGATTACGGGGTGCGAAGGTGCGAAGGTGTTTTGTTGACTTGTGGGCATTTCGGGGCTTGCGGTGACAGCCACCGTCTTGGCGCCCGTGGGCTATGGAGGCCAAGGTCTCCAGATGGGAATATTTACTGGGGTGGGTCATGAGGCTGCACTTCAAGGGATTGCCCACAAGGATAGAATTATATTGTTTATTCTTGCTGGTTTCGAGGACCAAACGTCAATTTACCTGCAAAGGAATGGATCAGCGTCCATAGATAGAAATGAAGTCTTCCTTTCCTTGAGCCATTCCGTGATCCCATTCTTTAAGCCTTTCCCTCATATAGACCTTTGTCTTCTATTATAGATTCCGATTCATTCTCTGCCGGGATCCTTCAACTTCTGTTTCATTGTCCCATCTTTCCTTTCCTCGTATCCCACCTTCTCTAGATACTCATCGAAAACCGCCAGAATCTTTCTACATTCTTTAATATGCGACCTATCCTTAGAAGAGCGGATAATTTCCCTCGCTTCAATGGCCGCTATTGCGACATCGCTTGGGGCTTCACTCTGGTAGGTCGGATCGACTAAAATAGCCTTCACCGTCGTGAGCCAGGCCACGAGATCCAGCCGTCCACGGCGCCGACTAGGCAGGAACATTCCCAGTAAGGACTCGCACCCGATCCGAGGAACAATGGAGAATATATTGGTGAGCCGCCCAGATCGAAGCAAAATGATGGCATACTCACACCTCCCGCCTAATAGCACTGTTTCTAAAGCCGTTCTACCTTTGTGTAGAAGATTCACATCTACAAGAGGTGAATCAACCAGTAGTGATAGTATTCGGAGTTTGTTGGGCAAAACCTGCATTTCTCTCGATGATAATAAGCCATGGAGTGGGGGCATATCGGGATATCTCAGAGGCAAGTTAGGGTTAACCTGTCCTGACTTCAAAAGGCCACGCACTGCCACAGGGTTCTGGTAGTGGATTGCAATCCCCCAGTAAGTCATGATATCAGTATCCTCTCTATTCGGGTCCGCCACTCTTGGGACGATCACCTTGATATCTTCCTCGTGTTGGCTATCTTTTGCTACCCAGTGCTGAATATTTCCTACTTCGAATGCACGGCTCGCGTGAAATTCACGTGCTTTGGCATCCATGAGAATATCCAGCCTTGCGAAGTCGAATGCACAGCTCGTGTGAAATATATGTTCTTTGCCATCTAGGAGGATATCTAGCATGTTGGATCGATCGACTCCGAACAATTCCGACTTGAGCAGGGTCCACATGGGCTTGGTATCCCAACCAATTACCCCTGATTCTGGCGAGTTTTCTTGCTGGGTCAGGTACCTGACAACATCAGGTAAATTAAACTTTACCGCTTCGACGAGTGCCTGTGCAGCGGGACCACATAGGCCCCCTTGCGGGTTGATTTGAAGCGTAACTTTTGACGAAAGCAGATGCAAAGCGACGGCAGATCTTCTCCCTCTGATGGCGCATAGTGAAACCAATTCCCAGTCCCATCCGGCCGAAGGGTCCACCAAGTCTTGTAGAAATTCGCCGTACTCCGAGTTCTCGGTCGAGAGGCAAGTAATCTCCGGCTCTTCCTTAAATATCATCTCGGTTATGTTCTGGAAACCGTGATATATCGCATAACCCACGATAGCCGAATTCATATCGCGCTGGTTCGGCCACCTTAGGCCATAATGAAGAAGGTTTGGGAAAAAGCGACGGTTGGGATACGAGCTGGCTGCGCAGAAAAGTTCTTTGCTCTCACTATTGGTTAGAAGATTGTGCCGGACCTTGTAACCTATCAAGGCGTACAGGAGGATTTCATCCTCTTGGTTTAGGAGTTCTGAGAGGCTTGGAGAGGTAGGAGAAGTCCAGAAATCTATCTCGTACCTAGGACTATAGGTGTCTAGCTGTTGTGGAGGAAACCCCACGTGCCCTTATTGGGGCCAAGTAAGGAAGTAAGTAGGACTCTAGAGCATGCGTCATGCGAACGTGCTAGGGCGGCGTGTAAAGGGTATCTGAGCCTCTCTTTTGTAGGTGTGAGATAGTGAGAATTCAAGTCAGGCTGCCTTTCCAACAAGGAAGGGCAGTCCATATCAGCAAAGATATAGGTAAAGCTCGCATCCATTGTATAACGTAGCTGCGTGAGCAAGGCCAAGCCTCCAACCCCGTTTCTCAACCGGATCCACTGCTCTCTATCAAAAGACTCGATGAATTCTTGCTGTGTACGGCCTAATCGTTCCGCCTCGTCAGCATGGTAGAAGACGTGCAAGATGGCGTATTGTAAAAACGGATGCTCGTTATAGTACTCCTCCCTCTTGAAATAGTCGCCCAAAATTCCCATTTGCCCCTCGTCCTGGAGCGGGTCAAGCACACCGCTGGTAGGAAATAGCTGTACCTCACAGCACTTTCTTAGTATCTCATGGCTCTTACTCGGGAAATCTTCTTCAAGGTGTGGCCAAAGCATTGCGAATCCATCATCTCTGATTAAAAAGTCGCGAACAGACTCGTGAATGAACTGGACTGTGCGAGTGTCACCAACCACCTCAGTCAAGCCTTTAGAACGGGCCAAGAGGTACCGCTCTATGTCCTGCTCCAAAATCTCGGCTGTATCCGCACATGCAGGCTTAGACAATGAGTTCTCCAGGCCAGCAGCTATCGCAAAATAGAGCTCTTTGATCCTCAGGGGCCGCTTCGCAAAGGCGACCCATCGAATGCAGAGCCACAGTTCCTCAAGGTTTTCTTTGTCTCGAGTAAGAAGGTCTTTGAAAAGCCCACTGAGGCCGGTAGGGATCTCGTCTAAGCGTTCACGGAGTCTACGCACATTTCCTCTGTCATATTCCTTGTTCAGGATGTCGACAACAAGTTTAGCCCAGAGAAAAACGCTCGATGCCTTTTCTAGCACCTTCTGTTTTATTTCTCTGGCGGCCGAGGACTCGCCAATGAGGAGCTTAGCTGCTATATACTTCTTGATGTCTTTTTGTGGCTATGTTGACATTCCAACATAAAGGTGAGACCTCTGTCGATGGTGATATAGGGGTAATGTCGACTGGAAAGAAGCAGACGGACATGGACGCCAAATGGTGCAACTTCATCAAAAAGATCGGTGAAATGTGATATCATAGCACGAACTTCGTCCTCGTTGCATTCATCGAGGGCGTCGATGTAGCACACTAGCAAGCTGCCCTTGGGAAGCATTTTCACGGCGGACGTGAATAATGCTTCGAGCTGGTTCAGACTCCAGGCGTGATAATCCGCCTTCCCTTGAATTCCGGGTTCAGTATCAAACACAGAGCGGAGATCTGGGGCACTCTGGAGTAGCTGATATAGAAGAGAGCGGTAGAGCCCAAGGGTGGAGTTTTCTAGGACCTCCCTCGGGCATGGAAGAAGAAGTGAATCACAAGGGCATCCCGTATTTGCTCCTTTGCTTTAGCTTGAGAAAGAGCAAATTTCATGAGCGTCGACTTTCCTGTCCCGAGTTTCCCTTTGATCCAGAGGAAGTTTTTAGGACAGCCGATTGGGGCCGTAGCCCAGCTCATGTATTCTGGTAGACCAAGTAGCCAGCGGCATGTTGAAGAGTGGGCACGCTGGATTGCCGAGTGTCTAGCATGGATGTTTGCGAAACTCAGTGAGTCAAGTAACTCTCCATGTCGAGTGTCGACACGCTGTGCCTCGCTTGTCGTCGTCGTTGACTGGTACGGCTCCTCCACCGTTCGAATCCCTGGTTAGCCCGAGGTGAATGTGATGCGGCCGTGGAAGCCGCGCCAGAGATTCTCTCTAGAGCGGCAGCGACCTTGTGGAACTCTTTGCTTTCCGGCCCTGAGAAACGACACATATCTTTGTGTGTACTGCCGATATGCTGCACTGTCTCTGCAGAGCTATGCCTGATACATGAAGAGTCGTCTTCAACAACCTACGCGGGCTGGCTGGTGAGTAGGTACATGCAATGACGAGCTATTACAAGGGGTGCAAAGTAAGAGAATCCCTACCTTCTTTCCAAGTACCGCCAGAGGATATTGCTCCTGGAAGGAGTATATGAGCCAGTCTCGCTCGTTAACCATGGAGTTGAATTCATCTTTAAGGAAAATCTGTTGGTCCGTAGACGGGCTTAGGGCTTCTACGATTTTCTCATTGACTCTGAAGCCTATACCCTTAGCTAGAAGGGCTATGGTCTGGTGGAGAACGCCAAGCGGGCCGGCTCCTTCGTGTGGAGTGCCGAAGAAGATGACGCCAACCGTGGCCATGAACACACGGCGATGAGGATTGTGATTCATATGACCACGGGATTGGCGGAGCATGTCCTTCACGATGAGGCCACCCAGACTGTGAGCGATAAAGATCAGGGGCCGTGAAGGGTCCCTCGACGGTGGGTTTCGAGCTCGGTCAAGAAGTCACCCGCATGATTGTAGAGGGAGTTTTGACTGGTTGGTCCGACTGCTAGGTGGCGGATGTGGGTATCATACCCATATGTCAACACTCTCGCGTTCGGGAGGACTTGGGGAACTAGGTCTCGCGGCCAGTAGACGACGGACTTTTCCTCTTCTACAGCCCGCGATGAACTAAATCCCAACTTAAAGACTTTGCGAAGTTTCGGGGGCCGGCTGCCGAGATCGGATCGCGGTGCTGGGTTGGCTTTCGTAGTCATGGACCACGTTTTCTCGGGGTGGCCAGTGAATCCGTGAACGAAAACGATGCTACTCATTATCAGTGGTGCTGTTTCCGACGAAATCGGGTGGATAGGTAGGCATACTCGATTGTTGGGGCATCGGGCACAACGACCGGAGTCAGTCCGGTGTCGCTAACTCTAGAGGCCCGCCGGCTCTCCACCCAGGAAACTCGTTCTGCCATTTTCGATCGCTCATCCAGAGGGTTCGAGGATACGAAAAAGGGCCAAAGAGATCTAAAAACTAAAGACCGAGGTGACGAGTTCTCAATTGTGTCGGTGCAAGCTGCCCGAAGTCACTTTCCCTGCCCTGGGAGAGCAGGCTGCCTCAGCTGGCCGCTTGGGAGGAAGGGCGCACCCATGGCATTGCAAATGTGAGGCTGCTCAGGGGGCGGTTACCCCCTCTGATCGTGCCATAGGACAGGGATGTCAAATGCATGGCCAGGCCTGGCCAGTGATCTTTCCATAGCTCATCTTGAGGGGCGATAGAGCCTGGGAGAAGGTGTAGGTATATGTCTTCAATGCTTTCATGTTCTCACTTTTTTGTTCCATATTTTCCCCTTCAAGATGGGAGAGCAACTTCCACAAATTGCTTATCAATGCCACAGTGACAAATACGTGCCTTGCTACATACAAACTCGGATCAATGATGCATTGGAGAAAGAGCGAGCTTCCTCACAACTTAGGTGGCTTGGAAGAGCACAACGAGCCGACCGTTCGAATGGCACTGTGCATGCAATTTATCACCAGCACGGTGGCCTGGCACCCTTTGATCCCATTGCCAGCCCGGGGCCCGTGCTGGCAATGGCTAGTCACCAGTCAACCAGCCAGGCACCAGTTTTTCTGCATTTTGTATCTTTGCTTCCTCGTCAGCGCAATCCCTCTTTCGCGATCTCTGCCTGTCGTTCCTGACAAAGAAAGAAAAATAATTTGGGTGCTTCGCAGGGCGCTGTCTCCTCCCCTTCTCGTTGCTGAACGCCCAGGGAGTTGAGGACCCCTCTCGCCCCGTCTGGTGCTCCCTCAGTTATTGCATGCGCAATCCCCACGTTGCCAGCAGCCATGACGCAAATGCCCCTCTCGTAGCCCTTCCATCTTTCTTTTCTGCTCGCAAGCCTCGACCACAGACACACCCTCAACCTTCCATTCCTTGGGTCAAGGTCAGGCCTCATTAGGGATTTTACCATCTCCCTATTTTTCCTTCCTCATCTCCTGCTTCTTTTGCTTATCGCGAGCCTACCAGGGGCGGCTCTAGACAGCATGAGCTACCCCACCAGCCGCGGCGCTCAGGACGCGCCCAAAAGCATCAAGGAAATCACCGACCAGGCCGAGCAGTTCAACTTCAATACCAACATCCGCTTCAAATACTGGATACACTCATGCAAGACTCTACGCCAGGAGGTAAGCTCCCTCTCTTCTCTGTTTCTCTTCCCGCCCCTGTCTTTTGTTGCCCGCTGTCCCCACAGCCGCTCAGGCTCCTGCTTTTCTCGCCTCGCTAACTTGCTCGTCCCACAGGCCACGTTTGCGCTGCGCGAGGGTGATTATGCCCGGGCCTACCTCATGCTCTATCGCGAATCCTCCCTCATCATGAACCATCTCCCAACCCACCCGGATTTCAAGGATACCGAGAGTCTTCGACTGTACAAGCCTCTGCTCGACGACCTCAGCAACCTCATCCAGCAGCTTGAGCAAATCAAGCCTATAATCAAAGATGAATATGACGAGTTTCAGCGCATGACGGCCGCTATCTCCCGTGCGAGCCATTCTTCCTCGTCAGATCGACAGGTCTTGAGGCCGAGAGCCCCTCGCGATGGGCCCAGGATCGTCGATGTTACACCCGAGAATGTGGATTATGCCGTCGGAGAGCTCCATCGACGCCACGCCTCGCAGCGAGTTAGTCGACCTTCAGGGTATCAACCTCCCTCACAGTCCCGCAGCAGGGAATATTGGATAGATCCGGATTACTCCTACGACGACCCGTACCGACGAGACGACCTACCCCCGATATGATTCGCGCGATGAATCCGAAACTGACTATACGGATTCAAACGATGACTGGCGCGTTGAGTTGGAAGCTACTAGGAGGACACTGGACTCCATGAGCAGCCATCATCAACCCTACGACGACAGTTTCCCCGCGCACCCCATCGGAAAGGACCACCAGCCCTACTACCCTTCCACATCTCGGTCCAGGCCAGTCAACTATGTGCCTGAACAGTCCCCTAGCCACGAGACGTCCACCCTGAGACCGCAGCGCCCCCGAAGGAGGCTTTTCGCGACGACAATCCCTTTTTGCCAAGGCCCGCACCGAAGCCCGACTCGTATAGACCTTCCGGCGTGTCCGATTATCGTGATCGCCCGTCCTCTTCGTACCACGCTCCCCCAGCAGGTTGCCAGAGCACGAAGCGGAATATTCCCGACATGACCTTCCACCGCGGCCCAGAAAAGAGCGGTACGAGGATCCCTACGAGAGGACGGCCTACGACCGAAGTGAACGCCCACCCCCACCCCGAAGCATATCCCAGAAGATTTGACGACGCCCGAGGAGCCTACCTCGAAACGCGTCGCCTTCCGCGCTGCCGCCCGCTTGGAGAACGGTGAGCCCATTCGCTACGTATTCTTGCCGGACCAACTTCGCTCCGCATTTCTCAAGATTGCACATTCAAACACGTCTCAGGGTCTGGAGACGTGTGGAATTCTGTGTGGGACACCGGTGAATAACGCCCTTTTCGTCACCTGTCTCCTGATCCCCGAACAAAGTCGACGCCGGACACGTGCGAGACGGTGAACGAGTCAGCCATGCTCGACTACTGCATCGCCGAGGACCTTCTCATCATTGGTTGGATCCACACCCATCCCACGCAATCGTGCTTCATGAGTTCCCGCGACCTACACACCCAAGCAGGGTACCAGGTCATGATGCCTGAAAGCATTGCCATCGTGTGTGCCCCAAGGCACGAGCCATCGTAAGTTTTTCAACGCCGTCACGACCTGTTTCTTTTTCACAAGCTCGCTCTTCACGCATTAGACGCACATGCCTAACGAACTGTTGTTTCTTTGCTCTTTTTAGGTACGGCATCTTTAGGCTTACCAACCCCCGGGTCTTCCCTACATCTTGAACTGCAACCAGTCCGAGACATTCCATCAGCATCATATCGATAACATCTACACTGGTGCCTTGCGCCCCGCGGGTCACGTCTGCGAAGTGGCCAAGCTTTCTTTCAAAGTTCACGACTTGCGACCTTAGTAGGTTAGGGCGAAGTCGTGCCGGCGGCCAGTGTGTTTTTCTTTGGGTTGTTTTTAACGGGGACATGGGTGGCGCGGTCCCGGGTCATCGTTTATACACACGTTCTATCTTTTGAGTTTAGGAGTTTGCATAGCAATTGGCGTTTTTATCACGACGATGACATATATCCCGGCCCTGTATATGGCCTTGTGTTAAGGAGCGACGAACCATGGACGCATCCATTCCATCGATTGATGTACTTGAGTTCCAAGTTTAGATAGAAATTATACAGTCATTGCTCGAGTCCTGGGTCGTTGTATAGTGCGAATGAGAATGTTACCTCACGACTTTAACAGATGGATGTCAACTGCCTCACAGTAAGAAGAACGCACTGCTTTACGACAGTACTTCTCGTATATTCCTCTCTAGATATGGGGTGGTTTTCTTCAATCATGGCTATCTACTTGAATACAACCTCTCAAAAGAGGAAAGGCGCTGCAGCAAGTCGAGGGGAAAGGCGAGAGTAATCGGCTTGTTTATCCTAAGACCAAAAGGGACTTGAGAGGGAAGGACTGAGGAAAGGACTGAAATATATTGATATGATACATTGTGGAGGGAAACATGGTACATACGTGGAGTGGGAAATAAAAATAAGAAAAAGGAAGAAAATGAGAGCGGCCAACTGGGATACATAGATTGCTTGGTTTCCTGCTTTTTGTCGTGTCGAATGAGCATGAAAGAATTTTGGCTAGAATTTCGGAACTAGATGTAACATATGGATAATAGAAAGCAAGATAGGAAACGAGAATGAGAGACAGCAGGGCCCATGGTGGATAAGAGAAAGAGATAATGAGAGAATGAGTGAATAATAGCAGAAAAGCCAGAGAAGCAAACCGAACCAGACCTTCTATCGTACGCCTGCCTACCATGTTTCCCGTCGTGGACCAACTACACCGCGTGAAACCATATTCCTACCTTCTCCTCCACGGGCGCCGGAATTCAAAAAAGGATGGAAGGGAAAAAGATACAAGAATACAAAAAGGGACGAACCTCCCCAAAAGCTCGAGGGCAACCCCTGATCCGCAAAGCCAAGAGATCAAGAAGCTCTCACCTCGCGGAAAGCCAAGGTCCGCTCGTGCGCCCTCTTCCCTTCCTGGGGATCCCACGGAGCGCCAAGGTTCATTAAGTCGCCGCCGGGGCTCAAGGGCGTGAGGGGTGTGCGTAGACTGGTGAAGCCGGCGGAACTGCTAGTGCCCGTACCACCCCGGTAGGCTGCGGACCACATGGCCGTGGCCTCGCTGGCGGAGCGCGGGGTGAGGGGTGAGAGCGGAGACCGAGGGGAAGAGACGGTGCCGCCTCGCGCGCTGGGAGACGCGAGCGGGGGCGGCGGGGAAAAGGGGAGTTGGGGCCGGCGTGGGGTAAACCGGGAGTCGGGGCGGGCGGGGCGTCAAGGGCGGCCATATTGGCGAGGGTGCGGAGGACGCGCTCGAGGCCGAAGCGGGCGCCGTAGAGAGGGTGAGGAGGTCCTCGGCGGAGCGGGAAGCGGCGAGGATGTCAGAGGGGCAAGTAGCGCCGAGGAGGGAGGTCCAGCGGCGCCAGAGACGGCACTTGTTGGCGGAGAGGACGCGGAGGAGGGCCATTTGCGGGAAGAAGTAGCGAAAGGGAACGGGGAGAGGAGGTGATAGACGAGGTTGTCGACGGCGTACTGCAGGAAAGGGTAGGAGGACATGACGAGGTTGCGCTGGTCGTTGACGTTGCGGCGCCAAAACTTGCTCTCGGACTCGAGGGGCAGCGGGGTCGGGGTAGCGGAGGCGGAGGGGGAGAGGGGCCCCGCGTTGCCGAGGGACTCGAAGTCGGACATGTTGAGGTAGTCGAGGCAGGTACGGAGGAGGACGTAGTGGGCGGCGTCGGCGAACGTGGCGGAGGCGGCGGCGCGTTCGCCGGCGAGGCTGGCGTAGCCGCGGCCAGAGAGGAAAAACGTGCGGACGGAGTCGTGGATGACTTGGACGCGCTGGAGGCCGAGGGGTTCGTGGGTGACGCCGTCGCGGGTCTCGGGCTTGAGCTCGAGGAGGCCAACGGAGCGGGAGCGCATGAAGCGGTGGAACTGGTAGGGGACTCGAAGGTAGCGCTGCCCGAGGCGCGGACGTTGCGGATGGAGGTCGGGGGCTGGCGGACCTGGAGGGCGGCGAGGGGGACGCCTTGGCGCGGTGGGGGTGCCAGGGGCGGGTGAGGCGGACGGCGAGGCGGAGGTCGTTGAGGCGGAGGGGCTCGGAGGCGAGGATGACCCACTGCATGAGGGCGAGGGCGTCCTCTTTTTCCTCGGGGAAAGAGTGCCGAGGATCCACTCGTAGAGGCCGTCGATGTCGTCGGGCAGCTCGGCGATGGTGTCGTCGATGAGCTCCTGCATAGCGCCCTCTTCGATGGCGGCGTTGAGGATGTTGACGACGATCTCGGCCCAGAGAAAGACGCCGTTGGCTTTATCGGCGATGCGGTGGACGGTGATGTTGCGGTCCTCCCACTCGGCGATGAGGTGCAGGCTGATGTAGCGGAGGATGTCGTCGGTGTTGTGCTCGCGCATGACGACCTCGATGGCTTCGTGGTGGCGTACGCTGCTGGCGTGGTTGTTGGAGGCGACGCAGATGCTGAAGTCGGAGTGGCGCGCCATTTGGGCGAGGTGGCAGAGGAGGTCTTGGAGGTAGGCGGGCCCGCAGTCGTCGGCGACGTCGACGAAGATGAAGGTGCGTTTGGTGGGGGTTTCGATGGTTTGGTCGATGTAGTCGTCGAGGAAGAAGGAGACGACGTGCGCGTCGGAGATGGGGGTTTCGGTCTTGTCGTTGTTGGTGCTGTTGTTGCTGTTGGCTTTGTCGTGGCGGTCGTATAGGGCGACGATGGCTCGGCGGAGTTTGGGATCTTGTGGGAATAGTTGGCCTAGCAAGCTGCGGTACACGGCGGCCGGGTTAGGTCCGTACCGCCGGTTTTGGCTGGGCAGGTAGTACACGGTGTCGAGGTTGCGGCCCTCGGCCGCGCTCCAGATGACGCTGCTTCCGGCCGAGGTCCACTGCTTCTCGACGCGGTTGCGCAGTGACTTGAGCAGGATGGTTTTGCCCGACCCGGGCTTGCCCTTGATCCACAGCACTTTGTTCTTGTACCCGCTTTGGCGGTGGTGCCACGCCTGGAACTCGGGGATATCGTATAGCCAGAGGCATGTGCCTGGGTACGAGACCGTGGGCTGGGTTTCGCGGGCGGTGCCGGGAGGGAGGAGAGCTCGTAGGCATTCTGTTTTGTTTTCTAAGTTAGCACACGGACATGGTAATTTTTTGCCTTTCCGCGCTGGCGGAGATTGATGTCGAGGCGGGACAGGAGACTTTTACGTACCTTTTTCTTTGGAGTTGAGTTCCCGGTGCTTGTGAGTCTCGTTTAGTATAAAGGAGGATAGTGATGAGAGTAGTATTTTGTAATTTGGGTCTTGCGAAGACCGGAACTTGCAAATGTCGAGGTGGCTCGCGTTGAACGTTTCCGCCTTTTCTCTCGGATCGCCAATTGCACTTGACGCTTTGCGCACGCCCTGCGAAATTTCGTCGTATTAGCATTGATAACTCACCTTCCATGCATCCTGGGCAGCACGCTCTCATGAAAAAAAAAAAAAAGAAAATCACTTACAAAATCAGCCGCAGACTGCCTCCTCTCCACCACAGGCAAATCCTCCTGAAACGTCTTGACGCGAAAATTATAATCGTTCCACATGCGCGTAAAGGCCTCGCGGCCGAGGTCGAGCTCGAAACCGCTCGTGCCGGTCAGGTACTGCAGGGCGTGGTCGGCGGCGGGGATGTCGAGGCACACGCTGGCCATGGAGCGCACGGCGTCGGTGAGCTTGGCGTGTTCGGACGCGCGGTGGGGGCAGGCGAGGAAGATGACGGCCGAGGTGGAGGAGGAGGTCGCGCATGTGTGTTTCGAAGTCGGCTTCCGAGCGGCGGAGGACCTGTGCGGTATAAGTCAGCGGGGCCTTCTATCGTCTCTCTTTTTAAAGATCACAACTTACCTCTTTGATGATGACGCCGCCGAGGGAATGCGTGACGAAAATAACCGGCCTCATCACCGTATTCGTCTCGTTCCTCAGCAGCGTCAGTTCCTGCAGCAGATCCTCCGCGTGGGCAAAAATGTCATTTTGGTTCGTGGGTAAGCGCCCGTTGGACGCGACGGTGCTGCATCCCCAGGTAAGGATACGCGTTGACGGGCACGAGTGGGGGAGCAGGTCGAGAGGCCAGTAGATCTCGGGCGCGGGTTCCGCCGCAGCAGAGGCCGAGGCCAGGAGGAGGGCGGGCGCGCTCTTCTCGGCGGCGGCGCGCACGCTGTCCTGGGAGAGGAGGCGGAGGTTGGTGGAGGACTTGGAGAGGGACGGGTGGAGCTTGGTGAGCACGCGCTGGTCGCGGTTGCGGAAGGAGCGGGCTCGTCGGGGAGCTTGGAGGTCGGGGGTGTTTTGGGGCGCTCGAGGGGCGGGGGTCCAGAGCCAGGTTTTGACGGGGTGGCCGCCTATGCCGGCGACGAAGACGACGCTGTGGCCGTTCTCGGTGGTTAGTTTTGTGGCTTCTCTAGATCTGGAGACTCTCCCGAAGGAAGAGACTTAAGGTGCTGGTCCTGTGGCCAACAAGTACGCATCAAGACAATGAAGACAAGGAAAGTATCCTAGCCAACAGATTTAAGGGAGGGGACAAAGCAAGAGGACTTACTCGGCGACGGCGGCACTAGGGTCCTCGGGCTCATACAGGACCGTCAGCCCCACGGCGGTGATGATATCTCGACTGACTTTCATGTTGACGCTAATGGCATGTTATCGAGAGACGAGCCACGCGTGTTGTATCCTCGTCATGGCTCAACGGAAAGAGCTCTCTCTCTACCCTAGACCCAAGGTGCAATGCAATGGACGCGTTGAGGAATGCTCGCGGTGTAAGAGAGGTACTGTTTAGTTTGATATTGAGGCTTCAAATGTTGATGTGGTTCCTGTTCCGTTATGGTTATGAAGAGTGGAGTGACTGATGCATGCGCGGCGGATGCGTAGCGGGCCTTCTTCCTTCTGTATATATATATATAAGTGTATGTATACTTATTTATATATATGTATTCAGGAATAAAAAAGGTGGACCGTGGCAAAGATGAACAACAAAGGGGAGAAAGGCGGCGAGAATGAGTCTTGGGAAGAGCCGTCCGTTTATTGTCGGCGGGTGGAGCGCATGCAGCAGCCTGCAGGACAGGACCCTTTTCCCACTTCCTCGTGCGCACTTTGTATCTCTGGATTCCCCGTTGCCCTTCTTTTTCTACCTCTGTCCAACTTCTCGGACGTGGAGGCGGGCGAAGCCGAGAGAGGGGTCGAGAAGCAAGGTACCCTGCGTGTCTTGCGTGTCGGTCGATGCAAGGTTGATGCCGGTCGGAGAGGGGCCGGGTCTTTTTTCCTTCTGCTTCCTTTTTTTCTTGTGGGTGGCGTGGGGGAAAGGAGGAAAGAGGCGAGAAAGAAAGAGTATGACGGAGGGTAGTGGGGAGAAGGAAAGAGAAGAACAAGCCACGAGAGGAGGATCTTAGGCCAAGGGAGAAAAGAGAGGGAGATCAGGTCAGATCGGGGAAGAATGGGCGAGGTTGTCGATGATCTTCGCCGGGATTCAAGCTTTCAATGCGCGCGTGTGTGCGCCGCTCTATCGGGGTCTTGTGAGGTAGAGAGGCTTGGCCAAGCAAGTAGCTAGCTAGCTTGGACAACGTCCTGTCGTGTCTTTTTTTTTTTTGTTCCCTTGTTCACTTTTTCCTTTTCTTAACGGGCCCTTCACTGCCTTCCTTTACCCTTGACTTCTTCCACTTGGACCAGTTGAATCGATCGAATTGGCCCTCTTTCCGGTTTGGGAGAATAGCATGTGGGTTGGCCTGCCGTACCAAGGGCGGTGACCTCGAAGCTCGGTGTTAATGGGGCGAGAAGAGTTGAGAGATCTGGTCTCCTCTAGTCTGATCTGGCGTTGGTCTGAATTGGGTCTATGGGCGGTTTGTTCTCCCGGGTGGTCCCCCAAGGTCCTATAATATAATTAGGCTGTTTATTACAAGTACGTGGAGTTATTGAGGCGGAACGATAAAAAGGCGGGAAGACGTCTGAAACCAAGCACGACGACGGATTGGTGCTCCCCTCGCTATCAATGTCACGCAGATGCAGTGCGGTGTAGACGAATGAAAAAAGGGCAGGAGAGCAATCAAGCAAGCACAGGAAAGGACGGGCGGGAGCGGGGAGCAGAGACGAGTTGATCGGAGATGCAGACGGGGCTCGCGTATATATTTTGCGAGCATGGAGGGAGGGTTATTGGGTGTTGGCAAGGTAGAAAAGAGCGAGAACGAACAAAGAGAGTATAAATGTCTATTCTATATTTCCTTCCGCTCGCTAAAGGAAACCCCATCGAGAAAAGGAACGAGAGAGGACCGTAATGCCGACTGACTGGCCGACCGAGCAGCCTTTTCGTTTCCTCTCGTTCACTCACACACTCTCTCTCTTTCTCTCTTTCTCTTCCTCACGCCCTCCACCAAGAAGAAACCCGACGGAAAGGGGAAGGGCCCCCAAAAGGCGCAAGCGACCGGAATCCTTGGTTCGCCCGCCCCGTTCCTCATCCTGGCGGGTGGTGACTTGTGTACATTGAGAAAAACCTTTCGACCGACGATTTACACGCGAGAAGAGGGAAAGCAAGGGCCGCGGGCCCAAAAGAAAGATACCGCAGCATAAGCACGAGGGAAGGGAAAGAAACAGAAAAAAAAAAGCTGGGGATCCACGCATGGAGGGTGTAGGTGCGGAGAAGGGGCGTGCGGAGAAGACGAACCGGCATCCACCACACGGAGCCACGGGAATGAGGGCGCGCGCCCCGGGGCGTGGGGAAAGCGGACAAGACTCCGAAGGTTAGGCCAAGCAAGCAGGTACAGAGACACACACGTCTAGGCGAGTTTGCCACATTGCTCGATTTCGAGCAGTTGGGTGGGAATGCATTACCTACATGTACCTTTATTAAAAAGGTCAGAAAAGAAAAACAACAAATACCGAAATATCAAGGGTAGGAACTGGAGAAAAGCCATCAATGTACAGCCTATGCAGGTATGGGACCTGGGGTGGAACATAAGAGAAAAAAAGGGAAAAGAGGACAGGAGGAATACAGCGAAGCAAGAAATCCGCAAAGGGACAAATCGATTGGACATTGGTACGGGTTGGCAGCTTTGTGTAAGTGGGTATTGGAGGTGAGCGCGGCTGGTGTTGGAGGAGCGTAAATTGAAATACCCGAATCGGCTGTTTCGGGGTTGTGTACTTGACGGGACAGCACACCAGGCGGCACAGACAGGCAGATATACATTGATGTATTACTTGTTGGGCAACGTCTGTGTCTGCCGGAGAGGGAGAGTAACAGGGAGAAGGAAAGGAAAAAGGGTCGAAATTGTCTCCATCTTTCCAATTTCTTTGCCTGCATGATGCCGACGAGGGGAGAAACTGGAGACTGCCTGTGCCAGTCGGAGGAAGAGCAAGGCAAGAGAGAGAGATGCATAATCAATCACATGAATAGAGATCAAACTCTGGGATCAGGGAAAAATAACACGGAATGGGGAAGTAGAAAGGAATTCGAGAGAGAAAAAAAATTACAACGTCAAGCCAAAACGTACAACGTCAAGCAAAAACGAGGGTGTCCATCATCACCCCAACATGATGTCATGAAGAGATGCTGTGGCAGACGACCTATTGGTGTCTGGATTGCCGCACTGAAGGCGCATCATGGACATGGAGGGGTGTGCCTCGAGCAGATGATGACAGCTTGAGCAAAACGCATGAAAAAGGAAGAGTCAGGGTGGCGCCGCCCCAAAGGGCAGGCAAGAGTCAGAGCGGAAGAAGTGGAGGGGAGGGGGCGCCGATTTGCACAGGCGAGGATCACATCGGAGCGAGTGAGGAATTGAGCGAGCGCCCTCCCAAAGCTGACAAAAAGTCGTGCGTGTCGCGAAAAATGAATAAGGGAGGGGAGCAAGGGGAGCTGTGACCGCGGACTTGGTCACGGGAGCCCGTGTTTTCCCCAGATTTCCCAAGAGAAGGATCGCGGCACGCCGGGCCCTTGATCCAATCCCACGATCTCGTTCAAGACAATACGGGAGATGGCATTATGGAGGCAGAGGGGACGGGCGGCCATGACCAAAAGGACTAAGAGGCCAGAATATCCACCGGCCCCCAAAAGCGGTCACATTTCGCAAATCTTGTTCGGACCCCTCTCTGGTCAGCCGCATACTCTCTCTCCCTTCGTCTGTTTCTCTGATTCTCTCACTCCATTTCAACGTGGCGTGCGTAGACTCCATGCTCGCAACACCGCGTTGTTCTGTTTTGCTCGATTTTGGGGATTTTCGGCCCACCCTCCCCTTCCACCTCCCAGCCTCTAGGTGGCCGGTTCCGAATGGGCTAATGCCGGCGTTTGCACGAGCGTCTCCGAGCAGGGCATGGTGAGCCATCTAAGCTCGGCGCAAGCGAGGTTCTGCATGAATGTTTGGGAGATCTGTGGGCCGTTCTGTCGAACATTGACAGCATTGACAAATCATCGGATAACCCCGAATCAAGATACGACAACTTGAGGGCGAACGGTGAAATATGGCTAAATCTAGGACAGGTATCTAGGGGCGAAAAAGAAGAAGAAGAAAAAGAAACGAGAAAGAGAACGTCGGGCGAAACGAGCCAAAGGCCAAGGCGCGGCGAGATGGCTATGCGAAGATCTAACAAGACCAAGGCGGCGTCTAGTGAGGCTCTCACGAACAAAAATTTGTTGCCATCTTTAGCAACTCTTTTTTGATTGATCGCACTGCCGAAGCCAAGCGTGAGCAAGGATTCGACTCAATCATGGCAACCTCTTGTACGCACCCAATCGAAGGCCTCCTGGCTATTTGTGACGAGGGTGGCCTCATCGCTGGCATGGGCAAAGGGAGGTGTACGAGAGGAGGACGGCGATGGATGAAACGCCCAAACGCCGAGGCGCCACCCGGGGCGGGAGCTAGCCGGGGAGTGTGTGTGTGTGTGGGTGGGTGGTTTTCTCAAGCAAGGCAGCCTTGACGACGAACTGCCCGTCAAGCATGGTAATAGCATAGAATACGATAACGTGCCCGTCGTATATCTGAATCCGCCTGGCTTCGTCTTTGGTGAGGTGGCATTATGCCTCGGAATCGCAAAGGGAGCCAAGATTCGTTGGTTCGTTTCCTGCGACGTCGTGTTTGTCGGGGGCGATGACGGGCGTGGTGCATACCACTACCGGGTGCCTTGCATAAGGGTGCCTTTTTTTTTTTTGCTATCTATTCTTGCCTTTATTTTCCTTGCTTGTATTATCCCACTTGAGGGGCGAAAATGGGAATGGGAAAGTGACTTGGGGTGGTCCAGGCTCGGTGGGGTTTTGTTCTTGAGCTGGAACGTTGAAGCGTGTCGCAATCAAGGTCGCGTGGGTGGCAAATTCAGGGCATCTTCGGTAGTGCAAGGGGCAGAGGAGCCAGCGTTGAGTTGCCGCTCCCATTCTCACGCAGATCAAATTACGATTGATATTGCCAACTTGATGAATGGGACAAGAAAGGCTGAGGCCGACAGAGAGACAGTGTAACCATACAGTTCATGCATCGAGTACGCACTATTCCGCATCCATTGATGTCAACGTGTGGGGAAAAAAAGGAAGGTGCAACGATGACTTGGCTTGGAAGCATTGGTTTTGTCAGCCAGCAACTTTGAGGCGACTTTTGCTTGGCACGGTACGTCTCGCCGCGCTTTCGCACCTTTTCTCACCCACGACTCCGAGCCGGTTTTTGGTGATGCTTCGAACATTCAGCCCTCAGACCGTATTCCCCATCGCTCCTCGATGTAGAGCCCACGACAAGCGTATCTACCCCTTGCGCGCCAAGTTTCTACGCCCTTCTTCTGCCCCCTCCGAACGACCCGAAGCCAGAAGCCAGGCCCTTGCATCGCCCCACGAGCCTCTCAGCTTATCGCGAAATCGACCCCTCCTATCCCTCCCCCTTGCCGGCGATCGAGAGATCTGATACACGAAACGACGCCCTCTTCGCTGCCCACCCCACCTCCTTCCACTCCGCTCCCTCTCCCTTTCCTCGTTCCACGGCCACATAGATCGCTCGAGTTTCTATTGTTAGACGCCTAAAAAGCCTGATCACGTCGCCACAATGATGCGGCCGTTGCTTGCGCTCATCATCCAATTCGAGGTACTGTCGCTCCGCTGAACAGCTGTTTGGCTCCCACTTTTCCCACTTGCCTCCCCCTACGTTCCTCCCCTCGGCCTCCGCCGCGATGCGCAAAAGCTTTGCCGCGCCCCCGCCTGTCACTTCTCCTTCGGCTCTAGTCGTCGATCTGTCGTCATCTCGTGGCTAACTCTCGAGTCATAGGATCGTATCATCGAAACTGTGAGTTGAGCCGTTTTCTTCCTCCCCCTCCTCCTCCTCCTCCTCGCCATGACCCCGACCTATACCGCCCGAACGACGATTTCCCGCCCGCCCCTAGCCTTGGCCGTCGTTTCTTCTTTACCCGTTCTACCTCGGTGGAGGGAAGCGCACTGGGTGTCGTCACATGATGGACCGCACGAGATTTGGCAGGAGGCAACTTTTTCTCGTCTGTTCGCATATTGCTGCGCCGTCGATCGCTAGGCTGACCATCTCGTGTGACTTGTTTTCTTGTCTTTTGTTCGTGAACGATAGATTCTCAGACGACCAGGCTTCCACCGGTTCGTCGGCAAGATTCAGCGATATGTGGACGAGAAGCAAAACGGGAAGCACCCGAACCAGCCGTTACATCCAGGAGAAGCCACAGGTGGGTTGCCCTGTCCTGACATGTTCTTTTTTCTTTTTCTTTCTTTTTCCTTTTCACTCTGATGTGACGACTGGTGCCTACGTCCGCTAGGCTCCACCCTCAATCCCGCGGGGAGGAAGAGGAAGAAAGGCCCCATTGCAATCGGCGAGGATTCACACGGGCGTTCTGGTCGGCTGACGTGGCATTGTACAGAACTTCCTTCCAGTGGCGAAGGCTTCCTTTCGCATTTTGTCGGCGAGCTGAAGCGGCAGGCCAAGGGCAACCCGTCCAAGCATGATAAGTGAGGGAGCTTCATTATGCTAATCCACTCTACCGTGACTACTCATGTTCGCGGCCAAGGCGAGCGCAGTTGAAAGACGTGCCGTCCAGGCATGATGGATAGAGCGAGCTACGAAAAGCTCACGAATACGAAGGACACTGCGAGGGACTAGGCGCGTGTCTAGGAAGAACTCGGCGAGGTTGATGGTGGCTCCCACGGTCTCACTCAGGCAAACTTGAGTTTTGAGTGGGCCTGGAACTACTCCCGTGTACGAGACGACTACGCGTGCACCCTCGTTATGAATCTCGAGGTCCTTCGCGATAGGGGCTCCTTTGGAAACTGGCAAGAAGCCAGTAGCTTCTTCATCAGCTGCGTATGCGCAAAAGGCAACGCAGGCACTCATCTACAAATCTTTTTGGCAAAAGCATACGAGGGCTCCGGCCCGATTAATGATACCCCCACTCACAGAGGTAATTTGATGGAAAATATTTTTTGTATTATTAACGGATTAAGAAGGGAACAAAAATAGAGCAGAGTATAGGAGACTATACTGAGTCTTGTGACCTATAGCTCTGGCTGTCAAGCGAGACGAGCCATTGCCAAGATTGAGAAGAGAAGAAATAAATACTGAGCAGTGTGCTTCGATGCAAACAGCAAAAACAAAAAGTCTATCGTGCGCGCTTCCATCGTCACCCGTTCCCTCAGGATGTGATGAGAAGCCTCCGTTCCACCATGCAATCAAGTCGTCTCAGCCATGTCGTGAGGATGTGTGTGCGTGCGTGTATATATATATGTGTGCCGTGAGGCTACCCGTCGCTCGACCTACTCGACGGGGAGAAGCGATGCTTGTCGTGTCTTTGTTCGCTCGTCTCGTGGAGAAAGAGCGGGGGATGGCAAGATTCGCTCGGCTTAAGGAGCAGTGCAGTAAGGGTATCCGCGGACGGCACCGTACCGGCAGACCTGGCCCGAGGGGCAGCGGACCCTCTCGGCCCAGCGACCGGCCTCGTTGCAGACGTCGATGGACCAGCCGGGGCGCCGTTGTTCTCGATGCAGCGGAAGAGCTCGGGGGCACTCGCCCTCGGGGACGGGCAGGCAGTACGGGCTGGCGTTGAGGGGGTTCATGCTGCAGAACTCGCCCCGCTTGCAGTCGCCGCCGCGGACCCAGTCGCCCTGGGCGTTGCAGACGGCCCAGCCCCAGCCGGCGGCGGGGAGTTGTCGCACTGGTAGGTGCCGGGGCGCAGACGCCGCGCTTGGCGGGGCGACGCCGGCCGGGGTGGCGGCCGCGAGGGCGGCGATGGGGAGGAAGACGGCGGTGAAGAAGGCCTTCATTTTTGTGGTGGTGGTGGTGGGTTGTGAGGGGAGGGTTGGTTTTGGGAAGAGTCGAGGTGTGGTGAGGTGGATTGGCTGTGAGAGATGGTTGGAATGAAGATGTGAATGTTGATACTGGTTCTATTCCTTTTCTTCTTCAGATGGGAGGATGGGCAACCTCTTTATATACTGGGGTTGTTTAACACCATCATGGGGGCCTTCTCGTACTTCGCGACAGTCTTCGGAACTAGCCCACCGTTGTCGAGGGATACCAAAGCATGCAGGCCGTCATCATTCCGAAAATAAGCAATATCGACAAGAGCCAAGCCCTCTCGACCTATGACGATCGCGAGCCAGCCGACCACCCCCGGCGTCACCTCCACCTCGTGTTTGGGCTTCAACCTTTTTGTTTATGTTCATCGCTTCTGCCTTTCCCAGTCTCCCCTGCTGCGCCTACCTTTTTCTTAGAGAATTGACATGGGGGCGTGGTGGTGGTGGGGGAAGCCAAGTGCCACTCCCGATCCATGGGTGGGCATGCTTCCCTGCGCCTCGTATCTGCCCAAAAGGAGACAATGAAGAACACGGCTTGGGGTCACATCCCGTCCTCTTGGGACCCCTCTTCGGCCTCTCCTCTCCTCCCCTTCTCCATGATTGAGCAGGGGGCCACCACTCAACTTCGGAAGCACCTGACCTCGATGGGGAAGAACAGTCGAGTCGGAAGTAAGCCACCGCCATCTTTCTCTTCTCCCTTGGAATCACTAAACGCTCTTTCCCCGAATGCGCCTCTTTCCTCATTGGCGCCTGCTCAGCCAGGGAGCTAATAGCGGGGAGCTTATGCCTAAAGCCAAACGGAAATGTCAACCAAGCACATCGGGATTGGTGCCTGCCAAATCTCTTGGGAAGCTTCGATTTAAACTTTCAGTTGGGAGAAGGAAAGTGCAAGACAAGCCTCCACGATAGCCTAACGGCTGCTACTAATTTTATTTTCATCTTTTCTTTCATGTTTCCTTCCCGCTTTCCCACTTGCTTTCTCTGGATAACGACCCTCTTGTTGGAAGTTAAGCTTGTCCTGAAGAGCCATAGAGCTTACCCCAAAACGGGAATCGCCTGATGACATTAGACAAGGTGAGCGAATGGGTTTCCCCGGCGGCGGCGCCCCATCCGGCACTTTTTCACCACTGGTGGGGTTCAGCTTGGGCTGAGCGGAGGCGGCGTTTACGTGATCACTATTGTTGCTGGGCTGAACATGTAAGCCCGCTAATACTTTAGGCAAAGGCGGGCTTGCCTAGGAGGGCTGAGTCCAGAGAGTTAGTTGACTGGCAGGTTTTATGGGCTCGGCTACAGCCCAATCGGTGCAAGTCGTTTATCGTCGAATGCGGTTCGAGAGTGCACTGATCTCCCGGTCTTGATGGTTATGGGCCGGCCAACACATCAATGATCTATGGATATGTACGTTTTGGGACTCGAGAGAAGGAACTTGGAACAGCTCGACTTCCAACATTGACAGTAGAAACGAGCGGGACATGTCTTTCCGCCAGAGGGAGTTAGCTCTGCGATGTCTCATTCCGGGCAAGTCGTCGTCGACGTTGAACATTTCGTCCATTTGAAGCCCATGACTCTCCCCAGCCACCCTTCAATCAGAGCTCTTCTTCTAGAATCGGCAAACGCCGCATCCTATTCGCTCATCACCCCAGACAGCGTTATGTTCCAAGAATAGAACAGCCCGGATCAACTACCACCCCAAGTCCCTTGCCCCTGCACCCAACCCTCTTTCCATCGCCAAAAAGTGAGATCGACCCAAAAACTGCCTATTGCTCCTTCGCTCATTCGCAGAACTCGGTGTCTTTGGGGAGGGGCGAATAGCATGCGGAATACGAAGCATAGTTGTTGTTCTTCCATTTCCTTGTTTGAAGCCCAAGCTTGGGCTTAGGCCTGGCATCTGACCGAGCTCAGAGGGCTTGAGAAAAGTAAGAGGGAGGGCCGCAACGGAGCGTCTTTCCGCCGCATGGGCATCACGCAGCACCCTTGGCACCCCTTTCAACCAGCATTGGGTTTTACTTGGAGAACTCCTCCTTTGAACACGAGCAAGTGGATGCCTCCGTTTCCGACAAAGAGACATCCTTGGCTCCCCGCCGAGAGGTGACACTACTTTTTCCATGCACTGCACTCTCCTCGGGTCCTGCGAAGAAAAAGAAGAGTCCAAAGTCAGCAGACGATTAGTATTCACCGTCTCTCCCTGCATCTCGTATCACGGCATCTCATACATTACCCCCTGCCTGCATCCGCGATTGAGACCCACGTCATGCGCGGTCTCTCCCACCCGACCGCTCGTCACCCACCCCTCTTCCAAGCTTGTAGTGTAGACACACGCAAGACTATCAGTCGAAAAGGCGAGCGAGTGATAAAAAGAATCGCCTGAAATCAATATTTTCAAAAGCTTGCCATGAGGCGGTATACTCCGTGCGCCTAAAGGGCACATCTAGCTAACCGTGAACGTGAATGGTCTTTCCTCTTGCCCTTTTTCGACCCTACTCTGTCCAAGTCGTTGGGCTTCCTCGGATACAAGTAATCAAGTAAACCAAAAACTTGAAGATCAAGTACCGCGCGCTCGCGCGTCAATCCATCTCGCGGCAACCAGCGGTCCAACCTCCTCCTTCCTCGAGCGACTCCTCGTGCCCGAAGCGAGATCGTCTTGGCAACAACGTCCCCCATTCCCCACCAATGCCCATCAAACATTGGTATCCTCTCCTCCAAGTAAACACATTCCCATTCACAATACGAGGTCGTTATTTGCCAAGCCGTGGCGTGGCGGCATCTTTCCCCAGCTTGCCCAGCGAATCGCGGAAACTTATTCCGTGCTTTCTTCTGCTCCCCCTTTGCCTGCTCAACTTTGACCATTCCCAGCCCAACCTACCTCCCTATTCATATGTACGTTTTCAGACATGACCATGGGTTCGTGACACGACGCAGTGTACATCTTTTCACGGGAATGGACAATATTGCTCTTGTTCGCCAGGTGGAATATTTCATGTTTCCTAACATAGTAATGACTGACTGCCTGCCGGATTTTCTCGCCATGCACCTTTCTGCCGCCTTTGCCTCTAGCTGTGCAGCCAAAGTTCGTGGTGGCCCAAAAGATGCTCCCTTTTCTCCTCGCCCAGCCAAGTAAACCTATCCCCAAAAAGTTGTAATAGCATGAAGAATCGAATCCTTGTCCCCAGCTCCTTGCCCCAAGCCCGAGCTCTCCTCCCACCGCCATATCCATTCTCATCACGCACCACCGCTGGCCATGGCCATCGGCATCTCGCCCACTCCCATTTCTACCCTCCATAGTCTTGACACCGGCGTTCTCCACCATGCTTTCCTCTTTCTCCTCACCCGAACCTCTCCTGCCCCCAGAAAGAGCCAGCTGCTCACCCGTCCCCTTTGTCACCATCCCTCCCCAAGCCATCATGTCAACCGAGACGCGAGCATCACCCTCATCCTCGATCGAGACAGCGTAACACAACTGCCGGGGCTTCCAGCCCCTTCGTAGTCATTCCACTGGCTTCTTGGAGCCCGCGGCAGTCGCCTTGTCCTTTTGCTCCTTCATCCCAGCCTTCTTCTCGACCTGTGCAAGTCCAGTTTCGTTGCTCGTCCCTCCCCTCCTCCGCCGTCGCCGTCCAGTTCCATAGTCAAGGGGATCTCGCGTTCCCGATCGTGCTCCTGGTCCTGGTCCCGAGCCGCGCCGCTAAAGAAGTCTCCAAACACTCTCTGCTCCGTGTCCAAGTCCTTCCAGTCCGTGCCGCGCCGCTTGGCCGCCTGCCGGCGAAAGTAGACGCGCTTGGCATACTTCCAGGCCTCGACGCCGCCAAAGAAGAGGGCGGCGCTGACAAAAACAATACTCCACTCCCACGAGATGCCCTTGTGCTTGAACACGACGGTGTTGATGACGGGGATGTAGAGCAAGGGGAAGAGGGTGACGAAGCCGACAATAATGGCCCAAAAGAGGAATTGGTTGCGCCAAACGTCGTGCATCCACTGAGTCAGGTAGCGCTTCGAACCGGGCTGCATGCGGAAGAAGGACCGGCGCATGTCCACCATTTCCCACGCGAGGAAGAGCGCAAACCAGGTGAGGCAGGCAAACGTGGTGGCGCGTGCTCGGAACACCACATCGCACGTTTCGTTGTAGGATTCGTTGCAGTTGTGGCCGAGGTTGCCGCCGCCCCAGCGGTACACGACTAGCACGAAACTCGCGAGACAGAGGACTGTGATCCAGAGGCCGTACACTACCATGTCGATAAGGAACTCGGTCGTGAAGATGCCCGTCTTGAGGGACTGCGGGGGACGGCGGAGGATGTCGGGGACGGCGCGCTCGAAGCCGAGGCCCATGTCAGGCATGCCAGAGGTAGCCATGATCTATGAATAAAAGTGTAAGCGATCAGTGTCGCAGAAGCAGCCCCGGGCGACAGGAGAAAGAAAGCAAAGATAAGGTAAGAAAGGGGAAGTTACATACAATCCAGACAATCTGAACAGGCGCAAGAGGAAACACGGAAAGTCCGCTCTGATCCTTGAACGCCAATCCCACAAGCAAAGTGCCGGCCTGCGCAATGTTCTCCGCGAGGACGTGCAGGACGAATTTCTGAATGTTGTCAAATATTCGACGGCCCTCCTCAATGGCGGCCACGATGGAGGCAAAGTTGTCGTCCGCAAGCACAATATCCGAGGCGTCCTTGGCCACGTCCGAGCCCGATTGGCCCATGGCGATACCCACGTCGGCGCGACGAAGGGAGGGGGAATCGTTGACTCCGTCACCAGTCTAGCATTGGGCACACATGAAACTAGGTTAGCTTTCTGAGAACTCGCGCAAGGTGGAGAATGTAGAACAGAAAAGGAGAGAAAAAGAAAGAAAGGGCCTACCATGGCGCAAAACTTCTTTCGGCGATGAAGCGCCTCAATCATCCGAACCTTGGTACTGGGAGCGCACCTGGCAATCACCAAAGGAAGCACGGGGAGCCTGTCCACTTCGTCGTCCGAGAGGGCATCGAACTGCGCCGCAGTCATAACCATTGCCGCAGCCACATCCTGAGCTACGCGATCCATCCTAGTAGGGAGAATCCCCACCTCGATGGCGATAGCCTTGGCCGTCTCCGGATGGTCACCCGTGAGCATGTGTACCGAGATGCCCGCCTCATGGCACTGCCGCACCGCAGGCGCCGACTCGGGGCGGGGAGGGTCGTAGAGTCCGACGAGGCCACGGAAGGTGAGGTCGCATTCGATAGTATGGCGCTCCACGTCGTCCCCCTTCTTGATGATGCCACGGAACGGCTTACTGGCGAGAGCGAGGACACGAAGGCCGAGACCGGCAAAGACTTGCATGTTTTCCAAAATCTGGGCGCGGACCTCTTCGGTAAGGGGGCGAGCGCCTCGCTATCAGCCACGTCGGTACAGTAGTTGACGCACTCGTCGAGCACACGCTCCACGGCACCCTTGGTGAGGACCTGCAAGTTTCCGGTGCTGTTCTCGCGGAAGACGACGGACATGCGCTTGACATCGGAGTCGAACGGCATCTCGACCAGGTCCGTCCACGCGGCGTGCTCGCCCGAGGTGAAGTCGAGCCTGTTCCAGCCGAAGCGGGAGGCCAGGATCTGAATGGCGATTTCGGTGGGGTCGCCGCGGGCGTTCCATTCCCCGTCCGTGTTCACAATGGTGGCGAGGTTGGCAAAGGAGCAGACGCGAAGGTATTCAATGAGCGAAGCCTTTCCCTTTCAAGAAGCTGAGAGGCGGTGTGGATGGGACCGAGATGTTCGTCCCCTCCCTTTTGAAGTCAAGCTCTGTCGGCTGCTTCGCGATAAAGCGCACGTCACCAGACTCGGGGTTGAAGGGAGACGACGAGTTCTCGACCGTCAGGGTGCCAAAGGAGGGGATCCAGGCGCCGCGGGCAAGCATCCTGCCCTGAGTGAGGGTGCCCGTCTTGTCGGAGCAGATGTCGGTGACGGCGCCGAGGGCCTCGAGGGAACGGAGGTTGCGCACGATGACATTACGTTCCACCATCCTCTTCGTGCCGGCGGCCATAGTGATGGTCAGGACGACGACAAGGCTGGCGGGGATCATGGACAAGCCGGTGGCGACGGCGTAGATAATGACCTCGGTCTTGCTGTCGAACTTGTTGGCAGCGAGGACGATGATGGCGCAGAGGATGGCGATGCCAAAGAGCAGCATCGCCAGGCGCGATAGCTTCTTCTGGAGCGGGGTGCCCGTGTTCACACCGAGGAACCGGCCGACGGCGTCAGTGATGGTGAGGGTGAAGGCTTCGATGTAGCGATGGGGCTTGGCGTGGCCATCGGGCCCGCGCTTGACCGGGCGGACCTTGGAGTCCTTCTTGCGCAGGGCCGAGGCGATGGCTCCTATTTCGGTGTAGACGCCGGTGGCGAAGACGATACCCTTGGCCCGGCCCTTGGTTACGGTGGATGAGCTGTAGGCGACGTTGAGGCGGTCTCCCGGGCCAGTGTACTCGGGGAAAACCTGTTCTTCGTCCTTGCGAACGGGGAGAGATTCTCCGGTGAGCAGAGCTTCATCTGTTTCAAAGTTGACGGCCTCGGTAAGTCTGGTAGTAGGTTTTAGTGCATATCGAATAAGATTCTTCTCGAGAGCAAGAGAGCAAGAGAGGAAAAAATGGAATGAACCGTAAGGGTAGCGTCGTGCTTGCTTACCTGACATCGGCGGGTACAGTATCACCCATCTTGAGCTCGATAAGATCTCCAGGTACAATCTCGGCAGAAGGCACGACGTGGGAGCGGCCGTTTCGGACAACGTTTCCGGTGGGGAGCTCAAAGACCGGAGGGAGTCCATGGTCTTCTCAGCAGAATACTCTTGGAAGAAACCGACGACGATGTTCAAGAGAATGACAAAAGTGATGACACCGCCCTCGATCCACGACTGGAACCCGTAAGACACGGCCATGGCCAGGATGAGAACCTGAAGGGCGCAGTCAGCGGCATTATTCTTCACCAAGGGCAGCAAAGTAGGCCATCCGTCTTTTGAAAAGGGGAAAAAAAAGCACAACGGAAAAAGGCCCATATAAAAGGAAAATAATCCAAGGGTGGTTAAGAACCAAGCTCTTGGTTCGGCTCACGCACCATTGTCATGGCATTGGCAACCTGGGCAATGATAATGCGGATGGGCTGGACGCCCTCGGCCTCTCCAAGATCATTGCTCCCAAAAGTCACCAGTCGGGCGGCGGCGTCGTCGGGAGCGAGGCCGCTGAGGGCATTAGACCTTAGCTCGTCCTCGACCTGGCGGAAGGTGAGAGCATGAGCGGGCTGGGTCAGCGGATCGTTGGATTGGCCCGAGACGTGACCCTCGCGGGGTACGTTGGCTTTTTTCTTCCCCATGGCTTGGAGCCGGGGTTTCTCGTGGAGAGTGGGTGGGCGACGGATTATTCGAGTCTCTTCTCAAAAAGACAAGCAAGAGGCGTAGCGAGGAGACAGCAGAGAGGTGTGGTTTTTGGTATACCCGAAGGTCGGAAATGTTTGAGAAGAACAAGAACAGAATTGGTATAAGGGAAAAGGGGATATAAACCAATTTCTGTATTTTTCAAGAGAAAAAGGCCTCTTGCCTGATTCCGCACTACTGCGTTTCTTTCGCTGCAGCAGGGGAAAAAGAAGAAGGTACAGATGAGTGGGGGACCCCACTACGGAAGTGTGTGGCGGCGCTTGGCGTGGCGACCGAGACGAGGAACCAAAGAAGAAAGGGCGACCGACCCTTTACAGCCCCTGCCGTTTCTGCTGTCACTTTTTTCTTCTTTTGTTGAGAGGCTGGCGTTTTTCGTAGATTGGCTATCCAGAAAATGAAGAAGAAAGCCTACAGGTGCGTACATGGAACAGCTCTGAGCGACTGGATAACTGTGCTGGGTTGAAGAGTGGCCTGACATCTACCCCTCAACAGCGTCTTGACCGAGCATGTCGAGGATATCAGGCAAAGAGGGCTCGGTGGTTTGCTAGACTGCCGAAGGGCCCAAACAGAAAGTACGATCATTCGGTGCGAGACAAATTGGATGTATCGCTAATATGTCCAACCTGCTATTTCCATTTACATGTAGAACGGTGAACGCAACTCGCAAGCTTATGATCGAGGAGCGCTTCTTATGAAGCATCTACGGCAACCACGGCCTAACCTAAAACCCAAGCCGCGGATAGCGGATAAGGACTCGGGGGAGCATCGGGTGCTTGATATTGTGCACAATGGACGCACACATGTAAGAATATGCATACATCCAAATGGTAATCGACGGCTGGCGCATGGCGGGGCCAAGACTCAAGGATCTGCGCGAATCGCCAATGACGACACGAGCTCAGCCTCATGTGCTTCGAGCTCGGTCAAGAATAGGTCTATCTCTCCGTCGACCAGCAAAGGGTATGACGGCGGGCGCACATAGAAAGTGCATATATATCTCACGAAAAAGGATGACCGCGGCTTGCGTCCAACCCGACTATTATCGAGAATTGAGGAGGATACAATAGGCAAAGGCGGTAGCTTCTAGCGTCGTGATATGGAAGGAAAAGCAAGAAGCACCGGACGCGAGGGTCCATCCCGCCGTCTTCCTGGCGCGGAGCCAATCGCGAAGATTTGCGAATTTCTGACTTGTCAAATCAAAGAATAAAAAAGCTTTCTTGATTTGCCATGCTCTTCCGTTTCTACCCTGTGAGACTGCGGATCGACCAAACTATGATCAAATGTACACCAAAGAACGAGGAGAGAGCGGGGTCACACGAGCACTTACTCTTTCCAGCTGTTCTCTGCCTCGAATTCTTGAAGAGCGCCCCCAATGCAATTTTTTTTTCCCCTTGGTTGTAGGCGATCCCCGTTCCCGCATCCCCCGATGAGCCTCCACCGCTTTTGGCACGGACTGCGACCGCCTCTTCGGCGCTGGCCAACCAAAACGCCCAATTGAACCACGGGGGCTCTCGAAAACTTTCGGGCAGGGGCAACCCCTCGTGTGTCCTCCTCTGGCGGGATGCGGGGCAGGGTGGGGGCGCTGTGGGTGGGTCGGTCTGTTAAAGGGAAAGAGCTAGCGGCCTCGAGTTTTGCCTTGCGGAGAGAGCACAGCAAAAGCAAGTAAAAATTGCAAGCATTTCAGCACGAGTTCCATGCTTTCTTTTCCATTCGATGCATTCGCCTCGTGCCAAGAGAATGTGTCGAAGGGTTGTGGGTGGAAGTTTGATCGATACGATCTATTACAATTGCATTCTCTAGCACGGGGGAGAAAACAAGATCAAGTTGAAGGAACTGTTGCCGCATTGTCGCTTATCTTCTGGGTTTCCCGCAAGGACGAGTAATATTCCAAGATGGGGAGGCTCACGATGCTTCCCATTCCCCACACTTCAACAATTTGACGCGAATTGCACGAGAGCTTGCCGTGAGCTACCCCGCGCCTTACCGGCCAGGGACAAGAAGAAGGTGGATTAATTCGGCCTTGGTCTATACCTCTGGTGTTTGGTGCTTGACATTCTGTCTTGAATGTACCTTGTCAACCTAGGGAAAGAGAAAGACGAAGAATTCAAGAAAGAGAGAGAAATACACCAACAAGAAAAGGAAGCGGCAGGGCATGGATAAATGCAGCACTCTTTTCATTATGTACAGAACCGAGGCCCTCTCAAAGCAAATCTATGCCCGTGCCAAGCCCGTCATGAACCAGAAAATTACCGGATCGGGCCCCGAGCGGAGCGGCGCCACCAGCGAGCGTGAAACAGTCCAAGGGGGCTAGAACCGGCATCTGGGAGCCGAATGAACACCCCACGGCCGGCGCTCAGCAGACGGAGCAGCCAGGACCTCTCCCACAACTATTTCCGGATTAGTTCTTGCGGAAGGAAAGCCCGGCTCCGGCTCGGCTGCAGCGCACCGGACGGCCAGACGGCTTCACGCTCAGAGCTAGCGAGCTATGGAGTGGGCGGCCTAGCCACCTATCTTCCAGTCGCGGGTTCGTTAAGCGCCGATGTCGAGGGCGTATCCAGGCTGGATTGATGCCACTATTCAAAGGCCCTCAGTAACAACATTTCTCAGAACTGAGAGGTAAGGGATGTGATGCGGACGGATCTAACATTAGTATTTCCATGGATGTATCGGCCGGTACGCAGATATATACGTACACTCACAAACTCCTGGTTCTCTTTCTTGTTTTTTTCTTTCTTTTTTTTTCTTTCTTTCAACTCTTTTTCTCTTCTTTTTCTCCCTGCTTTTCACCCTTCGCCCTTCCCCATCTTGGCATCGAAACAGCCCTTGTGTTGATTCTACCTCTCTCCTCCGTTACCTTTTCTTCTTCTTCTTCTACTTCTCTTACGCAACTTGGATTTTTGCAACGTGTCGTGATTGCTAATCCACCCTTCTTTTCCCTGAGGTAGGGCTATCGTCAGCCCCATGCTTGCTTTCAAATACAAAATCATCCCGCCTACCAAGCCCAATGATCGACCCATACAAGTACACATGCAAGGTTGTCGCGCAAGGGCGACCCAGTCAGCATCCACAATCCAAATTGCTAAGATGATTGCAACAGTCGGGCCGGACGGGGTAACCAGTCGCCGATTGTATTGCTCGACGAACGGGGGAAGGTGTAATAGTAGGGCGGATGCGTTTCCGACGGGTGTTGGGTGGTTGAACGACCACCTGTGGCACCCACTCATGAAAACAGGCTCCAAGCGCCACCAGAACGGTGAAATCCGTCGTGGATCCCGCCGGATTTCACAGGGGAGGCATCACAAGCTTAGCTTTGCGGAAGCACGGCGGAGGGCGGGTGCCCGATGCGCGATGCGAGATGCGGTGAGCTGGAGGAATGTCACGAAGGAATGCAGGAATCAAGGCAGGTATTACTACCCAGATCACAATTTGATATTGGCCAAGACAGGGCGAGAGAGAGCGCGAAGGTCCGAAAAGAGCTTATCCCGTGTAATCTCAAGGTCAAGGTCTAGGGCGGGACTCCGCAAAAAGTCGACACCGCCACAAAGATGCAGGTAGGTTGATATTAGTGTTTTTGTGTACAGGCTTGGTCTCGGCTTTCTCGTGCTTTGGAATCTCGATGTGAGCAAAGATCTTGGGCTCCTCACAACCCCTATCGCCGAATCCGATGGAGGACGCCCTAGCGGATTTTCGGTCGTAAAGACGAGGCGCGCCGTAAGGCAAACCGACACTAATGGGGATAGGGCTACTATCCCTCGTGCGTTTCCTCCTCCCTTCCATTTCCGCCGTCTCTGCCTGGCTGGGAGCGAGGTTGGAGGGGCGTGCGTCGTGTCATTCCTTGCCAGATTGAACTGTACCTTGCATGACGATAGTCGTTGCTTGGGGAGGGTTTATGGATGGTACCAGTTCGCTGACAAATTCAAAGCGGTTCCTTTGTTCAGCGATGCGAGGAGCGTCCTCTCGACCGCAGAAAGGAATGGAGGAGGGCGGGATCCAGCCCTTGGACCCCACTCCAAGTGTCCAAGTGTCAGCGCCGAACGTTTTGGGGAGCTCCTGATTAGAAATCCAACTTTAAACGGCGGGAAGCTATGCGATATTAGCTCGACTCCATAATCGATCCTAGTCACTGACGGCTTTGCCTGCCTTGCGCCGCCCCTCCATCCCTCCATCGATCTCCCCATCACACCCCCTTTTCCCTTTTTCTGTTTCCCCTGGCAGGATTCGCGGGGCTGGGCAGCGCGGGGCGGGTCTTTGTCAACGACGACGACGACGTTTCACTCTTTTCTCATCATGTTTACGGAGACCAAGGAGGCTTGTTTATTTGCACGTTTACGCTTTGTAATGCGGGAGCCAAGCGTCAAGCCCCAGACAGAGCTGCACGGTGGAAACACAACGGACAGCTTAGAAGATGGTTGGATCGGCCCGAGCGAGTTGACGAGTTTTCTTTTTATTGTCTGTTTCAAAACACGAGATCCCGCCGGGCTCTGGGCAGGTTGATCAACAACTCAAGTAACTGGGGATTTTGGTGAGAGGGGAAGCTCTGAAGAAACGGTTGTCCTGGCCAGCAAGCAACGCGAAGGTCCAGTCCCTCGAGCATTTCGAGCAACCGAACCTTCAATGTTGTTGTTCCGTTTTGGCGGGGTAAAACCTCAGTCCCAAGCGCCCCGCGCCCCGAAAATCGGTGTGTGCCCAGCCGAATTGATGCGCGCAGCAAAAGCGCCGCAAAGTTCCCCCTCCCCATCCATTAATTGATCAGCGCTCTCTCGCGGCACGTATCGCTTGAGGCATGGCGATAATCAGGAGAGGGGAATGGAGAAAGGTATCTGCCCTGATCACCGGAAAGGAATTGGCGCTGTTTGGCGTCGGGTTTCTCGGCGTCGGTTTCGCTAGAACGTTTCTAGCAGCTTCTCCTGCCCTCCCAAGTCTCATAACCCACCAAGACTAAACTCGAATGCTGCCCCGCAAATCAAGAATGAAGAGAGTACGAGCTAGTTTCCCTCGACGCAAAAGCCGTGGCTTGATTCCACATCCATCCATTGGAATGTACACATGCTTCTTCAAAGATAACTCTATGCTCCCTCTCAGCGTATCAGGAGAGGGATCCCCTCTCGCGCTTGCCAGGCTCCGCTCGGCTAACCGGCCACCGCAAATCCTCATGGATGAGAACTAAAGAAAGTGTGCAAAGGGCAAACGGAGCCCGGAAAGGGAAACTCGTCCATCCAGGTTCACCCCTCCCCGTTTTTAACCTCCCTCGAAAACCTAGCCCGCCCCTCCATTCTCATTGACCCTAGTACGAAATCCCCGGGTTCGTGTCCTCTTTGTGCCTCCGCGTTGCCTGCCCCATCCACGTCCACCGTGCCGCCGAAGCTACCTCTAACGACGAACCCTGCGTCTACGTATTGTGGAGAGAGAATGGGAAAAAAGAGGGGAGGGTGTGTAGAAAGAGCCCGTGACAGAAGAGCACAGCTCCTACTACACACACACACGCAACCTAGAAACAGCACTATTTTGTCTTCTTCCCTTCCTCTCCCCCTTGAACCCATGTGTATAAAGTCAAGCTCGTCTTCCCCATTCCCACTCTCCTCCCTACCCCATCTTCTCCTCTCATCTCTCACACCTCTCCCACAGTACCAAGCCAAACTCTAATCCAACCTCTCTTCTCCCCAAATTCCTCCCACACACACACACACACACACAACCCGCCCACCATGTCTTACACCCTCGCCGACGCCACCCTCCCCCAACTCAAGGCCGCCCTCAACGCCCTCACCGGCATCCTCGCCAAGGTCAAGACCCACGCCGAGGAGAACTCCATCTCCTCGACGACGTCGTCGGCTGGAAGCTCGCCGAGGACATGCTCCCCTGTCCTTCCAAGTCTACATCGTCTGCGACGCCGCCGCCAAGTTCGTCGCCCGCTCCTCCGGCGCCGAACCCCCGTCTACTCCCGCGACGACACCAACTCCTTCCCCGCCTTCGAGGCCCTCATCGCCCAGGCCAAGGCTGCCGTCGAGGGTGCCGACGCTGCCCTCATCGCCGCCAACGCCGACACCGAGGTCCCCGTCAACCTCGGCCCCGACAGGAAGGTCAACATGGCCGCCAAGGGCTACGCCGAGGGCTACACCCTGCCCAACGTCTACTTCCACCTCATGACCACGTACAGCATTGCCAGGTCCAAGGGTGTCCCTCTCGGAAAGATGGATTACCTCGTCCCCTTCATCGGCAAGTGGGTTGGCATGTAAATTCTTTTTTTTAGGGATTGGGAAAACAAGCGGAGGAAAAAAATATTATCAGGAGTCATGGCGGGAAAACGCCTTTGTTCCAGTGTCCTTTATACATAGTCTAGCGAAATAATGACAGCAGATACGCAATTGCATCATGACAACCAATGTTTTTGAATCTACACCTATAGTGACGTGACACCTGGTGGATGATGCGCTGTTGGTTAAGTCTGTCCTGGGTTTGTAGCTTAAGCAGTGATCGCGGACATGTTTTCAAAGGAAAACGTTGCGCTTTCGTCACGCTCACAAACAGAAAATATGCCTTAGCGAGTTGAAGTCTGCAGATAACAAGATTTTCTTTTCAAGAAAAAAGCAGTCGAGTAAGAAATGCTCCTCTTATTCCCATTAACACCAATACACAAAAAAGCGAGGCTCGCAATAAACAAAGCTTAAAAAAAAAAGAGATAGTAACAATACTAGTACAATAAAACCCTCATGCCATGTTCACACACACACATCGCCCTTTTTCGTACACGAGCCGAGTGAACCCCCTACTCCATATTCTCCATGCTCCATTCTCATTCTCGTCCCCTAATCCACCCTAATCCACCTCGCTCATCCTCTTCATCCTCCCCACCTCGCTCTTTAGCTCCCTATTCTGATTCTCCAAGTCTCCCAGCCTCTGCCGCGCCGCCGTGCGGTCCTGGTTCCTCCCCTCCCTTTCCGTACGCAGCCGGCGCTCCATATCCCGCAGCCTCAACATCAGCGCATTGTCACCGCTTCCGCTTCCATTCCCACCCGTCGTGTCACCCGCCGCCGACGGCACCACCTCCCGGCTCGCTGACGAACCGGGGCGGGGAGCGGCGGCGGAGCGCCGTGCGACGTCGACGCTCGCGTCATGGTCGACGTCCGCGTCGTCGTCGTTGTGCCGCCCGCGCTCGTGTAAATGTTTCTCCTCGTCCGGCTGTTGTCCCTGTCGCGCGGACCCGTCGGTATCGAAGGCGAGGGACTACCCGCCCCGACAGTCTCGCCCGACGTGTTATCCCCGCCGAGCACTCCGCCACCGTAGACGGCTCGCGCCCTCACGTCGCTTGCCGTGCGCAACGTCGCGTTTTCCACCCTCAGCTGCCTCACAACGTCCTCCAGCGCATCCGCCCTAGCTTGCGTCTGCGCGTCCGACGACGACGCCGCCGCCACCATGCTTGCCCCGAATCGGCTCAGCGACCCGGACGCGATGCCGTTGCGCACCATGGTCTCGAGCTTGTCCAACTTCTTAATTCGCACTTCGAGCCCGTTCTCCAGGCTCTGGTATTCTCTCCACAGCTCCCGCTCCACTCCCTTGATTCGTGTCCTGAACCCCTTCACCATGTCTTCCAGTGTCTTGACCGCCGCCAGCAGATTCTTGCTGAAACCGGGCAGCATCGTCGCTACCGCCTCTAGCGACGGCAGGGCCCGCCCGTTGATCAGGCTGTTATCGTGCGCCCAGTCGCTTCCGCAGAGGCCGCTCAGGCGTGCCCACAACGACAGGAGCAGGTTGTTGCGCTCCGTCAGCTGCTCCTTGAACGTGCTCTCCAAGCTCGCGAGTCGCTTCTGCGTTTGAGCTCGCTGTATCTCGAGCTCGTGGATGCGCTCCTCCTGCGCGTTCGCCGTCACGCTGACGTGGTGATGCGTCTTCTGGAACGTCTCGAACTGGCTCTTGGTCGTTCGGTGGCCTTGTCGTTCCTTCTCTAGAAGCTCGGCTAGTCGCCGGGACTCGAGTCCGTGAGACTCCAAAAGCCCATCGCGCTGCTTGAGCGCCCTATCCTTTTCCCCAATATCGCCCTTGGCTGCGTCAAGCTCGCGTACTGTGTCTTCCAGCTGCCGTTGTAGGCCCGAAATCGACTGTCGAATGGAATGTTAGCAATAGGTTAGGATACGAGGGAGGCAAGAATAAGATTGCATGTGGTGCCAAATCCCGAAGCCATGTCGTGGAGCAGTGCACTTACGTTGAGAAGACTTGACCTAGTTCCGTTCAAGTCGCCCAGAGCCACCCTCAAATTGCCCTCCAGCTCCATCAGCCTCTCCTTCCACTCCGCCGCCTCCACCTCGCGCGACGTCAACGCCTTCCTCAACCTGCGCGACTCGTCCCTCGCCGCCGACGTCTCCCGGTTCAGTCCATTAATGAGCTGCTGCACCTCCTCCTTCTCGCGGTTCGCCACCATCTCGCGTTGTCTCCGCTCCGCCTGCAGCCTCTGCTCCAACTCCGTCGCCCGGTCCCGCTCGTCCCGCAGCGACTGCTCCGAAGCAGCCAGCTCCGCCTCCAGGTTGCCGATGCGAATCTTGTCCGCCTCCTGCTCCTCGCGCAGGAACGCGACCTCGCCTTGAGACGACTCCTGCTGTACCCCAAGGCGGTTAGCCTTGTCGTTGGCCTCGGCAAGCTTGTTCTCGAGGTCCTCAAGCTCCGCGTTGGCGTGGATGAGCTCATGCTCTAGTTCCTGGATGCGTCGCAGCTTGTTCTCCTGCTCATCCTCAAGCCTCAGCAGCGCATCGCTCATCTTGCGCATCTCCTCCTGCAACGCGGCAAAGTTCTCGGACCGGTCCTGCAGGTCGAGCTGCAACCGGTGCGAGTCCTCTGCCCGCTGGTCCAGATCCGCTTCGAGGGCGTCGATTTCGGTCTGGGCTTCTTTGCGCAGCGCCTCAAACTCCGCCTCCATCTCCGCTTGCTCCCGCAAAGCCTCATCACGCTCCGCCTGCAATGCCACCAGATCGTTCATCGTCGTATCGAGGTCCTGCTGTAGCGCCGTCGCGAGCTCCTCCGCCTGCCGTTTACCGTCGATGGCCACCTCAAAGTCTTGCATGCACTTGTCTAGTTCCTGCTCGAGTTCCTGGTTCTGAAGCTTGACCTCGTTAATCTTGTCGCGACACTCGGCCAGCTGATTCTCCAGCTCCTCTCGCTCGGCCTCGTCCTGCGGATTCGTGACCCTCGTCGTGCCGCTGTTCCTCGACATCGATCGCTGGTGCTGCGGGTGGTGGTGAGCACCGGCGCGGGATGCCGATCTCTCGAGTAGCGTGTCGATGGTGGATGGCGCGGGGCCGCCCCGCCGCTGGGCCATTTTTAGGTCCTCGATCTCTTGGTAGAGGCGCTCCTTTTCGCGGTTCCTCGATGTAAGCATCGACGTCTGGGCGCCAACCTCGCGACGAAGCTCCGCGTTTTCGTGACGCAACTGCTCGCTCTCGCGGCGCAACTCCTCGATAAGGGTGCTAGCCGTGCTCATGCCGTTGGTGCTTTCCATATCGCCGGACAGGCCAGACACGGGTCGCGAAGGGGAGCCCGCCCTATTGTGGTTCTTCTTGGTAATGTTGTAAATGTTGGTGGTGTGGTGCAAGCTGCCGCCCGCAGCCGCCATTTCCTGCTTCATGCGGAAGATCTCGTCGCGCAGCCTTCGATTATCCTCATCCGACTGTTCGCGGCGGGCCGTCTCCTGCTCCAAAAGGTCCTTCCACATGTCGGTCTCATCTTGCCGACCGAGAGACTCGCCAGCGCTCCGTTCGCCAAGGGTTCGTACCATCTCCGACATCTTGCGCTTCTCGTTTTCCCTATTCATACACTCGTGGCGCAGCCGCTCGACCTCGACCGAGTATTCCTCGATGCGTTCCCGGAGGTAAAACAGCTCCTCTTCGCGCTCTTGCGCAGCGGCGGCATCCTCAAAGGACTGGTTCGAGTTGGACGAGGCACCGCTTTTTGCCGTGCTCGGTCTCTCGTCCTCCTCCTTGAGCTGCTTCTCTAGATCCTTGACCCGCCGACGCAAAGCCTTGTTTTCCCGTTGGATCACGGCGAGGCTCGTCTTGAGCTCGACGTTTTCCGAGATCATCTCCTTAACACCCTCTTCGGAAAGCTTATCTAGGCGGTCGCTCAGGAACATGACCTTGAGCTTGAGGTCAAAGTTCTCCTTGGACAGCCTCTCGATCGTGCTGCTCTGCTCCTTGAGCGTCAGGTTCTTACCTGAACGCGAAGGGCCGATGGACGATGTGAGGTTGGAGGGTTTGCGCGGCGTAACCAGCCCACTGCGAAACTTGTATTCTTTGGCCAAGGATTCGGGTACCTGCACGTTTTGCACATGGCGGGCGATGACGGTATCGGTGGGGTCCTTGAGGTTCTGCTTGGACGGCTTCGGGGTCCTCAGGAGATCGTCCTGTGGATTATCTCCGATTCGGAAGCTAGCATCCTCGTCGAGGGTTTCCAGGTGATCATAGCCCTTGGAGCTCGCGGCACCGCTCTCGTGCAAGTCCTCGATGCCAGAAGCCATGCTACCCATGCTAATCGACCGATTCAGAAAGCTGCTGAGGCTTCGGGGCATTCCCATATTCGAACCCCTACACCAGACTGCATACCATAATCTGGAGCTAGGCCGACCGTCACGTCGCTATCGCCGTCGTCCGCATCGGGATTCGTAAACGAGGAGGTGGAGGAGCGCTGGCTCGAGTTCCGGCTCCGAAGGTACTTGGGCTTTTGTTGTAGAGCATGTCCGGGAGTGCTCCCCGCATCGAATGCCTGCTTCGTCGGGCTAGGACTCCGCCTCTGCTTAGGGAGGACGCCAGATGGAAGACCGAGCGAGCGGCTCGAGAGCGCCGAGCGAGAAAAGTCGAGCCCGGATGGGAGTTCGTCGTCATTGTCATTGGCGGAAAAGGAGTCGTCGCCCGCCCCGGGGTTGCGGATGACGGAGCCCTGGGAGTGGGCACTGGCCGACGATATAACTCGCGATATCGTGCGCGCGGCGGCAGCGGCTGTTGGTGAGGAGTCGAGATTCTCGAGGGAGGATGTGGTGTTGGAAACGTCAGTAGTTGTAGTGTCAAGGGGTTCGAGTGCGGGTAGAGCGCCGGCGTCGTGCTCCAGGAAAGAGGGTGAGGCCGGTCGCAGAGGCAGAGTAGTAGCTTGTTTCATTGGGGAGACGGATCGAAACGAAGCGTCGTCTTCAATGAGAGGGGGAGGTTAGGCGAAGGCGACTGAGCAGCGCGGGGCGCGGCGTCGAAAGGTAGGTGTCGTCGATACCGCCGGCGGGATTGGTGTTCGTCAGGGGGAGAGGGGGCGTGGAAGCTGGATTCAACGTCCTGGAGGTGCGCATGGACTGCTTGCTCATGAAAAGAGTCCATGATGCTGTCGTCCGGGCGCACATCCGTGAAGGTTGTGTCGATGATGGAGTGGGCGGATGGCGGAGGCGGTTTCGTCAAATCGGCCTGCCGCGCATCCGTCGCTTTCGTGGCGGCGTGAGATTCCGCGGCATCTTTGGATGGCGTGTCGGTGGGTGTCGAGCTTCGCACAGGCTGTTGCGACGCCGGAGACCGCTGGGGGTCCTCCTCGTCCATTATAAAGGGGCAAGAATGCCTCTTTGCCGCCCGAGTAAAATGTGCGGTTCAGGGCGATGGCGATGTCGCCAAGATGTTGATATTTTGCGCGTGTGCTAGGCAGGTGCGGAAGACGCGCTGCGTCGCATTCGCGAAGTACGGGCTAGATGCAGAAAAATGGCGGCAAAATCGTCGAGCCGAGTTTGGAAAATCCGGGGATGGAAAAGGAAGGAAAAACCTTGCGGATCTTGAGAGGAGGATCGGAGCTGTGTCCCGGACAATCGTTTCGTCGAGCTTTTTGAGACAAAAATGGCTACAGGGGCAGCAGAAAACTTTTGTGTCTTGGAATGTCGGATTGGCTCGTGGGTCGTGTTTTGGGTTTCCGTTTCTTCGTGCCCGAGAAGGCTCCCGCTTATGTTCAATGTTGACTGTGATTTGACCCGATGCGCCCGCCTTGTGATGTGATTGATGGGGGCCCAGATGTCGGGTCGGCTCTTTTTGCTGGGTCAGGACCTGCAGGCAGAGGAATTTACGCGGGGACGGGTGGTGGAAAATCGTGGACAAGGGGAAAGGAATGCTGGAAAATCAATGTGTTTGTCAACCTTGTGCCATGGAAAATTTGCGCCAACTCCGTCGGAAAGGCAAAAAATGGATATAGATGAGCAGGGGAAAATAAGCAAAGAACGAGAAGAGAGCCGCTTTCTCGACGGCACAGGGGAGGAGATGGTCTGGTCTCGACGTCGGGGCGTTTTGCTTGCATGGGCAGGCAAATGCAACACTGGAGCTTGAGAATCCTCGACAACATTCAGGGGAAGAGAAACGCCGTTTTTTCTTTCTTCTCCATTCCCCTTTCTGGATGTAACAGTGAGGATTGCGGGAAGCCGTTCGCTCCTTCTGATGACGCGCTTTAGGTTTTCCGAAAGGAGCAAGTGCTACACTGTTTGGTGCTCCTCGCGGGCCCGGCCTGAACAGGCAAGCTCGCCTGAACTTTGTCTGTCGTTCTTTCCATCAACGATTTTCTCTCTCCTTGGGTCGCCTCACTTCCATCGTTTCGCGATCATTAATCCTCATCGCTACAATATGGCCTCCGGCAATATGCTTCATTACCACCATGTCCTCCCACCTTGTGCCAAAAACCCTCCAGTCCCTCAAGCTTCAGCCAGCTCTTCTTGAACTTGTCATATCTCGCCTCGCACACACATACAAGTACACTACTCTCCTTCTTATCGAGCGGCAGCCCCACCTTTTGTTGCTGAATCCGGTGAGGTACAGCGATACCCCTGTCCAAGGATGCTCCATTTTGGCAGGGCAGCCACGGGGCTTGCCTCACCCACCCAACCACCACGGTTGCTATGACATTGACAGCTGTGGTAGCCCGACTCGGAACCAAGAAAAAGGGGGTGAGCTCGAGCCTTTGCGCTAACTGAGGGGCATATGGGCCGGATCTCGATGCCTACCTCAAGATGTATGCTTGCAATTATCGAGCAGCAGATATTACTTACTCGACACGATGTGCCTTTCGGCCAGATGCAAGGGCTTGAAGTGATTTTCCACTCGTCTCGCCATGGGCCACTCGGCCGGAATTTCTTTTAGGCCAGTCCGTGAAAGAGACATGATGCAGATCCACGGGACCCCGAAGCCTAAAATAATAGGCCGGGCTCCACCGCTCCCATGTGGTCTGCTCATTGGTTTTGTCGCCGATGTGCTGATTCGTCGCCAGCAGAAGCCGTCCCAGCGACCATCTGGAGAGGCAGAGAGAGGCACACAGAGACAAGAGACAGAGAGCAAGCCCGTAGACCCGACCTTTTCTTCGCGGCCATTGCGATGTGGAATCTCTGTAGCTTTTGAGACACCATGGTCGACTTGCATTGATTTAACACTGGGAGTCTGCAGGTGAAGAATATTGATGCATAAGGGGAAAGTAGTTTGGTGTAAACCCTAGATTAGAAAAATGCTATCTAAATCCGAAGAAACCCATCTCTCCCCTGGGGAATCAAGCAGGAAAAACGAAGAATCCAATCGCCTATGAAATAGCAAAACTCCACGCTTTACCACAAATTCGTCCATCATTACATATTTGTTCAGTTGCGCAATCGGGGGAAGCTCTGTGCCTTGTACCAAGCATAGAAAGCAGTCAAGACCAACAACATTTGGTTCGTCGGAGGATAGGGAGGATGAAAGCAAAACGAAAAGCCCGGGCATGAACGGGGAAACGAAAACGAAAAAGAAACACATCGCTGTCCAAAAGGCAAAAAAGGGACAAGAACCCGCTGCACAAGCTTGAGAAAATCAAACAAAGCACCAAACACCGCAAAAAACGACTCTGCGCAGACGCGTACTCCACGGATAGCCCCGTTAAGTTGGGTATCATACAACTCCACCTCGCCATCTCTCTCTTTTTCTCCTTCTCGGTCTTGTTGCTCCTTTTAGATCACCCTGTTCTTTATGTATCTTTATAACGAGGCCACGAAAACTTCATAAGCCATCACCATGATCCATATCAGGCAGAGCAGGCCTACGAGAGCAAAAGCAAATACGGCATGCCACCCTTGGCCTAGAGATAACACGTCATCGTTAGTAAGTTCCCTCATAAAAATTGCATAAATAACCGCAAGATAAATGCGCAGTCCGCGGGGTAAGGGGGAAGGAGGGAAGTGTTGAAAAGAGACGGTGTAGTTGCACGTACATATGCTTCTCTCCTGCAGCCACGCAAGCGTCTCCGTGTTATCGCCCACGGGATGTCTGTTAAACACCCTTAGGTTGCACACGCCGTTGACCGAGCCTTTGGGTCCCCACAGCTCGATAGAGACGACGATAAGCCCGACGAACCATAGGATGAAGACCAGAAAGGCGCCAATCATGACGATGGCGGGTAAGAGTCGATGTTGGGATAGCAGGTAGACGAGGGTGAAGACGTAGAGGATGGCAAAGGAGCCAACGGTGACAAAGTACGGAAAGTACCTATCCAAAGTGCCCCAAGTTAGCGCAGTTCCAAAGAGAAAGAAAACAGGGAGAACCCGAATAAAAAAAAAACACAAGGACAAGCAACGACGCAAGGTCTGACTTACCATGGTATCCCTAACAAGAGATAGCCTTGTATGCTGATAAAGTTGGCAAATATGCCCACAATGGCTGAAGAGCTCAGCAGCATCGCGAACATCCAGATGTTAAACGGGATCCATGGCCACTTGTACGTATGCACATGGGCCTTTCGTCTCGTATACACCGTCGTGCCCGTCGTCACCGTCGAGGCCGCCATTGTAGAGGGTGGGAGGGAGAATCGAAGAGTGTAAAGACTCGGCGTCGAGTAAAGGGGAAACGGAGCTTGGGAATACCCTCGAGGCTCCGCAGCAATGAAGGAGTTCCCGTTCGACGGGCTCAGGTCGCGGTGAGGAGTGGCAAGGAAATTCTCAAGAGTCGGGGTATTAGGGTGTGTCGTGGTCGGTAAGGGCAACGGAATCGGCGTCGTTGTTCGAGGAAGCAAGCGAATGGTCAGTCGTCGAAGTATCTCGAGGTCGTCCAGCTAGTACTCTTTCTATTCCTCCACATCTCCCGACAGAGAAAGATGCCACCCCTGACTGAGCAAGGGGAAAAGGAAGAAGAAGAAAAAGGAGAGAGAATCCGCCAATTTTCCCCGAGATTTTGCGATGTGGGTTTCGTCACCTAGCACAGCCGAATAACCCAGGAATAATAATCCCCAGTTGGAATAACTTGGTGCAAGTTGCGTATAAAGCGGTGGGACACCTTGTGAGTCGTCCTTTGGTGTTTACTTCCCCGTCGTTCGTTCTCGCCTATCACTTCCTCTGTTGGTAAAATGTCGACCAGTGCTGCCACGTCTCTGGCCGTCGTTGGGGTGGGTTTTTTCTTTTGCCTCGCGCGATTGGGCTCCGGTTTGGCTCAGGTTCGTCGCTCCAAAAGCACCCTGAATGGGTCTGCAGCAGCCCACGTCAGCCCAGACGGAAAATAAACGATGGTTGGAATTCGGCGGGCTCAGGTTTTCTGTTTGCTGTATGTCGTAAAAAAGGGCTGTGTTGATGACAAGCCTCGCACTATTTCCTTTGACTTGTTTGCCAAAGAGAGAGCAAAAGGTGGTTTCGTGAAAGTGAGATGAGGGGTTTGGTTCCACGAAGGTTTCGTCTTGGCGAGGTTGAAGACGTAATCTTTATTTTTCTCCCTTTCTTCGAGGGATGAAGGCTATATTATGGTTGCGTTCTACTCCTCTCGCTCCCTTCTCGAGTAAGCGCATGTCTCGCCCACCCTTTCCCTTTTTTCCTTCTCTTTTTTTTTTTTTTGGTCCTCTTGCTAAGACCCTCGAGCTGGGGTCTCCGGGGGAGGGTTGCGGGGACGGAGCCCGGCGTGGTCGGCGCGGCAACCATGGGAATTTGGAGGTGGCTTTTCGCTGTTTGAGTGGTGGGGGTGGAACCGGCGTTGCACCCAACCACGCATGCACACACTCACGCACCCACACACAGACACACAGCGTTCGATGGCAGGGCGGTTTTGTGTCTTTTTCCCTTATCCCTGCGCTGCCCCAACGAGAGAGGCCGATTCAACCCCCAGCCCTCGGGCGGATAACCACAGGGTCCGTAATTAGGCGCCAAATTTTGATATGTGGTTTCCAAACGCCCAACATGAAGCTTCATCACGAGAAATACCTGTGGTTTTCATCGTCCTTCCCTTCGCATCCCCAGTGGAATCACGACGCACACCCGTCCCTGTGATGAAGAGACTAGGCAAGAGAAGAGCACTTGGCGAACAAAACAACGAGGGGCTGGCACCACAGCTCTCTTGCATTTTTTTCTATCTGTATCGATGTTGAAGGGGGTGGTGCCGCGGACGTGGAACCGATTTCGAGCCCAATCGTGGCTGGGTGCTTTCCGTGTTGTGTTGACTTTGGTCCCTCCCAGCCCGACCCGAGATGCGAGCGATAGCCCCCAGCCAGCCCAATGTCTTTGTCTCCGCTTGTTGATAAAACAGAAATAAACGTCAAAACCAATTGGGAGAAAGGATACGGGGGCCGCAGTCAAATCATCTACCTACTTTTAGTAAACTATTTACCTCTAGAGAGCTGAAAAGGGGACTTTGTCCCGTTGACGGCCGCGTTCGAAACCAATGCAATCTGCTCTCGCTAATACTGCATCGCTCGTGCAGCGCATTAGCAAAGTTGCAATGCACCATGATTCCGGATCCCGCCCATCCACATCGAGGCATCACGGCCATGACTCTTTTCGTCTCGCCTCAGATTCAAACCGTGTCTTGCAATGTTCAAGGAGTCTATTGGTAATAGCACCATTCTAATGGATATCTGAACGCTGGATTGAAACTTCCCCCAGCCTAAATAGAAAGAGCAAGACGAACATGAATGTGGAGGTGAGACGTAAAACCCCGCCAGGCCGTGATACCGCGGCATATTTCCCCAAGATTCCCTCTCGGCCACAATAAGACCGGCCTCAATTCGAGAGGCTCCGGAGGAAAGGGAATGTTTGATGATTAGACATAGAAAAACAAGAGAACAAAATATCCGGAAAGCTATCGGCTCAACGGTCCCAGCCCCCCCGTTTTTACAGCAAAGACTCTCCCAACGCACACCGGATCAGCGAACTCGCCGCCCTCACTGTCTCAGAGGGGCCGAGGTCCGTCTCCGCCGCGAGCTGGGGGTTAACCTCGACGAGATCCACCGCCACCAGGTTCCCCGTCTCGTGCAGCGCCTCGCAGATGTAGTCGCCTTCGCGAAGCGTCAAGCCGCCGCGGACGGGCGTGCCGGTCGAGGGGCCCACATGGGGTCGAGCGCGTCGACGTCGAACGAGAGGTGGATCGGGGTGTCGTTGCCAATGTGCGCGAGAGCCATTTCGACGACCCGGCCAATACCGTGCCTATACGCCCAACAATGTTAGCCAATCCCTTCTTCTTTGAATAGCCAGTCGTAGACGATGTTTGATCGCGAACCATTCTCCCTATAGAGGAGGAATGTGGGAAACCGACGGTTGGCCCAAACTTACCTGTCAATGTCAAACATGCTAAACGCCTTGATGCCATTCTCCCGCAGAATCCTCTTCTCCGCCACATCCACGTCGCGCAGCCCAATATACACCAGCTTCTTCAAGCTCAGCATATGGTGCTCCTTGAGCCAGCCAAAGATATCCGGCCTCTCCTCCCGCGCGAGCCCCGACACAAACGCAACGGGCATGCCGTGGATGTTGCCGCTGTCGCTCGTCTCGGGCGTGTTGATGTCGGCGTGCGCGTCCACCCATATGACGGCCATCTCCCGGCCCCCATCCTCTCCCGCACTGCCCGCGCCGTGCCCGCAATCGTGCCCACGGCGATGCTGTGGTCGCCGCCTAGCGTCAGGACCATGCGGCCCTCCCGCGCGTGCGAGTACACGTCGTCGGCGATCTTGGCCGTCACCGCGGAGACGCTGCGCGGGTTGAGCATGTTGCGGAACGGCGGGTCGTCGGCGAGCACAATGTCCTTGTAGAGCTGCACTTCCACTTCCTCGTCGCCGTGTATCCTGTACCCGAGCTCGTTGCGGAGCTGGTTGATTAATCCCGAGTCGATGAGGGCTACGGGACCGTCGTCGACGCCGGCTTTGCCCTATTTCCGGGAAAAACGGTTCTTGTTAGTAACTCTTGATCTCGAGGTAGGCGTGCAGTAGGAGGGTACAACTGCGGCGGTGGATGAAGAAGAGAACAAGAAGCTTGTGAGATGACACTTACTTGACCGCCGGAAAATCCGACTGCGACGACCCCCAAGTCATGGGGGTTCGTCAAAAACCTCGACTTCACCATGGATGTGCACATATCGAGATGCATCTGAACACTCTCCGCGTTAAGTAGTCCACCGGTTTCACTGTAAGCGGCGGTTCGTTCTAGCAGCGAAAGTAACGACAAATGGTGAAGGTTTTAGAAGAAAAGAAGAGGGGGCGGAGAGGGTATATATGTCAACGAAAAGAGGTGGCGGCTAGGAATATAGCTTTGAGCTATGTTTGAGAGGCGCGACCTAGTGGGAAACTCCACCGATAGAACAAAGAGTGGCGAATGTTTATCTTGGTATGTGGAGGAAGCAAAAATAGAAAGATTTTCAATCTCAGCAGACAACGAGAAGACTTTATTCAAGGACAGTAGGAATCGAGAGCACGAGGAAAGACTAGCTCAAGTGCGGCGCTCTTTCTTATATAGCATGAGCTTCAACATCGGTCCTTTGATCCACACACGGAGGGAAGGGATCCAGTCCGAAGGCCCCCTTTTGCAAGCGTGGGCCCCTCCCCTCCCGTGGGTCGCTTGCAAAGACACTTATGAAGTCACCGACGTTTTGACTCAGTCGGTCGAGGTCCACGAACGGACAAAAAAGGGTTGAGATGGAGGGCAGGGAACGGGGGTGGGCAAAGGCGCATGGCGTCAGGTAAGCTCGGCCTTTCCCTGATTTGGATGGGTTGAATCGGCTTCGGCGTCAGACCTGCGCATGTGGAAAGCCACCGCCAGAAGACCAATCCGAAGGTACCCACCCCACCGAGCAGAGGGGCAAGAGTGACAAGGGTCAGCCAAAAGCCAAGCCCAGCCCACCACGAGTCTACTCTCCACTACGACAGCCAGCCTAGGAAGGCAGCATGGAGTATGGTGGATGGTGGGGCATCGATCGGAGGGAACAGGACTGGACGGACACATTGAATTCACAGAAGTCGTTGTTCGTATCCCCCTCCCCTTTCTTCCGGCCTTCGGGGGCCTCGAAAATTCAATTGCGCCTTCCCTCCGAGAATAGCAAATGATACAACCCCCTCCTTCTTCGCACATTTTCTAGAAAACCCGCACCCCACGCTTATCTTGACCGATAACCAAGTGACAAGGTCCCCTCCTTCCACGGGAGATGTGGCGCGCCGCCAGTGCAAGTGCGCCCCGCGGCTATCACACCGGTTCTTATCTCCGAGGAAAGGATAACTCTAATGCAAGGATAGACAAGGTCGCTCTTATCCAGATTCTGGTCGATGGGCTTTGGTCACCTGCCATATATTTCCTGATTGTCCCTGTAAAATGATTCTTTTATCTAAGCAAAGACCATGTGATACGGCCCGATGGGTATCATCGGTCTAAATCGCCACCTCTGCGCCGCCTCTTTTGTGTTTGCTTCTCCCGAAGTCTCAATTCTCGAAACCCTCTCTAAAAGGGGACCTTCTGAGTCTGGGCCTGGCCCCACGAGTCTGAGCCAAAAAGGCCAAACCCTGCTTCAAAGCCCATCATTGATGTCTTTCAGGACCTTGGCCGCTGCGTCATTGGAATCCATTCCAAACCTTCCGTGACCGGCAGGGTCGGCATTTGTGGGTCGCCGCAACATTGAAGTATTGCCGCCGGCGAGTTCCCTTTTGTCCTGCTCAAGAACCCAACAGCTCCTTGCCTCCGTTTCGCCGTGCCCCCGTCACCATCGGTTTCCGTCCTGCGGAGACAGCGCAACACTGGGCTCGTCCATGTCCACGGACAGACATCGGCGATGGTTGCACACCACCATTGCATCGACCCTGGACTCCCCATCGTCCTGCACGTAGATTATCTTCATCCAATCCCTTGCTCACACCGCAAGCCACGCTCTGTCTCGTGCAGGGAAACAGGAGAAAGCTTTACCCTTGGGGTAGTATCTCCCACGTAAACCGTGGGTTTTGTCCACTTTCAATTTTATCAGATTTTGATTTTTTTCTCTCCCCGGTCCCATGCTCGCCTCATGCTGAGGAACCAATATCCTCGTCACCCTCGAAGCCATGCCGTTAAAGGCATCTCGCTGAGGTGGAGTTTTCCCCTAACGGCATCTGCCCCGAGAGCGAAGATTTTTGCAACTGGGTCAACGAAACAAAAGGACCTGCCACCGACCATTTTCAGTCTCTGACCTCCCGGCGACCGAGGGCCAGGACCCGGAGAAGATCAGGACATTGTGCAGCGATGGCAAAGACGAGGGAGGAAGGAAGGAGAACAAGACAAAATAAATCGCGCTTTTCCCTCGTCGCCGTCTTACCTCCTTCCCACCTGTTCGCCAGAATAAATTGAGGACAAGGAGAGAGAGGACGCAGAGCGACACAAGAGGGTGTCAGAGTGTGCCTTGCTGGTGACGCCAAGGGTGGACCTCGTTAGGGCTGTATGTCTGGTTGGTGCATTTCCTTCCATCAAGTCTTCCCCACATTTCGAATCCCCGAGTGCCGATCGAATCATCGGATGCTGGGCCCTTTTCTGCCGCTGCTTGGCAGCATCGCGACGGGCAGTTGTTGCTGAGCCTATTTACACTCGGCGATCACAATCCGCTGGAAGCAACTGTCGCCTCTTTCCTCCTCTCTGCCTCTCTCTTATTTTCTCATTCTCCCCACCCTGCGCCGATCCCATTTCGAGTCCAACGTGATGATAATACTTTGTAAATTCTCCAAGCCGGAATACCAACACAACAGAAATTGTAGGTTCCTTTCATGAATCCTGACTTCGTAAGTAATGGAGGGGAATATCGTGCATCATGGAGAAGCATCCGTCCCTTTTGTACACTGATTGATTTCCATCTATCTGTGCCCCGGTGCATCGCCAACGTCAATGCGCGCCATCCCGTCTGGCAGAGAGACCTGGTCGCTTGGCCAAGTGGCCGTGGCCCTTGGCTTTACAAAGTACACGGGCTTGGGGGCAAGTAAAAAGCCACAGCCAGCGTGAATTAATCTCGTCATGCGTCAGATCCTCCCAACACTTTAGGCGAGACAGCGTGGAGGGGCCAGCCAAGCGCGGGCAAGAAGCTGGGAGGGCTGGGCTGGGCTGGGGTAGACCAAAGGGCTGGAGGGTGCGGGATCCGCCCAGTTTCGAAAATCGATATTGTTTCTCTGTCCCGGGGTAAACTTACCGGCTTTCCGCACGCTTTTCATATATCGAGCCCACCCGGGTCCGTCGTTTCCGTTATTTGCACCTACCATCCACGTGCGGGTTCGCGTACGGAACGTATAGTGGTGCAATTACGCCGTAAACGACTTCCAAGCCTTTTACCTCTCCGTAGCGCTGATGGATAGATTGATGGTGGAATATGCGAGGATGCGACGAGAACCTTGCAGGTGAGCGGAGTTCAGCAGACTTGGGAACAAGCGCTCTTCTTGAGCAAAGAAGCCTAGCTTTTTTTTATTATATATAAGTCGGGAGTGCGCGCACCGGTAGATTGATCGAAAGAAAGAAAAGAGCTCCCTCGAGAACATCAAGAGAAGAAAAAGACAAGACGACCTCGGCCTTGTTCTATACTCGCGAGGAAACAAAAAACACCCCTCCATTAATCTTCGTCCTTGTTCTTGAAAAAGCCAGCACAATGAAGTTCAGCATCGCCACCGTCGCTGCCTTCGCGGCTACCCAAGCCGACCTGGCCGCCGCCCACTCCTACATCTACGGCGTTTTCCTCAACGGCGTAGACCAGGGCTCCTTCAACGGCGTGCGGCTCCCCGCTTTCAACGGACCCCCGCCGCGGGGCTACGCCAACTCCCCGTCAAGGATGTTACCAGCCCCGACATCCGGTGCAACGTGCTCGGCGACCGCCCTGCTCCGTACACTATTGATGTCGTGCCCGGCGATACCCTCACCCTCGACTGGTAAGACAGCCCCCTTCTCTCTTTTTCTTTTGATGAACAATGACAGCTAACCGTGTATTCAAACTAAAAGGCACCACGACGAGAGGACGGACAAGGACGATGTCATTGACAAGTCGCACCACGGCCCCGCGCTGGCCTACCTCTCCCCCGACCCGCCCACCGAGAACTCCTTTGTCAAGATCTGGCACAAGGGCAAGTTCGAGGAGGCCAGCGAACCCCTGGGCGAGGGCAAGTGGGCCATCACCTCGGAGATCAAGCCCAACCACGGCCTGATGAACGTCCGCATCCCCGCCGACCTCCAGCCCGGACCGTACGTTTTTTTCTTTCTTTTCCCTTTTTCTCTTTCTTATGCTGCTTGCTTCTCTTCAAATGAGTGGAAGTTTGAGTGGGCAGAAAATGATCTTTAAGCTAACACACGATTGTTGCAGTTACTTGCTCCGCGCCGAGATGATTGCTCTGCACGAGGCCGACGCCAAGTTCACCGAAAACCCCATCCGCGGCGCCCAGTTCTATCCCAACTGCGTCCAGCTCATGGTCGGCGGCAACGGCACCGTCGTTCTCCCCGAGGGCGTGTCCTTCCCCGGCGCCTACAGCTTCGACGACCCCGGTGTGCACCACGACGTAAGCCTTTTCTTCCCCTCCTCCCTTTTTTCCCTCCTCAATGTTTTCGCCCCATCTCTAACCAAACCACGCTCCAAAACAGGTCTACTGCTCCACCAAGACCACCACCACCGTCCCCTGCACGACCGAATACATCATCCCCGGCCCCACCGTCTGGTCCGGCGCCTGGGAAGAGACCACCGACGTCGAGGTCGGCCCCACCACCGGCGCCACCCGCATCACCGCCTGGTCCTCCTGGGTCCAGGGCGGCGTCGAGACCTCGGGCGTTCTCGAGGGCGAGACCGTCAAGGTGGAGGGCTCTGCGCCTTACGTGCCTAGCTGGCCGACGACCTACGAGGCGCCCCAGCCTACGAGCTAGGGAAACGTAGCGAGAAAAAAATAAACTTCTGTATAAGCGAGGAAAGGGGGAGGGAAAAAAGGCCTGTATATAATTTTTGGGGAGACTTTTTCCTGGGGTTTTCTAAAGGGGTTTACATGCGCGGTAGCGTGGATATCACTGGCTCGATGGGACATATGAGATTCCCAAGAGACCTCTTTTCTTTCTAAATGAAATTCACTTCACACATAAGACCTTGATCACTTTTCTCTACTTGGAATGCGCTCTGGTTATCATGCGAGCAAAAAAGGCCATTGAGATGAGAAATGCATTATATGGTGTACGCTAAACAAGCAAAGCTATGGAGCCATTTCTGTCTCAGAAAGGCAAAGAAAGCACATACAAAGAAAAAGCCGAGACTATATACAAGACAACCTATATTACCAACGCCGCATACCAATCCGCAAGCAAGCGCACTTCCACTCGTTTTCACCTCTCCTCCATCCCGGAGCCCGCCCTAGGTACCAGAGGTCCTTTTTACAGCTTGGCATCCCTCTTCTTCCTCTGGTAAATCTGGACCTCGAAGCCCTTGACCCCGCCATCCTTCATGATCCTCCTCAAGATCTTGCCGCTCGGCGACTTGGGAATAGCCTCAACGAAAATGATGCCGCCCTGGAGCCACTTGTACTTGGCCGTACGGCCCTCCACCAAGCGGGCCAGCTTGTGCGCCAGCTCGCGGAGCTCCGCCTCGCCCGCCTGGACGCGGGGCACGACAAAGGCGCGGGGCCACTCGGTCGCCTCGTTGTTATCGTAGATGCCCACGACGCCCGCGTCGGCCACGTCGTCGCTGCTGCACAGGATGGCCTCGAGCTCGGCGGGGGCGACCTGGAAAGCGCGCACCTTGATCATCTCCTTGAGGCGGTCGGTGATGCGGAGGCGGCCCTCGGTGCAGAGGATGCCCACGTCGCCGGTGCGGAACCACCCGTCGTGGGTGAGGGCCTCCGCCGTGACGCCCATGTCGGGCTTGGCGCCGGGGGATAGGCCGCCGATGGGGAGGTAGGCGCTCATGAGACCGGGGCAGCGGATGAGAATCTCGCCGTCCTCGCCGATGACGCCGGCCCGCGTCGCGCCGGCGGCGGTGTACGTCTCGTCCTTGGCGGCGATCATGACCTGACGCCCCAGTGGGGCTTGCCGCTGTCGCCGGCCTGCGCGTGCATGTCGGCCTCGGTGTAGCCGCGCTGCAGGGTGGTGCTGCAGGCCTCAGACAGGCCGTAGCCGAGCCTGACGCGGAAGCCCAGGCGCTTGTAGACCTCGACGACGACCTCGTGGCCGAGAGGGGCGCCGCCGGTGACGCCGGCAACCACGCTGGAAAAGGCGTTGCGGCCGTTGGCGTCGCGCTTGGCGTATTTTTCGACGATGGCCGCCTTGGCCAGCATGACGGCGACGGGCGGCGCCATGTGGAAGTAGGTGATGCCTTGCTTGGGGATGGCCTGGAGGACGGTCTCGAGGTGGAAGGAGGGCATGACGTAGACGGTGGCGCCGATGGACACGGTGAGCAGGAGAATGTTGCAGAGGCCAAAGACGTGGTAGAAGGGGACGTAGCCGAGCCACTTTTGCGTCAGGCCTTGGAAGTAGTCGGCGTCGTGCCAGATGGAGCCGATGGAGAAGTTGAGGGCGTTGTGGGACAGGAGGACGCCCTTGAGCGGCCCGAGGTACCCGAGGACCACAGGATCACGGCTGTGCGGTTGCGCGCGGCTTCGGACGAGTAGTTGACGGCGCGAGGCAGCGGCTTGGCGAGGGTGAGGAGCTCGGTCCAGTCGCGCTCGGAGGAAGAAGAAGAGCTCTTGGGAGAGGCGAGGGGTACGTCTCGTTGGCGACCTCGACGGTGAAGAGGGGTACGTTGGCAAAGTAGGCGGCGTCCTCCTGGGCAGCGAGGGCGGCCCTCATGGCCTTGACGCAGTTGGTGGCGGTGATGATGGCGCGGGGCCGAGCATTTTGCAGGATCCACGAGATTTCTTCGCTCGTCAAGGCGGGCGATACCAGGGTGGCCGTGAGGCCGGAGGCGAAGGCGCCGAGGACGAGGGTGGGGAAGGAGAGGCAGTTGGGGACCTGGATCAGGACGACGGGGGCGACCTCGGGGCGGGCGCAGGTGGGCGTCGGGGGCAGGACATGGACGTTGTTGGGGTCGAGGCCGAGAGACTGGAGGGCGCCGGCGACGGCGAGGGAGTCCTGCTTAAGCTGGCCATGGGTGACGGTGCGGCCTGTTGCAGAGGAACGGGGCAGTTAGCTTCAGGAAGCAGCGAGAAAAAACAAAGAGATGCATTTTCAGGCGCATAGGCGGGGTGCCGCTCTAGAGAAATGGCGGCAGACAGAAACACGAAGGCGGCCTTCTTGGCCGGGATAGGAGCTTACCGGACTTGTAATCAACAAAGATGGGCCTGCTGGGCTCGATGGGGGCGAGTTTGTGGGCGGCGGGGACGAAATCGCACTCCTCCTGGAAAGGGTTGTTGGCGATGAACTCGAAAATGTTGTGCTCGGGGAAGCGCTTGGGCACACCCCGGAAATGGCGACCTGCTTAGCCATTGTTGCTTCAGGAAAGTCCCAGATTCACCGAATCGCTAGAGGGAGACACAAAAAGAAAAGATGCAACGGTTCGGTCTGGCGCGCGTGCGTCGATAATGCTTGAGTGGTTCTCGAGGGGCTCTCTCGCCGGTGAGGAGCTTCGAAAGCGGTGAACTCGAGGAGGCGCTACTCGAAGGGTTATGAAGGCCAGGAAGCTCCTTGTTCGCTTGGAGGGATTGTTTCCTGTCCAAAAGAAGGCAAAAAGAGGACGAGGCTAGCTTCACGATATGCTCAATTGGCTCAAAGCAAGAAAGACTCTTGAAACAGACAGCTCAGGGAAAAAAGGGTTACAGGAAAGGGAAAGTCAGAACACGGGAAGCTCGAAATAAAAAAGGGACAGGAATAGAAAAAAAGAAATCCAGGGACCACCGCCTCGAGGACTTCCCTTCCCTTTCGTTCGCTTTTGCTCGTTCTCCTTCCTTTTGGTGCAATACCCAATTTGTCACAGGAACAAAACGGCCAACCGTGGAAATCTGCCAGCTTACCCGCAGGAACTCGTTGCTTTCTGCCGCCTGGGCCACAGGCTACAGGGTGTAGCTTCGTGGCCCCTCTCTCCTCGCAGGTTCAAAGCGAGACTCGGCAGTTGCATTTCCCGCCGCCGCCGTGGTCAAGGTGGCGGCAAGCAGCAGAAAAAAGTACAACCACGCGCACGAAGGATGTGGGGAAGGGGAAAAAGTAGTTATCCATCCTATCCTCTGGACTAAGCCTATCAATGGTCGCGCTCGTTCGGGGTACGACGGGCCAACCGCGCTATGGATTCTTTTATGCAGTTGGCGGCGGCATTCGTGCGCCGTGATTTCGAGAGAGTGATTTGGACTCGCTCACGCACACACACTCTCTCAGCTTCTCGGGGCAAAATCTCGAGTGAGATGGGGTTCGTCCAACAGCGAAAAGGATAGGGTCTCGGTTCGGGCGGGGTGGGGGTTTGATTGGGGTACCCAGAGATCGACCCGGGTCTCCCTTGAGGGGAATTGAGGCTGGAGTGGGGAAGCCTGGAGCTCTCTTGGACGACGCTGCTTCGTCTTGCTGCCGCGGATGTTCCCAAGTTGCTCATCAGCCAGCCGGATGTCGGGCGATCAAGCCCGTGCTAGTGTCGTCGAGCTGTAAAACGAGAGGCACCTCTAGCTGCGTGATAGGCGAGCCTCGCCCGTATTGTTCTCCACAAGTCCCTTTTGCTCCAAAGACCCCAGGTCAAAAGGTCAAGGTGGCAGTGGGGAATTCCCAAAGCTCGGTTGTCAGGCAGAGACAAGCGTGCATCGATTTGATCCTTCCCTCTTCTGGCACTCTCGTTCGGGAGTTGCACGAACGCTGTGAAAGAGGGCCTGGAGCCTTCCGAAGGCGCTGTAAGTCACGTGGACCGCCCTGAACTTGGTGGGTAACGCGGCTGGTTGCCCACGCACCAAATTTGCCGGGCGCAGGGGGATTCCACAGCCGAATTGAACCGACACCACCGAGGCACCGCTAAAATGATTAGCCCCATAGTTTTTGATCCAGGAAGATGGGGAAAAGTGACCGCGAGAGGGTGCCGAATCGGATTAATCTGTTTGATGGGCGACCAGCAGCGCAATTGGCCCAGGGAAACCAACCAACGAAACAGTTGGATAGAGCGGGACCTCAAACCTCGAATTTGGTTCATATGTTCTTCGACTAGATCCGAACTTCATGGCCGATGTGGGGAACTATGAATTTATGGGTGTTTCGCGATGATTGGTATCGCCTCGTGGTCTTTTGTTGATTGCAACTTCCCCACCTTGGTGGGTAAGGGAAAGAGCGAACAAGAGCCTTCAAAGTCGAACCTGCCTCGCATATCGCAAAATGTCACTCAACATCTTTCACAAGAGACGAAAACTGGGAAAGAGCATGGGGGAGAATCTTCGCCCGCTAATTTACGGATATCATGGTTGCGTTTGTATTTACGCTGGAGTCATAATCTCATGAAAAACACCCCGTTCGCCCTTGGTCTTCGGTTGCGAACATGCTCAATGCTAGAGGGGACTGACGCCCCGCAATTGGAACCAACTCCTTGGAACAACGTGAGCCTTCATCGGCCGTGGCACATTTGCACACTGACCCTCTTTTTCTTTCTCCTCAAGTCCCGCAGCGGACAGCAATCCACACAGCATCTCTCTCTCCCCTTTTTTAATCTTCCGCCGTTTCCCTGTCGGATGCCTTGCGCCTGCGGAAGCCAACCAGTTGAACTATTTCTGTCCAGAACCCGACCGGCGGGGTCTTGATGGCCGCCTCGTACGCATCAATGAGGGGACGCTGGTACACGAGATCCGCCTCGTGCGCCTTGATGACCTTGGTCTTCTTGATCACCTTCCACCCGATGAAGAGGATCGGCGCGAGCACCACCATGGTATAATTTTGCCAAAACTTCTCGACGTTGGGGGCTGGAAGCTGCTATACCCGTAGGTGAGAGTGACGATGACCTCGACCACGAGCGCGATCCACGCTGAGTAGGGCTGGAACCAACCGCAATAGGGGAACGTCTTGCGATCGACGCCCTGGGCCTGGCAGGCGCGGTAGAAGAAGATGTAGGTGACGGTCATGACGATGTAGTCGATGAGACCGCCCGCGGTTACGAGGCTCACCAGCCAGGTAAGCACGGTCGACGAGCCGTTGGACACCTGCAGGAAGGACAGCATGGGGAACAGCATGACCACAGCATAGCAGTAGATGGGCACACCCCACCGGTTGACCTTGGTGAGGACCCTCGGCGCGCGGCCCTCGAGCGCTAGGCTGTAGAGGGTGCGGATGGCGCAGTACGTGTACGTGTTTCCGGCAGAGAAGATGGAGGTGAGCATGAGGAAGTTGGTGATGTCGGGCAGCACGGTGATGCCCATGTTCTTCATGGCGATGACGTAGGGGAGGCCGCTGCGGTGCCGGAGCCCTCGATGCTGCCGTCAAGGATACCCGCGAGAGTGGGGTCGTTGTAGGGCACCACGATACCCACGCACAGCGCGCCGAGGATGAAAAAGATACCGAAGCGCCAGTACACCGTCTTGAACGCCTGCTTGATGTACACGCGCGGCCGCTTGGCCTCGGCCGCCACCATGGAGATGTACTCGGGTCCGACGATGGCGAAGCAGCCCGTCCACAGCGCGCCCAGGAATCCCTCCCACCGGCCGACCGCCCCGGTAGAGTGGAACTCGGCGAACGCGCCCGGATCCTTCCAGTACCGGAACCCGTACGCGTCGCGCTGCGGGTTGCCGCCGACCATGGTGACAAAGGTGAAGGCGAAGAGCATGAAGATGAGAATCACCTTGCCGCCCGAGAGCCAGAACTCGGCCTCGCCGTAGCCACGTACGGGGACAATGTTTAGCAAGCTATGGTTGGACACGGGAATTTTAGCAAAATGGGACTTTCGTTTTCGTCTTTCCTCCTTTGTTCCGTGGAGGGATAAAGCATGGTTTCCTTGGGCTCTTTAATTTCGATCCCCTTTTTCCTCCCCTTGACTTTTTCTTCGTCCTGGTTTACCTAGGCTTTCTTTTCACTTTGGAGACGAAGTAGATTCGACATCAAAAGTATCACCACACTCACTCAATCACAGTGGATGCAGAGCCGCAAGATCACAGATCGAGGGGAAGTTCCCGAACAGATCACATACCCATAGGAGAAACCAGGATCACACGCCTATTCACACCAAAGGAAAAGAAAAAGGAGAGGGAGAATGACACCAAGGGTGGATGTCTTTCAAATCATGGAGGGTTTGGGGGAAAACTTACCCATAAGCGATGATGCATGCCGCGCAAATGCCCGCTGTCGGGCCGGGATCTGTCACCTTGTCGGACCAGAAGGAAAGCACGAGGTTGATGGCGGTGATCTCAAAGGGGATGAGAAGCGCCTCGTAGAAGAAGAAGTTCCAGCCGGCCATGAAACCGAGGGCGTCATCGACCCACAGACCCGCGAGGCGGATAAAGCCGCCACTCACGGGCATAAGTGTGGTCATTTCGGTGATGCAGTTGTTGACGAGAGCGAGGACACAGCTGTACAGAGTGTAAGAGATGAGCAGGGACCCGGGGCCACCCTGGCAAGGCCGCCGCCGATGCTGATGAACATGGCGGTGCCAATGGAGCCGCCAATGGCGATGAGCTGAATGTGGCGATTCTTGAGCCGGCGGTGCAGAGCGTCGGGGTTGTCGGAGAGCTGGCTGGCCGTATCCCCCATGCTCATGACTGAGCCGGAGGAGGGCGGTAGGGCCACATCGCCCTTCTTCTCTTTGTCGCTAGGGAGCCCTGACATGTTGGCGAGTCCTGCGGTGGGAGGGGCGTGTTTGGTCTTGGGGAGGTTTCCTTTAGGTGCGGCGTGATGCCATGAAGGGTGGAGTTTGGGGAATGTGCCTGTTGAAGGGGATGTACACGGTAGGAAGAGGCAGGCGAGGCTTTACATGAAAGTCTAAGAGCCAAGGAGTGGATGAGAATAGATGTGAGGCGGGGAGAAGAAGAGGGAGAACGGGAAGGAGATGCAAGATATTGAGAAAGACGGAGAAAAGCAAGATCGGCAGAAAGAAGCCCCGGGCAGCAGGGGGAAAGGTAAGGACTATATGTAAGACTCGGAGGACCAGCGCAAACCAGCAGAGGAAGAAGCCATTCGAGATGAGAGAAGGCTACACCGCCCGGCTTAACTTTAGTCCCTCGCCCCCATGGGGGCATGGATGGGGGACGGCCGAAATGACACATGCGAACCGAACGCGCGGAAACGGAGAAAGTCTAAACTACGTAACGAATTCAGATCGCGCGGCGACTAGAATCTGTCTACCTTCCCTCCCCTCTCGAGGACCCTCACTTTTACCGATTTCCAAACATGGACATACTCCGCGCGTGTGGGGGCGAACTCAAAAAGATAAACAGACAGTCACACAAAAAATGAGGGAGGAACTCAGTATGACAAGAGGCAGACACACAATAGAAAGAGTGGAACTCAAAAAGAAGAGATGGTGGCGCGCTGTCGGATAGCGCTCCCAAGGTTTTTCGTCCGTCCCTCTTTGGGCGTTGCACCAATCGTACGGGTCCCAGCCGATGTCTACCCAAGTGCCGTTCAGGGCGAGGAGGGTCTATGGGAGGGCCATATTCTGTACTCTCTTCTGAACTATAACGCCAAGGAGAACAATGAAGGGCCAAGAAAAGTAAGAAACGGACAAAGGAGAAAAAAAAAAAGGCCGAAAAACCACATCAAAAGAAGAGACCCTGCACCTTGGCTCATGACGTAGGTCTCTCTTTTGCGCTTCTCTCTCTTAAGAGGGTTTTTCGAGAAAGGCCAGGACGACAATGATTGGCCTTGCCCCCTTGGAGGGATCGAGAGCTAAGCTAGATGAGGCCTAGAAGAAGCAGAGGCGAGACGTCGAGCCATTGCCCTGATGAGAAAAACAGCACGAGATGGGGCCGGGAGTGGGGAGTGGAGAGAGGGGGCGGAGGGAGAAGTAGGTCTTGGCAGAAAGAATGGGGCCTTTGCGGCGGGACCGCGTTTGCGCGGACGGAGCGAGCGAGACGGAAGGGAGGAGGATTGCCAAGGCGGACGCGGGTACGAGGGCCAAGAGGATAATGAGGCGATGGGGTTTGCTGCTGCTGGTGGAAGCGGAATGGTCTCTTTCTTTTTGTTGTGCCGTTGCTGATTTCTTCTAGGACCAAGATGGGTTTCGTTTTATTATGTGCCCGCGTGACTAGTTGCTTCTTTGGATTCTTCTGTTTCCTTTTTCACTCTTGCTTTGCTTTGAATGTTTGAGTTGCTGCGAAGAGAGAGCTTAGCTTTTCTTAAGCTGTGGCTTGTATTTTCCGTTTCCTATTTGTTCTTTCAGGCCAGGCTCGTTCTCGTTGTCTTTTCTCTTTATTCGACTGCTTGTACCACCAATTCGAATAAGCCAAGCCCCGCTTCGCATGGGAAAACGGAGGACCGGCAGTGCGCCGTGCCGTGGTCTAGAACTTCGGCTTCGGAGATGCACCGTTCGGGGTGGTATCCCCTACGTCATAGTGCATAAACAGCAGGGAACTTGACGAGGGTTCTTTTGCTATGGTAATGGTAATCCTGGTACCCTCTTCTCTTCCTCGACATGTATTCTTTTGTCTCCTACTTGTAGGAACCGGCCTCCTCCGACCACAGATGATCTTTTCTCTCTCCCACTGAGGATCGAGATGTACTTTGAGGAACGGTCTCCTCCAGAACCGGGGCGATCGACAAGGGAGTTTATTATTATAATATTTTCTCGCAGTTTTACCGAGTACTCCATCTGCGCTCTTCGGTTCCCCTCTTGGGAAAAAGATTGTTCCTCTTCGGGGATGATCACCTGTGGGGGATGGGATCAGCAGCGGAACCACATTTCAAGAGAGAGAAAAGGGGGATGCAGAAATAACAGCAAAGGATCGGATAGTTGAAAGATGATGGGCGGTTTCTGCAAGTGTCGATATTTTAGATTCTTGACTAGTCCACGAACCCTTTGCGTCCTCCACATCTTCTAGAACCGTCAAGCTCCTCTGGAGCAGCACGTGGAGATGGAGCGAGGAGAACACATAGATGTATTGAAAGATGGAGACAAGATTGATCTCGGGCGAAACCTCTTGCTCCTCATAAAGCAAAGCACCAGGAAAGCAACGATTCCATGTCGAGCAACTCTGCTCTTTCGCATCGCTCTACACTAGCGTAAGGCGCAGCGCAAAGTGTCAGGATCTTGAATCTACCCATGCTCGAGAAAGAGATCTCTGCCAAGAACTCGCGACTCGCACGATTTTTTTCTTCTTCATTCTTTCTTCTGTCCTCCTTGCGCCACCCGCGAAGCAATCGGCTTATTCCCTCCTCGCCTCTCTCCACACACCTCCGTTGAAAAGGCCCCGTCTCTTCCATCCAACGCTTGCCAAGCAAGGCAACGTCACCTGAGTAGGCTTTCCAAGACCAAGATGAGTGAGAATCGACAAAAGAAGAATCAGAGAAGTTAAAATCAAAGGGAGCTTAGTGGGGAGGGAAAAAGAGTGTCCACCTTCCACTCTCGCTTTAGCCTCGAAATGGCCTAGCGAGCAAATTGCAAGTGGCGAGATGCCGGCGGGTTGGCCCCGGGCGGAGAAGGGAGGCGGCGCTCGGTTTTACTGTGGTGTTTGCCCCGATTCTGCCTTGTTTCGAGTCGATGGGGCCATTTTTCTGCTTCCCTTTGTCGCTGGTCCTGGCCTGAGGATATTATTATTCACGGACCAGGTCAGGCTTCTTTCTGAGTTGTAGCGGAGAAAGTGAGGCTCAGCTGGCGTTAAACTAGAATGGTCTTGGTCTACAATAATGAAACAACGTAGGATGAATTGGGAGACTGGGGGAAGAGACGGCCAAAAAAAAGAAAAGACAAAAGACAAAAAAAAAAAAAAAAAGACAAAAAACATACAACACCGGGGATTCGCTGGTCGTCACCGACCCAACTACTAGTCCGGCGCTTCGCAGCTTGTGTACAGGGGAGCGGACGGGACCCTCAATATTCTACGAGCTATGGTCGTATGTACCTGAATTGGCCAGTAAATTCACTTATAAACCTCAACCAGAAGACCAAACCTACCCTTGGCTACAAGAACGAGGTTTAGACCGAGATCCTGCCAAGCCTCGACCAAGGAAAATCGCAACACAACCCTTCACTGGCTTGGCTGGGCCTTTTGCGCTCCAATGACTTCTGGGACATGGAGACAAGGGATGGCTTGCTATAACGGAAGCCCTGCACTGATGAATTATGCGCATCACGACTTGGTGTGGACAGGTGGAGATGGTATAAACCGAAAGCATGGCCCATCAGGGCCCTGAACAGGCAATCACCCGAGTATGTTTCGTTTTAATGGTCTTGTACGATCCGTTTTTTGAGATTTACTATCGAAGAGTGCTCATAGCCAAATTTCCTACACATTCTTAAAATCCCTTCCAACATCTTGGTATTACCATTCGTCCTTTTGTCCTTCGTCTTGGCTTTAAAAAAGAAACTCAAGAAATTTACACGCGGATGGCGCCGACATCCTCGTCCTCATCCCACATCACCTTCATCGAAGCCGGGAACGGCGTAAACGTAGCCCAGTCCTCGGTCAAGTACGCCGAGGTGCCATCCGGACGCGCCACCTTCTTGAGCTGGCCCTGCGGCCCGGGCACGCGGCGGACGTTGCGGCGCCGGAACAGCGCGCGGAACAGTTCCGTGATACCCACGCGCGTGGCCTCGAGGGTGAGGCACTCGTCCGGACCCTGGCCGTAAAGACGTACGAGTCGAGCGGGCGGCGGGGTCCGCCGTCTCCGGGTCGGGGAATTGGCTTCCGTCGCGGGCGAGAGAGACCTGTGAAAAAGAAGAAACCCCAGTGTTAGAAGAGTGCAAGTAGATTACGGTCCAGGGAAAAAAAAAAAAAAGACTTACAGAGCTTGTAAAGACGCGGTCGCCCGGCGAGATGGGCACCTCGCGCCCATCGGCCTCCACGATGACGTCGTGCACCGTCGCCTCGCGATCCAAACCAGCGTTGCCCGCCAGCCGGATACCTTCCATGGCGTAGCCCAAGAGGACAGCGTCGGTGTCCTCGCTCGAGGGGCGCTGGCCACACGGCGCAGCTCCTCGAGGTAGCGGTTGCCGTCGGGCGAAAGGTAGTAGTCGACGGCCTGGGCAAACTATAGTGGGAAAAAGAAACAACACGTTAGTACTCATCAAGCCATTTTCTGTTTCATTTTTAGGATCTCCAAATCACTTACCACCTCAGCCTGGTTGGGAACCAGTGAAGCCAACGTCGGCAAAACCTGCCCCCACGCAATCTCGTGGTTCGACAGCCCCTCCTTCGCCAGCTCCTTCACCATGGCCCTTCCATGCCCCGACAGCGCATCCTTCTTGTTCAGCTTCTGCGCAAACGCGACCGACGAGCCCGACCGCAGCGACTTGATGTTCCCCTCAATCACCTGCCCGAGCCTGCTCGCCTCGGCCTTGGCGTCCTGCAACCGCGGGAACGAAGCCACGGGATCATCGTCCGAGAAGATGCGCGCGTAAATCACCGCCAGCGCGCGGTACAGTTCCTGCTCCGCGAACACGCCCCGCGGATTCTCCTCGCTCTTGAGCGGCAGCGCAAACACGCGCGAGGCAAAATGCACGGGCAAGAGGTTGCCCACGTCCCGCACCAGGTCCACCTGCGTCGTCCCGCCCATACGGTAGCTCTTGCGCGCCAGGATCCGCTCCGACGCCTCGGCGTAGAACGCCTTGACGTCCGCCTGCCAGCCGACCGTCCGCAGCTTGGTCCCCAAGCACTGCTGCTGCGGCTCCGAGCCGCCGCCGCCGATCGCCGACACCTTGAACCGCGCGCCGTCCTTGCCCAGCACGGCGGCGAGGCCCTCGTCGCACGAGGCGGGGCGGTACTTGCCCGGGTTGGCGAGGACGTACTTGGCCGCGGCGTGCGAGCCGACGACCACGCGCTCGCCCTGCCGGCGGGGCCGCTCCCAGTCGAAGCGGTCGGCGCGGCGCAGACTGGTGAGGATGTTTAGGTTCTCCTTGGGCGTGACCATGGGGTAGTGCGCGTACACCGAGTTGGGCTTGAAGTGGTTGGGGAACGCGCGGATAAACAGCTTGTAGAAGACGCAGCCGTGGTTCAGGTCCAAGTCGTACTCCACCTCCTTGTAGCCCCAGCTCGTGAGCCCCCGCGGGTGGTACTCGGTCGTGTAGAATCGGTCGCCGCGCACCAGGCACACAGCGTCCGACAGCACGACGCGCGAAATCGTATACGTGGGCGCGATACCCACGCCCGGCACCATGGGCGCCTTGGCCGCCTCGGACACGAGACCGGGGTACAGCTCCACGTTGTCCGGGTGCTGGTACAGATGGCGCAGGTGGCTCGCCACGTCCTCGTCGGGGTTGATGTCCTCGAAGGTCTCGTACGGCTTGAGGCCAAACTGCTTGCGGAACTCGTTGAGTCCCGCGCAGTTCCACTTGCGGCCCTGGAGGATGCCCATGATCTCGATGGGCTTCATGACCCGCGGCACGTTGCGCGCGCCAAACGCGCCCGCCGGGTCCTCCACCGCCGAGGCGATGCAGTCCACCAGCTCGTCGTCGTTGAACCGCTTCGTGACCGGGTCCCTCTCGTACCCGCCAAACGTGCGCTCCACCGGGTCGTCGGGGATCGACCGCTCGTACTGCACAAACGCCACCATCATGTCGTGCGTCGTCATGGTCTCCGCCCGGTCGCCCAAGATGGAGCCGTAGAATTCCCGGATCCACTTGTCGTCCTTGTCCGAGATGCACGAGTGCCAGCGGTAGCACAGGTTGAATTCCGCCGACACGATGTTGCCCGTGCCTCGCTCCGCTCCGTCCTTGGTGCCGACGTTGATGCCCATCTCCTGGCGGGGTCCAGCGTCCACGTGGTGTCTACGCGGTTCAGGTTGACAATGTTGCGCACGTAGTCGACCAGCGTGATGTTGATGTACAGGCCGCTCGTCACCAGCCGCGCCGTCTGGAACAGCTCCTCGTCGTACTTCTTCCACGCCGCGTCCTTGGCCGGGCCCTCGGGGAGGTCCGCGCGGGGCTTCGTGAACCGTCCGCCCTCGTTGATCTCGGCGAGGTTCTTGGCCACGTAGTTGTGGAAACGGTTAAACATGATGAGTAGCACGGGCACACCGGGAGGCATGCCAATCAGACGCTTATCGGCAAACGAGTCCACCTTGAGCAAGCCATCCTTGAATGTGCGAATCGAGTCCTGCATGGTCTGGTTGCTTCCGTACAGGGGCGAGAGGTCGAGGTAGGACGAAGTCTTGGTCTTGGTGGAGTCGCGGTAATCGGTCCAGAACAGATCTGTATCACCATTAGAATTCCCGGATTTCTTTTCCTACGAATTGGGGCGTTGTGGCTGGGGACACGCTCGCTTACCGTGAATGATGATGGACGCCCAGTACCAGAGAATGCTGGAAACATTGTTGGGGTGCTTCTTGTACTCTCGTCGGGCCATGACAGCCTCAAACACCTGCTCAGGGTCCGGAAGCGCACCGAGGGGAATCTTGCCGGGCCGCACGGAGCGGGCATAGGTGGACCCAGCGGCGCCGAGGTTCGGGAGAAGAGGGTTCTAACAAGGAAACGGCGTAAACGATTAGCTCAAGTTCTCCAGCATCTTGGACAACGCCGTTCAAGCCGCGTGCGGGCGATACGGGTATGGGGGAGAAAGCAAAGAAACATACGTTGTGCGACCCATCTGCCGTCCTGAACCTGTAGAGATCACCGATATAGAGAAGGGGAGGGTGATCGAGCGTGTTCCACAGCTCCGTGAGAAAACTGTTGGTCAAGTTCTCACGGAGCCTCGATTGGTGAGGTAGATCGGCGACGAGTCCAATCACGCGCTCCATGATCATGGTCTTGTCGTCCGTGATGCCTCGGTTCCTGAGCTTGTTCTTGACCATCTCCACTAAGGTCTTGACATCTATACGGAATTACACCCGTTAGCCAATGTTGCCGGTGCATCCACCCACTGCAAGATCATAAAACGCTTCATCTGTGTGCCAAGAGCAGCCATCAACTACTAGGACTCGACTCACCCGCCATGCTAATGGTACTGAGATCCTTGCCCAGCTTAGGCCGAGTCTCGACCACCCGATACCTCCCACCGCCGAGGTCGGTGGGCAGAGGTCTCTTGGACAGCATCTTGAGCGTCGCCTTGAAGCTAGGCTCCTTCACGGCCTTGGGTCCAGCGGCGAGGGGCCCTCCATCCGTCGCTCCTACGGGTGTGAATTTGGCCGGGGCCGCAGGCCCGGAGCTGCTGCTGCCATTGACCTCGCTCAAGACGGTCTTGGCCTGGTGCTTGTCTCCGTTGCCATTGGTGGCGCCATTGCCATTCGCCTTGTGGCCGTTGCCGTTGGTGGCGCCGTTACTTCCGTTGCTTGACATTTCTTTTGTCTTGTCTGAAAAGATAAGAGGGGTTGTAAGTGTACGGACGATTGATCACAGCTTCGGATCCGGTTTCTCGTTCTGCTTTCGGGTATCAAAAAATAAGGGTATCAAGAGAAGGGGGTATCTGGGGTATAAGCCACGATGTGGAAAAAGGGGGATTAGATTGACAACCAAAAGCCTCCTGCCGCTCAGTGTTACGAGGTCTTTCTCTGCTTACAGGAGAGATGGTAAGGAGAGCAGTAGGCAGAAAGAATCGAGGAGGGAGGGAGCGTGTGCAACAGAGCGACCTGCCCTTCATCGGGCAAGATGCGGCGCGGCGGCTCCCTCATATACCCATGGCTCCCTGCATCTCCTCTTCCTGCAACTCCCCTCCTCCCCACGTCCCACGCCCCCGTCCCCTCATTTCATCTTCTCGCCGGCTTCTCTTGCCTTTTTTTCCCAGGTGTGAATGTCATGACGCGCGCCTTTGGGGCCGCCACTCCCAGACACGGCCCCGGCCCGCCTCATTTCACGCCCCCCTCCCCTTCCCTTGAACGCAACTTCGCCGATTGGGGGCCAGGAACTGTGAGGTTCCTAGACAATCGAACCGACCAGTCGTTTTGCGTAAAAAGTCTCATCCTCACAAGCCGCCCGTCCTTTTTTTCTTTTCACACACGCCATCTCCAGGTTGGCCTGGCTACTGATTTTCCGCGCTACCGCATGCAAGAGCCGCTGAGGACATATTCCAAGGCCGAGTTGACGATCATCATTCACTCCAGCCCACACCCACAACCCGGCCGGCTTTCTGTTATCCAAGGGTCACGATTGGATCAAGAAAGAGGCTCATGTCGGTCTGGGATAGTGTCCACAAAAAGCAACCGCCCCGGTAAGCTAACCTAAGCTACTGAGACCCTTCTTCCCGAGCCCCTCGCCGCGCCTCGAGCCCCTTAGCAACAACACAAGCACACGCCTCATGCTAGCACCTAGCTCGGTTTTTCTTTTGATGCGCGGGTTGTGGAGATGCGATGGGGCGCGTACCGGGGGCCTCCTGGTTCTCTGGATATCCACGTAGCCGTAACCGCACCTCGTCCACGCACATACGGGGACGCATGTCTCGGCGCCAGACCCGTTCGGAACCCCCATGTCTGGCTATGGATGACGGCATCAAGAAATGAAGAGAGGGGAGGCGAAAGAGTGAGGAGCAATGGGCGTCGAAAGACGCACGTACAGCGTATACCGAGGTAGCCCCCAGAGGGATTGCTTCTGCCGCTGGTGGCTTGGGCGGCCCACCGATCTTCAGCGTCAATCCCTCTAGAGCAGGGCCCCAATAAGCCGTGTCGGCCTCTCAGGTCACCAGGATATCTGATTTCCACTGTACTTGACTCGAGAAACCCAATTCACAGGACGTGCACCTCCCTAGTTTGGGAGTATTGCTTAAAAGGTCTGTTTGGGAGGTTTCCCGTTCGAGCTCCAACCAGCCAGCCACCGACGGTGTGATCGGCCTTTATATTGGGGATCCAGATCTCGGCAGGCGCCGCAGGTTCCACCTTTCGAGGCTCTTGCCCCCGGGAACAGCATGAAATTGGCAGTCTGTCCAAGAAGAACCCACCCCATCTCAGCTCTACCCGTAACCCCATAACCCCATAACCCAAAGAAAATCCTAAATACAATACCTCTGGTTGGTCGAATATGCAGAATTGCTGGCAGTGATTCTTTTTCTTTTCTTTTTGGGGCTCTTTGACCCTCCCAAATCTTCCTTTTTTCACGGTATGTGCGGGACGGATCACTAACGACCCCTCAAGGAGATTTGCTGGGCGATTATTAGGAATACTTCCTTTTTCGCCTTCCATTTCCTTTTCCCATATTCTCTTTCCTTTTGTTCTCTGTAATTTCCTCGAGCTGAACCTGAACCCTTTGGGCTCTCTGTCGTCGCCAAGAGTATGAGGCATGGCCCAGAGACAGCGGATTCGCTATTCGTCGCTCAGGGGATTCCTCGTGCTCTTGAAAGTTGACGGCTCAACTACCTCGGTACAGTATGTGGTTCCTCCTTCTCTCTTTCTCTTTCTTTTTTCCTCTTTCATTTCTCATTGGTTTTTGGCCTTGGTTTCTTCGGCCACTCCGTGCCCAGAGCAAAATCAATGCCCCCAATCCAGTTGCCCGAGAAGTGCTGGCCAAGTCTGTGGCGTCCCAACACCTCAAACAACGAGAACACCCATCTCGGTCAAGTTATTTTTCGGGCCTGATTGGATACACTTGAGGGCGTGAAGACTGTCCTTGTGCTGTCGGTTATGCGGATCTCTGTGCTAGTATCCAGCTGGCTACTGCATGGCTTGCCGTAAGGGATCGGTTGACTGGCTGGCTCAAGTGCAGAGCAGGATGTCCTCTCAGCCCTCATTCTGCGGCCTCCACTTCTTTGGTGATCATGGCTTCATTATCCTGAGCGGGCGGCGCCCCGCAGATCGCACAAAAATTCAGACTCCCAAGCAATCAGACGCCCTGTGATTGCAGAGAGGCGCTCAAAGACCAGCGGCTGCATTGGCCTGGCCCACCTATTCGCTGGCCCCCTTCAAATGAGAAAAAGACCCAACCAAAGGGTGAGCTAACTTGTATGGTCTCCGCTTCTGCTTCTCTTCCTTTCAATACGGTCTCGGGTCAACCAGTCCAAAAAGAACGGCTGCCCCGCCTGCTCTACATTAGCTCTTCAGGGACTCAGCCCTTCCCGGTCGAGTTCACGACCTAAAAGGCGGGCATGGGACTTGGACCTCTCCCCTGGGGTGGGCGGCCAAACCCTCCTCTTGTCCAAGGTTGGCTGGGAAAACGATTCGCGTTTCCGTCCACGCTTTGATTAAGATGCTCAATCACGCTGGTAAATAGAGGGAATTCCGCAATTTGTAGCATCTTTGAGCTCCGAGCTGGGACGCACATTTGCCTCTCTCAACCTGTCGTTCTTTTTCCCCGACCAAACCACCCACCCCTGCAAGTGCTGCCGCCACCCCTGAACAGTTCTTCATTCCCAATAGTCTTCCGAGTGACATGCACTTGACCTTCCAACCCGCCCCTTGTTGCTTCCCGCATCTCCAGCTGTTCCGGGGAAACCAGCTGCAGCTCCATCCACTTGTCCTTTGTTCGTGCGGGAGCTATCGACAGGGCTGCGTGATTTCCCGCACCCGCTCTGGGCTGCCGACCCTCCATCAGTTCCGGTAAGCCTCCCAGTCCCAGCCCAACCGCGAGTCGTGGGGACGTCTATAATTCTTCAATATGACTATCACGTCGGAGGCTGAGGGCGCACGAAACTCGGCCGCTCTCGCCTCACTTAGATGCTGCTTGTAACCCAGCAGGAAGAACAGCTCCTCGGGTCAAGCGGAGGGAGCCACCAGGTGGACCTGGTTTTTTTCTTGGCTGGCCTGTGAAAGAGAACTTGTTTACTTTGACCTCTCTTTTTCCTTTTTCAACAAATTCACCGCTGATCAGTAGCTAGGATTGGCCCAACACCTGCGACACGGACAACCCAGCATGCCTTAGTGGACGCCACTAAAAAATGAGTTGAAGTCGTTTCTTTTCTTTCGGTCGGATCCCAGCGACCACTGGGCGACCAGTATTTTCCCGAGTCTGCTTGGAAGTGAGCTTGGTCGTAAAGCTAGCAATCTGCACCCGTATCCGTGAAATGATGTGTGTGATGCTGTGTCGCCCCAACCACCCTCGAGCCAGATAGAGGAGATCTAATGCCATGACGTACTCTACCTAGGGCCGAGCTGTCCCATGAACGGCGCGCTTCTCACCATCGCGGATAGCAAGCAGTATGGTACCGTCGCAGTAAAGGATCATTAGGCTTTTCCCTACCAATTCCTCCCAGTAATAATCAACCAGTGCTCATCGTCGCCTCTTCCATAATCGCTTCAATCTTGAACACTTCTCTCTCTCTCCCTTGCCCGTTTTGTCTTACCAACCACGCTCGCCACCAGGCAGGTTTCAACACTAGCCTAGACGTATCCGGACCGTTTATTGCTGGCCGAGACAATTCTTGGCCAACGCTATCCCATTATGGCGAAAGAGGATCATTCGTATCACTGTGTGCTATTCTCGAGAACGCCTCTGAGAGATATCAATATCAATATCAATGAAAGGGGGTACCTTTAGGATATAGCGGGCTGCGGAGGGAGCCGGTGTGATGTGAACGTAATGGTGGCACTCGGAAGGAAGCGCTGCTTTGGCCTCTGACTTGCTGTTAGTCATCCTACCACAAATTGGGCAGGTGGGTGCTAGGCCCCGCCGACCTGCACCTTCCCATGAGCTACACTTTCTATCGTCACAAATTTGTTTTCGTAGCTGCTTGGCCGGTGATAGACCTCGTTAGTTTGCGTGAATGTAATCGTCGACGGGTCTAAATGTAGAAGATATCGTGATGCTCGGCATAGTGCTCCTTTTTTCGTAATTCCCTTCCTTGTCAAGTCCTTCCTGCTCTTGGAGTATTAGCACACCCACAACTCTTAAAATTAGGCGGTGTGAGGCGGCAGAGCCCACGCTTTTGAAGAAGCTTCTCCGTTCCAGCAAGCGCGACTCGTGACGAAAATTGATGGCCTCGCCTGCGACTTCCTTCGGCTTTCCATCACGGGCCACGGTCAATCGCCCACTTTGCCCCGGTAATTGATGCTACTACTCGAGAGCTCCAGGATTCTCTCCCTCCGCCGCCTCGCGGCTGTCTCGGGCGGCGCCATGCTTCCTCGCAGAGGGAGGTGCTCTCAAGGGAATTCTCGTCCCCAAGGGCCCCGTTGCAGAACAGCTCGCGGCGACCAACGTGTGGAAGACGCAGAGGTCAAAGGTGCTTTCCACGGTAAAGGGGAGAAGACGAGGATTAACGTTACTAGCGAAAAGCTCTGCCGTACGTCCCCTACCCTCTGCCCCATCCTTTACTGTTTCTCTTCTTTTTCGTTCCACGCCGGTTCTCCCGTCCTGTCTTAACGTGCCAATGTAAATTGCTAACCTGGCTCAATTGGATATGTAGAGGACATCGGAAGGTACCTCGGCCCTCACTTCAGCGCCATGTTGGCTGCGACCTCATTGATCTCTTCCCCGGCGCGGGAGTCTGGAGTCGCAAGCTACGCGACCTCATCAAACCCCGATCGCACATCCTCATGGAACCCGACGCGGCCATCTACGCCCCTTTCCTCGAACCTCTGACGAAAACCCGGGCACCAAGATTATACCAAAATCCGGTCTACTATGGACCGATCTCAAAGAGGTCCTCGACAGCTTACCCCACCAGACTCGACTCGATCCCCAGTCCCCAACCCCGCCCGCTCGAAACGACACCCTACTCGTGACGGCGAACCTAAGCGTGTACCCCAAATCCCGTATGACCACGCTCTACCTATATCAATTGCTATCTGCTATTCGCTCCGGCACTCTTTTCCAAGAGTACGGGCTAGTGCGGATGCTCATATGGGCCAGGCCCGAGGATATACGCTCAACCATCCTACCCATGACCGTGCAGGCCCGCGGAAGGAGTGCGGTGGAAGCCGAGCTGGCCTGCGAGTGGATCAACGAAGTCGCCGGCCTGGATAGCCAGGACCCAGTCTTCCAGTCCGCCATCTACCGATCCAAGCGGTCGGGCGGCCCTCGCGACCGCGCCATCGAGCTACAGAGCGCCTACCAGACGCTGCAAAGACTCCTCAGCCAGGGAAGGACGATCCCTCGGGGCAGAGACACGAAGCTGATCAAGGAGGCCAAGGCCATGATCAAGGACCAGGTGACGCCTACACCCAAATTCGCACAATCCCCGCCGTCGCTCTCCCTTATCAAGACGAGCTCGACGAACTAGAAGACGCGTTCGACGCCGGCGAATTCGAAAAGGGCTCGACGGAGCACAAGAGGTTGAAACGGCTTCAATACCGCCGCAACAACGACACCAAGCAGGCGGGCTCGTACGTCGACCTCCTTCAAGAACACGCCGAGCTCGCCCAGCTGCACGCGAGCGGGGCCACCAGCGCCGAGGAACTCCAAGAAAGAGAGCGCCTCTGGAACGACAAAGTCGACGCGCTCAACCCCCACAGCCTATCGACCTTCCGCCTCATCCGCGACAACCTTCACCTCTTCCAGCAGGACCCGCCCGCCATGCTCTGGGACCGCCGCACCTTGGAGCCCCTAGCGGTGAAACCAGCCGAGTTCTTCCCCAACGTCGGCTGCTCCTCATCGACGTGCAGCCCCAGGCCATGAGCCCCCTCCTCCGCGGGCCCGGCGAGGGCTCCAAAGTCTTTGACCTCCTCGTCAAAGTCATGCTCCGCAACTCCACCGTGCCCGTCACCGAGCGCCTCGACGACGTCTGGCCCGACGCCGCCGCCGGTGTCCTCCCCGGCTGCGCGGGCCTGCACGACCCCGCGCGCGGCGGCACGTTTGGCCAGGGCAGGCACGCCGAGTTGTGCGCGCGTGCGCTGAACGCGGGCCAGTGGGTTGAGATGGTGGAGGCGTGGATGAAGTGGCCGTTTCGGCCTAGATGGGAGAGGTTGGAGAGGCAGCACTCCGAGGTGGAAGTGGAGGATGATGGGTCGGGCACTGCGGACGGCGAGTTTCTGCTTTGAGCTGGCGATGGACCGACTGCTTTGGACCGAAAGGGCGAAGGAGCACTGTGGTAATTTTACGGGGACTTGTATGATAGTGGAATGTACACAAACAGACATAGAGCACGATACCCCATCTCATTTGTACTATCATAACATAGATATTGGCCATAGTAGCCTCAAGGGGGAAGAAAAAGATACTACATGTAAGACCTGCAAACAAAAAGCTCAACAATACACGTAGACCTAATTCGTTGTAGTCTCTTTGGTGTTTGAGTAGCTCAAGTCTAAGCCCTGTTTTGGTCCCGGCAGCATCCGGGAGACAATGCGGGTCTCGCCACAGTTCTTCGCCCGAGCGACGCATCTCCAGCTCACTCTCAACAATGACATTTACTCATCAATTTACTCGGAACAATACGAAATGATGCAGTTTCCCTACCCCGCTCGAGTAAAAGTGTGAAGAGAAGAAAGAAGTGGGAAGAATAAGGCCGACTGCTCAAACCCCGCCCATTGCCCCTTGCAGGAGGTTGTGCTGCCGCAGCGTAACTTCAACCTTTGCCGATTCGGGAAGTTCCTGCGAAACAGGCGCGCCGCTCCCCTTCCTTGATGAAGATTCCGGGGAACCCTTGCCACCCCACAAACACAAACGTAAGAATGCGGGTTCGCGAGGATCGACCTCCACGAAGGGATTGGTCTAATGTTTATTATTCCTCCGCCTTCTCCTTTTGTGGCGACACGCCCATTCATTTTCAAAGTATCCTGCGTGTGGCCGACAGGGAAGTGTGGGTGGGAAGAGGAATGATGGGATGGCAGGACCGAGGCATCTCGACTAGACGTGTTTTAAAACAAAATCTCCGATGCCTTGATGTCCTCCCTCCCTCTCCCTCCCCGCTCTTGAAATGGCCGCCGGTGGTTGGCAGGATCGATATGCTTGTTTCCAGGATTTGTTGTCCTTCTTTCCCATTACAGAGAGGATCGGTCTACATAGGGTTTGTTTTAAGAAGGGCTTGCGAAGTTGGCAAAAACACCGAGGCTTCAAAGCATCCCATCCTCGGTTGCCAAGACTTTTTCTTCCCTTTGTATGGTTTCCTCACAATATCGTCAGAAAGTGGGAGATGCGTCCTTAAACGAATCTCTCGATGGCCACAAGTATAAAGATGTCGTGATGGAACGATGCCAAGACAGTCCAGAAAAGGATACCAGCCTCACACCGCGATAACAAAAATACAAACCTCCTACCCCCTTCCTCCCGCTTCCCACTAAGCCACTTTCAGAAAAGACTATCTAGTCTCCCCGTCGCAATCATGCTTGGCAAGCCCACTTCCCTCGTCTGCCTTTTCCTCGTCGGCCTCGTCGCCGGCCAGACATGCCACGAGCTTCCGGACACCGGCGTTGAGTTCGGCACGGCCGTCCCGATGAAGCCGGAGGACATCCCCGCGGATGCTCCGACTACGAGATCCTCGTCGGTAAGGTTTCCCCTTAGTCATTGGTCCGTGAATGTTGCGAGAATCAGCAAGACGGCTAACGCAACGCCCTTTTCTCGTATAGCTCGAGGTACTAGCGAGCCCAACGCCGCGGGTGGCAAGTTTGGCATCGTCGTAGGAGACCCGGTCGTTAGCAACACGACCGCCAAGCTCCCCGGTGCTCGCGGTTATCCCGTTCAGGTATGAGTGGTCCTTCTCTCTCTCATACTTCTAGCTCCGGTAAAGAACGAAATGTACGGTGTTGAGACCTAACACCAACCTTTGACAGTACCCCGCCAGCTCCTCCATCATCTCCGGCACCCGCCAAGGCGCCGCCGACGTCGTCGCCCGCCTCAAGGCCCAGGCCGCCGCCTGCCCCAACCAGCTCTTCTCGCTCGTCGGCTACTCCCAGGGCGCCAGCGTCATGCACTCCGCCGCCTCCGACATCCCCGTCTCGTTGTACCCCGTATCCGTTCCCTCGTCATGTTCGGCGACGGATACAACCGCCTCGGCGCCCTCGGCCGTTTCCCCACCGGCTTGAACTCCAAGGCCAAGCAGGTCTGCGCTAGCGGCGATCCTGTAAGTTATCTCGTGCGGTCAAAGGGGCATCGAAATCACGTCTTGCCCGCTTGAGAGCCAGGTCCTACCTATTGTACTATTCCCGTTACTAACGAACTTTCCTAGACTTGCGATAACAATGGCGACTGCACCTATTATCACTTGACTTATATCCGACCCGAGTATATTGACCCTGCCGTTGACTTCATCGTGAAGGGATTCAAGGGTAAGTCCCTCATTAACAAATATTCGTGTTATCTCCTCACTAGTCCCTGATACTAATAGACATGGTTGGTTAGGATGAGCGAAAAAGAAATGCAGTTAGAAAGATCGTGCCAGCAGAGGGCTATTGGGTAGTCTCGGCTTGCGGTGGCAAGATCAATGTATATAGTGGAAACTCGAAATATATGTGTATAGCGACGTGTCCCCTGTCCAGGTGGATGCACATCCACCTGCCTGGCTTTACGTTGGATTCATTTCGCATGATCTCGTTCGCTTTTCGTCGTAGAGGTGTCTGTGATGACTACCGAGCATGGTTAGTTAGCCTACAACACATGCACACACTAGTGGTGAGGAGAAGCTGGATCAAGTGCTAAACACTGGGCTTGAGAGCTCTCGCGCGAAGTTTAGCAACCACGCCCACCGGTAAGCAGAGACCGCGGACGTATTTCCATGAAAATAAAAATGACAAAACCCCCAGATACAGACGAGACTTTAGAAACCAAGGCCCAAAAAGAATTGTGCCAAGGCCAAAAATTGCCCACACCTGGGATCGAACCGGGGACCTCATCATCTCCTAGCAGTACTAGTGATGCGCTCTACCACTGAGCTATACGGGCTTTGATGCCAGGTTCTGGCGCCAACAGCATTGAAATTCGAAGACGGCAACTACGATCCCAATTAGGACCCAAGCTTCGAACACGTTGACACTGCAGGAAAGCAATTTGCCGCTGGCGAAGGAGATCTTAGGGTGTGGGGTGCTTCTCGGAGGTGAGACTCGAGTTCGACTTGTTTTGCATCGTCGAAGGGGTTGGGGTAGGGTCGTGTACGATCAGTTGAACGGGACACTACGCAAGAATATGTCAAGTTTCTGAGATACGCAACTGTTATTAGATCGGACTACTGCGGCAGGCTGAGAGATGAAAAGCACTCGGCGAAGTGCGTTGCTGATGGAATGTTGTGAGGAAGAAGAAACTTATCTTGTCAGGCTAACACACCTATCCGGGATAATGGGAGCCATCCCACTAGCAAGTTCTACATGGCATGGCTCAGTTGGCTAAAAGAAGCAGAAGCACTCTGTCCATTCTAGACGCCTCCGTTTCAGCGCTTAGAACCCTTATCCCATCATGAGAAAGCCATCGAACACTAGAGACTGGCGTGCTTAAGTCCATATCCAATGATACATATCAGCCGATGGCACTCTTCTCTTTCTTCGAGAATACTAGCCTCGTCGAGCCAAGTATCGGTCTTTGGCCTTCATTCCTGGCCCCGGCCAAAGAGTTTCTCCTCACCCTCGATACAGATAAACAACAGAGGGGATATTGGCTGGAGGGATACGTGGCAAGGTAAAGTAGGCTATGAAAGCGTACAAAGACTTAGACCACATCACCTCTAGTGCCATAACACCAAGAGAGCATATCTACGATGCGAGGATAGGAGCTGAAAGCGCTGGAGAGGGCTATCTTGCGAGTCACATCCTAGATGAAGACAGCAACTCTCGGTCAACAAACGCCTAGAGCATCAAGGCTAGGTGGAACTTTGTGACAAGCCCGGTCCTTGGAGCAACATGCCAGTTTTCCACATCATGAGGCCTCCAGAAACAGAAACTCCCCTTACATCTCTTTAGACCAGGGCGGAGGCGAGCCTATCCTAGTCAAGGAACCAGGCTCACCTAAGTGAGGGCGCAGCCTTCACGACGGTCCCTACTGTTATCTCGCATAGCATTCTTCTTTCACAATGGGCTATTTTACTTCCCCCATTCTCTTCTTCACGAACAGTTCCTCGCCCCAGGACAACAAACAGGTCGTGTATCCACAGCTTAGAGAGAGCAAAGTCGTCGACTCAGCATGACAAATGGGGCCGCAGCGCCGATCCTAGACTTCAGGAGGCTTGGCGGCAGCACATGGCAGGAGGTCGGTAGGTGAGTGCGCAGGGAGATGTGCACGCGGTTCCAGCTCCCGGACACGGGTAAGAGGAAAAGCCAGTTCCCGCATGAGGAAACGACCGCGAGAATCGATGGACGGTTGAATATACTTTGTGTGTAAGGGACTTTCAGGCATGAATGAAGAATGGCAACGTCTCTCCTATCGGTTTCTCCTCAAAACCTCAGAGAGAGGTGTAGTACATGCCTAAGATGAAGGCAATACGAAGAAGGCATAGACCCAAGCGAATAAGTCTCATGGAAGGTTTATCTCTGAGGCCCACCTTGTGAGAGACTGTCGGCTTGGAAGAGGAAATTGCCCGCCTCCGTGTGTAACAAAGCACTATCACAAGCCTGACTTTCCAAATGTCTTACTTGGACACCCATAAACTCGAACCGGGCGTAAAAGAGTTTGACTGTAATCTCGCACATCCCGCCCTACATGGCTGCATAACGGGAAATGGCTAAAATCTTACTCACAATATTTCTACACTATTCCTCCGTTCTGATCTGGCGCTGCATAAGTCCGCTTCCCTCGCCTGCATGCATCGCTGCCTACCCCCTTACCAGGCCCTATTAGGAATGTTGGGATGGACAATGGAAGACGCGAGTGCCGACGCAGCACAGGGAAGTTACCCGAAGGATCATGTTAGGGCAACGGGGCGGAGACCCTTCGGAAAATTTGCTGGCGGCGGAGGCTTCAACGTGAGACCGCCTGCTCAAAACGTGAAGGGGTTGGTGTCCACTCTGGGGCGCGGCCTCTTGAGTGCAGAGACGGCTTGTGTCTATGGCGTACATGGGTGGGGAATGTGCAGAGTATCTTTCTTCTCCCCCATATCACCCTGACTCGTGTCTGCCTATTGCGCTGGACCTCCTTCACACCTGGCTGCCCGAGAACCAAGTTAAGCCATATCACATCGTCCGTACCCCAAAGTGCTCGCGTGCCAATGAAAAGCTGGTGTGTATATATGAGCTAAAATAAGAAAAGTCTCAAAATTGAATGGCGAGTCGTGTCTATCTACCTTGTATCTGCCTTCGAGGTGGGAAACTCCTCTCCCGTCGAGAGGTTAGCAACCATCGTATATTCGCGGCCGTGATTTTGGCTGCTCATGGCCGTCAGTGTTGCATGCTTGGCAGTACGAATCTACGTTGATGCGTGGCAATGCTACCTAAGCTTTACCCTCTTGAAAGCGCATGCATGATGATAGCCCCCGCCAAATGGACTCTTCTCAGCCCTAGGATCCTCGAAGAGGACTTGGGACCAGAGAAGGACCTTGACACGTCTATAACGCTAATCCTTTGCCTTTCTTGTCAAGAGTGTGGCTCGTAATGATTGCACTGGTGGTTAGACATGAAAAAGCAACAACCGGCTGGACTGTTTTCTTCGACTTTGGGGCTGGGTCATCATTTCGAATCCCTCTCATTTCGGGTGCCTAGATGTGATTCAAGCACAGCATCGGAAATAGTCTGCTTTCGGCTCTCCTTCGCCCTCATTCTCGTGCCGATGTATACTGGGCTTGGAGCGAACTTTTTCGCGACGACCGTTGACTGGGTGCTTGGCTCTGCCTTGTGGGGCATCTCTACATGGAACAGGGGTTCGGGAAGGGTCAAAGAGGTTTCTTCTGCCCAAGGGGGTTTGTATGTCACTCCTTTTCCCTCTGTGGTTTTTATTACAGGCCCACGCGTGGTGGTGGCTATTAGTCCGAAGACGAAAGGGGGAAAGGGGGTCCATGTTCGTCTGACAGTCGTCTGTCTGCTTACAACCTCGCACTGATAGCCTTTCCCTGAAAGAGAATGTTCGGGCGCGTAGGTTCCCGTCCGTAGAAGGAGAGGATCGCCAGGCTATACAGATGCCTTGAAGAAACTCTAAATATTCCTTTGAAAGCGAGTTCGTGAAAAGCAAAGGAGAACCAGCACCAGACCCGTCGCAATGGTTCTTGGTGTACATGATGCGTGCGTGTGTTCTCTCCTTTCTTTTTGGTGTCAGTCTATTATTTTTAATATAGCATCTCCTCGGCCGTTGAAGCTAGATAAATGAGTCCAATCATGGCCCCCATCCCGTCTGAGGTGCGACAGAAAATGAATGAGCGTTATTATCAACAATGAAGGAAATTCTCTGTGCCGTGGAGATCCATTCGAAAGCCGACCCGCCAAGAGATCGGGGATAACCTTAATCGGGCAAGGAGGGCGACTTGTGAGCTTGGGCAAATGACGGTCCAAAAGGAGATGATGAGCTCATTGAAGGCGGGGAGGAAGGGAATAATAGGGGGTTGAGGAAAGTCGGATTCACTCAACTGCACGAATTATTATGCCGGCGGGGAGGGGAGAAGGATACGACGGATACGATGACTGTGAGACGATCACCGCGAAAGTGCGAAAGCACTGGGCTGGGCTGGGCTGGCCCTGGCGCGACTTGACAAAGTCCCTGCACTTTCGAGTTCGAGGCTGCCAGAATCAGAATGCCCGACACGACAGGGATAGGGACAGGGGGCCTGCTCCCAAATCCGATCAAGGTATTAGGGCAGAGCCAGAGATCTGAAAGGATCATTAACAACGTACCGGGAAAGCGTACCGAAGGACTCGACGATTGCTTTGACCTCGTGGAAGGTTTCAACTGTCACTTGCGACCCTACATTCAACATCCTTCTCAACTTGCACGACCTTCGACTTTTTGCTCAAACGGCTTGAACGCGCTTCCCTCACCAACAAGAGCCCTCGTAGCTCAAACATAAAACGCGCAAACAATTCTCCCTTTAAAATATTTTTTGGAGCGCTTCTTCCCGCGGATACCCATTCATTTTGGGCGGTTTGCCGCCAGCAAAAAGACCCCATTCAAATAGCCGAAATGCAAGCAAACACAAGCTAAAGGTGGAGGAAGGTTCCCCGGCGCTTACGGGCATCCACCATCGTCAGAGCCGTGACGGCCCAGAGATGCAAGCCCCTGGCTAGGGCTGGCCCATCGGCCAATCATCGACCACATGGCCTGAACCGGGGTGGTCCCGACGATCCACTCTTCCAGATACTTTGGGATTTTAGCTTGAATACCACACGCCGACGAATTGGGAATCGGGAAAAAGAGAACAAACGAACAACGGAAGGGGGAAGAAAGGCATTCAACGGCCGACGCGAAAGGGAGGGGCACCTGGAACCAACAGGCTTCGAGGAGCGTCTCGAGGGCCAGGGCCCGCTACGCGAATCTCAATCTCCTTCAAGCCACCAATGCGAAGCATGCTTCAGGCGCGAGGTACCCTTTGACCGGTTTCAAAGGCAGCCAGCGGGTCGGTGCATGGCGTTGGTTTAAGATGCCATTGCAGGGAGGCCTACATCGACTTCGATTATCGTGGGAATACATAAAGACCGTTGTGATCCCCACGATGAGTTGAACCGGCCGTGGATGCGCCGACCTGCTTTAGATCCATAGACTCACGTCACAACTCTAGTTCGGGACCTCACATTCTTTTGAGCCGCAGCCATGGCAGAGGTTACCGTAGGACAAGTGGCGGGTATCATCGCCTTCATTCTGATCATTGGTAAGTGTTGCCCGTCGATAGGCCTCAGCCGACAAGCACCAAGAGTAGTCTGCTAACACCTCCACTCAGTCCAGATTATCACCCCGCTGGTCCTGGGGCTTCTCTTGGCCGGATACACCCGCGACTCTGAGACCGCGAGCACATGGTAGGTCACTTATTTCCACCATCTTAGTCTCAGTCTTGGATCGCGATCACCGTCGACTAACAAAGAGATTTTGGCAAACAGGACCCGACTCGGCCAGCGACTGTTCACGACGCTCTGGCCGTCACTTATTGGCAGTGACGTTCGGGGAGGTTCTCGCAACCTACGATTCGTGATCAAGATTCTTGCCGCCTGCTTTCCCGTACTCTCACTGCTCCTCGCCATAGCCGGTATCGTGACACCCCTTGGCCTCAGGGAACAACTTAACACGCTTGCCTCCGAGCAAGGCAATTTTGTCTACGCCCAGGACACCAGTGGTTACTACCTAGCCACATCCCCTCGAGGAAACGCACAATTCACCCGCTTATGCACTCAAGGGTTCGGCTTCGCTGCAGGCCCCTACCCTTGCCCATATACGGGTGATTCCGTCACCGTCACAAAGGATAACAGCTCCATCAGCTATGATATTCCCGATGAGGGAATGACACCATTCATACCAGAAGAATTGATCGAGATATTCTCCAGCGGGACGAAGGGGATGCGTTCAACTATCTCCAATTTTTTGATATTGAGTGGCGTCAACTCACCAACACCCTTACTGAATATGTGAATGGTGGCAACCCCTACGATAGTGGCATGTACCGCCAACTCGACTCGTTCATCCTGGATAATGAGTACAAAATCCTAGAGGGCCTCGTGGTAGATGCTAAGATTGGTGGTATCGGTTTTCGAAATCATACGGTGCCTATTGACTTGGGCCGTGGAGGCACTTGGCAGGAAGATCTCCTCTTTATCGAGCCGGAGGTTGCGTGTGTCAACACCAATTTAACTATCGAGTTTGAAATAACCAGGAACAGTAGTATTCGTGGGGATATCGAGAATCTTCGGCTTATCGACCGCGGTGGTTTCGTCAATCTCAACACAACCTATCCCGTCCTCGACCTCGAGAGGTCACAGGAGAACCCTGAGCTGCTGTTGAGGGCATACAAAGGGGCCTTCCTAAACAATGCACAGACGATGCTAGTCCTGAATGTGACCAACCCGAACGACGAGAAGAAGGGCATCAAGTCCTTCTCGTACATGAACTCCAAGATCGGGCAGGAATTTGAACTAGCGCCCTTAGCTGGTGATAACTATGACGCTTTGGGGCTCTCCTGGGAATATGGCAACTACCTTCACATGGAGAGCCTAAACTCGTCACTTTTCAAAGTCCCGAAGTACCCAAACCCGTTCAACATGACCCGTGACGACTTCAAGTCTATCACCGTTCTCTGCAGTGGTTCCGGGAATGCGGATTTGGCAACGGCCTCTAATATTTTTGTTGCATGTGGGCTCCTTCGAGGTGCGCCTGTCCGTGTGGATGGCGGTCCCCAGGCTCTCCTTGAACACGGATCTAAGTGGGCCAGTCAACTGCATTCATGTGCAGCAACTGTTCGAGCGACAATCAAAACCGTCACTTTTTCCTACAATGGGACCGCGAATGGCGCTCTCGCCGGCCTCCATGTTGACGATATCGAGCCTAAAAGGTACGAGAGCGAGGAAGATTACCCGCTGTGGGGCTACGAGGAGACCGGTTTGAACGTCTCTGGGGTGGATCCTCTCTGGGGTCTTATCAGCCCGGAGTATTCTTCGCGTCCCAATGTTTCGAGTTTACGACAGCCATCCCTATACCTCCCTGGCTACCAAGACACAGTAGGGTTCAATGGATTCTCAATCGGTTCCAACCTCCCAGGCAGCCAGTTCCCTTCCCAAGCCATGAACCAAGCTTTCGAGCTTGGTGAAGGCGGCTGGCCTTTCGACCTGCTTGGCACAGCAAGTATCTCGATCTTCAACAGGTGGCAAACGCTTTCAGCCAACTCTTCTAATGCAGCAGGGATCATCAAACTTATCTGGACAGACCTAGCAGCTTCTGCCGTGGTTGGAACCAAGGGAACACTAGGTTCTCTTAATCTTAGTCCTGAAGCAGAGAGGACCCCGATTCAAGTGCGCCCCATTGGGTTACGAGTTACATACAACTTTCTCTACGGAATTCCTGCATTCATTCTGTTACTATTTCTTATTTCGCTCTCGGCATTCCTTTTCGTGTCCCTTTGCTTCGGAAAGGTCAGCCTCCAGAAGCTCCGGTACCGACTTGCACAGGTATCCGCAGGCAGAATTTACGCGTCCTCGCTCTATCCTAACACTTCGAATCTTATTATGCCGAGCAAAGCCTGGCAGGCTGCTAATGGCGATAAGATCATTGTGGTCGGTCACACGGCGAGGGCCACGACTGGTACGATCCCTCTTGTCCCAACATTTAGCCAAGGGTACCACTCGCAGACTGACTTGGTTCAAGCACCGTTAATGCAAGGTTCAACTGCGCCTGTATACACGCATCAGGAGCAAAAACAGCCGTATCAATATTAAATCTAGGATGAAGAATGTCTCCCACTTCACGTCCGAGAGGGCGTAGAATATATGTAATGGACCTGTATTATAAACCTACATACTAGCTTAATGTTCATTGAATGTATTAGATGGCCCGAGTGAGGCACGGGTTCAAGATAACTTGGTGTGTCATTTTGAGGTGCACCGTCGACCCGTCCAAATCCCGTCTTTCCCCTTTTGAATGGATCTATTAAAAGGTGCCCGATTGCTGCTCGCTCATTCAACCACATTGGTGTCTTGGGGAAGTTCCACCAGAGAAGCCGTAAGCGCCCAACGTGCATCAAAAGCAAAGCATCAAGTGCTAGTGAGGTACGACCAGCCAACCAGGGTTCCTGACCACCCACCCCACCCCGGATCAAACCAAGGGGCTGGGTCTATTTTGTTTCGGCCTGCCTGTTCAAACAGGAATAGAAATCTTTCGAGAAGGTATCGGTAACTCGCTTAAAATCGAGTTTACTCCGGGCATACCATGGCAAATCGATCTTGTCCTGGTTGGCCCGTCACGGAGGTTTGTACACCAAAACGATGAAATGGCTCGCTTGCCTGCACCTCTGTTGCACGAAGAAAACTCGTCTAGCCGTATCTATTCTGAGATCGGGGTAGTCGTCGACAATCTGCGAGAGAATGAAAGTGGCCCGGCCCGGTCCAACGCGCGAATGAGTAAATTGCGGTGACGTGGTGAAGCTGAGAAGAAGACCCAAATAGACAGGGAGAATGATTCAACAATTGTGAGGAGGCTATTGCATGGATCCATGGATGTAAGTTCCGTGTTTGCTTTGCTCACCTCCAACGCTCCCATAATAGCTCAAGCCGTTATTTTAACAGGACGAGTTAGCGATCACTCGTATGGCAGTGTAACACTAAAAGGGCGGTGTGCGACCTTAACCATCCTAGGGCCAAGGGAGCCGCGGTCCCCTGAATCCCGTATATTGTTTTTGGATCCTACTGTACGATGTGGGAGACAGGAGGTTGGCGTCAGGTGACGACAATACGTCTCTTCGGAATTTTCCGAGGCCTTCGAACGAGTTTGATGTGGCTGCCAGTGGTCAAGAAGTGTGCGCGATAGCCCGCTCATAGGCGAATGAGCAGCATTGACGCCGATTTTTAGTTCATGGAGCCATGGATGTTTTGATCCATTTATTTTCGTCGTGGTCGAGCGGTGCCAGCTCAGAGGTTTGGTCGGCGTCTATGGCCACCCACGTCCCCTGTCATGCGGCCGACATGCAGCCAGGTCCCAGTTTTTGGCTCATTTTCCGATCTGATTAGCCCCCTGGCCATGCCCGACCCGACAGTTTGGAACCACAACAGAAGAGCCCCCATGCTGATCTGGACAAAACCCGAGCACCATCATTTCACTGGTGATACTCGAGAATCCTTTTTAAAGGATTGGCTATGTCATTTCCTCCGCAGACGCAGGCTCATTAGCTCCATGCCTCGTTGATCAAACCAGCCTTTGGAGCCTGGCCACTCCGTCACACTCGAAAACCGCGCTTATGTCCTACCAATAGTTCCACCATCTTGTCGTCGCTGGTTGCGCTCCTTGCCCGGCATCTTCTCTTGCCGGTCTATTATTCCTTTGCTGACCCGAACCTTTCCCTTTTCGCCTTGCCTCTATCATGTTCTCGGGATCGAGATGTCAGCTGCGTGTCAGCTCTCTCATCTAGCTCCGGCCTATAAAGTCTTGACGACGCCCTCGAGTGTTATCCTCGTCTTATTCCCCGCAACAGCATCAAAAGACCGACAGCAGCACGTTTTACCCCATATTATATACTCTACTCCTTGAACATGCATCTTCTCAAGCTTATCGCTGGCACCGCTTTCGTCGTTGCAGTGTCGTCTGCCCCGGTGGCAACCCAAGGTCCTGCAGCCAAGACGCCAAATATTTACTCCGCGGGGCGGTCATAAACTATTGCAACCAAATCTTAGCCACCGCAGGCGAGGTCAAGAACTACATTCAATCCACGATCCAGAGTGACAACGCACAGGTACTGCTTCCTTCTGTGTAGCCTTTTAGCAGCTCGTTCACTAATGCAAGCCATATTACACTATAGCGGACTGAAGCTTTGCGTGCCCTCGACACATCGATCAACGACGCAGTACAAACGTGTCTGTTCTTGGATCGGTTCTCCGAATCACAGAGTGATACCTTTGACGGCAGCGACGGCCGGTTCTTTGGCTAGCCGTTATGCATGCTTTAGTGCAATAACATATGGCAAGCCTTCATGCTTTTCTGAGAGCCTTCCTTGTTTTATCATTCGGAAACCATAGGACATTACATCGTGCCGGTCACCTCGATATGCCCTCCGAACTTTAGATATTGTCAAGCTTAGATGAGAAAGAAATTTAGTCACTTTGTTGTCTCTTTTCCTGTGGTCCTGTATATTCTTTCAAATATACGAGCCTATGCGTACATAAGAATAGGAGAGAGGGGGAAAGGGTATATAGCGCCTAGATACAAATCATATTGTATCAGCATATACATTAGATATACCTTTACATCTTTTCGCGAGTTATTGTCAGTGATTAATCTTGATCGCCACCTTTGAAAAATGCCTTGTCTCAGCCAACCTCCTATAAGCCTCCTTCACATCCTTCAACTCAAACTCCACATCATCAACAGCAGGCACCACCCCATTCTCATCCACAAACCGCACCAAATCCCTCAGCTGCCTCCTCGTCCCAGCCAGCACCCCCTCACCACACAAGGATGTATTAGCGCCGCCAATAGGGGCACCGGCTCCCCGAGCCTCTCAAACCCGCCAGCACCACGATCCCATCCGTCTTAGCCGCCGGGACGCACTTGCCTAGCGTGGCATCCCCACCAATGTCGACGATGAAGTCGAACCCCGCCCCGTCAGGCGTCAGGGCCTTGGCCTGCTCGCCCCAGCCCTCGGGGTTCGCGTGGTAGTTGACGACGTGGGTGGCGCCCAGGGCGCGTAACCTCTCCGCCTTAGCGTCGGAGGATGTCGTAGCCACGACAGTAGCCCCTGCCGCGACGGCGAGCTGAAGCGCGGCGACGCTCACGCCACCTGTGCCTTGCGTTAGCACCCAGTCGCCCGCGGATACCTGCTTGCCCTGAAACCCAAACAGGGAGTTATACGCCGTGAGGCCGCTGCAGGTCAACGTCGAAGCCTCGATCCATCCAATGGACTTGGGGCCGTGCACGAGTGCGGTTTGGGGGAAAACGCCGTGCGTTTGTAGAGTGCCGTTGCGGCGCTGCCCGAGGCCGTCGCTGATGGCGGGGAAGTCGGGGAAGGCCTCGTCCCCGCCCTTTTCGACGGTGTCGGGGCTCAAGAGCGTGATGACGCGGTCACCGGGCTTGAATTCCGTCACGGCGGCGCCGACGGCCTTGACGATGCCGGCGCCGTCGGAGCCCGGGACGCAGTCCTGCGAGATGGGGCCGACTTGGCCTGGCTACAAAGCGAGAGACGTGAGCAACGAAGACAGAGACAAAAAGAGCAAAAACAAGCTTTATGATCGTGTTGTCTAAATCTACAAGTGTGACAGATATCATGGGAGTTTACCTTCTTCGCGATAACCAGCTCTCGGTAGTTGAGGCTGGCACCGTGAAGTTCCACCAGCACGTCATTCTCGGCTAAGTCTTCCGGTACGGGCAGATTCTCCTCGAGCTTCAGGGACAGCTCGAAGCCATCTTGGTTGGTCATGACCCATCTTCTCGCCATCTTGATAACAAGGCACAGAGGAAGCACACGCTAGAAAAGGAGTTGTGAAAAGGTTCTTGTCTAATATATCGGAAAGAAAAAAAGAATAGTCGTATGGCGTGGTGCTCTATCCCCGCCATCCGATGTTTTTCGCTAGCTTCCAAAAAAGCCCTCGGCTACTTCCAACATTTTTTCCTGACTAATAAACTCATGCTCTCATGTTTTCGGATTTCCTCGCGATGACGACGATTAGGACTAGACTATATACGGGGACGCGAGTGGGTCAGGAATTTTATGTCGCCACTGGCGAACCGATGTGCGGAGACTGTCTGAGGTCGGATCGGATCCGTAGATCCGCAAAGAACGACATGCCATTCTTCACTTGAAGTTGTCTTGAAAGATGATCCCTGGGCCTGCCTCGTCGCAAAGTGAGAATTGGGGCAAGTATATGGCCGAGACGGTATCTTTTACCTCTTTCGTCTCTGCACTGGGTCAAGGCTATGGCAAGGGTAATATAATGGGGAGAATTTTCACTTTGCTGGCCCTTGGAAAGGACCAAATGCATTCAACCGATTTGGTGTCCGGACGGGAGATAGGGTTTGTCGATTGATAATGTGCTGAATGAGTAAAAGAAGCCCTCTCCACTGAAGGCTATGACGGCAAAGCCCCCGCCCACATATTTTGGTAATGAGATTGACTGCGAAGGAACTGCCAAGGCACGTTGGAGCCAACTTCCCATGCACTTCATTTCGTATTGAAATGACTGCCAATTGCGTGCGTGCGTGGACATGGATCGACACGCCTCATAAGCTCAGTGTGGCTGGAGAGGAATCCCCTCGGGCTATTAGGTCGGACACACGAAACAGCAAAGGGTGACGAAAATAAAGATAAGAAAGAAGAAAACAAATCAACTAAATAAAACAACAAAGGCCGCGACCTACGTGAGGACGAATTCTTCGGATGGAAGGGAGAAACTCGATTTGCTCATCGCAAAGCGCTTGATTTTCACGTGCGCGAGGCGCGACGTGGACTGGAATCTATCGTCCCAAAAGCCAGACGTTTGATCGGTCTCGGCCCCCCTCCTCGCTGGGCCGTGGCCTCTCCCAAACAGGCCCTGACCGCATCGTGGGAGGGTCGGGATTGGGAACCGAACGCTTGTTTTTCTTGGGAAGGAAGCACCCCGAGTGACTAAGCAGCCCTATCACGATGGACCATTTCCCAGGTTTCGCTCCGTTCGCTGTCGTGATCTCTGACAGCGCCGAGACGACGCCGCCCCCTTTGGCCCCCAGTCTGACCCAGTCTGACCCAGTCTGACCATTTTGTCTCCCCCAGGCCGTCTTTTCAGACCGTCTGGTCAAACACGATTTTGCCCCCATCGCCCCCCTCGAGGCAATGTTACATTTCCCGCGGATCTGGGAGATTGGGTCTTGTCATCTCGAAGTCGCACCTCGATGGACGCCACCAATTGCATTAGGAACCAAACTTCCCAAACCACGGAATCTTTTGTTTTCCATCAATTCTTTTTCCCTTCTCCCTTTTTCTCAGAGAGAAACTCAGGAACCACCCAAGTGACAAGGCAAAATAGTCATTCTCCAAACCATTCCAAGAAAATCGAGATGCACATTGCCGCCCGCTCTCCCAGAGGACCTGAAACCCAAGACCTGCAGTAGCTAGCAACTAGCGTAACAAAAGGATTTAAATTGCTGCTCTTCCACCAAACTCACGGTCAGAGCCCCCTCGCCGAGCCGGGCTGCCAATGAGTCCTCTCTGCTTGCCCACTCGTTCCCCCACCACCAAAACGGCTTGGTGTGGTGGTCGAGCGGCTCCTGCTCATCTCTGGTTGGGCGGCCGCCGGTCGACCAGGTTAAATTAATGCGAAGCGCGAAGCTGGCGAGTCAGGTCTCGCCGCTCCCGCGGATCTTTCCACACACACCAAGAAAGACGGGTGCCCAGCCAAGCTGATGGACACCCGATGGCGGTTCCTTCGGGACCGACCACCAGGGAGGGAGGGAACATCTTCATTTCGGAGTTTCATTGATTTTTTCCCTCCTTCTTTTTCCTTGTGTCCAATTTGCTTCTTTTGTTTTGTCCTTCACGATCTCAATGAAGACGACGAGTGCTCGCCGTTCACATTGATCGAACCATTCGTTAATTGAACGACGACAAGACAGACGGCGAATCACTACGATAACGATAATACTCCAATAATCACTCCCCTTCCCACAGATTGGCGAAATGAGATCCAGATCCTTCGCGTTCGGGAGCCTCTTGCTCTGCGCGGCAACCACCGCCAGTGCCGGCTTGTACGTTCACAGCCTCCTCCTCCCACCCAAGAAGGATTGGTTTTATCCGAAAGCGACAGCTCCTCCCATTTTTATTATTCCACGAAACTAACCAATCCATTTTGCGCTTCAGGTTCGCCCAGCTCGACCTCGATTCCAACCCTCTCTCCCGCCGCCAAATCGCCGTAAGCCTCGACGGCAACTGCGGCCTCATCAAAGGCGTCCTCACCACCTGCCAGGGCAGCGCCGAAGGCGACTGCTGCAGCCGTCTCGGCTTCTGCGGCGGCAACAGCTCCTACTGCGGCGACGGCTGCCAGACGCGCTTCGGCACCTGCGGCGACGCCAACATCTCCACCGACGGCACCTGCGGCGGCGCCAAGGGCCTCTCCTGCATCGGCTTCAGCCTGGGTAACTGCTGCAGCGAAAGGGGTTTTGCGGCGGCGACGACGCCTACTGCGGCACGGGCTGCCAGTCCGAGTTTGGCGAGTGCGGCGCCGTCGCCGGCACGCCGGCCCCGACTCCCACGGCGACCGGGAATAGGCAGCAGACCTCGACCACGGGTTCCGGCGCGCACGGGCACGGTGTCGACTCCTGATAGTGGGACGGATGGTCCTGATAGCGGGACAGATGGCGCCGACCAGAGTTCGGTGAATGGCGATAGTGTTGACACGAATACCGGGGGCGGTACCAGCAATGCCTTGAAGATTGGGCTGGGCGTCGGCATCAGCGCGGGCGTTCTCGTCATCTTGGCCATCGTTGCCCTGCTCTTCCGCCGCAGGAGGAGGCAGGCGGGCCCGTCGGTCCCAGAAAAGGACGCGACCCCTCGCGAGATGTACGAGCTCGAATCCCCTGTCAAGGCTGCCGAGCTCGTAGGTACCCAGCAGGAGGTGGTTGAGCTGCCGGCCGTATCTTACAACAGGTGATGATGCGAGGGGGAATCTCACGTGTCTCGTCATTCTTCGCGGCCCTTGCATTGTGGTTTTCTTCTTCTTCTTCTTCTTCTTTTACCATCCCGGCGCCTTTCCGCATATAGCCCTCTCTTCTATCTTCATCTTCTTGTTGTCTCTTTTAACGACTTTAATGTTTTTAAGCCCGATGCCCTTTTGGAATGCGCGGCGTTTGGGAGTTTTGAAGCAGGTGATGGAGAAAATGAGTATCCCATCATGACTGCGGGGGTTTTTGTTCGTTGGAGAGATGAAAACATGGTGGTATCGTGTTGTATACCAAAGCAGCGAAAGAAACGGGTGCTGATAGAGCATACATGGAATATTTCAACGTTTGTTTGATGTCTGTCGTCATCTCGTGATATGCGTTTAACGCAAATCTGTAGTATGATGGTATCGTATGAAACCAATCCTCAGCATGACTGCGTATTACACTCACGTTTGGGCACTGCAAGGCAGCTTATTTTCACTATCTCTGGCGGATGAGGAAGGGAGAAGGGTTCCACCGCGATCAGGCTATCGTTGTAGAATTATTTGGCGTGTACTCGTCCATGATATTGAGGAATTTGATGGAACCAACCAGGCAACGTGGGTGCTGCATCTCCTACCTTTGAGCGAAACGCCCAAACATACTCCTGGACGTATTGTTGGAATTACTCTTTATATGGCCCGGCCGTCTCGTAGTCCTGCATCCTCGTTAGGATGAACCGGGCAAACACCTGGAAGATTAGCGCGATTTACTCCTCCCGGACTATAGCAGCGCGAGTTCGGATGACAGCGGAGAGAGCATTTCTTAACCCTGGGACCTTCTTACTCAAATCGGATGGCGCTGCTGAACAGTACATTGCATGTGTGCGCTCTAGGAGCGGCCGGATTCCAATGCAAAGTTGCTAGTTTCAATGCCACCACATTTGCCTTCACCGACCCCTAGGGTTAGGGTTGCTTAGTGCTTGACCCTGCGCGACTGGTCGGTTGATACATCAGCTTGTGCTACCAACTGACGGTTCCTCTTGGGATATACAGGGCGTGAATTGCACGTAGCTCTCGACTAGCAGATATCAACTTCACTGTTTAGCAAGTCCGCTCACGTCACTTTTAGCTATATGTGAGAGATCAAGGGCTCATTATGCCGGCTGTGCATCTCGCACTCCTTGATAAGGTTCCATGAGTTACAAGAGATAATCAAAAGGATCGAGAGCCAGCCTTTAATTTGCCGCCCTTGATCTCCATCTGACAAGCATATGTGGCTCTGGGACGTTCAAAGGGAACGATCGAGCGACTCGAAACTAGGCAAGACGTGTCTTTAACTTTAAAATAGCCTTGGATATAGAAGCCATCAGACCCGATCACGTCGAGTATACGGCCCCGACGGACCTCGGGGCAGGAAAGAAGTGGATTTTATGCTTAAAGAGCCGCGGATAGACGACAGACCAAACTATGCCAGGTCGTGTTCACGACGGGCCAAGTTTTAGCTGCCAATTTGCGTTGGCTGGCGGGATCCGGACGGGGGCCCAACCAATGGGCCCTTCTCAGCTTCGCACGGGTGACGTGAGAAGGGAGGGGAGCCACTCGCTTAAGAAGTTCATGATGTTCGAAGAAGGGGCGGGCAAAGGCCGAGAAATCAAGGTTTGGCCAAGCGGGACTCGGCGAGTCATGTTTCGAAGTGCGTTTGCCTTTCTTATCTGATCCCTGGCGGGGAGAACAGGTTGCGAACCGGTTCATGGGTAGAATGCGCCACGCTGGAATGAATTGATCTCTTGATTTTTCTGGACTTTTTTCTGTTCTTTCCATTCATCACATTTATGTTCATGCTACCGAAACGTTCTCCTTGCTTGGAATTGTCCTCTGCCCACGTCTTGTCCTCTGATTCGTTGGACAAAACTGAGAAGCCCCACCCCGCCGAGACTGAAAACATCATGTCATTCGGCCGGTTCCGATACCGCTTGCTACCCACCAAATCCCAAACCCACTCGGATGAGGAGAAACTGAGAAGAGGATCAAAAAGAAAGGAAAGAAAAGTGTGGGGAGGCAAGCTATAAATACGAGCCGATTGTTATGGGGCCAAGATGCATTTAAACCTTTTGTTCACAGAGAATTGCGCGGGTGCATGCTACGGGGACTCGAATGGGCCTAACTCCAAGAACTCTCCGGACGCCCCAACGAGTCGTTGAGATCAATTTGTGGGCCAAAACCCAGCATCTTCCTCTCTCGCAAAAGAAAGAGCCAGATACGCTGTTCAGTTCAAACGTGGACCAAAGTGCAAAGTGGAACCGCACGGGAAAGGGGGACGATCCATTAGCGCCGCGTCAGGGAAAGGGATGACCTGTTGCTGGTGCCACGGGTGAGCGGGAAGAAAAAGGAAAAAAAAAAAAAGGATCTATGGTCGTTGAAATGGATGTGACAATCCCGGGCAGCGCATGAGACGGAAACCCGCGCGCAAGCAACGGCATGGAAACAGTAGAATGTGCCCAGCAGGGAACGGCCAGAGACATTTGAGACCAGCCAAATTGCTGCCTCCTCCCATCGTCTGGGGAAGCTCGGCAATTTCCCCACCCCCGATCGCGTCGTCCTCTCGCCCTCACCCCCTTTCCTAGCGCGCATCGAGAGGCAGTGGTGGAAGGGAGGTTGAGTTTGCAAGCGCCAGCAGATCACGGCCTGCCTGCTCTCTTGGCTTGGGCTTATCTTTTCCCCACAAAAACTCGCATTGGTGGAGGAGCCTCCTCCCCCATCATTAATTGATGTCATCGACCTGCTTGCTGGCTGGGTGTCGCTCATTCGTTTGATAAGGTGGAGGGGGTTCTACAGATGGACAAGTGAGGCATCACGAGCGAGCTTTGGATCCTCTTTGCCGCTTCGCTCATGGGGCTGTCGGCCGCAGTTCGACGAGGAGGGCAACGTGCAGAACATTGAAAGACACGAAGAAGAAAAGACCAAAGACGCTAGTTAATGATATGTAGCAATTGACCCAGCTTCAGGGCTCCTTTTCCCCAGGAACCCCAGACAAAAAAAAAATAAAACGCCCCAAAAAGAAACCCCAATCCTTTCCCGATACCACCCATCAATAGCTCTCCCCGCCAACCTAGCTTCGTGATGTTCATGCGGGGTACAGGAAAGAGCGGAGAGGCCCCCAGGAGCTCCAAGAAAGCACACGGTCCCTTGCTTATTCTGTGTGTCCATGCAAATCTCTTTCTTTATTTTCCCCTTTCCCCGCGCCAGCTTGCCCCGGGCCCCTGTTCGGGTTGAAGGAACCTGGGGGAGCACGAGATGGTGGCGCATGCACGAAACCGCGCCATTGCTCACCGGCGGATTCGGGGTGTGGTGGGGGACGAGCCAGACCTGCATTGATTACCTGTCGAGACGGGGTTACGCTCGCATCTGTCTGTGTGATTCGAAATGTCTGGCGAGGGAGAAGGGGAAGGAGAAGGGGAGACGCGCGAAATGGGTTATTTACATTGACGGAGAGCGGAGGGGAAAGGGGAACATTGAATTGAAAGAAGGATCAACTATTGACAGGTGGCTCTGTAAGCCGAAGAGGATGGGATCTATGGGATCAAATGGAACATTCAGTTTGCCTGCATTGCGTCCTTCGTCTAATTACATGTATGTCTATACTCTTCTGTTGCTATTATTTTACCACTGGTTTCTTATGTCTTTCATCGATAAATTCTGTTTTGTTATCAGAAGGGCCACCTTTCGAGAATATCATCGATGCCAACCCCAGATCGAAGCTAGGACGAGATTGGCAAAGTCGCCTCGTCGTCGGACTTGAGGTGGAAACGCCACCCAGTGGTGGGTGAACGCCCCCGAGTGTCTACCTCTCCATTGTTGACTGGAGCTCGAGTTTGGCTGCTGTGCTATCCGATGAAAGTGACATCACCTCAGGTTCTTCTCGTGGTCGATACGATTCGATGAGACAGTCGTTGTACACCCTCATCGGAACATCTATCTGTCCGCGGATCGAGTGATGAAGAGCAGGGGGCCTAAGGAGAACAAATGAAAAGATGATGAAAAAGATTTTTGACTTGAAAAGAATTATAAAAAAAAAGACGGAGTAGAGCTGGAATCAAAGGGAAAAAACGGGTGCTCATCAATCTGGGGAGCCCCACGCTAGCTCCGTTCGGACTTTTGGTTGGAGAAAGGAGCGAGGAGCTCTGGCCCCCAAAGTCGTCGAGCTCCGTTGGAGCGAAAGAGACGCACGCACGCCGAACCCGCTGTTTAGCTCCGGTCCGCGCGGGGAGACGGATCCGCCCACAAAAGAAATATGTACTGAATCAAGCAGTGGCCTGATTTCCGTCCTCGCATCGCAGCAGCGCAGAGGTGGAGAACAAGAAGAGAAAAGTGACCCGTCAAGATCAGAGGCTAGAAAAAGAAATGAAGGGAAAAAAAGAAAAAAAACAGAAACTTGAGGTGCATAACCAAGAATGGAAATGTATTCGCATACGCTGCTTCTTGCCTTGGCATTGAAGCTTTACGTGCAGCCGCATCCGACTAAGACGACCCCGAGCAAGGAAACGCCCCTTTTGAGCTTGCACTGCACTGCTCCATGCTGCGAATGGAGAGCTCCTTTTCCCCTCTCGATGTTTCCACACACACCATGCAGGATCAGAGCCTCTCCCCACGGCCCAGCTTGCTAGCAACGGGCGAAAGGGCTGAGGTTCAATTCCGCCCGCGGCTGCCCCTCCACACTACTTTTTTTCTGTTTTTCTTTTTTTTTGTCTCTTCATTCTCTTCCTGTTCCTCGACGAACGTGCATTAACTCCTCCCCACACCCCAAATACCTCCGGAGAGCTGAGCTCCGGGGAGGGTCCGACCTGATGATTGGTCGATTTCGGGGAAGCTAGACCTTGGAATAGGCCCGGCTCGATTTCTCTCTTCTTTTCTTTTTCCTTTTGTTCATAGCTTCGAAGGAGGACCCTTGCCCATTCGCTTGACCCCACAAAGCTAGGCCAAAAGACCTGACGCAAGACTTCCCCCAAACGTGGAGACGGCGGGGAGGCGATGCTGAATGTCCTGATTACACCGGATGGATGGAACGATGTGTTGCTGATTGCTGATGCTGGCGATAGCTCCGACTATAAAGACTCCCCATGGCTGCGACGAGAAATTGTTTCTTTTAGGTTTCCAACTCACACTCCTTCCTATTCTCCCATCCTCGGTGATAAATACTTCTTTTTCCTCCTCCATTCAAAGTCCGCTTCTTCTCCCCCTTTTGTGTTCAAGCTCCTCTTTCGGCAAGCTCGTTTCCTTGTGATACCCGTGTGACATCATACCACCCTCTCTCTCCCACCACACAACAACCTTTCCTCTCCATAATGTCTGGCCCCAAGATCCCCACCGAGCAATGGGCTCAGGTCCTCGAGTCGACCGGCGGTCGTAAGTTCTTCTCCATTTCCTCCATTTTCCTTCCCCATTTTTTGAACAAAAGAAAAGAAATGTAGCTGACATTTACTTTCCCCCTCCAGCCATCAGCTATAAGCGGATCCCCGTCCAGAAGCCCGGCCCCGATGAAGTCCTCATCAACGTCAAGTACTCGGGCGTCTGCCACACCGATCTCCACGCCATCATGGGCGACTGGCCCCTCGACACCAAGCTGCCCCTCGTCGGCGGCCACGAAGGCGCCGGCATCGTCGTCGCCAAGGGCGAGCTCGTCGAGGGCATCGAGATCGGCGACCACGCCGGCATCAAGTGGCTCAACGGCTCCTGCCTCAACTGCTCCTACTGCCGACAGGCTCTCGAGCCCCTCTGCGGCAAACCCCTACTCTCCGGCTACACCGTCGACGGCAGCTTCCAGGAGTACGCCATCGCCAAGGCCGCCCACGTCGCGCACATCCCCAAGAACGTCTCCCTCGAGGCCGTAGCCCCCGTCCTGTGCGCGGGCATCACCGTCTACAAGGGTCTCAAGGAGTCCGAGGCCCGTCCTGGCCAGACCGTCGCCATCGTCGGTGCCGGCGGTGGTCTCGGCAACATGGCGATCCAGTACGCCAAGGCCATGGGTCTGCATCCCATCGCCATCGACGCGGGCGATGATAAGGCCAAGGCCTGCAAGGAGCTTGGTGCCCAGGCTTTCATCGACTTCTCCAAGTCCAAGAACCTCGTCGAGGACGTCAAGGCCGCTACCCCCGATGGTCTCGGCCCCCACGCCGTCATCCTCCTCGCCGTCTCCGAGGGCCCCTTCCAGCAGGCTGCCGATTACGTCCGCCCCTACGGCAGCATCGTCTGCATCGGTCTTCCCGGCAACGCCTACATCAAGGCTCCCGTCTTCAGCACTGTGATTCGCATGATCAAGATCAAGGGCAGCTACGTCGGTAACCGCCAGGATACCGAGGAGGCCATCGACTTCTTCGCCCGCGGTCTCATCAAGGCCCCTTACAAGGTCGTCGGCCTTAGCGAGCTCCAGAGCGTCTTCGACATGATGAAGGAGATGAAGGTCGTCGGTCGCTACGTCGTCGACACCAGCCGGTAAATGGCGTTATGCTCCGCAAACACAATTCTTTACCTCCTCTCCCCTTTCCCTTCTAGCACACGAGATGAAAAGGTTTTATGATATCTGGGTTTCGGGGTTGGTTGGGAAGGGGATTTTCTCTCTTTCTCGGGGTGATGGTTGGCGCTTACTGTCTTGATATGATGTTTCTTTTCTTCTCGAACTAGGCTTATTGAAGTAAACCAATATACCGACATGTTCTAGTCAAAATGATCGAACGCAAGTGACCTGGAAGACCTTGGTGTGTAAGCATCGATGGATGTCACTTTTCTCAATCCCGATTGCTTCTTCAATGTAGAGCATAGAATGCAAAGGCAGCGGCCACTACATCTCAGTGCCTCGGTGATAACCCCCATTGCTTGATTCTTGGCGTAGATTCTTGATCTCTGCAGCGACGACGATCACCTGCGCCCGATGACTATTGTCTTTAGTCTTGGCTCCCCACTCTCGGTTTCAGAACCGAAAGCGCTCACCGCGCCGCGGTCGTGCAGTCTCGCTCTTCGGTGACGGCGGGGGTTAGCGATGCGATCGTGTTTCGGGAAGAAAAGGAAAAAAACTTAATACCGGAGGGTTGGTAGAACTCCACGGAGCGGCGACGAGCGACGCCATCTTCTCCCTGCCAAGAGCTCCAAAGCAGGCGCTCACTCGTCGATCTCGGGGAGGGTGGGGATCGTGCCAGGGCGCAGGACCAGGACCGTCTTTTTCGTCCTGGTGCGTGTTTGTCCCCGTTCTAATATGTTAAATTGCCGGCGATATCTCGGGGACGGACGAGCACTGCCACGGCACTAGCTGGGGGCGAGACGGAGACGATATGTGGTCCAAACGAAACTTGAAACTGGATGCTGCTCGGTGAGCAAGATTGGGGGAAAAAGGGGGGCAATGGGGAGTATTTTACCAAAATTCGACATTGATTGGCAAAGAGACCTTTTTTGCCATTCCGAACTTGATTCTCCCCAAAATCTGCAACATTCCAAAAAGTTGCTTTGTTCAGGAGTGATCAACGGGTTCAAGGCTGGTCGTGTTCGAGTTGGGAGATGGGATCCGCGGGGAGCAGGTTTGACGGTCTAAATATAGAAACTTCGGCGCCGCATCGTCCAAGATCCCATCTCAAACATCCCCCGCAGGCTCCCCTTTTTTGGCCTGTATGGTCCTTGCACCACTCAATAGTCGCTGATCTACCTGGGATCCTCAACCTTATTTTTAGAATCCGTCACGGACATTTTGACGGGGGCCCCCCTCTCTTCCCCTGCTTCTCCCTTGCGTAGCCTAATGAAGTACCGAGATGCAGAAACACGACACGCGGCTTGGCCCGAAGCTCGGAGACTTTTGCTGTCAATTTAGTGTGGGTGGAGCAAGACACGAGGACGAGGTGAGGGAGTGAGGGCAAAAAGGGAAAAAGACAAACAAATGATGTGGCTATGGGAAGGGAAGGGGTGGACGGAGCTAGGCGGGAGAAGAAGGGGGCGTGGAGGAAGAACAAGGTTGTGTTGCGTCGTGGCCATCAAGGTTGCTGGAGGAGAGACAAGTAGCCCGGCTATCGAGCGATTTGGAATGCGAGAACAACATGAAGCATGCGCCGATCGGCAACTAGCGAGATGTTCGATTCATGTTCCATACCTCAACCTTAATCTATAGCTTTCCCACTCGATCTGGCCCACGCCATGTAGCGCGCCGTATGCGTACTGGCGGTCGATCTGATGCCCCCGGACAAACACTCCGTCTGCGAAGCTCGGAGAACTCCTATCTCTACGGAAGTCACGATATCACTCGAGTTTGTCATCTCGAGCGGGCCCCTTCTTCCGCCGCTCAGAGCCCTCCTGGTATGATGTGCTTTCCAGGGGCCCCGACGATAAGGGGAGACCAAGGGGGAGATTTCGCCGCGGGCTGAGAAGGAGTGGGACGAGAGCACAAAGAAACTCAAATACCATGCTATCTACACGCAGATGTCGCCTTGAAATAATGCCGCAGGAGAACGCTACACAAAAGAACAAGGACAGCAAAAAGCATGGGCCACGATTGCTGCCCATCCGTGACCCACCGGGCTGCTTGTTCCCGTCCCCGGTGGCGTCGCGCCATCCCCGCCCTCGGCGGCGGAGCATGATGTGATTAAGTACGGAGCCGCCGGGTCCTTTTTTCCAAGTCCTCCTTCTCCTCTCCTTACCCCCTCCCTGGTGTTGTAGTTTTCTTTAGTCCGTTCCTCGTTTTGTTTCATCCCTCTCCCCGTCCTGCAGGCGTTGTACGTTGCTGCGCTTCTTCTTTTTGGTATCTTTTTCTTTTGTTCATTATTCAGCTTTCTTGGCTTCCTTCTACCGCTGGCTCGGTGAAGTAGAACGGTTAGAACATATAAAGTCCGCCGCGACGAGTCCATATCAGAAACCTAGTCAGGCCTACCAGGTTCGACGTCGAACATACGAGCCGGAAGCCAGCCTTCACGGCGTATAAAAAACAAACATATCAACGTATATACGACAAAAGCGATCCAAAGTTATCTCGTTTACACACATTACAGTCCTATTGTTTCTTTTCTCACCTCGTGTTTGCTGGTCAACATGCCTCTCCATCAATTCGACTACCTCTTCGCCCTCGGCACCATCTTTGCCTTTCTCGACGCCTGGAACATCGGTACGCACTCTCCCCTTCCTTCTCCTTTCCTTCATCTGCCCAACCACTGAACCCCCGCACCCGCTAACCCCCCCACCACCCCAGGTGCCAACGATGTCGCCAACTCCTGGGCCTCCTCCGTCGCCTCCGGCTCCGTCTCCTACATCGGCGCCATGTCCCTCGCCGCCGTCATGGAATTCTCCGGCGCCGTCGGCGCCGGCGCCCGCGTCACCGACACCATCCGCACCGGCATCGTCGACACCGAACGCTTCGCCACCAACGCCCCGCTCCTCATGCTCGGCATGGTCTGCGCCGTCGCCGCCTCCTCCATCTGCCTCACCGTCGCCACCAAGCTCGGCATGCCCGTCTCCACCACCCACGCTCTCATGGGCGGCATCATAGGTTTCGGCGTCGCGGCCCTGGGCACGGGCGGCGTGCGCTGGGTGGAAGAGGGCTCGGGACTGCAGGTCCTGAACAGCGGCGTCGTCCAGGTCTTCATCTCGTGGATCCTGGCGCCGTTCTGGCCGGCGCCTTCTCGGCCACCATCTTCACCATTACCAAGTTCGTCGTGCTGCTCCGCAAGAATCCCGCCCTCAAGGGGCTCATCTTCTTCCCCATCTACTTTGCCCTCACCGGCTCTCTCATCGTCATGCTGCTCGTTTCCAAGGGTGGATCGATCAACATCCCCGAGGGACAAGTTGCTGGCGTCATTGCCGCCGTTGGACTAGCCCTCGGTACCTTGGTTGGAGTCTTCCTCGTTCCTTGGCTATACCGGACCGTGGTTTTGGATGACTGGGAGCTCAAATGGTACGATATCCCTCAAGGACCCTTCCTACTCCGCCGCGGTCCGGTCCCTCCTCGTCCGCAGGAAGACCCTGTCTACGGCGACCGAAGTCCCCGCCTCAGCCTCAACCTAGAGAGTCGTCCTGTCACGGTTGACTCTGAAACAGGAATGGCAAAGGAGGCCAGAGTGACCGTCACTGAGCGCCCAACCCCTCCCCGAAAGTCTCTTGTCGGTCCCCGTCCCGACGGCCCCTGGCACAACAAGGCCGTGCTCTTCTGGGCGCTCAAATGGGCCGTCTTCCACGGCGTGGACCAGGATGTCGTCAACATGCAGAACGAGACGGACGCCTTGAGCGGCAATATCAAGGACATGCACGCTCGCGCCGTGCGCTATGATGGCAAGGCAGAGCACCTGTTCAAGTTCTTGCAAGTTCTCACGGCTTCGACGGCCTCGTTTGCCCACGGTGCCAATGATGTCTCCAAGTAAGCTTAGGTCTTGTATATCTATCCTGTACTCTTGTTCTAACATTATCAACCTAGCGCCATCGGTCCCTATGCTACCATCTTTCAAATCTGGAATGATGGAGTCTTGAGGAACAATGTTGGCGTTCCAGTCTGGATCCTGTACGTATTATTTCTTTTGCTGTGTATGCGCTAGAGAATACGGCCATTTTCTGACGCTATATCCGATTACATGTAGTCTCTTTGGTGCCTTTGGAATTGTTCTTGGCCTGTGGACCTACGGCTACAACATCATGAAAAATCTCGGAAACAAGGTCACCCTGCAATCGCCTTCACGAGGTTTCTCTATCGAAATGGGCAGCGCCATTACTGTAATCATGGCTACTAGGTTTGGTATGTTTTCACTCGTCCAATTCTCTTATGTTACCTCAGAAACAGCGTTTTGGTAGCGATGTTAACAATATCCTCCTCAGGACTCCCCGTTTCTACCACACAGTGCATCACTGGTGCTACAGTCGGAGTCGGATTGTGTAATGGTGACTGGAGGGCCATCAACTGGCGCATGGTCGCCTGGATTTACATGGGCTGGTTCATCACTCTTCCCACCGCAGCAACTGTATCCGGTGGCCTGATGGCTTTCATCATCAATGCTCCAAGCAGGGGGTCCGTCCTATAAATCTACCTCGCTTGGTCTCCAGGATGGATGACTGCCCGTCATCTGTGTCTTGGACGGGATAAAAGAGCAAAACTATGAGCATCTTGGTGAGGAGAGGCTAGTTGACAATGGAAATCGAAAAAAACATAGTTTGAGCTCATCTTCGTTTGCGAATTCTTCTATGCGGTGATGTAACTTGATCCCTCTTGCTGCACGATCCGACACCATACATGTTTAGAAAGAAAGTATATTAAAAAGTCTATTATCATCTTACGGTCCCGTCATTAGTGTATGCTGGATTTTGAACGCTTGGCCCTCCCATGATGTACTCCTTGAACTCCGGATTTAGTTTTGGGTTATTCGGAAATAACATCTCATTCCTCCTTCTCCTCCTCATCTCCCTTCGCAGGCTCCACCAGGAACACACGACCCTCGTAAGGGCCCATGGTACCGCCATTATCCTCGTCCGTAGTAGAGATGAGCAGCTTGAGTTTCTCAGGCTCCTGCGTGACCTCCTCAACCTCCTGGTGCCATTCTATGTGCTCGGTGGAAAAGTTCATGACGACGAGGACGCGGCGCTCCCCTGCTGCTTGGTATAGATGAAGAGGTGCTCGTGGTCCGGGCGGATCGCGGTGAAATCGCCATAGACAAAAGTGTCGGCGTTCTCCTTGCGGAGCTTAATCATGCGCTTCCAGAAGGCGAGGACGCTGCCCGCGTTGTCGAGCTGGGAGGCGACGTTGATCTCCTTGCTGCTGGGGTGCATGGGAGCGACGGGGTCCTTGTCGGAGAAGCCAAAGTAGGGCTCATTGCCGTCCCAGGGGATGGGCATGCGGGCGTTGAAACGGCTCAGGTAACGCACCGAGGCGGCGGCGCGGTCCATGGCCTCTTGGTCGTCGCCCTGGGTCTCCTTGACGAAGTCGTAGTAATAGTTACTCTCGACGTCCTTCATCTCCTCGATGGGGAAGTCTTGGGGGACGCTAATCATGCCGATTTCCTGGCCCTGGTAGAGGTACAAAGTGCCGGACATGGTGCCCTGGAGCATGGCCAGCAGGATCCCCGAGGGCACGCGGTACTCGGGGCTGTCGTCGGCGTAGCGGCTGATGCTGCGCGCCTGGTCGTGGCTCTCGAGGAACACGGCCACCCACGCGTCGGTGCCGACCATGACGTTTTGGATCTGCTCCCAGGCGCCCTTCCACTGCGAGAGGGTGAAATCCTTGGGGGTGATTTCGTACTTGCGGCCGGGGCCCATGCCGGTGCCGACGACCTCGAACATGAAGGCCATGTCCAGCTGCTTCTTGTCGCCGGAGAGATACTGCAGCACGTGCTCCTTCTCGGCGGTGAAGGGAAGCTCGCCGGCGCTGATGATGTTGAGGTCGCGCAGTTTCTTGCCGATCTCGAAGAGGTACTCGTGGATGCGCGGGCCGTTGCACGTTAGCGCCGTCGGGTTCTGCCAGGGCCAGTCGTTGAGGACCTCGGGCGCGTCGGGGAGGCCTTCGGGCTTGCTAAGCATGTTGGCGGCGTCGATGCGGAAAGCGTCGATGCCCTTGTCGACCCAGTAGACGATGGCTTCCTCGATCACGGCCTTGCGCATCTCCTCGTTGTCCCAGTTCAGGTCGGGCTGGCCTTCGGTGAAGAGGTGGAGGTAGTATTCCTCGGTATCCTCGTCCCACTTCCAGGCGCTGTCCTCCCCGAAGACGGACTTCCAGTTGTTGGGGGCAGCCTGTTGCCCTCGTCATCGTAGTTGGCGGGCCTCCAAAAGTACCAGTCGCGCTTGGGGCTGTCCTTGGAAGATTTGGATTCGAGAAACCAGGGTGCTTGCTCGAGGTGTGGCTGATGACGAGATCGAGCATGACGCGCATCTTGCGAGAGTGGCACTCCTCGATGAGACGGTGCATGTCGTCGAGGGAGCCGAACGGCGGGTAGATGTCTTGGTAGTTGGAGATGTCGTAGCCCGTGTCGATCTGGGGCCCGTCGTACATGGGGCTCAGCCAGATGACATCGACGCCCATATTTTGGAGATAGTCCAGCTTCTCGATGACGCCGCCGAGATCGCCGGTGCCATCGCCATTGGAATCTTTAAAGGATTGGGGGAAGATCTGGTACACTGTGCCTTCCTTCCACCATTCGGAGCCGGTTTTCGCCGGCACCTTGATATCGCCGGCAGCCATGTCAGCAGACATGATAACGGCTGGCTCGTGCTTAACCTTGAGGATTGTAAGAAGTAAGAGAAAAGGGGGATAGAATTGAAGCCTTTCGATTGACTCAAAGACAACGTGGGGCAGGTGCTAGATAATGACGACGATCGGTGGGAATGAGAACGATTGAATTTCAGATTTACTTCCTTCCCGGGAATGATGGGCGGGCAACGTGGGAGTATTTATTCAACTTTTTATTTTCTTATTCGTCGGTGTACATGGCGACATCATCCATGCCCCGAATCCAGTTCTGTAGGCAATGATGCGCTTATCAGTTGTTGGGAAGAGCTAAAAAATGCAAAGGTTTCGCACAGCAAGGAATTGGAAACCCGGTGTGGCGGCCGTGCCTGCCTCGCTCAAAATTTGGACGACCGACCGGCTGCCAACGACAACATGACGACATGGCTTTTGAGATTTTCGGAGGGAAAGTTCGACTCGGCGCACCGAACAGACAGGGAGGTGCGGCTGGACAGGAGATTTTGTTCCAGCTATGCCAAGCAAGCCGTGTCCTACGTCATCTTGCCCCCATTTGTGCATGGAAGGTGGTGGGTGGCCCCCACCATGTGAAGACCTCGATTCCTTTCGACGGTTTGTCAGGAGAGACACGAGGGTCAATTGGGTCAAGCTAACTGTCGTGCTTGACCGCTTGAACCAAACCATCAGATTGATCTGAGGGCTCATCTCGTAATAGGGCGCTTAGATAGCAATCTAAGTGATTCGCACCGGCACACGGTGACGACAGCAGCGGAGCAGAGCTTCCGATCGGTGTTCGATCTCGTCAGCCCGGGAATGGGAATCGGACCGTATGCTTTTTTGTTGCCACGCGAGAGGGCATGGTTGAGAAGGCCCTGACGGCCCTGACGATCAGGCCCTAGCCAAAATAAATTGCATGTTTTCCGTTCAACTTCTCCATGCCGAAACCCACGAAATTTCTACCCGGTTTCATGGGAATTCCGCTCTTCGTCACGCTTGGTTAGAGCTCGAGTGGCGACACGAGAAAATTTTTTACAAAAGAGCACAACGGCACGCGCGGCCATCTCGTCCTCTTGCGTAACGTCACCCCAGCGGAGTCCCGATATGCGAGCGGTCTCGCATCGATGTGGTGTTTCCCTGAAGTTATTCCAGAACTAGGAAAAGGCGAGGTGTCTTTATTTCATATGTTCTCAAAGCACACGATATCAATATAGTTCCACGGACGGATTAATGTATTTGCCGTATGATACACCACTATAAGCACGATGGAAGGAACGCCTTCCTGGTAGGGACCTTTGGACGTTGGAATTCTAGAGTTCCTTCCTAGAACGCACTTGCAAGGACAGATGAATTTGGAAGTTGCAACTGATATAGGCTTTGATATATAAGAACGTCCACACGGACCAAACTCTCATTGTCGTCGATGTGCCAACCGGGGCCTCAATAATAAGATGGATCTGTGGATGCTTTGCATCAAGTGTGTCTGACTTATCCAGCGACAGTTACAAAGTTTCCGCAGAGTCCACCATTCCTCCCTGACTGACATCCTCCATCATATCCTTCCCTCCTTTTCGTTCCTTAGCCTCGATACAATATAACTTGGAATCCCCGCGTTTGTGCGACGCATATACAAGAGTGACGCCATGGGGTCTATTGCTACGAAAACCAGAGTCCTCGTGCTTTCAGACACGCACGGTATCCGGCCCCGACAGCTGCCTCAACAGGAGGTGGATGTTGCGATCCACAGCGGTGATATCACGCAACACTCAAAGCTTGAAGAGTTTGTCGACATGATCGATATGATGAAGCACATAAAAGCTCCGCTGAAAATCATGATTGCTGGTAATCACGACTTTTCGCTCGACCCTCCTGTTTTCGACAAAAGATTCGCGAGGCTTGGAGGATCGCTGGTGATGATATTGATACACAACTCGTCATCAAGGAATATGGGAATTCAGGTGATAGCCACAAGTTGCTGCAAGATGCCAAAGAGCACAATATCCATTTTCTTCCTGAAGGGTCGTATTCGTTTATTCTTGCGAATGGCGCGCAACTAAAGGTATACGCCAGCCCATACACGCCAAATCCAACTCACGAACAAGACTTGTGGGGGTTTCAGTACTCCTCTCAACGAGATTTTTCCATCCCAGCAGGCACTGACATTGTCATAAGCCACGGGCCTCCTAGGGGCTTCTTGACATGTCGACTGACAAGCAGAGGCTCGGCTGCCAGTCCCTTTTGCAGCGGTTGCCAGGGCGCAGCCAAAGGTGCACTGCTTTGGACATGTTCACAATGGCTGGGGCGCCAGATTCGTCGCCTGGAGAACAAATATATCGCAGGAGCCGTCTCATTTCACGGATATCGATAACGGGAATTCACGTGTGATCACCACCCTTGCAAAACTTGGGACGACCTACGGCGACCTTCCATCACTCTTCGAGAGCAGCCATTGCTCAGATGACGAGCTGTCTCTAGGAGAGGGGAAGACGCTGTTTGTTAATGCGGCCCTTAGTGGTATGGACGGCACTCTTCGCCAGCCGATGTGGTTACTAAACATTGACCTTGACCGGGCGGGACCTTAGCTCACGCCACACATGGTATCACCAGAATGCGGCAAGAGCAGGCACGGCTTCAGTTTGGAGCCCAGCTGCTTGTTTTGGGAAGACGCTGGCATGCAAAAGCAACGAAGTAGACCGCAAGAGGGCTTGGCTTTCCGGATATGTTGGCCTGGCTCATTCTAGCTATGGGCCGTGCTGAGATTCCGTAGATATGGCAGAGAACTCGAATTAAGAAAAGACAAAATTAATTAGAGCGTCTAAGGTGCTTATAAGTAGCCATTAGTCCAAGAAAGAAGACCTCAGATTATAGAATTAAACATGCATCGTGTTCCACCCCTGAAGGAACGACCTCGTATTATAGTCCTGCCGGAGCCAATTATATCGTCGTATTCGTCATCTCCCCATTAAATCAAGGCTCATAAATCATCATCGCTTTTGCTTTTCTCTCCATCGTCCACATCAAGACGAGGCCGCGCAATACCTAAACTTGACAAACTGTACCGCGTCTTCCCAGTACTTGTCGAAATAGCTAGAGTGGATGTCCCAATCGGCACCTCCCGCGCAAGCGGGTCGTTCAGCAGACAGTAGTCACGAAGGGCATCCGAATACTTGTTCAGGTTGGCCAGTTCGGTCGTGTTCCTCGGGCCCAGCTATAGGAATCGAGCACGGTTAGCCAATTGCTTTGGTATGGCTGCGGTTGAGGCCATTACTTACGCCATTCACTTCCTGGCCGGAGAGAAGGTTGTACACCTGTCCATTGTTGTGTCTAGGGGATCCCCACATGAGGGCAGCGATAACTATCCTTCTTGTTAGTACCCCCGTTCAGGGATGCAGGTTACACGGGCCAAGAAAAGCTTACTTTGGTTACCGGGGAAGTCGTCGGATCAATCCCCTGGCTACCGGGCTGCGTGCAGCTGTTCCAGATCCACTCCATCTCGGCCGCCCCGCCCAACGCGTCCCCGACGACGTGCGCGCCCTGCGACCAGCCGGACAGCACGATCTTGGAGTTGGGGCACCTCTGCCCGTAACGCTGCACGGCGGCGACGGTGGCGCTGACGCCCGCCGCGGCGGACGCGCAGTAGGTGTTGTAGCTGGCGGGGTACTGGACGTTTTCAAAGTCGCAGCTGTCGAACTCGGCACAGATGGCTTGGGCGATGGCCTTTTGCCGGCCCGGGTAGGGCTCCGTGGTGCCGCGGACGAGGAAGATGCGGACGTCGGTGCAGGGTTTGGCTGTGCAGACGGCGGCGGCGGAGGTGAGGGCCGCGAGGGAGCCGAGGGCGAGAAGGGACTTGACGTGCATGGTGGATCCTTTGTCTAGGAGAGTCTTGAGGCAGGATGGATGAACGAATGGAAAAGTGCACGATGAACACTTGCTAACGCCCTAGGGAAATCTACACAACTTAAGAGAATGTTCCAAGCAAGGAATTTGCATCGACCGGCGCCCTCTTCCTGTTTATATTCGCCCCTCCTTCGGCACGCTTTCCGCACTTACCCTATGCCATCCCCAGCCATCCAAAAGATGCCGAGGGTGATTTTTTCGTAAGACGGCGCCGATGAACCGCTGAAGCCCCAAAAGAAAGGAATCCTTCCTGCACAACACCAACGACTACCCCACGAATGTGCAATTGTACCCCAAACCGGTGCCAGCGATGACACCACGGGTGAGGGGCTTGCCTTCCGCATCGAGATCGACGCTGCAACGTCGCACGGTGCACTGCTCCCGCTTTGGGTCGCCGACGCGGGGAAGGAGGATCGGGGAGGGCACGATTCCAGTTACGCTCATCCGGAGGCTCTGTGCTTTGCTTGGATCGTCGTCTGCACGTCTGCATGAACAATCTTGCTCGCACGGACTATTTCTCCGGTCGAGAAGGGAAACTCCGGTTGGCCCGGCCGTTGATGGTTGATGGAGGGGTTTTTGTCATCTGAAAAAGAAGGGAATGACAACGGAGCTTTGTCGAAATACGCGTGTTTGCCTCAATTGAATTATTTAACTGGATGGGACGAGGGAGATAAGAGAACAAAAGAGCTAGCACGTGTCAGAGTCAAGTGCCAATTGGAAGCTGCAAAATACTAGTTCATGGCCGCAGGCCGTCTATTCATGTGGTTGTTGTCCCGAGTCATTTCCTAACTACCTAATTTCCCAAGTCATTACATTGCCCTTTTTTCTTCTTCTTCCGCTTCTGTTTCCATTCATATTTCTTCATTCATGAGTATTCCTCTCACATGTCATGCAGATAACTTCTCTCGGTAGTCCGTCCTCTTCTTCTGTTTAGCGCGTCTTAGGCGAAGACAGAAAAGTCGCTCAGAGTCAGCCCCGTTTAAGAGAAGATGTGGAGAGGGTGGTTGGGGAGATAGAAGCCGGGGTCGTTGAAGCGAAGACCAATGTCCAGGGCGGCGATAGACTCGAGCTCCTCGGAGGTCATGTCGAAGCCAAAGACATCGAGGTTCTGCTGGAGCCTGTCCTTGTTGTTGGACTTGGGAATGACGGCAATGTTGCGCTGGGTGGCCCAGCGGAGAAGAACCTGCGAGGCGGTGACGTTGTATTTGGTGGCGAGAGCCTTGACGGCGTCGTGCTCGAACAGCGTGGGAATCTTCTTGGCCTTCTTGGAAAAGGTCTCGGGGAGCTCGAGGAAAGACTGAGGGCCAAAGGAGGAGTAGGCGGTGACGGCAATCTTGTGGAGCTGGGCCATCTCGATCAGGCCGGGCTGCACGAGGTAAGGGTGGTGCTCGATCTGGAGGGAGGAGACGGGGTGGCGGGCGTAGCTCATGAGGTCGTAGAGCGACTGCGCCTGGAAGTTGGAGACGCCGATGCTCTTGGCGACGCCCTCGTCGACGAGCTGCTCGAGAGACTCCCAGGTCTCGCGGATGGGGACCTTGTCCTCCTCGACCGTGCCCTGGTCATCCATCCACCAAGCCTAGATGCGACTCCTTGTTAGATATCATGTCCTTTGTTCTCATGCTGGCGCTCGACCGTTTTCGAGAAGCTGGTCGCCAAAAAAGTCAAAAGAGTGAAAGAGGAAGAGACTTACGGGATACCTGCGGACCTCGGGGTCAATATACTTCAAGGCGCAGGGGAAGTGGATGAGGAAGAGATCGATATAGCCAAGGCCCCAAGTCTCATTCTGCTTCTTGGCCATGTCAACGGCATACTCCTTGCGGTGGTAGTTGTTCCAGAGCTTGGTGGTGATGAAGATGTCCTCGCGCTTGACGAGGCCCTCGTCGATGGCACGGCGGATACCCTCGCCGGCCTCCTTCTCGTTCTGATAGTCGTAGGCGCCGTCAAAGAGCCTGTAGCCGACCTTGATGGCGTTGTAGACGGTCTCGGCGGCGGTCTCCTTGGGGACCTTCCACAGGCCGAAGCCGACGAGGGGCATCTCCTTGCCGGAGGCCAGAGTGGTGGTCTTGGAGAGAGGGGCCATGGTGAGCTGTATGGAGAGATATGAGATGAGGACTTGTAGCGCAAGGTATTATGAGTTGGACAATAGCACAAGGAATGGACAGGTAGATATGACGAGGAAAGGGATTAAAGAATAGATAGAAAAGAACAGGAAAACTCTTGAGAGAGCAAATTCGAGCTTGATGACGAGTTGGAGGGGTTCAAGAAGCTTTCTAGGAGGGGTAAATTTGACCCCATTCGGTGCAGAGCAGCAAAGAGCTCTCCCTCCCCACAATAACGAAAAGTCTCCGTAATGGATCATCGGAGCTGTGATGATTTTCCTACGCTACAAGCTAAAAAAAGCTTGCGTCAGGGTCTGGACATGGGCTGAAGTGGCGACGCGCCGACCTCCGTGGGCCACTGTGTGTGTGTGCGTGTATGTGTAGTGTGTGTATTTGGCCGAAAAGCTTGCTCTTTCCCGGAAGGTTGAGCCATTCAAGTGGTAAAGGTTTCCGTATTCGGGTTTAGCTCCAAAACGATACGGGAAGGTGAAGAGGGCGGGCTCTCCGATGTTTAGCCAAGTTTAACCTAGAATAGGAAATAGTGGCCAGCAAAAAATGGAGAAAGGATCATGCCATGTTTCCTAGTCCGGGCTAGACTCACGGCAAAGGAGCGAGCTGGCGAGCTTGTTGAGTGTTGGCGGATTTGGGTGATCCGGCATTCTTCCCCCTTCTTTTTTTTTTTTTTTTTTTCTTTTCCCTTTGTTTGGCTGGCCGCAGACCCTTCTCCTCCCCCAGAGCCATCGACCCTACAGAATATCTCCCTCCTCGCCCCCTTTTAGAAATATTCCCCCTTCCATGGCGGGGATTCCTTTGTGGGTACCGCACGCACGCCGCGCGCACGCTTTCCGGGTTCCCTCTCTCCCGCCCTTTTTTCGTGCTGCTCCCACCCCCAGAAATCCTCTGTCGAACGCTGGCAAGGGCAAGCGGAACCGCACATCCTCCAATCTCGCTCCCCGGACAATGGTGACGACTGGTCCACCAGGATGGCCTCCTCCCAGCCGCCAAAGAGGGTTCGCACAGGCTGCTTGAAGTGTAGAGTTCGTCGTCGAAAGTGTAAGTCTGGTGTTTTTATTCTTATTTTTATTATCTATCGCTTTCCAATCGCTGGGTTTGGCCGTCGGAGACAATTGGGATCTCCGCGGCGAGATAGGGAACCGGCTGCCGGAGAACCCACAACGGCATGGGCATACCCGCGTTGTCTTATCTGTCGGCGATAAAGCAAAGAAAAAAACAATTCTTACAAGTTAGTATTGTGACACTGACCTGTGCCTTCTTCTGGGCCATCTCACAGGTGACGAAGGAAAGCCGAGATGTCAGCGCTGCATCGCCGGCGGTTTCGAGTGCCAATACGGCACGCGTCTTTCCTTCCTCCAGAAAAACGCCATCACATCCGTCCCTAGCCAACCGAGCCCAACTGAAGGGCCTACCCCAACATACAGAAAAGTTCAGGTAAGCAAGCAAGCAATCGACAAGATTGCGCCCGCGGGACGGGTCATCGACAAGGACTCTTCCGAGTTTCTTCTCAGAAGTCCTACGTCGAGCTCGAGTGCTAAGTACCGGTCGACGGTAGTTTGTGAGGGAAGAGAAAGCTTCATCCTCTACAAAGACAAATCCACAGCTCAGCGTACGCGATGCGTCTACCACCTCCTGCGACACTCCTTCGGGATCGGAAGATAGGTCCGTCGCGGGTCCCGACACGCCCTCCAGTCCTCCACCTCTCCAATTCGTGATCGAAGCTAGGCCGTTCACCACATCTCCATCATCGGCGCAACCGCAACCGCAATCTAGCCGCTTGGGCCCAGAGAAACCCGACGGCATTAAATCCCCTGCTTCTCCGGAAGGGCCTCAGCAACGACCACCACAGGGCCAGCGCTCTACGAATGGATACGAGATCGCCTTGGACGCGCTCCTGTCCCTCGGTACCGAGCAAGGTTCTCCCGACGAAGAAAGCCTGGCCCTGATGCCTTTTAGCCCTGGGCAACCTTTTAGTCCCACGCGAGACCTTCTGAGTCCTTCCGGAGAGAAGAGGACCTCCTTTAGTCCATTCAGCTCCCTAGTCATTCAACCTTCCGCCAAAATCCTCAGAACCAACAGCCAAGACGTCTCCTTTAACCGCCCCGAGCTTCGCCGGCAGCATAGCACGCCTCAGACAGACGCATCCCCTAGCATCATTATAACTGAGCAGTCGGCAAGCGAACTCGATAATCTGGCCGCTATACCCATCATCCCCGAAACTCAGGTCCTTGAAATTCTCCGCCATTACCGCTATGAGATATCTCCATGGGTATGTTTAGAACTTACCAGCCCAATACCCCTTTCCCGACATGGTGCTTTATTGTTGCACATCATCAGACACGGTTTGGATGACATTCTAACCACGCAAGGGACCAGCTTGATATCTGCGACCTTGGCCAGGCCTTTGGCGTCACAGCCCCCTGCTTCGCATCCTCGTCAAACGCGATACTGTACTCGCTTTTGGCATTTACCTCGAATGTATCCCAACGTCTTGGAAACTGCGTCAATGATGAATCTATCCGAACGGCTCTCGTGGCGCGGGCACAATCGATCGCCACACACATTCCGGATCAAGACATCTCGACGAGACTTTTGCGCCGTCATGGCGTGGTGCCAAGGGATGCTTGTGGGCGAATTAGGAACCCCGATAACTATGCCATTGGACGGTATCGCCGACCTCCTCGGCCAATCCGTGATGCCTTTCGAGAGCCATCCCATGACGACGCCTCTATACTACCTCATGCTCCGGTTCGGTAGGTTTCTTTATCAGTCTCCCGATTCTTGTGCCTAGCTAATTGTGCTGCGTATATCAGATTTATCTCAAGCTCTGGCCAACGAGCAACCGCTAAACCTACCGCTATGGATGCCTTTGGACTTTGGAAGAAGATCAGAGCTCGCCGTTAGTGTTTTTCACGCTACCGCGCAAGCCCTCTTCCTCTGCGGCCGGGTCATCAACCTGATATATGGAGGAGTGGAGTGCACCGGCAGCACGGACAGCCTCATCGTCCAGTGGACCGGCCTTATTGAGGAGTTGAGCTCGTGGTACGCTCATAGACCGGAAGAAGTCAAGCCAATGGTGGACCTGGACGGCAAGGGCGACGCGTTCCCTACTATACTATTTACCACAGGGGCGGCCTTGCTGTCGAATCAGCTCTATCACACCGGCATGCTCCTCCTCCTACGGAACAGGCCCCGCACCTTCAAGGGCGTAGGGACAGGCCACAAACCATCGTCGTCCATGTCCTCGCTCTGGCACGCGCGGCGAATCTGCGGCATCTCCTCGCCAACGAGGCTCGCGGCACGTGGGATCCGAGTCTCCTAGCGTCGTTTGTGACGGCGGCGAAGGGGATGACGCACTCGACGCAGCACCAGCTTCTCCTAAAGAGACTTGGTGATGTGGGTCGACTGACGGGGTGGAATGTTGATCACTATTGGAGGGTTAAGGGACGAGTGGGGGTGTACGCATGAGTGACGAGAGGCCCCCTTTTTTTTTCTTTTGTTTGTACGAGTAGATACCCTGTTGGTTTGAAAATAATGCTTTTTTGGCGTCAGTTGATGGTTTGGTTGACACATTATGTTGGCTGGTATATTTTGTACCTACTCTCTTTTTTGTTTTATGTCATTGCTAAAATGAAATCTGGAGTATTATGCTTTGTTACATTTTCAACTCCCAAAACGCCAAATTCCAAGCCCATCCAAGCCCATGCGCAAAATACATCCCGTAAACTCTTAAGAAAGCAAAAATCAAACAAGGATCCAACGTGACGAGAAACGCGCGCAACCTAGAACCCGCTCCTTTTTACCCTATAGCCCCACACCTCCTCCAGATCGGCGATGCGCCAGCACGTACCCCATCCGGTCAACGCTTCAATGTTCCAAATCAGCCGTACGAGGACTTGGTGCTCGGACTTGTGAGTGAGGAGTCTCCCGGCCACCCATAGCGGCTGTATAGCGTTGTTGAGGCACCCGTGGTGGGGGTTCGTCCAAGAGATGCCGCAGACGCGCTTGGCGTGCCAGAGCGGGGAAGCGACGGAGCCCGTGCCGGGGCGCCGCGGAGGCGGAGGGGCTTGGGGCACATGTCGAGCATGACGATGCAGGCGGTGTGGTAGAGCTGATTGGCGGAGATGGCGGACCAGCGGGAGTAGAGGATCTCGGGAAAGGGGCTGGTCTCGACGATCTTGGCGGGGACGAAGTCCGGGGCCGGTCGGCGAGCCAGGCCTGCAGCTCGTCCCAGAGGGCGAGCCAGCGGTCCTCGAAGCCCGGGCCGGCGCAGCCGTTGCGCTCGCCGAGCTCGAGGAAGCGGGTGCGTTGGGCGAGGAGCTCGCAGGCGCAGGCGCAGAGGTAGACGGCGTAGTTGGCGTGCATGTCCGGGTGCGGGGAGGCGCGGAAGAGGGCGCGGGCGTTGGGGGAGGGGAGGCCGAGGCGTTGGATAAGGGGTGAGCCATTGCGAAGGGGGAGGAGGGTGGATTCGGTGCCGTCGGAGATGAGGGCTCCGCAGACGTCTGGGGGTGACATACAAGTTAGCAATTTTGAGACAATCTTCAATCAATCACCAACGTACCCATGCGAGCGTAGCACCAAAACACGGCTTGGAGCAGCCCGCCGCTGAAGCCGTGGACGCCGAAAGTGCTGAAGAGGGCGGCGCAGCCCTCGAGGTGCTTGCGCCAATCCTGGGCGCTGGCGGACATCATCTCGAGGCAGCACAGCAGGGTGCAGATGGGTATGACTTGGACGTCGCGGGCCTCGAGCAGCGGGGCGAGCAGGCGGATGGCTTCCTGGTAGAGCTCGAGGCTGTCAAAGGAGTGGGCGCGGCCGCCGGCCTTGCGCTCCGTCTGGCGGGCGGAGAGGGCGAGGACGGAGTAGAGCAGGGCGGGGGAGGTGCGGGCGAGGGAGGTGATTTGGGTGCCGAAGGCGCGGTCGCTGTCGAACATGTCGAGCCAGGGGGCGACTTGGTCCACGTAGTTGGCGAGGTACTTGACGCGGGAGCCGGCGCCCGCGGCGAGGATGGTGGCCGTTTCGCGGCGCTGCTCCTCGGCTAACAGAGCGATGAGGTCTGGGTCTCGCGGCGGGGCAACGGAGCCCGAAGCGCCGTGCTCGCCCCGTTAACGGTGTCGTCATTGTCGTTGTTGTTGTCGGCGCCGGCGGCGGGCTGCCCTGGCGGGTCGGGGCGACGGATTGCGCGGTGTGGAAGATGAGGCTGCGCAGCTCGTCACGGTATTCTTGGTACCCCTGGTTCAGGGTAAACTCGTCGGGGCGCCAGGTCATGGATGGGGAGGAGCCGTCGAGGGATAGGCCGGTGGGCGAGATGGCGTGGGCGGCGGCCGGGGTAGCGGCGGCGGGGACCCCGGATTGCCAGGGGGTCATGAGGTAGTGGGGCTCCCCGCGAAGGGGTTGCCCTCGCGGGAGGAGGAGTCGTGGGAGTCTGCGGGAGGCGGCGTCATGGTCCCCTCGGAGGGATTGAGCTCGTGGGGAGAAGGGGAGCCAAAGGAGGCGGAAATTACAGCTCGGGGGAGGGGTGACTTTTATTAGGGTGGTTTTTTTAGCTTAGCTTGTGATTGGGAAAAGGGTACTGGCTACGACTGTGGTGCTACAGGCAGGTGCAAGTGGAAGCGGTGGCGACAAGCGTAAAAGGCAGGTAGACGGTGGTAGCCGCTTCCCAAAGTGGTGCTAGCACTGAGGAAGGCACGCTGAGGTTTAGTTAGAGAGGAAAGTGCAGCTGGTTCGCTGGAAAGGGGCGCTTGGATTGGCCTGAGGTCAATTGGTGGGGTTAATCCCGAGGACGCGGGCGCTGGAGGGCTCGCCATTAACTCCCCGATTGCTTCGACGGGAGTGCACCTTCCAGTTTCGTGACCACCATCTTCAGTTTCCCGACAGAGCTGGTAACGATGCCTATTGTTTGAATTGGGGCGAGTTGTACCTGAAGACATTGGATCCATTCAGGATAGCTGCTCTTGCTCAAAAGATTGAATCTTCGGCGTGTGCGTGGTAATACACCCTCCTCTCAGCACGGCCATGCGTTTGTCAGTCAACCGTACAACCAAATTATCACCTCGATGTTGACATCTCACCATATTCAACACAGACAAGACTTCAAAAGACCTCGGTACCTTTAATATTCATGCTATTCGAGATCTTTCGGATCTTTAAGTGAAACATTTTATTGAATTCGCGTTGATCCATGGTCTATCATCCAAACATTCCAGTGCGCTCGTTCCTTTGACGAACTGACGGCTCCACCACCCAGTCCCAAGTCTAATGGCCTTGCACATGTATTTCACCCATTGTCAAACTCATCAATGTAATAAACGCAACCAGAAGACGGGCCGAACAAAAAAAAAAAAAAAACGGAAAGCGCCGTTACAGAATTACACCCCAGACATGCATAAAAATAATTTATCACTCCCCTTTGCACTTAGAGCTCGACAAACTCGTGCCTGAGAAGCTCGTCTCCCTTGAGCTTCTCCAGATACCCTCCACCTTGGCGGTCAAAGACTCGACATCGAAACCAAAGTACTTGTAGGCCGCAGGCCCGGGAAGGAGTGACCAAACGTCTTCATACACGCGCCCGCATCCGCGTAGCGCCCCAGCCATTCGCAGCGTACGGCTCGATGACGACAGCAGGCAGGCGGTGGCGCTGGAGGACCTCGCGCCTATACTCGAGGGGCTGGGCCTCGAACAGCCTCCACGAAGGGAAACTGACGACGCGGGCCTCGACGCCGCGCTCGCGCAGACGATCGGCGACGCCCACGGCGTGGGACAGCTCGGCGCCGACGCCGACGAGCGTGAGCGTGGCGGCGGGGTTCTCGCGCAGCACGTAGGCGCCCCGGAGGACGCCTTCGCGGCTGGTGCCCGCGAGCTGGGGCACCTTGTGGCGGCTGGTGGACACGATGGTGGGGGTGCCTTCGGCGGCGAGGGCGGCGGTCAAGCGCCCGCCGTCTCCTCGCTGTCGCCGGGGCGGATGTATTGGATGTTGGGCATGGCGCGGTAGAGGGTGGCGAGCTCGATGGGTTGGTGGGTGGGGCCGTCTTCGCCGAGGCCGATGGAGTCGTGGGTGGCGGCGTGGATGACCTTGAGGTGCTGGAGGGCGCCTGTGCGAGTTTGAGTGTGGTTAGTGTTGGGCTACCTAAAGAAAAGAAGATGGAGCCAGAGGAGAAAACAGGGAAGAAGAGACGTACCCATGCGGACGGCGGGGGCGGCGTAGAGGTAGAACATGAAAAAGGAAGAGGTGACGGGGATGATGGTGCCCGTGTTGTAGGCGGCGAGACCGTTGGCGATGGCGCACATGGCGTGCTCGCGGATGCCGTAGTGGATGTAGCGGCCGGTGTAGTTTCCGTTGATGCCGCAACCAGTCTTGAGATCAGGCTGTTGTGAGGAAAAGCGAAGGTTAGTATCGAATATGTGTTTGGACAATTTCAAGAGGCTAACAATAGCCGTGTCTCTCTCAAGGGAGCTTACAAAAAGACTTACATGTTGGAAATCGACCTTGCCAGGCCAAATCATGTGCACGGAGGGCGACAGATCCGCCGTGCCGACCATAAAGTTGTCGAGCTCCTTGGCAATAGGGTTCAGGACAAGACCAGACGCAGCGCGGGTAGCAGTCGCACCAGTCGGGAAGCTACCGGGAGCGGGGATGAGCTCCCTCCACCTCGGAGACAGCTTGCCGGCCACCCTATCGCGGAAGCTAGCGCCAAGGTCCGGGTGCGCGGCCTCGTAGCGGCCCACAAGGGCCTCCCACTCGCGCACGTGCGCCTCGCCGCGCGCGGGAATCTCGTCGAAGAAGCGCCTGACCTCGTCGCCGACGACGAAGTGGGCTTCCGGGTCGAAGCCGTGGGCGCGCTTCATGTCGGCGACGTCGCCGGTGCCAAAGGCGGCGCCGTGGGCGTCGGCGGTACCCGCGGCCTTGCTGCCGAGACCGATGACGGTGCGGACGTTGATAAAGGTGGGTTTGGTGGCGGTGGTGCGGGCGGCGTCGAGGGCGGCGACGAGGCCGTGGATATCGAAGCAGCCGTCCTCGATGTCGAGGACGTCCCAGCCGGAGGCGCGCATCTTGGCGTTGACGTCTTCGGTGTTGGTGAGCTATGTTTGAACCATTTAGTCAGTACATTTTTCCCCTGGTAAACAGGATATACTCACGTCGACGGATCCGTCACAGGTGATTTGGTTATTGTCGTAGATGATGGTGAGGTTGTTGAGCTTAAAGTGCCCGGCGAGGAAATCGCCTCGAGCGCCACCCCTCCTGCAGACAGGCGTCACCAATCATGCACCACGTGTGGTTGGACACGAGGTCCTCGAACCCGGGCCGGTTGTACGTGGCGGCCAAGTGCTTGGTAGCCATGGCCAGGCCGACGGCGTTGGCGACGCCCTGGCCCAAGGGTCCCGTGGTGACCTCGATGCCCTCGTGCTCGATCTCGGGGTGGCCGGGGCAAAGGCGTCGACGCGGTCCGAGTGGTACGACTTGAGCTGGTCGAAAGTCATGGCCTTGTAGCCCGTCAGGTGCAGGAAGGCGTACTGGAACAGGCAGGTGTGGCCGTTGGAGAGGACAAAGCGGTCGCGGTTGAAGAAGGTGGGTGTGTGGGGGCGTAGCGCATCACGTACTTCCAGAGGGCGACGCCGATGGCGGCCATGCCTATCGCACCGCTGATGGCGAAAAGGTTGTTAGCTCTCTGCTGTAATATACTCCTGTCGGGGTATCCCTTGCAACAGCTATTCTGGGGGTTTTCTCCCTTGATTATGGAAATATGAGTGACAAAAGCTTACCCGGGGTGACCACCATTGTACTGTTGACAGAGATCGGCAATAAGAAGACGAAACGTCTTGAGCACGATATCGTGAGACGCCTCATTCTCTTCCAAGAGCGGACGCTTGACGGCCGCAACAGAGGTCTTGGGGGCGACGACGGAGACACCGCCGTCATCTGCGAGGATGCCTGGGGCCATGTTTGCGAACTCGAGGCCGAACGGGGGTGGCAGGCTGCTTGAGGAACGGGTTATAGTTTGTCGCGCTGGAGTTACACGACGGATGCGGGCGAAGAGGCGCAACGAGTCTCCGAATGAGTGGTATTTTCTCACAAACCTGAGCAACGGTAGAACCGTAATCTTAGAAAGACAAGGAAAAAAAAGAAGGAAAAAGAATACTAAAAGGGGGAATCTCGGTCAATGGAAGGGAAAAAGAAAAAAAAACTGGCCCTGAAAGGTTTCCCAAGGGGAGCAAGGGATTATATTGGATCAAGATGGACGTCGAGTATTACACATCTCACTGCACTGGAGGGGTTTGGCCGATTCCGTACCGCTTCACGAAAAACGGGTGCGCTTCAACCTGCGCGATGGAGAAGAGCAAGGAGGCAACGAGCTAGTGTGGATCTCACCACCAGAGTCCACAAAAGAGCAAGAGAGCGTATTATCGTTAATCGGTAATCCCCTAGCGGACCATTCCCTTACCCGTTTTCCATGGTTACCAAATAATTCCCCTCTATTTGGCCTGTGCTCCTCTCCTCCCCTCGGTCTCGGGAATGATAAGCCCGGGGGGCGTGGGGAGGTGGACTTAGGAGGGGAGGGGGAATAATCATGGGGGCCCAATGTGGATGCCCATCATCGCCATCTGCTCCACGGCGCGTTTGCCAGCGATTTTGTTAGCGGGTGCGTCAACTTTCCCTTTGGGATCAATGAGCCCTCCGGATCGGGCAAGTTGACGCACCCGGCAGAAACTCTCCCCGCCGTCGCCGTTCCCCGGCAGAAGAAACGAAAAAGTGATGGCGCAACGTGTGAGCGGGTGCGTTTGAAGGAAACCCGTCCCACGAGGACAAAGAAGAAAAGAAAAGAAAAATAGAAAGGCACACGTCCTTCATAGTGGATGGAATAGTAAACCCAATCGAGAAGATTTATCGAATCGCCCCACGCAACCTTTCCTCACTCCAGCACAGCGCTGCGTCTTCGTCCCTTTGGGATATTCCGCTGTTTATCCCCAAGCGCTCTTGCGTTTGAATTTGCCGTGCCACGCTTCGCCGTCTCGCTCCACCAGCTCTTGTGATCAGTCCAAGAGGGAAAGAAAGAAATAAGGACAGGGAGAAAAAGAGAGAAAGTCCAGAACTAAGCTTACCTCTTGATCCGAACCTCCCCGCGTTGAATTGCCTCCCCATATCACTTCCGACAGCCTCTTTTTCCCCTCCGCTTGTTCCCGGCCCGACTCACCTTTTGGGTTGCAGCTCACCATTTCACAAAACCCCAGACGCCCGCTTCTCCCGGCACTACGACCGCGGCCACTCTCTACCTTGCTTGACCATCTTCCTCATCATCACTCACTCTCCTCCCTCCCTCTCTCATTTTTTCTTCTTTCGTATTCATCCCTTGGATCCTACCACCTCATTCAGGCCATCCTCGCACATTTCTATCGTCTAGCCCGTGCAACACCACCACAATCATGGTTACCGTCCCGTAAACGGCGTCGCGGATGCCCGCAACGGCCACATCCAAACAAGCCACGCGAACCCTTCCCTCCAGGTCACCGCCGACCACAAGATAAAAATGGTCGAGGCTCCCGTTCACAGCCCGGGCCCCGGTGAGGTTCTCCTCCACGTCAAAGCCACTGGCATCTGCGGGTAAGTTCCGCTTTCCTCTACCTCCGTCACCTAAAAATCATATATCTGCCAGACAAGAAAGAGAGAACAAACAGGAAATGCTGTTTAATTCACCAGATGCTGACCTACAAGTACATAGCTCCGACATCCACTTTTGGAAAACCGGCTGCATCGGCTCCCTCGTCGTCGGCGGCGACTGCATCCTCGGCCACGAAGCCGCCGGCGTCGTCCTCAAGACCGGCGAGGGCGTCACCAACCTCCAAGTCGGCGACCGCGTCGCCGTCGAGCCCGGCGTGCCCTGCAACAAGTGCTTCCTCTGCCAGGAGGGCCGCTACAACCTGTGCGAGGACGTCCAGTTCGCCGGCGTCTACCCCTACCACGGCACCCTGCAGCGCTACAAGGTCCACCCCGCCAAGTGGCTCTTCAAGATCCCCGACGCCGTCTCCTTCGAGGAAGCCGCCCTCCTCGAGCCCCTCAGCGTCGTCCTCCACGGCGTCAAGACTTGCGGTCTCAGCCTCGGCCGTGGCGTCCTTGTCTGCGGCGCCGGCCCTATTGGTCTCATTGCGCTCGCTGCTGCTCGTGCTTCGGGCGCGCATCCCGTCGTCATTACCGACGTCGAGCCTAAGCGCCTTGCTTTCGCCAAGGAGTTCGTCCCCTCCGCCATCACCTACCAGGTTGACACTAAGCTCGACGCCGAGGGAAACGCCCGTGAGATCCGCAAGCTCTTTGGCGCCGACACTGACGAGTACCTTGCCCCGCCCTCCGTGCTCGAGTGCACCGGTATCGAGAGCAGTGTGTGCACCGCTGCCTTCGCAGTGCGCAGGGGTGGTGTTGTTTGCGTTATCGGTGTTGGACGTGCCATTATGAACAACCTTCCTTTCATGCACATTTCTCTCGCCGAGGTAAGTTACCTCCCGGCCCCGCTGTGGGCTTCCTCTATACCACTCCGATTTCTAACAAACCTTGCTTCTCGCTATAGATTGACCTACGCTTCATCAACCGCTACAGGGACACCTGGCCCGCTGGTATCGCCTGCCTCAGCGGCGGCATCCTCGATCTCAAGAAACTCGTCACTCACCGCTATACCCTCGAAGAGGCTGAGCAGGCCATGACTCTGTGCTCCGACGTTTCCAAGGGCAGTATCAAGGTGCAAATCATTGACGACGTTGACGCCAGGATACTAGAGTAGAGTGCATGAGCGCCGTAACGAGTTTTTGTAGTCGGGGAGCGCGTCAAAGAGTTTGATGGGGCTGACTCTGGCTTTGGTTGCATTTTCTTTTGCCGTAATGGCATCAACTGTAAATAATATCCTTCTAAGCGTGTTGGAGTTCTGGGTGCAATAGACCATTCTATAGATGGATTCATGATCCCCTCTTCGTTCGTCTTCCTCCATTTCCTCTACAACATCTTGCCAAATCGAAGCCATACCCAGGTCCTTCCATAGCTACAGCGCAGAATCGCGGCCAACGCACTGAGAGTCGGTCTAGCCTACCATCATAAGTTGAGGGTCTCTTCATAGGTGACGGGTTCACGATCAATAGGTCGGGGTGCACGAGTCGACGGGGGCTTCGGAGTGTATTTGTAAATTACGTCGTCGGATTAAAGTGACAAAAGAATGGGGGAAGGAATAAACGGAGACGGGAAGAATTATGGCATGCGGTATCAAAATGGGATTACCGCTCTCCAATAAGCAGCTGGCATTTTGAAGCATCTATGGAGGGAGGGTGTCTCGTGTGGAACTGGTGGCTTGAAGTGGAATATTAAAGTGAAGGGGAAGACTGCTGTGCCGTTGGTCAATCCTCCCGAGCATCAGGCTAGGGCGGGGTTGGATTTGAGCTGTCATGAGATTTGATGCAGCCTCCAACTGGCTGCATGTAGAGCTGCATTTTACAGTGCATCTACGGACGATCTGAGCCCGGGGTGGCTGCGGTCGTGTTCCGCTCCACGATGGATGCCCGATATTTCACAGCCCAACGTAAGTTGTATTGAAGCCGTAGATGTCTCCGCAATGGCTCTTGTTGGACCACCGATCTTCCTGAACCGATACTAGGCTGGATGAAGAGCCCTTTGCTGGCCACTGGCCTTGATTGAGTAAATTAATTCCTCAGGATATCGATACGATAGCAAAGATGGGGCTCACCACGACAGTCAAGTTCCTCCTAGGACTCCCTCCTCCACCGACTAGAGGCGCGAGGCATCATGGCAAAGCAAGAAAGGCTGAGCCGACGACCACACCACACCGCGACGCGGTTTGGGACGTGTGTCAAACGTGCGACGAAGAGTTTGCCACGCAATGGGCCGCTCATAAGCACATGGACGACAAGGCCCACTGGCGGAAAACATTCGAGTGTGAAGCCTGCAATGAAAACTTTGCCACCAGACAGGCGGCTCATGAACACAAGGACGACCAGGAACACTGGACGTGCGAAACGTGCAAGGACACATTCGCCGCTCGACAGGTCGCTCGTAAACACATGGACGATAAAAGTCACTGGGGAAGCGGTTCAAGTGCGAAACATGCCCTGAAAAGCTGCCTACTCAACGAGCAGCTCATAAACACATGGACGATAGGGGTCACTGGCCGCGAAGCTTCCAGTGCAAAACGTGCGACAAACGATTCGCCTCTGATCGGGCAGCTCGTAAACACATGGACACCGCGAACCACTGGGGGAAAAGGTTCAAGTGCGAGACTTGCATCAAGCAATTTACTTCTCGGCAGGAGGCTCACAGACACATGAGCGTCGAGAAGCACTGGAGAAAATGGTTCAAGTGTCAAACCTGTACCGAATGTTTTAGCTCTCGGCTGGGTGTCGAGAAACACATGCAGACTTACAAGCATTGGGCGAAAAGGTTCAAGTGCGACACCTGCGACAAGCGGTTTGCGTCTCGAGAGATGGTGAATAAGCACATGGATGCCAAAAACCATTGGAAGAAACGGTTCCAGTGCGAAACTTGCGACAAAAGGTTTGCTCTTCAGCAAGCGGCTCAGAAGCACATGCGTGCTAATAACCACTGGGCTGAGCCGTTTGGGTGCGACACTTGCAATCGCGAGTTTGGTACGGGACAGGAGGCTGCAAAACATATGAATGCTACTGGCCACTGGTCTTCAACGACGAACGACAGCCATCAAGATGATAGGTTAGGCTCTCGGCAGGACGCAAAGCTACTTACATACCCAGATGCAAACGAAAGCCATACTATAGCGTTTGGGTGCGACACCTGTACCCTTGTGTTTAGCAACGAGCAGGAGGTCAGAAAGCACATGGATGACGATGGCCACTGGGCAGAGGTATTTGGGTGTGACACCTGTAATCACGAATTTGGCTCTGAACAGGAAGCTTGCCAACATATGGATATCGCAGGCCACTGGGCTAGAACGACGAAGCACGAAGCCTATGACGATAATCAGTTGGACTGTCAGCAGGGAGCCCTGCAGCGTATGAATATCGAGGATCCTGAGCCTCCGTCCAAGTGCGAGACCTGTCGCAAGACATTTGCCTCGGAAAACTCCTCGCGGACCATGCGGAGAGCGCGCGTCACTGGCAGCCCGCGTTCGTGTGCGATACCGCCAACTGTTGGATGAAATTTAACTGCTTGAAGAGAATGCAGGAGCACCAGCTCACCGGACATGACGAGGGGAATGGGGTGCGCTGCAATCTCTGCGACACCAAGCACCAAAGCCAGTCGTACTTGACGCATCACTTATCAACTGACCATGAGAACCGTAGAGTTGGCCACTTGAGGAAGCTCGCAGGCCAGAGTTCCGCCTATAAACACTTTAAAGACTTCTTTGTTGACTCGTGGCGTCACCCGGGTAGCCCTGGCGCACTCAAGGAATCTATTTTCACGATAAATACAATACGCGGCCACCTATGGGCTACCAATACCTTTTTCACGGGACGACTAGGGCATGCGATATTGCTGAGAACTTGGAAGGCAAGGTGAGGACATGTGGGAAGGCGGAATGCTCGGTTTGCCGTATCCTAAACTCATCGTTCAAGATGGAGTGTGTTGGTAAGTAAAACGAGCGGCCTCCAACCCTATTTGCTCAAACTGCTCTATCCGCCCTTACAGCTGAGGCTTGACTACAGGGACACGAACAGGCGCAGCACCTCCGATGTTTGGTCGCGGGATTTATCTAACACGGGTGTCCTCCAAAGCGAATATATATGCATGGAATAGCCAGAGCCATTCCAACTTGCATGTTCTCTTAATATGCTTAGCCCTTACTGGAAAGGTGGAAATAGTCATCGAAGCTGACTATGATAAGGTTGCACCAAGCGCAGAGTTTGATTCCGCCGAGGCAGCTACTTTAGCCGACAAGGGCGCGGTAGCATATCATGAGAGTATAGTATATAAAGAGGAGGTAGTCTTGCCAGTAGGGCTCATTGTGTATACTAGATAAGAGTAGTCGAGTTGACAACGTGTACAGGTAACCGTGCTATAATAGTGGACTTTCGCGTGATACAGGTTATCGGAGAGATATGGTTCACTCGATAACACGCCAACTACACTAATGAAGAACTTCATTTCAATTCTCCTGGACCCCAATGAGATCGCCTACAGATTGATAGATGCGCGGGCGGTTGTTATGAGAGCGTGGAACATATCAGCATTACAACTACACCTAGGCAAGGTATTTATCTAATCGACCTACAACTTGCTCCTGGAACAAAAGCAGGTGATCCGTATCTTTCATCTTCCCTTCAGGATGATGCGAGTCGCCGAAATCGCATTCAATGCAATAGCGCGCGGCTTCAAAGTAGCCCCTTCCCATATATTTCCGAAGCAGAGGTGCTACTTTTGTAACTAGTTCCTGCTTTCTGTCTTCATATCGCTCGCTGAGTTTTGCTGTTAACTTTTGGATTGGCATCCAAAACCCAATTTCCAGAAGCACGATCCCTAAGCTATAATAGTCGTATTTTGGCAGGTATTCCTTCCCTTCCTTTAGATATCTGGGATGGAGGTGATCTCTCGCGCCGTCATCAGATATTCCCGTCGTGAAGGTGGATGGGTCTCCCGGCCGACCGTGATTAAACCCAACCAGAAATGGTTCCTCACCAATGCCCCCGAGCGCTCGCTGGCATTAGGGAAAAAGACAATATTGGATGGCATCAAGCTTTTGTGCAGCCATCCCGCAGTGTGAAGATTAAGGACCGTCGCTGCGAGAGACGAGGCGAGCTTGTATCTGTCGTCGAGGTCAGGTCGATCGGCTATTGTTTTAGAGCTACATGTACGGAGAATCTCTTGGTTTAGGTTACTCAAGCGGTCGGCATTTCTGCCTTCCGGGAGCTCAAAGATGAGGCCGAATGATGTCCTTCGAGGCTCGTGAAAGTAGCCACGGCACTTGAGCGTTCGGAAGCTTTCGGGCTTTGGTTCCGCTAGAAATTCGGCCACCGCGGCGGTCCGCTGTTGCAGCTTTTCAGTGAGGGCCCCGTCCGTGCCGGACTTTTCATACTTGCGCCACTCGATCCATATTTGGGACTCCGCTGAGTCTGCCAAGAGGCGACCAAGATCGTGGTGATTTACCTGGCGCACCAGCTTCACGTCTTCGGAATTGACTAGTAATTTCTTGGACTTGGACGTATGACTCTTGTCAATTTGACGATTCATATTCTTGATAGCTCGTCTCTTGCGAATATCACGACTGATAGAGCCACTAGTGCCCCCGCTCTCCCACTGTGTAGAAGCCTGTTCGCTGTCATCCATTATCCGAATGTTGAAGTAACGGCGCGATGCGTTATTCTGTTCCACGCTGAGGAAGGACTCGAGCTCATCATTCAGATGTATCAGGCCGGAAAAGTCAAGGTGCTCGCGTGTTTCCGTTTCAGACAACCTACGTTCGAGATCGCTCCGAAGACGCTTCAGGCAGTCTATAATCGAGTCAAACAGGTCCATGGTCTTGTACGGAGGAGTGCCTTTAGGTAACTTGAACATGTCTTCAGGATCTCGAGTTTTGGCTGCGTCTCTCCAAGCCTCGAATCTTGCATGTTCGAGTACCATATCAAGGCCTCTATTGCTGTCGGCCCTGCTTTGTTGAAACAATTCGTCTATGCCTGCGGACTCTTCGTATAGTGCCAACAGACGAACTCTCCAGGTAATATCTTTTGCCTCGAACCGCTCCGACTCATTGATACGCAAGGTTTCCCGCGTAAGCCACACTAATAATGCACATGACTTGGTCTTTCTTCGGGAATTCTCTAGATTTGATAGCCATGCATTTACGGCTGGATTCGCCTCATTCAAACCTTTGTGGAACGCGGTATAAGTGGAAGGCCCTATTGTATATTCTCGGGAATCCCTGAAATCAGTCACCCCTTCGGATCCCTTGACTAGGTACGTTACGAGTTCTGCGATGATGCAGCCAAAGGACCACATGTCGCTTGCTCTAGCGCCACTCTTTCCCGGGGAATGGTAATCATCCGTACCAGTGTACACTAGCGGCTCTGGATCATCGGAAACCTCGATGAAGTTTGAAAGTCCAAAGTCGGCAAGAATTAGAGTTGATCCTGAAACGAGAATGTTACGAGGCCGGAGGTCATGATGGCATCCCATCAGCTTGAGCTCCAGTCTCTCGGCCGCGAAGTGGTGCACATGCTCTACTGCAGACGCCAACCCCGCAAGCGCGATCAAGAGGGTGGCATCGGAAGTGAAGGGCGTTTTCTCCCGCTCAGTTTTTAGCAGCTTTTGGAGAGTACCGTCTTTAGCTAACGGGAAGAGAAGGTTATGTTTGCCGTTCAAAGTATAAGAGGCCAGAAGCTCGATTATATTGGGGTGCTTCAAGTGATTGAGAATGGAAAAGTTATGCAACTCTTTCAAGTAGTCTTCCTCAACCTGATCCTTATCGAGATTGTTCTCTTCTCCGGCAAACTTATCGAGAACGAACTTTTTCTGACAAACTTGGCGAGTGTTAGTAATGGCTGGATGCTCTGGCTATGCTATGGTTGTACTGCTATTACCTGCTCAGGGAATGGATCCCCAACTTCTTGATGCTCTCCACATAGACGCAGTACAGAAATGATACCAAAGTTACCTCGCGCGAGTTGGTCATCTTTCACTTTTGCAAAAGGCGATTGAACGTGACCTCGCGCGAGTTCGCTATCTTTCACCTTTACAAAAGGCAAAATAGTGCCTAGTTCAAAGCGTTTATTTATCGTCGAACGACGGAAAGTAGGCGAAATCAGCCCCCACTGTGCCTGCTCAAATAGGCCCGCTTCGTCATCGGAGAGGCCAACAACTTTAGTGAGGCTAGCGACTGAAAAGGGAAGCTTTGCGTCTAGGTAATCGGCCTCGACGAACTTGAGAAGCAGGTCCATCTGGTCGTTCAAGAGTAGAATGCCAAAGACCTTTTTGCCAGTAGAGGCGATTGTATCCGCAAGAGTCTTCGCCTGGTATACATAGTCAGGGACGGTCGATACGCCGTCGCGGATTACCGCCTTTGTCACCGCCGAATTGAAAAGCAATTGCGGGATGAAGTCCCGATTTTTAAGGCCTTTTCGTTGATGTTGGCTCATCAAGGCTCGAAATTCGTTCATTGTGCTGGCAATTCAAAGTGCGCGGTATCATCACTCTGAGAACTATCGCTGCTGGTTAGGCGTGCAGATGAAGGTTGATCTCAGATCTATCCCAAGGCGAACTTTCAGCTTTCCGCGGACCATGGATATATTGAAGATAACACCGAAATGCAAGGAGATTTCCGGTTTTGTCTCTGCACTGCCACCAAGGAGCTAGAAGCAAAAGCCTGATGTGGTAGCTATTCCGTGTCATAAAAGTTAGAACTCTGGAATACGATGCTCCCACCTAATTCGCTACGCAGGAGGCCGTACAACCACACCACGACCCAACCGCATAGTGTTATGCATCGAAGAGAACATTGAAGGCACTAAGTCTTGGTGGGTGCCAGAAATGTGGCGATGTTTTGCTGCCCAAGTTCTGCCCAACATTGCCCCGTAATGGCTCTCTCCCGGTGATATGCAGCCAGCAACAAAGCCCGCAGCACGTCAACTGTAGTTCGCCAAGGCATTTTCATCACTTAACATTGATATATACACATTTATTGACAGTCTGGGGGCGGAGGCGGGTGAGAGAGGTTTGGGAGTTTTGTTCTATTCGACGTGCCGAATTGGGAACATTTATTCAACTTACTTGACCGTCCCAAAGTTATATTAGCGGGTCATGTAGCGGCGGATCCAACGCCCTTATTTTCTCATCAGTTGGATCAATTAGACTAGATGTTTCCTCGTGAAGTCACGGCCGGATTAGCATTCAGCTTTTTTCACACCTGTTGAACCACACTTGAACTACACTACCGAGGTATAAGATTGAGTTTTGAATCAGGTCGCGTGGCAACCTGGCGCCTGATGGCTGGCGGGCCAAGGCTCTTTCGGAGGGATGGTTGCTTTAGGATCAATTACATTTAATTTCTGTTGAATGAAGAATAATAGGTCAACGGCTGATGCGATTGATATTTTGCAACCAGATCTGCGTCTGGAAATAACATTTGAAAGCTCGAGAGATAGAATTGTCATTCGCAGATGTTCACATCCCGTATACTGGGTTCATACAAGAGGCCAGAATAATACATCAATAGGCCCCCTCCCAGCGATGATGCTATCCCTCAGGATGTTGGGGAGCTATTCCCCGAGCAGGTTCAAGCAACAACATGGAACATTACAACTGTTAGAAAGGGATCCCCTCGCTTTGAGAAGCACACTCTTCAATTACATATAAACCTTGGAACCTAGAATCACCTCCCTCGTGTGCGAATTAATCATCGGCGCCTGTCCAAAACAGATTCTTTCTCCTGCTTTTGTGTTTTCAGCATCCTTGCTTGTAAAAATGCCCCCGGTACCGAGAGCCATGGACAACTAGAGTACCTACCATTGTAAGTTCTCGTGGAGCAACGACCTCCGTGATCACTTCACCATGCTAGAGAAAGATGATGTGTTAGAAATAAAATCACGAAATTGAAGCCATGTTGTGACAATACCTTGATGGTATGTTCGCCAGGGAATAGACGTTGGAGCAAGGCGGCCAGCCGAAGTTTATTAACGTATGACCCATCTAAGATAGTCTTTTGCCCCATTATGAGACTGGGTAATAAAAGCCGCAGAACAAATATATAGTTTGAGATGAATGTCTGACCCAGATCGAAGGATCAATGAGTCGAGGTTGATGCGGAAGAGGGTTTGGGGGTTGTCGACTTTTCACCTCAAGTTCTCCCTCCTCTATGCGTATCCCTTTGTCTCTCTGACTCTCGATATCTTGATATGGGTGTGTTATAAGTATTGGTTCCCAATGGCCCCCAACCTGAATTTACGCCGTGATCCCGTTCTGGTATTGGGAGCGCAGTCCCAACTATGTACGCCTCCATGTATTTCGGCACCCATGCCCAATATCCGGATGCTTGTCCGAGCCATAGCCCGTGCCTTGCACAATTATCTAATGTACCGTGCAGCCAGATAAGTTCGGTTGCTGACAAGGAATAAATCTATCCACTACTAGTGGTAGGTCCGCCTCAAAATACTCTCTCCTTGGGCGAGCGCCCAATATAAGGCACATCGCATAACGCCCACCCGTCCATTTCGCCAAGCATTAAAAAGAAGTGACTTCCTCGCCCGATCCGTACTATCCCGTACTATTGCTACATTACATACTGCTTTTTTATTCCTGAACCGTGCTGGGCTGATTCTTTGTCACATGCATCTCCTAGCGGGCGGCAGTAGCTTCGAGCATGTTCGAGTTCAGTTTGAGAAGAAGCTTGCTGATATTTTCGTTGCTGAAGGAGATTTAGATGGAGTTGAAGTCATTGAGACGACGTCTTGTTCCACCTTGGTTGATGCCAACCCCACCAATCATCCCGCATGTGAGGTAGGCTCGGAAACAAGCCGGCGGGCTCGAGTGCACCATGCAAAAGCCTCCATGAGCTAAAGACGGTATTGAGCGTACGTTTTCGCCAATGAATATTGCATGGCTTTTTTTTTTTTCCCTAACACATGTGTAGGTTGGAATCACCTCGGGCTCTGCACGCAATTTGTCATTGGGCTAGGTCGAAAGACCTCGTTCTACGATGATGATTTTATGGCATGTTATCAGAGTACTCTAGCATCGCCCCCGTGGCGCTTACTCAAGGACACGACACGCAGGCACCGCAGGAGATTCCCACTATAAATGTAGCGAGAAGTATGGACGCATTGGAATCTGCACTTCTTGCCCTCAATACGAGGTGACTGACCGGAAGGTAGGCATCTGCTATAACGTCCGCCATTTCGAACGGCACGGGCGCGACTTGAAAGATCCATGGTCCTGTCGGCAATCCGCGCTTCATCACACTTATATGCAAGACACTGATACATCGTACTGGACTATTATACAGCCACCGACCATGTTCTACAACGAAGTCAGGACTGATGCAAGTAACAACAGCACCCTTCACCCTTTGGGCCTGCACGTCAAGTATCTCGGGGCCGCTGCTGCCAACTGGCGCGAGTACTTCAACTACGTCGCGGAGAGACTCAAGAAGTCGGTGAGTCGCCCGTTGTAGTATCCCATCGTGGGCTTTCATCCACGCACTAGGTGATGAAAGCAACACCTAAAACTCACATACGCTACGGCGCTACGGGCAGGGCGACGAAGTCGCAATCGATAAATCGTACTCGGAGTTCGGAATAAAATTTTCATCCAAACAAAATATCCACGCCCTGCGGCAAAGATACACCACGCCCATGCCATTCTGCTCAACACGGCCGATATGATCGCCGCCGTTAGGGCACACGGGGTCGCTATCTCCGAGACATGCAATGTTCCGGCCTGCATCGGTGACGCATTCTCCCGAGAGATGTCGAATATAGCGTCTGAGATCAAGGGGTACGCTTATACTGCCCAGAAGCTCCTCGGCGTGTCCGAGGACATTAGAGCGTTAGTGTGTTTATTCCTCATCACATCCACGGATGTCATATTCCAATAACGCTCGGTTACCACTAACAGTACCCTAGTATGACGATATTCTGAAATTCCACGGCCAGGAACTTCTGGTGAGTAATGGTGTGAAGCTTGCCATGATTGCTGAAGAGGATTCAGCCCAGAACAAGGTGATGGCCTCCTTGACCGAGATGACGCATAAGGACTCTCGCACGGTGCGTGTCATGACGATGATTGCCCTCATCTACCTGCCAGCGAACCTGATTCTGGTAAGTATAACAACAATCTAACGCTCGCTTGAATGCCCCAGCATGCCCCTCCGCAGATGGTGATGGTCCCCGTGATGAGACGAACAATGCTAACCCGGGATCGTGTGTTCTTGACTCGAAGGCGTTCTTCAGCACGACGTTTATAGAATTCACAAGTGAAGGTGGAAATTTGGCAGGACCTTCTTCCATCCGAGTGCATGGTGAAGTTTGGATTGCGTTCGTGGTCATATTCATCCTCTCTCTTGCGACATGGTGCGCGTATTTATATTTGGGTCGGGGAAGAAGGACCAACAAATCGGAACGCAGCTTAGTCTGACGAGCGCTAGTCTAACACTCCGAATATCAGCTCCCAGCATCGTCTCCCTGCCTCCCTTGAAGTTGGCGTAATCCAGCTTCATTCAACGCTATATTTTCCTTGAGCTGGGCTGCCCGTGGATGAGAATCACCCAGCGCCTCCAACATACTCGAACGTAGCTTTCTCGCTTCTTCATGGTGCAAACACTGAGTAAGGGTCTCCGCTAGATCTTCCGTAACGTCCAAGGTCAGCTCGTGCGTGAAGCCTAGGACTTTACCCGCTTGTTTCGTGAAGTAACCCTGAATTTTAATGGCTTCCTCGTAAGCACGCTGCTCGCGATGTATCATGGCCAGGCTTCGCGCGGTACATATCGTGTCAGGATTAGCTCCACCGAGCGTCGATATTTGCCCTTTCAAAACCGAGGTCATGAGGTCTATCGCCTCGCGGTACCGCCCTTGCAGATCGTAAGCTAGTGCAAGCGTGTATCTTGCTTTCAAGGTTAGAGGGTGGTCCTGGTGCCATATCCTCGTCGTAATGGCGCAGGTTCCTAGCAGCAAGTCTTCAGCTTCCTCGGTGCGCTCCAGATCGACGTATAGCGCACCGAGGTTGATCATGCAAACCACGGCGTCTTGGTGCTCTTCGCCCAACGCAGTCTTTGTCAATTCAAGGACCTTGACTGAGAGTGCTTCTGCCTCTTCTAAGCGATTGTTTTCCGCATAGAGCGTTGCTAAATCCTGCAGAACAGTAAGATAATACTCATCATTCTCCCCATATGGCTCACATAGAGCCACAACCTCTTCCTGGATTTCCAAAGCTTCCTCGAGTTTGCCTAGATCAGATTTGATGTGAGACAGCGCCGCTTTCATGATTACCACGAGCAAATGGTCGGCCCCTATGAAGGGCGACACCCCTTCAATCTCCCCACTTATGATCGATTCTGCGGCGTCCAGGATGTCTAGATTCCGGTAGATTTCGGCGAATGAGACCTTGCGCTCATGTCCTCTACTTGCCAACGTCCTGTACAGGCGGCCTGCCTTCTTTCAAGAAGCAGTCCCTGGGAATCCATGCCTTGCTGAAACTCAGCCTTGATTCCCTCTAGATCTTGATGCGAAAGGACCAGGTGGGCGCTTTGGGCCCGGGCTCTGCCAAACCCAAGTTCATGGCAGAGCGTGAGTTGGCCGGCAACTGGGTTTCCCGGATCTCGCTGAACGATCTTGACTAACTCTTGGACGATATAGTGTCGCACCCTAAAGTCAGAGGAGTACAAGGCGTTCATCAACGAGCCAAGCTGAGCCGATCAGTGGTTAGTGACGGAAGGTAAATAACTGGAGAGTTGGAGCAGATGGACAATTTACCTTGAAGTCGGCTTCTGTCGCTAGACACGTTTGATGACCTTTGATTTCAGCCTTTTGAAGGCTCGACGGAGGCCAGTGGTGGGGGTTAGCAAATGCCTCGACAATTGAGATGGAAAGGGGTGAGATGAGGTTCATACTGGACTGTATTCAGGTCCGCCAGCGCACATCGCATGTCCGTATATCGAGACTGTGGGTTGAGGGCGAGGCACTGCCTCAAAAATTGCTGCAGAGTTCGTTTCGGCTCGCCATCGAGATTGATTCCCTCTCAACAAGCCTGACTGCGAATTCTGCGAGGGATCCGTTTTCCTTACCGCTCGTCATGGATGCAAGCAGCGCGTCGCCGCTCGTGGCAGTTCCTTCGATGTTCGAAGCTGTCGAGGCTCCCACTCGGCAATCCTCAAATAGAAACCATAAACAGAGCATTCCGAAGGAGAAGACCTCGGTCTTTAAGGCTTGCTGAACCTTCATTCTGCGGTATTCGTTGCACTCTGGCGCGTACCATGGATGGGATTGAGCAAGCTTGATTCCTTGGTCAGCATCGGAGAAGTAGACGGAATAGCCGAAATCTGCTACTTTGGCGGTGAATGAGCCATCGTCTTCTCTGAATACGATGACGTTCGTAGGTTTAATGTCCCCGTGTATGATGCCTACATGTAGTCGCCGTATTAGCTGAATGGCAAAGAATTCTAATTTCGGATGCACATGGTTAACTCACGATGGGAGTGCAATTGCCCGATTGCGTTTCCGATGTCTTGGCAGATTGTCAGGCGAGCCGAGGTGTCCAACTCTCGGCCGGTAGCAGACCGAGCAAACTGGCCAAGATCACCCAGCTCTGACTTCTCAAACACAAACGTCGGCCAAACCTTCCGCTCACTCGAGCCCTCAATCTCACCCTCAAGGTGGATATTCTCCCATTCCCCCGGATATCCCATGTCACCCCCTGCAGTTCAAGAATGTTATGGTGAGTTCGCACGGCAGGGTGCCAAAGGATTCCAAGTTCGTTGATGAGAGTCTTTAACGTGGCTTCATCGCTGAGCCCGGCTCGCTCAAGATCAGCGTTGTCTCTAACCCGTTTAAATGCGAAACTCGTCGTTGGATTCATAGTGGCCTGGTCTATTTGGCTCGTTCCTCCTGCGCCGAACCCGGCACTTTCCTGCCATATGGTAGGCAAGAATGGGACTCCAAGGGCCTGGGCCGTTGCAATAAACGTGACAAAGTTGCAAGGTATCACGACCGGCTCAGGACCCCTTGTGCTGGCAAAGGGATGTGGAACAGAAATGCTTATCACGCCGTTAAAGGACATGGTATCTGCGTACAAGAGTCGAGGTATGGAAAGTGAGGGGTACAAGCTGCTATGACTACATGTAGGAAAGGATACTGCGTGCGGCAAGTAACGGAGGAAGTTGAACGGTGCAGGAGAACTAAAAGTTTTCGGACGGGCCTTTATATAACCAAACATTAGGAAGAAGATTATTCTCGACGGTACTGGCTCACAGGGTCCTTTAGGAATTACCTCTGGTGCCATTGGATGTATGATATTTGACCTCCGCATGACTTTCGTATAGTGTACTCATCCACCCCCTGCGCTGGCTTGACGGGCCACCTGAGTTAGACGACCTCTTCTTTGGGTAGCCAGAGCCTGTGATGGCTTCCCAATAATGAGTGAGGGACGATAGAGCCACCGCGAGGGCAGGCTACGAGCGGGGTAGAGTGGCTTCGTCATCCTCGATGTAGTCTTTTCACGCCCTGCAAACTTGAAACGGAGGGTCGTGGTGTGTCTACCTCGAGGGTCGCCATAGGCCAGTCGTCTCTTTTGCGTGTTCGGGGCTCCTGCACAGGCGCCTTGCAGGTTTATAAGTGGATGGATGTATCCGTATCGATATCAGCCACCCTTCAAAGAGCTCGCCTCTGCTAGATTAGTACAAACATGGGCGGTTAATAGATTCATTTCACGACGACGGGAGTAAAGGCAACACCGAATAACTTTTTTCCTAACACTGAATCCCTAACATTTTCAGTGTGGCAAGTAGTTAGTGAATCCTCAGGCCAGCTGGAGCGCAATTTGCACTGTCTCGGGATGACGCTGTGTAACAGGCTGATATGATCACTCTAATAGATGCATATCCACTATCTACAATTCACAACCAACAGCACGCACCTTCGCTCCACCCGCATGGCTGCCTGATGGTTCGCTGCGCCGACTGGGGCTGAATCCAACATTGCATCAATCCATCTAATGGATCTATGGACCCTTCTTCCCAAAAGCGAAAGACTATGGTGCCTCCTTCACAAACTTGACCCCCAAGCGCGAAGAGGAATTTCACACGTCGCGCAAACAAGCCTGGTTCTAGAACTCCAGGGGTTTGAAGAAGAAACTAATTGTAACAATGGCGAGTGACCGATCCTCCGATTCGACGGGTATGACCGATAGCGGGGAGGAGCTTGATGACGGCGTGGTCGTGGTCCACCCCGACGACGTGAGCAACTACAATCCCGAACAGATTCTGCCCCTACAGCCTGCCGTCGTGGAGAAGATCCGCGTCTGGCTCGGGCCGACAGACTACAACGTTGCCGGCGGCGAGTATCGCAGGCACCTCGCTTCTCACGTTGTAGGCACAGGCACATGGCTAACCGCCACCCCCACTTATCAACAATGGTTACATAGCGCCGAGCATGGGCTACTCTGGATCAAGGGAATCCCGGGGTCCGGGAAATCCGTCATGGCCGCGACCCTGGCCGACGAGCTCGCCCGCGCGAACCCTGGATCCCCGTTCTCTACTTCTTCTTCCGGCAAATCATCGACGCTAATCACAGGCCGGAGGCTCTACTACGTGACTGGACGCACCAGCTGCTGCAATATAGCCCGCCTTTACAGAAGAAATTGGCAGCCCAGATGGAGATAGAAAGAAGCCGATCTATCGATAGCCTCTCTATAGATGACATGTGGAATGACCTGCGGATGGCCTTTGCTAATCTCCCAGGCAAAGTGTTTTGTATCGCCGATGCCCTCGATGAAATGGACAGTGGGCACGATACTTTTCTCCAGGCGCTTGGAGCGCTTGGCCAATGGCGCCCACAGACCGTCAAGGTTCTCATAACAAGCCGCCCGGTTCCCACTGTAGAGTTACCTCTACGAACGATTCCTTGCCTTCAGCTTCGTTTAGACGAGCAGCACGTGGACGCCGACATCGCTACATACGTAAACTTTACACTGGCCAAGTCCGAAATCCCCAAGGCACACTGGCCAATTATTCGAGACGCCGTGCCGGGCCGCGCCAACGGCCTCTTTCTCTACGCAAAGCTGGCCATGGATGCCTTTCTAGAACCTGGAGCCGACGTGGACGCCGTGTTATCCGCGCTCCCTCAAGACCTCAACGAGCTCTATACGGGGCTCTTGGAAGAACATGCTCGACGCTCAGCTGTACCCCCTGCCATCCAGCACCTCATCTTGGAGTCCATTACCCACGCTATGCGTCCTCTCCGTCTCCTGGAACTAGCCGAGATGATTCGGGTTTGCGCGCCTGACCGAGTGCAGCGAGATATCAAGGCTACCAAGGATATAATACGGTCAGCATGCGGTCCGCTATTACAGATCTTGGTCGATGAAACGGTTTCCGTCGTGCACCACTCGTTTACCGAATATCTCAGGGGGTCCACGAGGCAGGCTGGCGATCCGGGGTATCCTATTCTCGACCAGGAGTCCACGCATGCTAATCTCGCCCTCGTTTGCCTCTCTTACCTAAAGTCTGGGTCTCTTCTCGATGGCATTGATGCAGATGGTAGTTGTGACTCTGGTGATGACGCCTCTGAGATTGGGGATTCTGGCGGCCATGAGCCCGGTCCTCCTTTGGAACATAGGTATGACCCTCGCTCCGTCGGCCTACCACCTCGTAACCTGAGATACAATAAGCGGATAGCGTGGCCCTTTTCAGTTACGCCGTGAGTGGCTGGTACCGCCATATCTTGAGCTCCGAGGCCGTAGGTTGGAAGCATAGAGATCAGCTCGATGCCGGGGTTGACAGCCTGCTCGGTAAGAGAAGGCTTTTGAAGCCTGGGTCTTACAGGAATGGCCGCTTACTATCAACGACGAGGAGATGTCCATACCGCACGCACTTCACGTTTCGGCATACCTAGGGCTCGGCTCCTACACCGAGAAGCTGGCAAAAAAACGGACGTGGACTTGAGATATGAAAACGGGCCAACGCCAATGTAAGTGTGCTACTGATACCCAAGTCTCCAAAAGCTGAGCTGACCTTGGTATTCCCAACTTAGTTGGTGGGCGGCGCGTGATGGTAGCCTGAATTGCATTCGAGCACTTCTCTCCGCTGGCGCGAACCCCAACATACGAATCAGCCACAATGGAGAGACGCCTTTGTTCGAAGCCACGATGAAAAGGCACCATGAAGCCATCTCGATCCTCCTCGAGGCTGGAGCCGACCCGCACGTGAGCCTTCACGGCGACAACGACCGGACCCCTCTCATATTCGCCTGCGAATGCGGCCACCTCGAGTCCGTCGAGGTCTTCCTGAAGTTCGTCGAGGACATCGACAAAATTCAGCGTGGTGTCATTGGCGCGGCCAGATGCGGTCGCGCTAACGTGGTACGGCGGCTCCTCGAGCACCCAGGCGTAGACGTGAATAAAAAGGCGGCCGGCGAGACGCCTCTTTTGCCGCCTGCAGAAGCCGACAGGCGGATACGGTGAAGGTGATCCTGCAGGCCGGGGCGGATGCCAAAGTGACCTGTGTGGGCGCTCACCGGTCTCTCGCTACCCAACTATTGCCGGCCAATCACCCGTATCAGATAAAGCAACCCGGGCACCACAGGATCGGGATGGAACTGACATGCTTGCACATTCTTTGCGCTGCTCATGCTTATGACGGCGGGGGTATCCCGGAATCCCTCGAAGAGGATGCTGCCAAAATCTTCCATCTTCTCGTCGAGGCCGGCGTGGATCCAAATCAGCCCACACTCCCTTCTAAAGCCACCGCTCTTCATGCTGCGGCCATACACTCCCCTTGCTAACCCGACTACTTCTCCTAGCCGGGGCCGACGCCAACGCCGTCGACTGCCGCCGCCTCACCCCGCTATGTCACACCCGGCGAATGGATTGCGTGGCGCTCCTCGTCGAGATCGGAGGAGCTGACGTAAACGCGAGGGACAACAAAGGCCGCACTCGCCTTTTCAGCGCCGTGAATTGGAACGATGAAGAGATGTTTTGCAAACTCCTCGGCTATGGTATATCCTGCAACGCGCAGGATACGAAGGGCAACACCGCTCTCCATCAACCATTGTCGCACATGTCCATGGCCGTCATCACACACCTTTTACAAGCAGGTGCCGACCCAAACCTCCAGAACCACGTGGGGCTGACACCTCTAATGATCTCGGCACAAACCACTACTCATGTGGAGAGGCTCCTAGCTGCGGGTGCAGACATTGAGGCCGTGGACAAGTCGGGTGCGTCGGTCCTGTTTCGCTTGTTCCACGGCTACTTCGACAAAGATGCCAGTACGTTTAGCGAGATCCGACTCCTCCTTGACCGGGGCGCTTCGCCTACGAGGCGGGATTACAAGGGCCGCACAATTCTACACAACGCCGTCAAAGGCTACAAGCCGAGGATCCCCGTGCACACCGCCACCTGGCAGCCTTCCACCGATGGCGGCGTCACCAAAAGAAGGAGCCGCAAACCAGGTTTGACGTGGCCCTGTCGATAGGCCTAGACCCTTTTGCTGTAGACTACCACGGGAACGGACTTCTACACGAACTCGCCAGTCACTCTTTCAGAATGGAATACCGGAGACACCTGAGTGCCGGGAGCGTGGCACTCAGCTGGCGTTGTCTCGGGGACCTGGGGCTCGATATGGACGCGCGGAATCATGCGGGTCGCACACCTCTACATCTTTTGTGTGCGGCATCGGTATGGATGGAAGACGATAGTGCAGCAAACTTCATTGATTTACCTTTTGACTGCGTATTGTCAAAGACGAGCAACATCGACACGCGCGACAAATACGGCGCCACTCCGCTTCACCTAGCCGCGGTCTACAGCCCGCAATTGACCCTAAAGCTTCTCCGTGCTGGCGCAGATCCTACCGTAGCCACATTTGAAGGCCTAACCCCTCTCCACCTAGCGGCTCGCAGCAGGCAGAGTAACATCGTCGGCATGCTACTGGATGACCTGCGACGACGCCAGAACGCGTGCAAGGGTCCTGACGGCGCCCAAGAGCCTCTCCATGATGGAACGGCGGCTGAGAAACCCCGGGAACCAGTGCCCGGCGTCGATGCCATTGCGGTATCCGACGAGAAAATCATCACCCCGCTGTACTACGCGTGTCGTTCCGGCAGGCCGGAAACCGTTTCCCTCCTCCTGGAAGCGGGGGCCGACATCTCCCTCACAAACGTTTTCGAAGCCTGTGCGGGCTTTGAGAGGGAGGCTGCCCTCTGGCCGCCTAGGACCCCAGAGAAAAGGGGGCTATGCTTTCTGCACCTTCTGCCAGATCCACCACCTTCCTGGGAATTGTCGAGATAGCGAGGACGTTCACGCCACCGCCGTTCGCATCGACGACACTATGCGACCAGCCAGGCGAGAAAATGCCCAGCCTGGCGTTCTGCGGCCCCATGAGACGGCGAGGCTCGACGAGATCCTGGACATGCTGTTGGCCCGTGGAGCCGCCTTCCACGGGTATACAGTGGCCCGTGTAGATCCTCCCATTTGGCCCAGCTATCTCTACTCGATACAGGATTCCGAATACATGGTACGCAGCATGTCTGTGGCGTGGAGAAAATGGGAGGAGGAAAACGGCGTAGCGAACGACGTTTCGTCTACCGCCCGATCTGTCCACGAGAGGGCAACGCCCCTCCTGGACCAGGCGTGGATGCAAAGTTTGAAAGAGCACGAAAGCGCCATCACCAGAGACTCCGAGAACCGAGATTTATTCCACCGCTTCATGGTTCAGCGGCAATATCATCTTGTCGAGGCCATGGCTCGCGTCGGAAGCTCCTTTCTGCCGACCGCCGCAGGACCGTGGTCCAAGTGCAACTTTTCTAGCCTCGTCTCGGGAGGCTTCACCTCGCTCGTCGACAAAGTGGGAACCCTTGAGTTGGAGAGGAAGCTTCCAGAGGGTCTCTGGCATGCCTATGGAGACGAGACAAAACCGGGCTTGTGGCGGTTTAGGAGAGACTTCCGTCCTGAGACTCCCTCCACCCATCACAGCCTGCCGGAGTCTCCTGGATCGCATAATTCTAACCTGGGAGAAGAAGACCTTGGAGTAGATGACCTCGGGCAGACACATGCTCGTCGTGAGTTCTGGCCACACCGCCCCTATCTTATCGCAGCCGTAAGCCGTGAACTTCCCAACATGGGCGTTGTGCGTCTCCTAGTCGAAAAGTTTGGCGTCCACATCGACGAAACCCATTCCGAGTACAGTTTCAAGCCTCCTGGCTGGCGATATGAGGAGGAGATCCACTTCGCGCTTCGCACTGCGGCTTCAGGCGCGAACTGGTGGCAGGTTCACCAAGCGCTCCCCTACCTGATCCAGGCTGGGGCAGATGTCAACTTAATGCCCCTCCGGGGCGACTCACCATTGTGTTGGGCCATTGCGGATCGCATGCGAGTCCCAAGACCCTTCGCCCTCGCCGCGTCACGCATGTTGATCGCCGCTGGGGCGGACGTGAACGCCCACAACTATGGAGGTTTCTCTTGCCTCGCAACTGCCAGCATCTCCAACAACGGCGAGCTCGTGGAGTTCTTCCTGGCACAGGGTGCGGTGGTCACTGGCGATGCGGTGGAAGGAGCTTTGCGGAACAGAAACCCGCACATTCTCGAGCCTTTGCTCTCAGCAGGACCATTCGACTTCGCATCCGGTCTGAGACCTAGGTTTGGACAGGCATATAAGGCTTTTCCCTGCTTCAGGGACTCGGAAGTAGATTGGCGGTGTAAGGACATGGAGGAAGGACACTACCCCGTGATCTACCTGGCGTCCGTGATGATGAGCAAGCGCGAGGAAGGATGGCCGCTCTCTCTCGACGAATACGAAAAGGCAGGCCGCAATATCAAAATGCTGCTAGATCATGGTGAAACTTTATCATACACCTTGTACAAGCTTCCCGATGAGGAACTAGATTCCTTTGATCACGATCAAAACCGCGACCTCGAGACACCCCCAAGAGCCCAGATGAATACCCACTTTTGCACCACATGCTCTACGAGAGACTCGCGGCTGACGCTCTCCTGGAGATGGCCGACCTCAAGGTCAACGAGCGTGACCCGGAGGGCCGCACTATGCTCCACGCGGCATGCTATAGTGACCGAGGGTTAGGTCGCCTGCTACGTATAAACAAGGAGAGCGCCGCCGGGGATGTCCAAGAGGTTACCACGGTATTTGACCGCCTAATCACGCTCGGGGAGATGTGAAGGCCAAGGATGACAATGGCCTGAACATCCTCCACCATACCGTGCAGAAGGATCAGTACTACTGGGGGTATCATTCGGATGACTCAAGTGAAATGAAGAGAGATAAGTTTGCCCAAACGATAAACATCATCTTGGAGAGGCAGCCGGATCTGGCCAACGATGCCGACAACCGCGGCTTCACGCCACTACTCCTTGCAGCAGAGCTACCGGTCCTAGACGAGAGGGTCCGAGCCATCAGGATTTTGCTCAGCCATGGGGCGGACCCGCAGAGGACAGCGAATAGCGGAGATACCATTCTCCACCTTCTCGCGAGCAAACATGAATTCTCCGAGCCCAGCTTGGGGTGTTTATTCCAGGAGCTCGTCAACACCTGGGGCGTGGACGTGAATGCACGGAACGCCTGCGGGTGGACGCCTCTGTCTGTGTACTGCTCCCAGCCTGGTGCCCCCGGGGCCAACGACCCATCCCGAGTCAAAAGGAAGGAGGAGGAGGCGTTGCGATTGATGGTGGAGCTGGGGGCCGACTTGTCGGTGCGGGATAATAGCGGCCGGGGCCTGCTGCACCTCGCAGCGCGCGGGGGTCCGTTCCGCTTCAAGAAGCTGATGGATCTCGGGCTCGACCCGTCGCTCGAGGACGACGCGCAGCAGACGCCGATTGATCGAGCAGCGGCCTGCGGGCAGACAGCGATCCTTGAGTTATTTGAAAGGAAGGATTGAAGAGACTGAAGGGGAGGGGGTGTTCTTAGCACATGCAACGAGATTTTAAACTAATACATGTTGGATTAATTCTAGCTATGACTCGGTTGTGACACAGTGACCACTCTATCGTCGCCTTCCGTCTGCCACATCGCGGCGCTGGGATGATTTGAACCTCGAGGTCTTCCACTCTCTCATTGGCAGTCAAGAAGCACCAGAGGCGGAGGCCTCGATCTCCAGCCACAGGCCCCGCTCTGGATGGAAGCCAACGCTGACGTCGGGTCTAGGCCAGGGATAGTGCAGGTCAGGATCATGTCGCATTGCTTCAAAAGCCCTCCCCAGAAGTCCCTTTTCCTAGCTAAAAAACCTAAAAGAAAGAAAATAATAGAACAAACGTAAAAGAAGGGCAAATTTACAATTGAAGGGTTCCCATAGAGCTGCAAATTCACTCTTAGAACTACGAAGAGAATAGCATCTCTGCACACTCGGCTTGAGGACCCAAACATGACCCCGCGATGCTAGATAGCTTCTATGGATGTGTCGAGTTTCGCCGCTGCATCCTCGCTTACTCGCTTACCAATCTGTCGAGTTGAAAGGGACTGGAGGAGCGTCAATGATACTCTGGTGCGTGAAAACGGCTGGCGAAAAAAGCGTAAGCCGGCTCACGCAGACCGTGAGTGGGGAATTCAATTGCAAGGATGCTCCAGGTAATCCCTTTTAAAAAGCCGTGTTCTGTCTCTTCGCTCTCTCGGGTGCGTTTCTTTCACGATCGACCCGTTGCTTGCCGGAAAATAAATCGAACATAAATCGAATCCCCCAATAGTGTACCCTCTTTGAATCAAAAATGGCTGCGTCAGGTTCCATCCCCATCATCTGCTGTGGCAAACAGGAGCGGATTGGAACCCTCGTTATCGAGTGTCTCAAGCCCCAGGTTGAAGGTAAGAGAGACAATGACGAAAGAGACGCAAACTAAGGAAAAGGAGAAACCATACAAGAAGAAGTCCCACGTTGTGCATGCGCATGCCCCCGTCCACGCAAGGTTCGACCCTCACCGGGTTCCTAGCTAATTATCGCCCGTCAACGCAGTCGTTCAATTCATCTTGCCCGGCGAATCCGGCTCCACAATTATCCCGGCTCTCCTCGCCGGCAAGCCCGCCCCGCCCACCCGGACATCAGCAACATTGGCACGGGCGACTACTCCCAACCGCCGCGAGCCGTCCTCTTTGGCGGCGCCTTCGAGGAGGCGACTGTGCGCGAGCTCCTCGACGCCGTGCGAGCGACCGAGGGCGCTCGCAAGGTCCCCTGGCTGTGCAACGACAGCAGCAAGACGGAATTCCCCGTAACGGACCCGCGCTACATTGCGCACGTCAGCCAGAGGGCGATGGATGTGCTGCTGAAGCTGAACAAGGAGGGCGCTTTGGATGGGTCAAACGATGATATCGTCATGTACTAGGTGCTACATAGCCAGTGGCAGCTTGGTGAAATGGGTCTTCAATCAGATCAAGTATTTCCCCGCTCCCGTAGCGCACTACCTGCCGGGCCTAAGATCAAGACGCGCACACCATCCAGTGAAAGCGAGATAGAAGAGCCGTGTAGATAAAAAACAATACAACTGGCCTATCTTAGTAACGCCTAAAGTCCTTTAACCTCATGGCCCTCCCCCATCCCAACTAGCTTACCACTACACTCTCTATGGCCTCCGCCCAGACACCTATTTCTATTTCTTATTTGATCCTGTTGCCTAGCAATGAATAAGTTCCAGAAAAGCTTCGTTATCGATAAAAGGTATAGGCCAAGATTCTCAGACTGGTGGGGAAAAGGATGCGAAGGACAAGAGAACGGCTACACGACAAAGTCCAGAGTAATTCCTCATTGAACAAATAGAGTACCCCCTCGACAGACTTTAGTTTCGCCTCTCATTGGACCAGGTCACTTTGGCGTAGGTGGCGTCGATCACAGGGTGAGAAGCAACCCAAAAATTGCGGGGAGATCGACGGCGCTAATGACGATGGAATGGGGTGACCGCTGTCCCAGGTAGGCCACTCCTCTTGCGCCCTGCGCTCGGAACGCAAACCCGCGAACTCTAACAACCTGGGCTGATCACTAAACACTACATGTAGTAATAGTAACACAAGCGTACCTGTACCGCCCAATGGCGGCCAGGGTAGCGCGTTGGACATCACGCTTTTGGCTGGGCTTCATTGGCAAGGTGCGGCGGGGATAGATCAACTGACGCACACGAGGATGTCACATCATGGCATGCTTGGGCCCCGTCAGACGACTTTGATAGCATACAATGGATCCATCCCTAGCCATCTTCGCACGGAGGATGGGAGAATCGGCTATAAAGGCACGGTTGGACCCTGGAAAAGGGGAGAGTATTTTATGTTTTCTAATCATCTCATCTTTATCTTTGGATTCGTTACGACTGTCCTTCTTCGTCTTGATTGACCCCATTCTTCTATATATACTTTTTTGTTTGGTTACTGACCACTACTAACACCCCTTCCATCTAACATCATGGCTTGTTCTTGCGGATCGTCCTGCGCTTGCGGCGGAGCTAGCGGATGCACTTGTGCCCAAGGATGCTCCTGTTCCGGATGCGGAGTAAGTTCCAGTCCACCCTCGTCCCGACTCCACGGGTCAAGGCAACTAAAATGTGGTGCCTCAAGAAATAATCGGATACCGATCCCTTCCACGGCGGTTCTAGCTTTGAAAGCTTTCACCACTCCCGAATCCAGCTTCAACGTCGTTCAAACCTATCGGTCCCTTCCGGCGCCCTGATTTTTCGCGGTTTCCTTTTTCGGATTTGGAGTTTGGTTTTACGGAACAGAGATGTAATTTATATTTGAAGAAATACCTACCTTTCTTTCTACAAAAGAAAAAAGAAGAGACCAATTAAAGTACCACTTTTGAAGATTTTGTGCCTTCACTTAGTTCAGTAGGATGCGTACGCGTGTGTAGTCTCAAGCCAGCCACTGTGGGTCCAAAGGTGGACATGTCCACCCGTCCACCTTTGTTAGCTGTTATGCTGTCATGCTGCATCAACAAAAGCCCGACCTGTATAACTCCCACGCTTGTGAAAGGTACGAAGTTCAAACTTCCCCAGAAAATCAACCCAAGATCTAAAACCTTTCGACAAATTCTCCTCCTTCATTCCCAATGTCTCCACCGCAATGGCCAACCATCATCAGGCAGTCCGGGCGTGTCAAGGTCTCCACAGACGGAGACGGCACTCTGTTCGAGCTTATCAACGCTGACAATGGAGCCAGCGCAAACACACCAAAAGCCGAGGTCGTCCTCGACTATGGCCAGTGCGAGGGTGGCACGCCCGTGTTCAAGATCAATTCCGCCTCAGGCGCCGAGCCCGAGATCCTCTTTCGCGTCGTATATAGCGAGACCTACGAGGGCATCTCCAAGGACACAGGTAAGAGCTTGGACAGGAGCCTTACTATATATATTGCTGTCACTGACACCCGCAACCCCACCCGGACTAGGAGACGGCCCCTTCTTCCTCTTCTCCTCCGCCATGGACTCATACAGAACCGTGTCGCACACCGTCCGCCCCTCTCCAGTTCTCCAAGAAGTCAAGGCCCGCTTCGCCCAGCGCTCCCAGCGCTACCAACGCATCACCCTCGAGACCGCCAACGCATCCCTCGCTTTTTCAGGCATCGGTTTCGAGCTGGCCCGCCCCCGCCTTCCCCGCAAAGCTCCTTCTCGTGCTCCGACGAGACGCTGAACCGCGTGTGGCGCGACGGTGTCCGCACGGTGGACATGTGTACAGTAGTCAAAGGGAGACGCGGCCAGCGTGGGACGTGACTTCGGAAGGGACCCGCGTCCGAGGCAATCACTGGGCTCCGTGCAGGCAGGGGACGCGATGGGGGACAAGATCGTGCGGTTCCAGGTCAGGGTGGAAGAGGGCGGTGCGAGCTGGGGCGTGCACATGGTGGCGAACGGTATTGTGTGTGGCTTGGATGTGAATACGAGGAACCTGAAGATTGTCGAGGGGCTTGCCTTGAGCGGCGGGTTGTTTCCGGCCGTGGAGAAGGGGACGTGCCAGATCCCGCAGGATATCGACTTGTCGGGCTGGCTCGACGTCGAGACGACTGCAAAGGGTGACTCCGTGTCTGTTTCCATCAATGGCCGAGAAATCGCCAGTGTTCAGGACCTCAAGGTGCGACCTCTACTTGGTGGGTCGGGAATGAACACCGGATCCGTCGCCTTTGGCGGACCAGCCGGCTGGAGCGCCGTGTACCGTGCCCTCGCCGTCACCGACCTTGCGGGCAAGGAACTATACACCAACGAGCTGCGCGACGAGGAACCCACCCTTTCCGACTTCCAGGTCGGCACAAACCACCTCTCCTGCACCGTCGACGGCGCCAAGAGAGACCGCGCCTGCTTCGGAGGAGACCTCTACGTCATGGGCCGCTCGGTCGCCTACTCCACCGCCTTCTTCGAGGCCGTCAAGGGCAGCATCCAGCTCCTCCTCAGCCACCAGACCAGCGACGGCTACATTGGCAACCTGTGTCCCATCCAAGCGCCCGAACACGACGGCCCCGACGAGCCGCCGACGTACGCTTTCTACTCGTTGACTTACGGCCTGCTCCTCGTCGTCGCGGTCAAGGAGTACTGGCTGCACTCCGGCGATCACGCTGTAGTGCAGAAATACCTGGAGAAGCTGAAAACATTCATGGCCTTTGTTGAAAGCATGGCTAGAGAGGACGGTTTGGTCGAAGCCCCGCCTCCGCTGTCTAGTAAGTCTCATACAAACTCTCATTTAACGCGAGGCACCTTTTGTTCGATGTGTGACGTTTTATCCACTAGATATGCTGACACCACCCAGTGCACTGGTTTCCCTGGCCGGCCCAGTATTCGGCATCTCCGCCCCGCTGAACCTCGCCTACCTCGATGCCATCCGCGCCATGCTCCAAATGACCCCAGACGACCCAATCCTCACGCCCCACTACCAAGCCATCGAGCAACGCCTCGCGACAGCTATCCCCTCAAAACTGCGATGCCAATCGACAGGAAACTTCCCCTGGGCTCGAACCTCCCCTCCACCGGCTCCTGCCTCGACGTCCTCGCCTACGCCAACACCCTCAACCTCGCCACCGACGCCTGCGCCACCCTCAACACCCGGCTCAACCAACACCCAAACCACGCGCCGCCCGCCTTCCTCGATATCCCGGGTTGGGACGCCTCCGGCGTCGTCAGCCCGTACTCCACCGGATTCGCCGTCGAGGCCCTCTTCGCAGCCGGTCAAGCGCGGCGCGCTCTCGACCTCGTCCGCGGGGTCTGGGGCCCCATGGCGGACCCCCGCGGGCCAAACTACTCGGGCGCCCACTGGGAAGCCATGCGCGCCGACGGGACGCCCTTCAACCACGACGTCTCGCTCGTGCACGGGTGGTCCACCTGGCCCGTCTTTCTCCTACCCAAGTATCTCGCGGGTCTGCGGCCCATCGAGCCTGGTTGGAGCCGGTTTGCCGTCGAGCCCGTCTTTGCTGGGCTAGAGCTTGTGGAGTGCTCGCTCGCGACTCCTGCTGGGTCGATCCATGTGGAACTGCGCGTTAACGATGTGGTAGGTGCGGCGGACTTGACTCTTCGGGTACCGGTTGGTGCCGAGGCGGTCGTGAAGGCGCCTGTTGGGTGGGTGCTGCAAGGGAAGCTAATGTTTCGGGCTCGGAACACGCGCTACACATCGCGATGAGAAAGATCGATGGTAGCTCGGTCGAAGCCCCGGCGGCTTAGAATTGAGAGTGTACATGCATTGAGAAACTCGTTGATGCTCCTATCAAACATAGTTTATGTAGCCCCGCAAGTAACTCTTTTCACAAATTTATGAAGCATGAAGATTGTAGCTTAGATATTCACAGATGCTAAGCCCCTGACCCACGGTCCTAATTCATTTCTATGTCTCTGAACGCCGATGCAATAATAACGCCATGTTTAACGCACAACCCCAAGTCCCCATTTTCGCAAGCGAATGAGCCGCATGCTTCAGAACAAAGTACGACCTAGCCTTGTGCTGTCCATCACCAGGGCTCATCGCGGTTTCCAGCACCAAAATCAACTGCCCGTCCCTCCCGGAGCATCTCAGCTTCTCGAGCAGCTGCTGGTGTTGGATTGGCGTCGCCGTAGTGACAAAGACCCACAAGAGGACGTGAGACAAAAAGGTAGCCACCTCATTGTACGGCGCCGCCGTCTCGGTCGCGCCGGTGCGGGAAGCGAGCGAGATGATGTCCACAGCCAGCACGGCAGAGGGTATGACACCCGCATCAGATCTCTTCTCTCGATCCGCGGCGGTAGTCCATTTGCCTAGTCGACCCATTGCAGCGGTGAGCCCCTTGGGTCCGCTTTTACCAAGCACGTCCTGCAGGTCCGTCACCTGGACGTAAAGGCACATTTGGGACAGCTTCAGGAGCAGCGAGGACGCCTCGCTATAGTATGCCCCGGTTCCTGGCGGCTGGTAGGGTTCCCCGGTTTTCGTAAAGTGGGCGCCCCAAGCGTCTAATGATGCTAAGACAAATGTTAGTACCCTCCAAAAGAATGACTACTTGTTCAAAGTTCTTCGGTTTTCGGCACTACCAACCTCGAATATTGTCTCTCTTCTCCAGGAGAGAAACCAGTTCCCGAAATCCACAGCCATCCACATGCGCTCTACCTAGCTCGAACTCCTCCGTAGTCTCCTCCCGTATCGCCACAGCGAGGGCCCAGCTCTGAGACCAGTCCATGGCAGCGCTCGAGAGAGTAAGCAGTACCAAGAACGCGCTCCACGGGTTGAGGTCGAGCACAGGAGTAGACGCCACTCCTACCGCCTGATCCGCACGCGATGCAGCTTCAAGCAAAATCGAAAACGGGGCAAGTGCAACCGCAAAAGCAGGCGTCGGCGGCAGCGAGGCGGACCCTAGCAAGCCGCGCCACACTCTCGCCGTGGGTGCCATCCAGTACTTGTCATCGCAGGGACACTCGAGCGCGGCTACCTCGGAAGGGTGGAACATGCTCTTGAGGTTGAGCAGGGCGGGAATTGCCCATCCAGCGAGTACACGAACCATCGAAGTCGCCTCGCAGACTCGCTGGAAGCCCAAGAGAGCCACCGCCCTTTGACATCTCGCATAAATTGCTCTTGCTCGGCGCTAGGTTGCCCGCCGGCGGGATGCGGCAGGCGTCGGACATAGGTCACGAGAGTCCCGCGAAGGCTCTCCGCAATCTCGAACGCGCGCTTGTTGCCGCACCACAAGCCCGTGTAGCACATGAGCGCTACGGAGTACACGACCTGCAGGTCACGAATGAGCCTGTTGTCGGCCTCGATGGCCTTGAACAGGTTGAGCCGCGCGCGGTCGAGCACCACGATGGAAAACCTGCGCGTGTGGCGGAGATGGCTGTACTTGGCGCCAATAACCATCATCATCGCGAGCAGTGGAGGGGGAACAAGATCCATGTCCAGAGTCGGCTCGTGGATCACGGGGCTTGCGCCAGAAAGTGCTTGAAGAAGAGACTGACAAACGCGTTGGTTACGTCGAGCGGTGGTAGGGAGAAGCCGTCGTTTTCATCTGCCGAAGAACTGAGGAACCGGCGCAGTCGCTCCCAGGCCGCATGCCCCATGTCGAATCTAGTATTACGACCGCTGATGATTGGGTGGTTGGCATCAATCGAGAGAGGCCTGGTCTGCGAGATGGCGGACGAAGAGGGGTTCCAGGCAAAAGCCCAGTAATCCTCGGCGGAGGCGATGTTTGGGGGCGAAGGCAACCGGGAGATCCTGCCCTCGCAGTCCTCCGAGATATCGGGGTTCGGCGGTTGGCTCTCCACATTGAGCAGGACCCCATGTAGATCCATATCTAGGGAACGAATGTCAAAATTCTCATCGAGCAGGACATCCCCAGAGGTTTCCCCAATGGCCTGGTAAAAGTCGAATGTGAACCAGTCCTGCGGATCTGGCCCGCTTGGTTCAAGCCAAGGGCGTGTAAACGAGGAGTAGTCAACTTGGGTGGCGTGTAGAGGACTATGAGGCGAGTCGTCCAGAGTCAAGGTCGTGTTTGACAACAAACTTTTCGATTTGGAGGTGTCGATACCTGATCCTTCTCGATCAACAACACCATGATCGTCCGCGATGCCGCTGTCTACAGAGGTATCTTGAGATATGGCGAAGGGCAGAGGATGAGGGTGGTTGGCCTGGGAGGTCTTTGAGAGCTCAGTACGTGTACCTCTTGAGGGTATAGGGCTGAAAACGGAAGAGTCATTGGAGGGCTCCAAGGAGGACAGCCTGTGCGATCCGGACCGCCGTAGGTGGACAGCCTCATGCTTCCTTAGTAAGTCACTTCTTGAAAAGGATTTGCGACAGGCCCGACATTGGTGAGGGAGGGCCCGCCCATCTAGAATTCCAGGAAACAGGGGATGTTCGTTAGCTTTGGTAGTAGGGAGGAATAAAAGAAGGCCATCAAGATTCCCCCTTCGGTAAGGGGTGGCGGGAATCGGGTGGACCTACGGATTTTACGGTGCCGGTTTAGATTTTCGGGTCGCGTGAAGGATTTCGAACACTGCTGGCAGGCATGCAGCTTCTCCATAATTCCAAGAGGCACCTTGCCATATGGCGATCGTGGAACATACTCGGGAGCGGGATGCAGAATAGTGCCGGGGTTCGGTTGTCCACCTTTTCGGCTGGGTCGGGTGGACATTCTTGGCTAACGTCCACCTTGTCCACCGCCGGGTTTGTGGGTGCAGTTGTACCCATCTGACAACAGCAAAACGGAAGCGCACTCAAGGAACCCCCTTGGCGAGACGGCACTCATGTCGAAATGATGGGTCTGCCCTCGTCATAATAATAGGATGAAAATAAGAACTGCTTCAAGCCAGTGGACATTGATACAATACCTGTTCTCAAAGCCTTCCTGGCATCAACACGTCTCTACCTACACCGTGGTTGCGAATTGAATCGCGACCGCGAGAGTTTCAGTATTCAAATCTATGACCTAATGTATAAGAGAAGGACGAACAATGAGTTGGTTAAGCGCCTGCTAATCCTCCCTAGCTGGAGATCTCCCTTGGCGCGGCTCGGGATGCATCGTGGGCTACCGCATCCTTTCCAACGATCTTTGCTGCGCCAAGAGCTGAGGGATTGTGGGATGATGTGTGCTTTGAGTATTGGTGTCAATGGATCTTTCGGGATGGGTGGTCACAAGTCATAACATAAGCCAAGATGGCAAAAGCCAAGGAATCTTCTCGCAGCGCGCCATCGGCCCCCAGCAGCGGCGGGTCTGACAACGCTACAGAGGGGGAAAAAGGACAAAATGGGTTCTTCGAGACACAGATGGACCGTAACGGACTCGACTCAACCTCGGGGCCTGCGTTAAAGCGAGAATACACGATTAGTGGTCACTCGAAGTCACTACGGCCCCTACCATAACACCTTCTGGCGCCGAGCTGTGGGCCCTTGGCAGCAGACTCGCTCACAACATACCCCGTTCTGCCAGCGCCCGATGGAGACTGTTTCAGGGGCCTCGTTTCGTCAGGTCCCCGAAAGAGATCATCTGAGTGTGGTGTAATCGTTCGAGTCTTCAATCACTTTTATTCACAATGGCCTCGGATGGGTCGGAAAACAAGGCCCGAAAAGTCTCGGCGTTTGCGCACTTTGCGGAGCGTCTGGAAACGAGACCAGCCAGGGACGCTTGAAGAGTGAGGCGAAGGAAAAGCAAAGAAGGGGCTGAGAAGGACTCAATAGTGCGCTCTCTGGCCACGCGCCCCTGCTATATATCAGACCTCATACTGGTGAAGGAGACCTCTGGTATGTCCTCGGAATCCTTTTTCCTATCTGAACACGGGTACGGACATATAGGCGTTGTTGAGGACATTGCTACATCATCTTCTCTATTTCCAGTCCACGCCTCTATTTCTAGGGGTTGTCGAAGAAGAAGGGAGGCTTGTGGCATTGAATCCACGAATAAAGCTGGTGCGCTTATCTCAGCTTACAGAACGAATCTCTCTTCGAAAGCGCTCACGTCTGCTTTCCATTTATTGATGAAAGAGTCGAGACCTTCTTACTCCTATCATTGACCTTGATAGGGAAAAGATCAACGCGTAGGTAATATCAAGCTTATCAACGGGATCGATCATCCCCCGGACGCGTTAATTGAAACCACCCCCACCTATTATTCTTGGGTCGTGGGAATCGACTGGCTGGCGGGGGACGGGGGAGGCCACAAGACGAAGAACGCCCTGGAAAGACTCAAATCACTTGTGTGCAGCGATTCGCTATCACCTCCAAAAGCTATTGCCAAGACGTAAGCTTCGCAGAGAATGGAAGGAGAGGCGGGGTTCTGGTGGACTAATCGCAGGCTAAGCTGGCTAGGTAATCTTGGCTGACCATTTCACAAAACCGCACTGGGCAGTTGTGGCCCTTGGCGTGCCACATTGAAAGATGGCGTCCCGATACACCCATGTCCGCCACTCGAAGGTTTTGTCTTCTTTCCTCACACCTTGATATTCAATATTACATGGTATTGCTTCCATTTCCTTTTCCTTTTCAATGGTACTACCACAATATATCTTTTTTTTCTTCCTTTTTTTTCTTATTTATCCTTCTCTCTCGCTCCTGGCGTTTAATGAGGCAAGCGCGCCATTCCGGGAAGGGACATGAGAATAAACTCGTCGGACCGCCCTGCTTCGAGATTCGGCCGGGTTATCCGCCCGCCAAGACTAATCAAACCGGGGTCTTCATGGACCTTGCATGGCACTAATACCAATACCAACGCCCGAAAGGGGAGGGAGGGGGATGACGGGCTGGCTCGCACCACCGCTGGCTTTGCTCAGATCGCCGCGCACTGTCCTGAAAGTAGTGTAATTTACCACACCTCAACCCCCTCATTCCCCTATTTTTCTAGTGCAAGTGTTTTTCTCTTCTCGCAGAGGCCCCTCCCAGAGATGATGCTAACCCAAGTTCGCTGTGGCGCTTTTTCTGTTCGAGCGAGGCTACGGCACGGACGGCGGCTCGAGGCCGTCCAATCGCGTCAATGGAGTTGGTGCTGATGACGACTTTTGGATGTTGCAAAGAAGCAAACTAGTCTGCACTGAGCGGGTGGCGTCGTCTCCCGATCCAATTTTTTACGTCTTGGCGACCTCCTTTCTGTGCCCAGCCAGGAGAGACAGAATGGTATGTCGAAGAGGAGGTCGGCAGTGAAGAGAAAAAGAGTCAAGACAGACAAAAGAAGAGAAAAAGGAATGAAGGAAAAGACAAAGAGTAGTTGAATGAATTTTTTTATTAATTCTTGAAATATCTCCACAAATTTCGCTTTGTGGCTTGTGTCATGTTATAATGTCCCGAAGAAAAGCAAACCCAGCGGCGTCTAAAAAGTCCACATTTCCAATTGAACAATACTTGGAAAGCGGAAAGAGAAAAAAGTACACAAAGTATACAGAGAAGAAACCACCGCCATAGAGAGAAAGGAAACTTGAGAAAGAAAAAGGAAGACATGGTATCGTCGAGTAGGTATGCAATGATAGCAACAAAAAGTCGAGGTTGATGAAGATGGCTCGGAGCCAGGAACAAAAGAATAGTAAGAAGTTAGGTGGTTAATAATAAGTTAGTGGGTGATGCGCGTGGATTCGCGTCGTCATCGGGTCGACTTTTTGTATCGATCCGGGATAAAATTCGAACCTTGTCGTGTTGGGCGTTCATCAAGACGTCTCAACGGCTCGCGGGTTGTGTTGTGTTAATAGTTTTGCCGGTCATCCCTATTTCCGTTCCACAGCAATAATAGCCTCCTCTTCCGTCTTGATGTAGCTGACGAGCTTCTCCGTCACGCGCGCGCACCAAGGATCAACGTACGTCATCCAGCCGTACGCGGCCACGTAGTTGAGGGGCAGCCAGATGATGGTGCACACGATGAGGCGTAGACCGGAGGGCTTGGGAAAAAGGTGGGCACGGTCTCGCCCTTGTCGTTGACGTGGTCGTCGAGGACGGTGAAGCCGAAGAGCAGATAGCAGAGGACGGTGCGCAAGAGGGTGCCGTGGAGGAGGTAGACGGCGAAGGACTGCTTGCCGAGCCACAGGAACCAGCGGTTGCTGAGCAGGTCGCGGAGGTAGGGGCTGCAGTGGAGCCCGACGGCGATGAACTGCAGGCCGAGGAGGTGCTGAAGCGCGTGGTGTCCGAGTCCTTGGGCAGGATGTAGCTGAAGATGATGCGCATGTTGTTGGACCAGGCGGCCCACTCGGCGTTGTGGTCGGGGAAGGAGGCGATGCAGAGGCCGAGGGTCATGGAGGAGACGCAGATGATGCGGGAGACGATGGGGCGGGCGGCGAGGAAGTCGTTGGCGGAGGGGTGTTTTGGAGCTCGGAGAGGAAGACGCCCCAGAAGAACATCATGCCAAAGGCGGCTGTACAAGAAGGAACCTGACGTTAGCATGCTTGTGTGGGGTGGGAAGAGTGGTGGACGGGAAATAAAAATCAAGGCTGGCTTTGCTGCTGATGATATAGTCTCAAAAACTTACACTCATTAGCCAAGAAGTAGTACAGCCACATCCCGAGAGCGGCGCTCATGCGGAAACGAGACTTGAGCGACGAGGTAGCGACAATGAAGACGTAGACAATCATGCTACCCTTGAGCAGGGAAGCATCGTCCACTGGTTCGGATCGTAGTCGTTTTGGTTACGGGCCCAAGTGCGGATATTCTGGCGGAACAAGTTGTGCACGTTGGCCCAGAGGGTAGGCAGCCGCGCGGGACTCGTCTGGGCGGTCCAGCCGGGCCCCGTGTGGCGCGCGACGCGAAAGGCGCCGAGCATGGTGAGGACCCAGGAGATGCAGGTGGCGATGGTGGTGGGGAGGACGAGGCGGGGCACGCGGCGGAGGGCGGACTTGGTGAGGAGAGCACGGCGGCCTCGCGGTTGCCCTGGCGGCAGAGCTTGATGGGCTTGAGGGCGCACACGTAGCCCGTGACCATGCTGAAGATGGCGACGCCGATGCGGCCCTGGAACAGCACGCGGATGTAGGGCCATTGCAAAAAGAGCATCGGCCCGTTCTCGGATTGGGCGGGGCTGAAGAGCTCGTCTTGGAAGCCGCGGGCGATGTGGGTGATGACGACGAGGAAGGAAGCCAGTCCTCTCAGGCCCTATGAATATTGTGAGTAAATTCCGCACAGAACTGCACGTACACGTCCAACCCATTTTTTTATCTTGTCTTCAAGATTCGTGCCATGGAAAGGGGGAGAGGCGAGAGCATACATCGACCCATTTTACGTTTCCTTCCTTTCCGATAGCCATTATGTTCGTCGCTTATATCATGAGAGTCAAAAAGTGAGATGGTGGGGTGAGTGCGAAGGGGGCGGATATCGTCGTTCAAAAAAGCGCACGGGTACTGCAAAATGGATTCGGTGGTGTATGAGATGTCGTCGTTACAAGATCTGAAAAAGGCGAGAGGCGTGAAAAAAAAAGAGTCGAAAACCGTAAAAGAGCAAAAAAGATACAGTTGTGTGTTGGTTTAAAGGAGTGGCGCTGGCTGTATCACCAGATCGAATAGTTGGGGTTGAGAAAGAGAGAGAAAACAAAAAAAAGAAAACTCCCCTTCTAGTCCTCGAGCGTTGATGATGAAGAAAAGAGGAAAGGAAAGAACAAAAAGAGATCCAAGAGCTCGAAAAGGGTTGGCGGAAGGCTAGTAGAAGAAGGGAGGTAGAGAGAGGTGCAACGGAGTATTTTTCTTCTCCCCTTGTCGAAAGGGGACCTTGACCACGCAAGTCTGGGGGAAGAAAAAGGTGGATGTTACTCGTTACAAGTAGTTCTCTGTGCGGCGTCTTGGCATACAGGGAGTCCTGGTCAAAAACCGCAAGACCGGCAGACGCAAAAGGGGAAAAAGAAAAGAAAAAGAGGAAAAAAGGAAAAAAGAACAGACACACTGTTCATTGCATTGCTTTCCGCACAAGCTACCAGACGGTACAGTACCCAAGAGCCAACGCCAGAGCCAAGCCCACAAGTGGAGCGCCGATGCCGTGACCAAACAGGGCATGGAGATGAAAGGACGCGTAACTCCAGGTGTACAATACACTACACTGCTACACTGCTACACTACGGAACTCATGGACCTACGACACAAAAAAAAGGTAGACTTGGCATGTCGAACGGGTACGATGGGATGGGGCCCGGGAGACTGGGAAGAACCTATGAACGGCTTCACATGTTCAACGTGTGCCCCATCTTGCGGCGTCAGTGGCGAGCCCTCTTGGCTTGGAACAAGCGTAAATGAACCCCCTCCCTCCGATCAATCTACCCGTAATAAAGATCTTCTCGAACCCGCAATCCTTTTCCCGTCGCTTTCGCTGACTATCAGGCGCGAGCCTTCCTGCGCACGGCTGGGCGGACGTTGATGACTGTGGACGTCCGAATCCACGAAAGCGTGGAGGACTGGAGCAAGCGACTGTAGTGAAGACTAGAGAAAGCAAAAAAGGCAGCGGCGGAAATCTGAGTCAAACCAACCCCCGTACACCAGATGCTTGCACCATCCCCATCCCCTCGCCATCCTCCTCTCTCTCTCTCTCTCTCCATCGGTTGAATCAAAATTATTCCCGAGATGGCAAGCACATCATCGATCGGGCTTGGTTGGCCGGATTGCATTTCTTGGCCCTTTTTTTCGTCACAGTGTCTAAAGAAATGGAGCCGAGTCTTTTTACTCTTTCCCCCTTCTCCGATAGGGAGTTGTCCTATTATCGAGGGCGCTTGGTGCGTTCTTCCAGTCAAATTTCCAACCTTCCATGTTGGTTAAAAAGGCAGGTCGGGTACTTGTGCCCTCTCTCCCCTGGTATCGTTGCAACGGGCGGACTTGTCGGCTTGAATCATCCAGTGGAACCCACCACATCCCCCGTCCCCCATCGCCTCTTTCCCACGTTGATGCGCATCGCTCCATGGTACTCTATAATTTTCTCTCGCGGCAGAGACACCGTCCAGCGTTCCATTCGGGCCCATGTATATTTTTCCCATTTGCGCCGTCCAAGTTTTTCCCCCAATTTTGCAAACACTTGCCCGCCTTGTTCTGTTTGGCTCCACTTCCACCTTCGTCATGTGGGAATGATTTGCGCCGCTTATTCCTCGAGTCGTTTTGTCGCTTTCCTTGGTGTTCAACACCCATAGATACCCGCAAACACTCGCAAAACACTCGCACACTGTTCCTGCTCTGCTGATCTTCGCTAGAGATCTCCATTTTCGTCACGCCTCCTATTTTTCTCAAAAAAGTCACCAACCAAAGCTCCCCCAAAACCAGCGTAGCGTGATACAATTGATCTGCTTCTTCACCCAAGCAAATGTTCGAGACCTCCCTCCAGCGTCCTCTCGCTGTTCGAGAACGAGACTTGCCCCCTTCCCTCTTGGATCCAACGCCATGGGTCAATCTGTGCATTGGAGTTACCGCCTCCCCATTCGCTGTCAGTGGTATTAGTGCCGCCACCCAAGCGCCTCTCACGCTCCACTCCCTTTTTCAACCTTCACCACCGACCCCACCGTCACTTTCCCCTCCCCTCCCTCTCCCTCCCCGGCGGCCGATCCACTCACACACTTTCCTCCACCCCTGGATTTTGATGGAGGGGAGGAGGCTCGGGAGCCCCTGAATCTGCATAACGCCACAACCCTCCCTTTCCCTCGAGGAGGTAATAGAATCATCAGCTCAAAAAACAGAGCTGGCGGAAAGAAAAACCACAGTCTTGCCCCCCTCCCTCCCCTCATTCTCACTAGCTTAATCCGATGCACCTGTCGTGTGCTCAAATCACAAGTTCGTCCCAACAGGTCCTCACCCGCCTCATGGCAAGCAGATGCTGCTGCCCCCATCAAATGGATCAATTAATTGATTGACCCTCCCCAATCTCGCCGTCAGGGGTGGGCGTGCTAGTTGCCGCAACCGCACGCCAGACCGCTGCCGCGTGGACGAAAAGCATCTCGACAAGCTCAAAAGGGTAATTTTGATCATCCAATGGAGACCGTCGGTGCTTGTTCAACCAGGGTTCCCGGTTCAGAGTGTGGAGCGGATAAGAGCGGCATGCTGCAAAAAGAGATGACCGCGATTCAGATAATTCAGATAGCAGGCTTCTCATTTCAATGCCATGACTAATGCTCATTTCCGGGGCTGGTTTGATTTTCCACTCATCAATCTTCTTTGCCTCTGTATTATTGCAACATTGAAGTAATGAATGGATGGATCCATATGGATACACTATTTCGCTCTTTGTCCCTACCCCTACCCCTACCCCTACCCTGTCCTCCCAGCCATGCCAGCCTTCCATCGAAGCGTGTATTACGCGGATACAGGTCCACGTCCTCCAGTCGCTACAACGTCAATCATGTGGCCAGCATGCACTTTATCACATCCACCGAGACGGCCCAATTGATCTTTGCCTTTGACTTGGGCCACAGTGGAAGGTTTCAGGAACCGTTGATGACGTCCCACACCTGGCGTCAATGGGTCCCCCGGCCCCATCAATTTTATCTCGGAGCAAAACCACTCTCGAGCCATTCCCTTTCCCTAGCGTCGACCGATCACGCTCTTCGCTCCACTTTCTTTCTTTTTTTCTTTTTTTCTTTTCTTTTATTTCGACAACGAAGATTCCGCCATTCTTCGAAAGAAGGGAGGAGGCAAGAAAAAAAGAAACCCAAAACGCGAAACGAGCCAAGTGCAACGGGCGGTTGGGGCATGACACTAGACACATGTCGCGCCCAGCCCTTGGAACCTTCTTTTTCGCAACAAGCTCGCGTTTCGAATTGCACAAGGCGAACAGGGAAAAGGAAAGAAAAAAAATAACGGGTTTGGCAGGCGGCGCATCCCAAGCACGGCAGTGACGTGACTCGCGTTCGTTAAAAATAAAAATAAAAAACGACGTTGATGCACTATGAGTCGACACTGCACTGCCCAATCTTTTGTTCTAAATGGTTGATCCCCTTTTCCCATACCGACAATCCACAATTGATCTCTGCTGATCTCGCTCCAATGGGGGAACAGAGCAAACATTAACGGAGAGTAAGGTGGAGGGGCCGCACCCCAACTGGTCCCTTCGCCTTTGACAGTCCCCGCCCATGATCATCTCCCCCTCTCCCCTGTTGATCCTTCTCGCTGGTCCCACCATTTTCAACCTCTCTTGATACCACCGAGGTGGAGTCCTAGAGACGGTGATCTCTTGTTTGAGGTACCAAGGCAATAATATGGTTTCTTATTCTGACGGGATGTGCAGAAACGCGACGAAGATCCATATTGCTTCTTACCAGGTACATATGACCTTGTCTTCTCCATTGAAACCATCCAAGCCATCTTAGTTTTCGCCTCCTATCCTGAGCCATGATACTGCAAATATCTTATTTTCGGAGGCGGGCGGAGGGGGAAAGATCTGCCTTCAGTCTTTCTCGCGGCTCCGCAAGAACGCGTATTAGCCGGCGTAATAATGGCCGACAAACGTCACTCGGCATTCGTCCTCTAAGGAAGGGAAGGGGAGCAACAAGCGACGGGCTGGCCCCGGCCTCCCGTCGAATTAATTACTCGTTCCGCGTTGTCGATATGCGACATGGACCAACCCGGTGCCTTCTTTGAGACATGTGGTCTCTCCCAAGGCCAAAAATGCCTTCACAGAGTCATTGCATCAGGTTTGGATCTTTTTCCCTTCGCCTCTTTTTTTTTCTTTCTTCCACCGACCCGTCCACAAGCGAACATCTGTAACTATCCATACGACAAAATGTTGATGAGATCTCCTCAGTTGGCCTGCCGTGATACCGTAGAAGACTTGGCGCTGTTGTAGCCCGCCCGTGTCCATCCTTCGATTTGGCTTGAGCGAGTTCGGAGTGACGTACGAGCCGTGGCTCAGTACGGGACGCCATCAAAGCTAATAGCTATCTCGAGAGAAAAACAGAGAGAGTCTAGAGCGGCGGTGGGAAAGATCTCCATTGTGCCCCTACCCGCCCAACGCTTGGTTTATCATGCGCTCCGGACCCGTCGGTGAGGCGAGGTCCCCATCGCCCGCCGAATTAGCCAATGGCCTCGTGCCCGTCCGCCGCGACAGGTGCGCTTCGGGGTTTGTGGAGAGCAGTCCACGCTATTTTACGTCCAATTTTTTTCTCCCTATCATCGTAGTCGGTCGAAGGATCGCATTTATCTGTCGCAACCGGAGACACTGACGACGCCAGTTCTCGGACGAGTGCCGGCCGAGCTTCGTCACAAGATGCGGGTCCATCATAGTCTGTTTCGCTCGCGCCACGTGATCTCCACCCACAATCACGACTCAGGATCCCTCTAGGTTCCGAAGGGCATGACGTGGGTTCTGATCTTTCCATTCCAGACCCATCAACAGCTGATGGGTCCCGCCAATACTCATACTCCCGCGAAAGCGTGTGGGTCAGTATTCTCAGACACGCTAGCCTAGTCGATTCCGAGCCGAGCGGATTCTCGTCTTTTTTTTTTTTTTTTTTTTTGTTCGTTCTTCTTCATCTTTTATTCGAGATGGTTCATTCTCATCACATCACGTTAGAACCGCTTGTTGGACTCGGGAAGTCCCTGGTTTATGCTCTTCACCCACCTGCGTTACCTGCATTCATGAGGTTCCCTGGCCCGGCTCCACCCTCATCAGCCGCGCACTATACTTTATAGACGTACGCAACGTGATGGCGTGTACTCCTCCGGGGCTCGCCCCTTCATTCTTTCCCAACTTTTCGATAGTCCGGCCCATGTTCCTCACAATAGTATGTTCTCATCCCGTAGTAACAGTTGCGGGATGACTGGGTCTTTGGCCTGCGTGTATAGGAAGACGCATGGTTTTCAAAAGCGTATGCAATAGAAGTTATGAATTATGAATAGAAGCTTCCCTCCTCATTCTAAATCCCGAAAAAGTAGTCATCGCTTCGTCTAGTCTCATGAAATTTGTCCGCTTGTATCTATCCTCCAATACCCTTTTCGAGCTAGAAAGCCAGCCCTCACATACTACCTTGCTCTGTTTGGGCGTCTATCTATATATTGGCGTCAATCCCTTTGAAATATCTTGGACTTGGTGTCAAAAGCCAGGAATGTGTATTGCTCTACGCATCTGATCAATGACTCTCGAGGTCCATTGATTGCACTTCTATAGATAGCGACATGTGGTTGCGCCCCGGAAGTCTCGGGCTTCTCGCCATCGCCCCTATCACTTCAGTGCTGTCGTTGAAACCGAGCCTACTGGACCCAGGCAGACGCTAAGTAAGATCAATTGATGTGGGTATTGTCGGAGTATCGGGGAAAAAGTCTCTCTCACTGTTAAGAACCTCCCATCGGCCCCACTGTCCCGACCCGACGGAATCTGTCCAGCACATCGGCGCGAGGCGGCCAATTGTGTCGAAAATTGCAAAGCATACGAAGAAGAAATGGTAGTGACCTCAGGCTGCTATAAATGTATTCCTATGCAGCACAGCCTCGCTATTGGGAACATGGCTTGGCCCACATTGACGTATGGCAAGACTACAGTTCATATATAGGACTGTCAATTTGATTGTTCGCTGATCCGACTTCAGAGTAAGGCCATCCGTGACATTCATCCCACGTGCTGTACGATCTTGTTGGGGAGATACGGGTAGTATAGTATGAAACGGGTATTTATTCACTAACAGCAAATATCTTGTCCCCATCTCAAACCGGCCCTTCCTAAACTACTCGCAGCTCCCAACCCACAGTTTGCATGACCGCATGCCAGATAGACTAACGTACATATTGGAAGCTAGTGGTTTCTAGTGTGTCCATCGGTGCTTAGTTCAAAATATCCATTGAAGATTGCCGAATAGGTATCCTAGGTTCAGAGCAAACCTCAACAGGTAGCAGTGGAAAGACGATACATGCTCATGCAGCTGCCTTCGAGTTACATGGTGCTTCCAATTCAACCGTACACCGAGAGCTCCGATAATGAGCACTTGGAGGTTCCAACGCGAGACCTTGAGGCTCTAGCAGGTGGTGCACTTTGTGCCGCAGCAATTGTAGCACTTGTTCTTGTTGGCCGCGCACGAGTTGAGGCAAGGCTGGTAGCTGCCGCAGCCGGCGCACCACTTATCGTAGCAGTAACCCTTGCAGCTGGTGACGAGGGAGATGGGGCACGACTGGCGCTCTATAAAAGGCCAAATATAGCGATTGTCAGTGATTGTGTCCGGGCCTCCATAGTTGATATTGGGTTGGGATGGGACCGGCATCACTTACTCTCAAAACCTTCCAGAGCGTTTTCAGCCTCAGGGTTCGCCACAGGGTTGGCCACGGCGACAGCCGCCAGGCTGAGAATGGTATAGAACGAAGTGAGTTTCATCTTGTAGGGAAAGAGACGAGGTTTTTGTTTTCCGAGTGACTAAGTACGCTGTGGGCACACCAGTCCTTTGCTGTCCATCGGGCATCTCTGAGGATTATATACTTTTGCTGCCCATCCCCAGGTCAGCCAAGTCTTGGGGGACGGCCCGGGCTATTTTCTCTCAACCCGCCTCTCATGTTATTTTGGATAGCAGGCTGCACAGGGGAGAGCGAGCTCAGGCTATGTCGCATTCATGGGGTTTTACCATCCAATAAGAGGCCTGGTGTCGATACCGACGTCTTTCTTCCGTGCCTCAGCGACGCCCGTTGTCATCGGTGCATGCCTCTCTACTCACGCCACCGTTATGATTCGGTAGCCCCGCAGGTTCGAGCCACATCACACAGACGGGGGAAGCGGGCGTCTGAATCAAGAGGCACCCGCTTCCCACTTTTAGGGTCTGATGGCGGCGATGGGAGGGGATACTGGATGAGCTCGGCTGGTACCGAGGCCACCCCCAATGCGGGTAATCCATGGCATCGTGTAACCGTCTGGTGAGATGTCGAAAATTCTTGGACCGCCGTGAAGAAGGGGGTTACCTTGCATGACTAGGTGCGTGCAGATCAGTAAACAACAGTCACGCGAGCGGGTTATTTCTGAGAAGGCCTGGATACCCTATGTTCGCGCATACATTATACAGAGGGTATTCCAACATTTTGATTCTGAATTGACGACTCTCGACTCTCAATTGCGCGGGTATACTGACCGGGACCCTGGCCGTGATCACCAACACACGAATTGGCATGCCCCTTCCTAGCTCCGCACGAGAACCAAACTTAGGATTAGGCTTTTCAAGCTCCATTCCGAAAATCTCAGATCTCTCCCGAGAAACCTGTCGATTCCATCAACCCACTCTCCTCGAAGCCTCTCAGTGTTGGGTGGTTACGTCGCTTATGCCGGCTAAATGGCCCCCAACCCAACCCAGCGCCGGCGGCAACTGTGCGCTAGGGGGACTCCAGCTCCGTCTTACGCTTGGCCGGCCGGAGATGTGGATCGAAGGCGCGGCTGGAGAGCGCCGAGGACGGCATTGTGTCGTCTCTGGAACCCTAGCATTTTCGAATAACATTGATAGTTTCTCCCTCTTATCCCCCTGCCCTTCTTTCTGCTAGTTCCGCTGCTACTACTTCCACGCTGAACCCATCCATTGAATAAGGTTATCGCTCTTTAGGCTAAATGCAATTCGCCTCACCGGGGCCTGCATCTCGCCTCATCAGATCATCGCCAGGCCCGAAATCTGGGCACCGCGCAGCAGGTCACCATTGCCAGGCCCTGCTAGACGCCCGAGCGTTGCAAGTAAGAAGAGGGTGGAGTGATTTCCATGCGGTCTCCTTGCAGGAGCGGAGGCGTCAACGCCCGCACCGGTTCTGCGTCTCGGACCCCCTTCACCAGCTCGGCTAGCGACATTTGCGGGGTGTTGGTGGAACGACTACTTCCTCGAGGATAGTTCAAGGTCGCGATGGAGGCAAAGCCTTGGGATAACCTTGGGGAGCGGAAAGACGAATGCAATCTATTGCAATTATGAAAAAGACGCTGGCTGGAGTGCCATGGGTATCTTCACGACCAAAACACAAACGTACAGGCTAGCTTTAATAGAGAGACTGCAATCCGTAGCTTGGATGCCCCCAAGCTTGTCGTCGAGTCACGGCGGTCGCAGCGGATCAACGCTGTACCGAAGAAGCCTCCAACAATGCTCATTATGGCACCGTAGGGCTTGCATACTCTGCAATCAAAGCCGCGAGGTCTCCAAATCCCTTTTTGCTAGCATAAAAGTCCGCACTTCGCCCCTGCTTATCCTTCACCCCGGCTTTAGCCCCGGCCGCGAGCAACACCCTCGCCACTCCCTCGTGCCCCCGCTGCCGCATAAATCAAAGCAGTTCGATCGTCCTCGTTCACGACATTCGGATCAATACCAGCCGTAAGCAATATATCGACCACCTCCTCGTGCCCCGCTGCAGCCGCGCTCAGCAAGGCGGTTCTTCCACTCCGTGTATGTAGCTCGTCGGTAGGTGAACGCTCAAGGAGTAACTTGACTACGGTCCCGTGGCCCGCCTGGCAAGCCCACGGCAAAGGCGAGAACTCTTGATCATCCCTCGATAGGACGTCGGCGCCCAACTCTAGCAGTAGCCTGACCACCGCCTCATGCCCTCCTCCGGCCGCCCAAGAGACCAGCGTTCGCCCGCCTTGACATCTCTCTTCTAGATCCGCATCCTTGGCGCCTAGAAGTAGTCGAACGAGGGCGAGGTTCCCATTCTCTACCGCCCGCATCAGCGGGGAACGCTCCCGAGGCTTAAGGCGCTTCTCCGCCCGAGACTTGACTTTACCACTAGCGTACAGGTAGTAGAAGAAGCCGTCGAAAAGGAGATGGTCGAGCGACACCGCAAAGAGCTCCAGCATCCCCGCGTTCGAAAGATCCGACAAGGTCTCCACGTAGGTGACCAGCTGCCTGCCCACGATCCCTTCGCGCCCTTCCACCAAGAACAAGTCCGCGGCGGCCTGCTTCTCGGCCTCGAGTTCCGCGGCCCCCTTGGTCGACTCTAAGCGGGGCGGCAGCGTGTATCTGTACGCAACGCGGGCGTTTTCCGCGAGAAGCGCCTTGACGGCTTGCTCGGAGCCGTTCTCGATGGCGCGCGCGAGGGGTCCCGCCGCCGTCCTCTTGCACGTTTACATCAGCGCCGTGTCTGACGAGGAGCGATAGCATCGCCTCGTCTCCCCGCTTCGCCGCGTGATGCAACGGGGTCCTGCCCTGGCCGTCCTGGGCGTTGACGGCGGAACCTTTCTTGAGCAGGAGCCGAACGAGAGGAACGTGGCCCCTCTCCGAGGCGCACAGGAGCGGGGTCCTGCCGCTACTGTCCGTGTGGTGCACCCAGCTTTTCAGAGCGTACCTCACTTCTTTTATCTCCAGCAGCTTTGAAGCCAATGGCAGGAGACCAAAGTACGCGGCGAGATGTAGTCGCGTGAAGTCGGAAGGCGAATTCTTCGCTTCTCCCGCCAGTTGCCAAAATTGCTCCCTCCACGCCTTTCGTATGTCCCCGCGTTTCCAGAATGGACGCGCAAGGTCGAAGGGTCGCCGCCCGGCCTTTGGCCGTAATCTAGTGGTATATGTCTCGCATGTTCCGTCCAGTTTGCTACGGCATATCCGAGCAGAGGCAACTGCGCCTGTGAAGTCTGGCTACCGCGTAACGCTTCCGGGTAGGCGTCCTCGACATGCGCCAGGCAGATATCACCGATGGATCGATGTCCCTCGACTGCATCCACGAAAAGAAATCCGGTGGGTGTATTGGTGGAGGGTTGACCTCGGAGGAGGAATTCTTTGGCCGATTGGTGGAGCAGCTGGATCTCCTCGCCGCCTCCTTCTACGTCGACAATCCGGATGAGATAGCCGCACAAGGAGAGAATGTACTTTACGTAAAGCACATCGCTTGCCATCTCTTCGGGACTCATATCTTGTAAATGGACCGACCTTGTCGCCGCTGCCAACTCTTCTAACATCAGATAGCGATGCGAGAGTACGATCCACTTCAAGACAGCCGCCAGCCTCTGCGAGGCTTTTACATCTGCCCTCAAGTGGTTTTCGACCTGGTCTATTATCCTTTTGTAGACGCCATCCAGATCTTTGGGGATACTCCTCAAAATTGGCTCCACTTCCAGCCAAGGTTTGTACCTCAGCTCAAATGCCACGTATCCCACCCATAGAAAAGTACCAGCTGCATGAGTCTCGAGATACTCCTTGACTTGTTCAACCTGGTCACTCTCTAGGACCTTTTGTCTTTTGAGCTCCTCCATCTTGGCGTTGATGTATCTCTTGACATCCGCCTTGACATTCTCCGCAGCATCCCGGTCGAGGTCTATTCTCGGATACGCATTGAGCACACCTTCGATGCATCTTGGTCGGTCGCGAGAAAATATGAGTAGCTGTAAGCGAGATAATCCTTGTTCGGGAGTTCTCGTGGAAAATATGTCCACAAGTTGTTGGAGAAACCGCTCGAGGTCCTCCTCGGACGATTTACATTCGTCCAATCCATCTAAAATGCAGACCACGTCCTGTTCAACATGCCCGAGTAGAGTCTCGAAAAGAGTCTCGACTGATACCCGGCATTCTCCGGAAGGGGTGAAGTAATCTAAGATGTACTCGGCCAAGTGCGCCTGCTGGTCGAGAATCTGACATGCCAGGTCGGCCCACGTGGCGGCGACGGTATTGCACTCATTGTCCCCGTTTCTGTAGAAAAAGTAAAGAAGAATCTCGCCGTCGGTCTTGGCGCGTTCAATAGCATCCACTACGGAGATGGCCAGCATCGTCTTGCCTCGGCCCGGTCCGCTAGAAACCCACAGGATCCTGGACGCGGCTTCCCCTTTTCGCCACTCAACATATTTCTCGTCACCAAGCAGCCAGTCACAGGTGCCCTCGGTCTTTTGCGGCTTCTTCTTTCTTTGGCGTTGCCGCGCCGGCACGGTGGGTTTCTCGTGTAAGAGCCGGAGAACCCGGTCAGCGGGGTCGGTGGAAACTACGTAGACCAAAGACATCATCAGCACATAAGCGGCTAAACCGTCGTACTGACGGACCACATGAAATATGACGGAAGAAGCTGATAGGCAGAAAGGAGAGACACGAGTCAAAAAGAAGAAGAATGAAAAACAGAGATTATTCTGCTATTTTCCTCGGTTTACGACAATAGTGACAAAAACTGATTAGTGCATACCCTGCTGCTGCGTCACCGGACCGAGATAGGCGGTACCGTGAAAGCTCCCAATCTTGGACCCTTGCACGAAATCCCCGCAATGTTGTGTCCCGAGCCCGAGTGGAACTGCGAGACAGACACCTCCTCCTCGGGCAGGGAGGGTTTGGCCTCGGCCAGTTCGCGAATGGCCTTGGACAGCTTCTCGTCCAGCTGCTCGGCCGTGACCGCGCGGACGCCAAAGGACTGGGCTAGCAGCTGTAGGTCCGCCAAGATGCCCTTCATCAGCGCCTCCACCCGGCTGCCCTTGCCCATGACGCGCGCGACGCTGCGGTACCTCTCGAAGCGCGAGTCGTCGGGCTGCGGGGCCACCTTTTCGAAAATCTTTTCGAGCCGGGTCGCCTTCTCCTTGCACGCCTCCGTGACGGGCCGCATGGCCTCGCAGCTGTCGCTTTGCGCGTTTCGTTCGCTAATGTAGGTTTCGATCACTCTGAGGGTATCCTGGGCGAGGGGAGCCTGTCGGCCACGTCGTGGAAGGCCTCGGGGAGGCCCCGCGCGTCCTGGACCCCATCGTGAATGCTTTTGATGGTGCCGAGGATGGAGATGATCCCTGTGACCAAGCCGACGATGGTGGCTGCTTCGCCGATGCCAGACATTGTATGTGTGTGTTCGTTTGGGGTATCTATTGGCGATACTCGGGTCTAGGAAATGGTTGAGAGGGGGTCGATGAAGCTGGGTTTCCGTCCGCTTGTGTTGGCTTCACGTGTGTGGTGAGGTTGCTTTTTTGGACGGCGAGTTCCGCGGTGAGGGGATTTCTTACTCGGGCCGCAACGGATGAGGGGTATCTCGGTGGTCTCGGCTCCAACTGATTGATCAAATGAAGCGAAGCTAACAGAGTCGATGAGGAAAACTAGTGCGTTTATAGACAAGGTAAACGAGAAGAAATGAGCTCAATCATACACGTCATAAAAAAATAAACGAAGAAAAAAGGAATCTAGAGGCGCTTGCGAGAAGGCCCCCTTTTGTCTTGGAGAAGGAGGCAAAGAGGTTTTATAATCCCCCGAGACAGCTGTGCCTCGACCGTGGCTTAGCGCGCGCTGGCTTCGTGAATACCCTTGGCGCTAAAAAACCCACCATCCGCCTAGCGCTAGCTCCAGGGCCTTCAGCTGAGGGAAGCCCCATGAGGCTGTGGGATGGGGTCTCGTAGCGTTCTTGGTGCGAATGAGGGCGGAATGAGGACGCTTAGCTTGAAACGCTGCGCCCCATCCTCACACTGCAAGCCAATGGCGACGAGTTCAAGATGGCTTGGATTTTCGCAGCAAACCCACTGCTCTTTTTCCGCTTTTCGAAGTCTCGGGGCCCAGGCCAAGGCCAAGGCCAGCACCAGAAGCGCGTGGGGTTTGCCGATTATTACGTTTTTGCACTCGACCGGTCCTCGGCGACCGCGATGGCGACCGGGCCGCGGCAAGTGGTCCCGCCTGCCCTCGCGTTATGCAGCTAACTTTGACCGGTGAGGACGGATTTGAGATGTGGCCGTCGCCGTCGTCACTGTTGGAAAACAAGAAAAAGAAAAAGACATAGGCCATGTAGCGCCAACAAAGGGGAGGGCACGGGTGATTCGCCGGTTGGGCAAGGGGGCCAGAAGCTTCTTCGCCCATGTCGAGCATGCCTCCCCACTGGTCCGGAGCGGACTCTCTGCTGTCGCTTCCATGTCACCCACGCGGACTCCCGCGGACTCCTGCATGGGGTATCAATACCGGCCAGCAAACGATTGCCTCGTGGGCCAATAAAACACGCCCGGTCTTTGAATTCCGGCCAGATCGTAGAGCCTGAGGGCGAAGAAAAAGAAAGAAAAGTTGAAAAGTGGCGTAAACTGAGAGGGTTCAAGGCCTTGCGTATTGAGTTGGTCGACGAGTATTTGTAGAGAAGCCTCTCTCCCCTTTGAATGCTTGCATAGTTTCCTCCTTTTTCCCAAAATCCAAACTGAATCGGATTACCCACAGTACGTCATTTACGCAATACTATTCTTGTTACTCAGTCAATTCAAACACCGCCGCCTGTCGGCCCTTATCCGAGGAGATTCCTCGCACGGGAGAACCCCCATCTTTCGCCGGCCACGGGTGATCCGGTAACACGGACACCCCGCCCCTTCCATCCGCGGCAGGCGGTTTCCACTCTTCCTATAGCCTTGAAGGGCCGTCTTGTATACCAAGGCGGCCCTTGCTACGGGTTTCTCATTTCCCGCTCCTCGGAAGACACCGACCGAACCACCCTCAGCCAGTCTCCCGAGAATTTCCTGCACGAGCGTTACCTCGCGCAACTTTTCTTCACCGCACCCCATCCGAGCGGAGAGAGTCTTTACTGCGACCAAGGACTCCTTCCGCCTTCTCGAGTGGATGTGCTCTACCCTCCACCGGCCGAAATCTCCGGCCCTACCTCGTCGACTCCGTTCTACATCGACCCTGGCTTCGCATCGCCTTATGCACACTCTTTACATTCGCCCCTTCTCGAGACGCCGGATCTTCTGTACGATTTGATCGACTTCCAAGTCCACACGGATCCGGGTTCCACCAGCTCTTCGGCCATATCCAGCGCCCCGCTTGCGCTCGATAATCAGCCACAGGACTGGTTCGACCCTGACTTAACACAGGGGACTGCAAGGCCAGAGCGGGACGACATTCCGTCCTCAAAGACACCCGCTACTAAGCGCCGGCGACCAACGCACAGATGCTCTGTACCAGGCTGCGGGTATACCGCCCAGTACCCTAAAGATGTGAGAAAGCACGAAGCGACTCATGCAGTGCGAACCCCTAAGGTGTCCTACGCCCGGGTGCAACATGACCTTTACCCGAGCCGACAATCGAGACCGTCACCGAAAGAACACATGTCGTCTACGCGACACGGCCAGCTAAATGCATGTAAAAGAAGCGACAAAAAGATCCGCCCGGGCGGCTGCCATCAATGGCACCAAAAGCCTAGGGGCGGGGAATGAATCCCAATGGTCAAATTATCATTGTGGATAATTCCGGATACGTCTATTTTGAGAAGTCCTATGGTACTCTCAACCCCGTTGTCTATAACGTGGGGATTCCAACTTGGCTGGTATCTTCACGCTAGACAACGGCCGGTCACGTATCCGGGGCGTGGGCGAAGAGGGCGCGGCGCCAGCATCAGGCAACATCAAACACCGCCCACGCCTCCCAGACTGAAGCAACATCAGCGAGAGTCTTGAATAATCAGCACATCTTGCCAAAAAAGCCGCCGCATTGAACGCCCTTCGATCAACGCTATCAGCGATCGAAAATCACATTACCGGCACCTTCAGGCCCGGGGCTCCATCTCTACATATATATGTGGAGGTGGATTCCCTGACCTGGAGATAAGCCACCCCTGGACCTTGCAACAAAATAACGAAGGAAGCATTGATATCCCAACTCGGAAAACAAAAATCAGCATTGAGTCCAGAAAGCGGTGGCTAGGCCGCGCGAAATACAACGCATTGCGCACTTACTAATAAGTGCGCTACTTCTGCCAGCGATACAGAACAGAAGCGAGCCACGAGCGATTATCGCGAGTACTCAACATGTTACCATTCGTGATACAAACGAAACACAACGTCGTTATTTGTCAGGGCAAGCGGGAGTCTTGTGATCACGCGTGTTGCCACCACTATTCTACCATGTGTGGTCGCAGTGCCTGGTAGAATGGTGGTGTTAATACATGTACGCACAAGTTTCTCGCCTGCACTTGACAAAAGTCACGGCTGTGAATAGTCGATACAACGAGATATACACAACCACTCACGTAAACAAGCGAAAGCTCATAAGCGGAGGAGAGGTATCTCCCTTCTTAACGCTCCCGAAGCTTGCGTTGTCATTCGCCGGCGCGGTCGCTTCGACCGACTGGCCGGAATACCGTCGCTTCGTGGGATCATTAAAAGGTAAAAAGCGCTGGCGTGTTCGCTGGAGCAACGGTTCGTCAGTCCACTTATAGGACTGGTGCCCATCGCGAGACGATAGGTTTATCATCGCGGGATGGTGGGTTTGATCACCCCGGGACGATAGGTTTATCATTGTTGCGAAACTGGTTCGCTTTCTTTCTTCTTTTTTTTTGCGCTAGAGGCAGATTGGCCTCTTGGGGAAACCGTGGTTGGAATGATGTGGGCAGAGCTGGCGGGATCAACATACATCCACGGACGGATCTATAGATGTACATGTAGAATTCGAAGTTAGGGCCACGAGAATAAAAACCCACACGGTTCTGAAGCAAGCCACGGCTGATATTATATGCTTTGTGATATGTACTGTGAAATGGCATTATTCATTTCTGATTCTTGACTATTTACGCTTCCCTTGATATGTTACAACTTTTGGTCTTTCGGCTTTCCGGCGTCCTCCCCCACCAGGGCCAAAATGACAGGCCCGCCTCCGAGAAATTCGCCGTAAAGTTAGGCTTCCTCTTCTCCATGAAGCTAGCCACCCCTCCATGTTATCCTGGGCACCAGCGAGCGCTAGGAAGGCCCGAGACTCCACCAAGTGGGCTTGGAGCGGGCTGTCCTGGCAGTAGAGAAGCAGGTCGCGGTTCAGCTTGGTGCTGACCTCGGAGGTGTTCTCGGCAATGTCTAGCGCTAGTTTCGTCGCGTAGGCAACCGTCTCCTCGGGCGTAGGGAGCAGCACGGAGAAGAGATCGCGCACGAGCGGGTCCGTCACGGGGTAGGTGGAACCCGTGGTGGAGATGTGCATGGCCTTGGACAGCCCGATGAGCCGGGGTAGGAAGAAGGAGCTGCACGATTCGAGGCAGATGCCTCGTCGCGTAAAGGGAGCGGCGACCTTGGCGCCCTCCCATGCTACGCGAATGGTGGCCGCGAGCATGACGGTGAAGCCTACTCCGGCGGCGGAGCCGTTGGCGGCGACGATGGTGGGCTTGGGGCAGTTGGCGATTGCAAGCGCGATTCGGCCGCCGCTTTAGCGCAGGTTAGCATGCACCGATGAAAGACTCGAGTGGATGTAAATTACACAGAGGCTGTGACACACGATCGTTGGGCCACCGAGGAAGTGGGGCGGAACTAGGTCTACTTACCCGTCTCTGTACTTGTTCGTGGCCTCTTCGCTATCTTTGTACGGGTTCAGGCCAGCGAACCCAATCTCCAAATCGGCACCGGCGCAAAACATCCTTCCCTTGCCCGTTAGGACGATGGCGCGCACCCTGTTGTCCTTGCCCAAGAGCTCGAAGGCGGCGACTAGCTCCTCGATCATGCTTCCGGTGACGGCATTGAATTTCTTGGGACGGTTGAAGGCCACCGTGACGACTTTGGTAACGGTAGGAGACGACTCGGGCACGTTGGAGATGGAGATCTCCTTGAAGCCAGCGTCGGCGTAGGATGTAGGTGGGATTGGAGCCATGGTTCGGTTCTGGGTCAGTCTGAGGGTTAAGCTTGAAGACGGATTTTGAAAAAGCAATCAATTCTTGCTACCAGATAATCTCAGGCTTTTTCTTATATAAGATGGAAAAGAGCAAAGATATGTAGACGCTTAACTCCGAATCTCACAAGCTCATTTATATCATTCATGAACGGGATGGGGTGGACGGGCGGTGTCATTGTCGCATTCAAACGCTTAGTCAAGCAAAGCCAAGACAAGATGCCGAGGCTCGTTGTGCGAGCTTGCTGGCTTTAACCTTGAACCTCTAGGCTTGCGAGAGCAGCGATGATTAATCATGTTGGTACGCACACCCCTGCTCGGCCCCTTCGTGTGGATGTCACTATGGCGGGTAGGAGGTCCGAGGGCTTGTAAATCGATCGAATTCAGAGGCTAAAGAGCTGGAATGTGATCAGGCCTGTACAAGTCTTTTCAAACCCGCAGGAATCGAGCAAGCATAGGAGTAGGGTCTAGCGAGCGCGGTCGGGTTCGGCTCGCGATCTTAGTGTGGCCCCAGTAAAGACATTCAGACGCGAGGTTCCGTAATTGCTGCGTAGTCCGGCACCATTGTCGGAAGCCCATTCTCGATGATTCTCTTGGCTGTTCTCGCTGCGGTGTGTTCCGGTTGAGAGGGTTGAGAGGCGTTGGAAGCGGAGATGGGCGGGCGACCCACCAAGTGCGCGGGGACGCCCAAGTTCGGCGCCTGCAAAAAAGTGCTTCCTTCCGAGTTGCCGTCCGGCGCGGCGCGGTGGGAGTTTGCAGACCATGCCGTGCCAAGAAAGCGTCGCCCGGGAAGAGAAATCGAAGAACACTGTCATGTTCGCCGCCACGGGACTTTATGCCGGTGAAAATAGGCAGCTTATCCAGTGAATGGCCTTCCCGCTGGCTCCCACATTTTCCCATGAGAACCCACAGCTCAGACCCCGGTTTCGGTCTGGACAGAACAAATAGTGGGGTTGGCCCTATTCTAGCTAGCGCTAGCACCTCGCGTCTTTAGCCAAAGAGGGCGGACAGACATGAGACTGCCATACGTCAGAGTTCGCAATCTAATTCCGCTCGGGACCAAGACAACTTTGGTCAGCGGTGGGTCACCGAGCCTCGACCCGATCCACGGCATCCATTGAGCAAGGAAAAAAGAAGAAAAAAATTCGCGGCGATTACTCTCTCCCATCTCTCGCATTTGTACCGAACTCACACCACGCTTACCCCACACGGCGTGCAACCCACGTCCGCAAATAGCTAAATCTTACTAGGAGCATCTCTTTTTCCCCTAATTCACTTTCCGCATGGCTATTTTTACAGCGCGGCTCGGGCGATTGAAGTTTGTTTGAACCGGCAGCCATGGACGAGCCTCCCACGGAGACGCGTACCAGTCGCGCAAGGTGCGGCCCGCCCCACTTTGCCCAGCCAACCGGGACACCCCTTCTCAGTGCCGGATTGGGCCCGGATGATGCCGCGATGCTAACTCCCAGGCTCACTCGCCCGTAATTTGTGTAGATGGCTGAATCCCAAGACGTGGTGGTCCGCCTTGGACATGGACGTCGAAACCCTGCTCAAGATGATGAAGGGTGCCCTGCCCCCTGTACTATGTATCGCCATGTGAGTTGTCAGGCCCTTGATAACCATCCGTTCCGAGACTGACACGAGAACCGAATCTATAGCTTCCAGGCGGACTCCGTCGCCAACATGATGACGACGGCGGGCTACTTCTCCGTCCTCCTGTCCATCGCATCGCAGCCCCTCTTCCCCGCGCCAAGTTTCTCAAGATTCTCTCACTCTGCCTCATCGCCACCGCGCTTTCGTTTGCGCTCTGCTGCCTTGCCATCTTTTGCGCTGACAAGGCTCGTCAGGGGAATAGCGCTGCAACCGTCCAAGGCCCATACTTTACGTATAACCCGGATGCGGCGGCCGTGTGCGGTGTGTTCCTCTTCTTCATGATATGGTACAGTTCCGTCCTCCCCTCTCTCTCCCTCCCAGGGTCATGACCATTGTTAACGTCTCCCTCCGAAACAGGATCGGTAACACCTTTCGTGCTTGAAACCCGCCGAGTACCAAGACCCCGGCGTCTGCTTCTCCCTCCTCGCCGTCGTCGTGCTCACCCGCGCCAGCTCCGTCGCCACCTTTACCGAGGGCCTCGACTTCATGTGGCGCATCACCAAGGCCTTCCTCCTCGGCTTCGCCATGGCCACCGGCGTCTCCCTCTTCATCCTCCCCAGCACGTCCCGCGGCGCCGTCTTCGCCACCACGCAGGCCTACGTCGCCCAGGCGCAGATCGCCCTCGACGCCCTCGTCGACTTCGTCAACGAGACCCCCGACGACGTCCTGCTCGCCACGCCCGCCCTGCTGGACGCTGAGCTCGAGCCCGTCGAGACCGTGCAGACCCTGAGGACGGCCGTCGACACCGACAGCATCGGCGCCGTGCGGCAAAAGATTGCCCAGGCCCTCGGCGCCCTCAACGCCCTCGACGCTCAGATGCAGACGAACCTCGGGTACGCCAAGATCGAGGTCGCGTGGGGCAGGCTCTCGGCCGCTGATCTGGAAAGGTGTCGGAGCTCCTGCGCGAGCTCCTCCTGACCCTTTCCGGCATGGTGTCTTTCCCCACCATCGTCGACCACTTCCTAGAGTGCGACGAGAACGCGCCGTTCACACCGCAATCGGATTCGTCCTTGGGTAGCAGCACCCCTCCGCCGCGCCGACGGGAAGCGCCGCCCGCAAGACAGTACACATCGTACAGGGCCTACGCATGTCCTCGACGAACTCGCCCAGCTCACGCGAGTGGGACTGCAGTACTTCCTCAACGAACTCCAGGTTTCCCCGGCGCCCTGGTCCCAATTCCACCACGCCAAACCAAAGACGTCGCAGCCCGACGGCATCGAGTTGGAGGACGTCGACGGGGCTTCCGTCCACCTCGACCCCACGAGCCCCACATTCCTCGACGACTTTACCCGTTGCCTCAAGGATCTGTCTCGCCGGAAGCGAGCCATCGAGCAGCTCGTGAAGCACTCCGAAGAGGTGGACGGCCGCGCCGAGGACTTTTCCGGCATCCAGCACGAGTACTGCCTGGCTCTCTACCTCTTCTACATGGAGGATCTCGTGGCGAACTCCGTCTATTCGCTCGTGTCTTTTGCCAAGAGCAAGGTCGACGACGGCACAATGTCCCGCAGCCGCCTGATCTACCCCACCTTCCTCGAGTACTACCGCCACGACGGCGAGCCCCGCGAGGAAGAGGAAGAATCTTCCGTCTACTCCAACTGCTCCGTTCCGCGCGAGTTCCAGGACGGTGCCACCGTCACCGACCCCATCCACCTCATCCCCACCCACTTTTGGGAGCGCTGGGCCGGCAAGCTCGGCAAGGTCGCGCGGTTCCTCGGCTCCGACCTCAGCATGTTTGGGCTCCGTGTCGCCGCCGCCTCGCTGTGCCTCGGCATCGTCGCGCTGCTGCAGGACAGCCAAGAGTTTTTATCCGCCAACGCGGTGTGTGGGCCATGATAGTCGTCGTCCTGGGCATGAGCCCGACGAGTGGGCAGACGCTTTTCGGGTTCTTTAGCCGAATCTTGGCCACCCTCGCCGCGGTTGCGCTGAGCTTCGCGTCTTGGTACATCGTTGTCGGGAACACGGCGGGGTTTTGGTGTTTTTGTACATCTCCAATGTCCTCTTGGTATGTTTCGTTCTAGCCTTCCTCACATGATTTACTATAGCCCGGATGAGAAGCTGACAAATTGGGCATAACAGTTCTACATCTACGTCAAAATGCCCAAGTACTTTGGCACATCCGTCATTGCCATCATCACACTAAACGTTGCAATAGGGTACGAGGTTAACGTGAGTTTCTCGCCCACACGCGGCATCCCCAATCACATGAAGCATAGAACCTCAGAATGCGCTAACATAAAGTCGATAATCAGGCCGATAAACTCGGCCACGAAGCCTCCGAGGCCAACGGGCAGCCCTACTACCCACTCTATCTTTTCAGCCCTTACAAATTCTTCGCCGTCGCCATCGGCTGCGCCGTGTCCTTCATCTGGGTCATCTTCCCGTACCCCATCACCGCCAAATCACGCGTGCCCAAACTCATGGGCCAGAACCTCCTCAACCTCGGCCGTCTCTACAGCGCCATGCACACAACCATTGAACTGTGGATCAATAGCCACCGCGTCGCGACAGGGGCGAGACCATCCGCTCCGTCGTCTACCCGCAAGAGCAGCTCCAAGCTATCAGCCTGGACCTGTACAAGAAGCAGGTCAGGTCCCTAGAGGCCCTCAAGATGCACTGCCACTTTGCCAGCTACGAGCCCCCGCCGGGGGCAAGTTTCCCATCAGGCCTTACGAGGGCATGATCTCGGCCACCCAGCAAAGTCTCAACATCATCACCCTCATGGCCTACATTGGCCGAACAATGTCTTCGGAGACGTCCCGGAGCAGCACCTCCGACGGGACAGAGCTCGCCGACCCCGCCGACGGCACCTCGGGCTGGGTATCGAACTTGGCTGCGGCGGCGCTCGAGTCGACCGATTTCCAGTCGCACTCCACCACGGCGTTGCTGTGCCACCTCGGGGCCGCCATGATGAGCAGCCAGCCGCTACCGCCTTTTCTCGGAGTATCCGAGTCCTTCCCGCTGGCGAAGCAGCTGCGGAGGCTTAATGATGAGCTGCTTCATATTCGGAACGCAAGATACCCGGCCTTTGTCGCGTTTATTGCTCTGGAGGTTCTCAAAACCACTTTTAACAAAGAACTCAAGATTCTCTTGGAGTAAGTTTTATCTAGATTCCATTCTACATGTACCGTGTGCATCCCGTCCTAACGAGAAATCAGCCACACGCGCATTCTCGTCGGGGAAGTGAAGTTCAACATCAGCGTTGCATAAGCATAGGTGTGCGATTTTTGAAATATTTACGTACCCGGGTAGGCGTTTTTAGAAACTGAAGAATATTTGGATTCATTTCCTATGGCACTGGCCGTGACAACTTCGATAGTCATGAATAAACAATCTCTTTTACTATCCTATCTACATACTTTCACCCCCTTCCCCCTCTGTCCCCTCAAAAGACGTTACTTGATGGTTGATTCTTGTTATACAGGCCCTTGGCTAGCTCTAAATACATCTTTGAACCAACGTTCATCCTCCACTTCGTCCATGATTCACCACGACCAGTGGCTCTATGTAAGGCGTTGTCTGCATGGCGCCACCGCCTACTAAACTTGATTGGCCATCTCGAGATGGATTTATGGTTGATGTATTGTTATCTGCAAGCACCCCCGACCTCTCGTATTGACCAATGAATAGGGCCTGGAAGCGCTGCATGTCGATCACCACAGATTTTGACGAAATGTAAGGCGGTGCCCCTCTTTTCATGCGTACTCGAGGGCGCTCGTCAGTACATGTAGCTTTGATCCCTCACAACGGATCTTGTATCTCATTAACTCATTCGAAACTCAGTCTTTCTCAGCGAGGACCCCGAAGCTCCCCTAGCCTCCAGTGCTTCCGTCTTTGGTCCTTGTGCAGAGTTCTCTAGCCCGTCGGTGTACCGGGGAGTCGCCATGTTTCCCCAGTCAAATTCAAGACTAGCGATTATTGCCACACTCTTATCATTTCTCCTTGTCATTTTCGTCTTCGAACTAGCCTTCGCAGTCAGATTTCCTGCCTCGAGCACGCAGCGACGGCAGAACCGGTTTACCCGCCTGCGACACTTTGCAGCGCCAATGTGGATAAGTCTACTAGGAGTAATCCTCATTCCGCTCATGTTCACGAGGACAACCGCCGAACGGGCTAGTATCACTCACATAGAAATCTGCGACGTCGAGGTCGACGCCGATATCGGTGGAGATGGTATCCGGATCGCGACCTGGGTGCAAGAATCAGTCCTCCTCCTCATCGCGTTCCTCGGCACCTTCCACTGCTCGGCCACCGGCGCCAAGGAGATTGGTGCCGGCCTGGCGCTCACGCACGTTTCCTTGGTCATCGCGCTGCTCGTGCAATTGGGCCGCGGGTCTCTCACCTCCGCGGATGCCATCCTCGGCTCGATGATTATCGATTCGCAATGTAGCGCGCTTTCCATGCAACTCGTGGCGAAGGAGACGTTGGCATCGCGGTTGCAGGTCGCCACGGTTCTTCTATGCCAGATACTAGGCCTCACAGTCCTACCCATCCTCGTCGACGGCTTCGGCAGCGGCAAGTTTGCAACGAAAGACTGCAGCTGTGTTGCGGTTTTCTGGTGGGGTTGGCTCAGCGATTGCTCGGCATTCGCACCTCGGGAGATGGCTATTTTCTGGACCTACTATGCTTATCGCTGCGTAGCCTTCCTTCAGTGTTGCTACCACTCTCTCAGCAACACGATACAGTTTCACGATGCCGAAAAGCACGGCACGCGTCTGGAGGGCATAACATACCCCACTATGATCGTTTCTGATCTTGAGCCCCCGAATGACGGCATGCCCAACGATACTGACTCCGCTTCCGAAGATGAGGAATTCCTAGAACAGGAAGCGAAGGCAGATGGGTCCAGATATCCCGATTACCCGGCGACGGTATCGCTCATGTACACGGTATACGGCCTGTTCGCCCTAGTTTCCATGGCTGCGGCCGAGATTGCAATGAGAGACTACGGCCTGCGTCCGAGCTCCCAGTTGTTCTCCGTCGGTCAGATTATCGGCATGGTGGTGGCGGGAGCAACCATTGTTCGGGGCCTGTTCCTCCTCACTATGATGCTGCTTGCGGGCGGCGCTGGCTTTACGTGGCCGTTATCGTTTGAAGTTGGTCTGGAGGTTGCTGGATTTGGCCCACGATCTAGGGGACGTACGTGCTCCTATCGGGAACAGGGGAGGGCCCGCGCTTTCCCCAGGCGGGGGACGCACCGGATGGAGTCTTACGACTTGGCAATATCGTCGGGAAAACATCGGACCCGCACCAACAGCTCCTTATGGTGGCTGAACCAGACTCGTTAGAGGAGAAAAAGGCCCGCAAGATAGGAGGAGCAGGGGAAGTGACGATTGATGTCTCCTTTGGGGAGTACATTTCGCTTGGTTTAGAAGCCGGTCGTGTCACTTGGAGTCGCGAGCGCACCTTGTCGATCCGGGCGCCTCAAGTCGAGGTAAGGTGGTTCCGGCCGACACCCCGGCACTTGGCTCGATGCCTCCAGGACCCTGGTGTTAGGAGAGCCTTGAGATGGGGCCAGGCGTACATGATTACTGGGATAATGGTTAGCACGGATCTAAAGATTGGGGAATACGAGAAAACAAGCCGCGCCGGAAAAGTCGAGGTCCCGGTTGTGAATACAGGAGTTAACGCCGGGTATGGAGTTGAGAAGACCACTTCGGTAGGAGGTGACACAGAGCATCCCGGTCAAGTGATATTTGCCTACCAGCTTTCGATAATCAGGAAGCCTTGGTTTTCCAACTGGATTGGACATGAAGTCCTCGTGCCGGAGGGAGCGGCACTAGCTTTCAACTGGAATCAAGTCTATTCTTAGTCGGGTCACGATTTTTTGTCGCAAGCGAGTTGGAAGCTTGGTCAACACAAGCGTGGGATTGGGGCGCTCCCAGCTTGGATTTCGAACCGGACGCCAGATACTGTCCTGGTGGTTCCAAGTATAGGATATCTTGGATGGAAATTTTGATATTATTCATGACAGGCTATGCCATCGATATCATGAAAAGACAAGCAAAGATACTAATGACAGCTCGTGGTATTCCTGCCTCTTGCTGTGGCCGAAACTCTCATGAGCTTGCTATTGGTTCGGGTTGGGAACGAAGGTATAGAGGTGCCTAGGCTCTACTAATGACTACGTCAGCTTGAAAAATGGGCCGCCAAGGACGCTTTATTTCTTTTCAACTCTTAGGATTAGTTATATATGAGCTTGATCCTCAAGCCATGAAACTTCCTTGGATTATCTCTCCTTGCCCGTAGCCCGGTTCCCTTTAGCATGGCCGTGGGCTCCGAGACTTACGACGCAAAGCGATTATGGCATGTACTGCCGGCAACAACAAACGGGGGTACCATCGTTTAGATGCTGGCCTTGACAAAAAGGCATCAAAAGCGAGGTAGCTAGCCAAGTTGGCTGCATACGGAAGTCGGATGAATTTCGAGATTCGAGACGGGATTAGTACCCCCTGGTCGTGGAAAGTCACCTAAGCCACGTTGTCAAACAATCAAGCCCGGAGACCTCGCCCACTCCTTAATTAGTAGCGGATTCCACGTTTCCTCGCCAATATAGGACCCTTTTCGTTCTTCTTTCCCGGTCTGGAAGGCCGTGCTAGCAGGTACGGACCCAAGCTCTATTCTAATTCGTCGTCCGTGACATGGCAACGTTCGAGATGGCTGCAAGCACCTTGTTCAGCGGTCGTCTCAGCCCTTTGACCCTTGCATATTCGGCACGCGTGCGTCATATATCGAGTGAAATCAGGCAACCGGCCGCTTGGGTCCCTGCCTCGTCTGGGTCTCGGGCCGGCCCGTTCATTACACCCCCTCTTTATCTCCCCTAACCTCCCTTGACCTGTTGAAATCCCGGACAGGTTGAACACCTGGAAAAAGAGGGGTATCTGCACTGCCATGCGGCCCGTTTGAATGTCTGTCTGTCGAGGTAGAGACATGGAATGGTGCGAGCGGTGACCTGCGTCCGCGTTCAGCCTGAGGCGAGAACCGTGCGGTGGGTGGAGGTTGAAGTCCTCCCTTTCTGCCACTCCCGAATCACGGCATGGGCTATGGTGCGTTCGTCTATTTTAAGAGCTTACGACGATTTCTTGTGACTTCTTCATCTCGCAAGGCGCCCAATAGGCGGAATTCAGGTTGGAGACCATCTTGCCCTGCTGCACAATGATGAAAGGTGCCCAGAAAGGTGTAGATGAGAGTTAATGAGCCAATCAATATATGCTTACTAAATTTATTTGGCTCCCATCGAATGCTTGAAAGAGTGAGAAAACAAAAAGATTGAATTAAACTCTTCAGAAGCGCGGCCAGCGTCGGACCCTGGGGGCTTGTGGCCGGATCCAAAGGCTTCCTACCCCGTTGACTATTTCGACCATCTGAGTTTGCTAGCCCAACTTTTCTCCCACTCATGGCGGTCAACAGAGGGATTGAAAATGGCAAGGCGGGAAATAAACGCAAGCCAAGAATGTCCATCACCTTTGTTTAGCAATTTGGCACTTGGAAGCTAAGAGGGCCCCCATCACGGTCACAGATGCAATGCAAGGTCAGCCAAGCTAGAAAACGGACATTCCTCCTCTGGACTGAATTATCGATTGCGGGGTCCTGTCATGACGGAAATGTCTCTGGTTGGCCTTCTTCCTCGACAAAGGCAGGAACTTAGCCTCCGCGCGCAGTGGATGTGCGCCCCTCCCTCTCCCCCATGATGTTTTTCCGGTTCCACATCGATGACGGAGGGGAACAGCTTGGGTTGGAGGTGGGTCCCGGGTCACGAACCAATCGGAACTCCATGATTCTGCTTATCTAACCGCCTCGAGGGATTCCCAAAACACGTGCTTAGGCGTTATCGCCGTGACTTGGCGATGCACCTCAGGTCGAGCGGGGTCGCGTCGCAAGTCACGGCAATACGTCGAGCCAAGTATGTTGATCCCCTCCCGTCCTGTACCCTCGTGCAGAGGGTACATGGGTTCCCTCTCAATCGTTCGGTCTTGGTCCCCTTTACTACTAGCTTTGGTCTCGTCCTCTCACTTGTCTCCGTCGCATTCCGGATGTTCGTCAAGTCATCGGACTGGTGGAGCCGATGGGAAAGAAGACAAAAATCAGAGAGCGAGGATCGGAGGAGGAAGGGCGAAAAGGGCGGTTGAAAGGGAAGGAAAGGTGTCAATGGACTTGCGAATTGGTTCCCGCCTGTTCCCCGGAGAGCCAGGAGGGGTGGGTTAGGAATGGGAGATCCGACTAGGTTTCTGATTTTTCGAGTACCATTGTTGTACCCTTGCCAGAGAGGCCGAATTTGCTCGCTGTGGAGGGTGCTTCTTCGGAAGGGGAAAGTGGCCAAAAGGACCAACAGATTCGCAATCCCTGGGCCCAAAGAGTTTGGTGGGCTTTTTGCAATGTGCTCAATACATTGATCTATGGCATGGGCCAGATTGGGTTTGCTCGCCTGTCAATGTGCAGTGTCTGATCAATTGGTCTTTCCCGTCCGTCCTGTCCGTCCCTCTCTCTCACACAGTATGCCGCACTGAGACACCACGACGAAGTGGCGTTCCATATCAGCAAAGGAAGGAGAGAAGAATAATCACCCCCGATCGAACCTTCTCCCATTCATTTTTCGTGTTCGATCCCCGCATCAGTTGGATCGACTTTGTCGTCGGAGATGATCAGATGTCAATGGTTTATTATCAACCCATAGAATTCGATTTGTCAATTCAACCGTTGGGTAGCTGTACCTACCTGCCCCCTCAAATTGTTCCAAGTCGCAAAATTTCCCACATTTCCGCTGCGGTTTGTCGCTCCCCGAGGCCAAAAATAGCAGGTCGGCGCGCGGTCCTTGTACCTCTCGTACGCACCTGCACTACCAGTGCAGCGTAGGACCTGGACGGTTCAATGTTTCCAAACGCTGGTTTTGATACAGTGGCAGGAACGACGCATTGCATCAAAATTGCTGCCCGTCGCCGTTTCGTTCCCCGCCGGCCCCCGAACATGCCCCTAGCACGCACGCAACTGAGCCAAGCCAAGCGAAGCGCTCGCTCTGTTTCCCGCCCCTCTTTTTCCCTTTCCTTTGCCCCCTCAGGCCATGATCTCACTCCCGACAACTCCCCGCATCGGCGCATTGACCTTCCCCCAGGTCGGTCCCTTCGACTAATAAAATCCGGTGCATTCGACCCATTTAATGATTGGACTGGCCTCGCCCGTGTGCGTCAGCGTGGAAACCTACCGACCACTCAAAACCCTCCGAATTGCAAGCAAGCTCTGCCGGGACATGGACGGAAGCCATAGAAGAAACCAGCTCCCCTCCCTTTTGGCTCCCCCTCCAAAGCCGAGAGCTAGCCCGCGCGCGGCGGCGATATGCCATGTCTGTACTTGTACGTTTGAGACGTGTATCGATCCGGGTACCCACGCTTACCTCTGGCGGGGTAAAATGGCGTCAATTGCCATGTTTCCAGAATGTACCACCTTGGTACTTTGGAAACGCTGCTGCTTTGTGAGGGCCAACGTAAAGGGAATTGGATTGTCCGAGGAGCACAACGGAAGACGAGGAGAGGAGAGGAGGGGAGGGGGCGAGCAGCCAGAGCTTAATACAAGTTGTACCTGCGGGGTGGGCGACTGGGCGAGACAACTCTTAAGCTTCTCGGTCCCCTCGATTTTCCCTTCCCCCTTTCGCGAAGCTTCCTGTTCCTGCTTCTTTGCGCAAAACCTGAATGATCTTGGCTCATTCTTACGCAACGCCCCTTCTCCTCTTTTCTCCCCTTGACCATTTTTTTCTTATAACCCCGCGAGGAACGGCAGGTCCTGTAATTGTCCTCTAATCAGTAAGTCTCGATGCGCGCATCCAGAGTCTTCGTCACCCCTCTTCTCTCCGCCCACCCTGCCCGCCCTCTCTCCTCTCTCTCCTCTCTTTCCCCCGCTTCCACTTCCTCTGCCTCCCGAGATCCGACGGAACAGGGCGCTCACCATCTTCCATCAGATCCAAGACAACAAGCACCACGCACACGCAAGAACCAGAACCGTCGCACCCCACACCCACACAGACGCACACATCCTCCTCCGCCAAAATGACTCCACCCCAGTGTCCCGTCAAAAGTCCAACCTCGGCGGCGGCGGCACGCGGAACTTTGACTGGTGGCCCGAGCAGCTCAAGCTCAACATCCTCCGTCAAAACACCAGCGTGACCAACCCCTACGAGAAGGACTTCAACTACGCCGAGGCCTTCAAGAGCATAGACTATGCCCAGCTCAAGAAGGACCTCACCGCCGTCATGACCGACTCCCAGGAGTGGTGGCCCGCCGACTTTGGCCACTACGGCGGTCTCTTTGTCCGCATGGCCTGGCACAGCGCCGGCACCTACCGTGTCACCGACGGCCGCGGCGGCGGTGGCGCCGGCCAGCAGCGCTTCGCCCCGCTCAACAGCTGGCCCGACAACACCAGTCTCGACAAGGCCCGCCGCCTCCTCTGGCCCGTCAAGCAAAAGTACGGCGAGAAGATCTCGTGGTCTGATCTCTTGCTCCTCGCCGGTAACGTCGCCATCGAGTCCATGGGCGGCAAGACTTTTGGCTTCGCCGCCGGCCGCCCCGATGTTTGGGAGGCCGACGAGTCCGTCTACTGGGGCGCCGAGGAGACGTGGCTCGGCAACGAGGACCGCTACGGCGGTGGCCAGGAGGGTATCGCCGCCCACGGCACCCTGCCCGGCGACGAGCACAAGAAGGGCCACACCGACATCCACACCCGCGACCTGCAAAACCCCTCGCCGCCTCTCACATGGGTCTCATCTACGTGAACCCCGAGGGCCCCGACGGCATCCCTGACCCCGTCGCCGCCGCCAGGGATATCCGCACCACTTTCGGTCGCATGGCCATGAACGACGAGGAGACCGTCGCCCTCATCGCCGGTGGCCACACCTTTGGCAAGACCCACGGTGCCGGGCCCACCGAGAACGTGGCCAAGGAGCCCGAGGCCGCCCCCTCGAGCAGCAGGGTCTCGGCTGGGCCAACACTTTCCGCTCCGGAAAGGGCCCCGACGCCATCACCAGCGGTATCGAGGTCACCTGGACCAGCACCCCCGTCAAGTGGAGCAACAGCTTCCTCGAGTACCTCTTCAAGTTCGAGTGGGAGCTCACCAAGTCCCCGCCGGCGCCAACCAGTGGGTTGCCAAGAACGCCGACGCCATCATCCCCGACGCCTTCGACCCCAACAAGAAGCAGCTCCCCACCATGCTGACCACCGATCTCTCCCTGCGCTTCGACCCCGCGTACGAGAAGATTTCGCGCCGCTTCCTCGAGAACCCGGACCAGTTCGCCGACGCCTTTGCCCGCGCCTGGTTCAAGCTTCTCCACAGGGACATGGGCCCGCGTGCCCTCTGGGTTGGACCCGAGGTCCCCTCCGAGGAACTCCTCTGGGAGGACCCCTCCCCGCCGCCAGCCACCCCGTCATCGACGACGCGGACATCTCCTCCCTCAAGTCCGCCATCGGCAACAGCGGCGTCGCCGCCAACAAGTTCATCTCCGCCGCGTGGGCGTCCGCCTCGTCTTTCCGAGGCTCCGACAAGCGCGGTGGCGCCAACGGTGGCCGCATCCGCCTCGAGCCCCAGAGGAGCTGGGAGGTCAACAACCCCGCCCAGCTCGCCGAGGTCCTCAAGGCCCTCGAGGGCATCCAGCAGCAGTTCAACGCCTCCGCGTCCGGCGGCAAGAAGGTCTCCATCGCCGACCTCGTCGTCCTCGCCGGCGCCGCCGCCCTCGAGCAGGCCACCGGCGTCAGCGTCCCCTTCACCCCGGGCCGCACGGATGCTTCCCAGGAGCAGACCGACGTCGACTCCTTCCGCAACCTCGAGCCCCGCGTCGACGGTTTCCGCAACTACGGAAAGGGTACCCAGCGCGCTCGCACCGAGCAGCACCTCGTCGATCGTGCCGCCCTTCTTAACCTCTCCGCCCCCGAGCTCACCGCCTTGATCGGCGGTCTCCGTGTGCTCGGCACCAACTACGACGGCTCCTCGCACGGCGTCTTCACCAACAACCCCGGTAAGCTCACCAACGACTTCTTCGTCAACCTGCTCGACATGAGCACCGCCTGGAAGTCCATCGACGGCGAAATCTACGAGGGCTTCGACCGCAAGTCGGGCCAGAAGAAGTGGTCCGCTACCCGCGCCGACCTCGTCTTCGGTTCCCACTCCGAGCTTCGCGCCCTCGCCGAGGTGTACGCTAGCGCTGGTGGACAGGACAGGCTCGTCAAGGACTTTGTGGCGGCTTGGACCAAGGTGATGAACGCGGACCGTTTCGATCTTCATAGGGCGTAGAGTATGATTGGGGTAATACATTTCAATTTCCGTTTTTATTATGGTTACTTGTGCCAAGAATGTCTCGTGTTCCTCGTAAATGCATCCGCCGGAATGGCGAGTCCTATCCCAAGCGGCGTAAAATCAATCTGAATGTGTGCTTGCTACGCTTTTGGTCTTGTAGACATATATATAACACCCAAATCGCCACTAATCGCTTGGCTAAATGGCTCACTCCATCGCTTAGTATCAATCCTCTAGACTTGGTGTCTCCCACTGCACCCACTCAAGAATATTTACTGGTCGTGTACTAGAGTCTCCTAGCCCCTCCAGCAAGTCCGTGTCGCCGGATGGCTCATCACTCCGAACGAGGAACTTGCGAATATAGGCATCAAGCAGAGTCCGCTGTCTCTCCGGAAACACGCAATGGCCGTGACCGCCCGCCATCGAAACTGCCATGTGATCCGACACATTCAGAGCGTCCCACACCCGGCGAGCACCCACCATGCAGGCGAACGACGCACGCGGTCGAAGCCAATCCGCCTCCGCCTGCAGAACCAAGAGAGCCCTCGGAGCGATCAACCCAGCCAACTCGTGCTGATCCACGGGCAAGCTATCCGGGTCCCTGGAGAAGTTGCCGAAAGCTCGGCCAAGGCCGTCGGGCGGCTCGTCGCACTGCGTGTCGCATATGCTGAATCTCTCTTGCTGTTTTTCCCACTCGGCGATCCTCCAACACGCGTCCCCGCCCACCCCCGCCTCCTGCGAGATGGTGAGAGCCAGCCTTTCGTCAAAGGCTCCGGCCAAGAGCACGGCTCGGGCGTTGCGCGAGCAGCCCGTGGTCGCTAATCGGCGCGCGTCGATCGCGGCCTCGGGCGTAAGTTCGAGTGCGTCGATGACGCGAGAGAGACCCCACGCGGAGGCTGCCATGAGACCGGCGTCAAACTCCGTTCCGTATAGGGTATAGAATTTGCCCGAGTTATAGGATGACGCGATCCTGGCGATTTCATCGTTTTTATAGATTATCACCGCAACGTCATCCGGCACTGGGATGGTCATGCCCCCGAATGCGATGATGGCTGGGTACGGGGGTATGCCTATTCGGGGAAGTGTTATGTTGACGGAGAACGAGATGGATTCCTCCCCATGAGTGATATCGATGACTAGGTCAGTCCCGTTGAGCCGGGTGGTGAGCGCCTCGGGTGGACCGGGGACTTTCCCGTAAACAGTTCGTTGGAAGATTTCCATGAGTTCCTGTCGACGGCAGTTCCACTGTGATTTCCGGGTGACGCGATCACCGTTGAACATGAGGAATGGGTCGGGGAGCGTGCTTTGCGGTCCGGCGGCCAGTAGGTCGGCATTCTTCGGGAGTGCTACACAGTCCGTCGCGAGTTGGGAAAACGCGACGGAGACCAATAGGGAGAGGCTTAAAAGGAGCATCGTGTGCATTGAAAGACGGCGCGGGCAAGTGTGCGGATATCATAAGGGCATTGGATCGGGTCCGTATTCGTAGATGGGACAACCAGGGTAATAATTAAATAGACTTTTCTGCGAGTTCCTCTCCCACGTTCATATTTGTACCTCTTGAACAGAATCACGCGGATAGCAGCAACATGCAAGTAGTATATTGGCCGGTGTCCTCGAAATCCTTCATACCCCTCCTTCTCTTTGGCCATGCATTTGCTGTGTCCCAGATGATATTGGTGCACCCCGCAGAAAGCACTATGAACGACCGATCTCAAGGCCTAGGAGCTTGTAGTCGTGCGGCCGCCCGCCAAGCTAGATGCGTCTGCGGATATTAGGTCATGACGCAGCGACCGTCTCAACGTTCCGATTCAATCATGCTTCTCTACTATGTCGACGGTGATATAGGAAGTAGGTATATGCAGAAGTGTTACGATGGTGAAGAACTCTGATGTCAAATGCTGTGAAGAGGATGGGAGAAGTCGAGTAGCGATTATTCGCATACGTTGATCAGACAAAGGGATTATATTACGACCTCTTGATTCGAGGGGCTTTTCTACTTCTATTAAGGTGTGCAGTACAAATAAAGGAAACGTAGATGTAGTGGCATAAAGGAGTGGAACTCAGACATGTGCCTCGAACAATCAACCATACTCTCTCATCATGCAAACGTCAAATATATACGAGAAATATTCTTTTCGTAGCTGGATACAAGATGTAACACGAGCTAGCTGGTATGTAGAGAAACGGAGAGGCCTGGAGAGGTTATGGAAAGCGTTTAGAGGAGCGCAATGATATAGCAGAGATGGGGGCATCCATCCTCTGTTTAGCAGAGGTGGAACTTGGCGACGCTCGGATCGTGGTCGCTGACCTGGTCGTCGTAGTTTTGCCAGGTGTTGAGGTGCATGTGCTGGTACTGGACGCCGCACCCCGCGGCCGGGCTCACAAAGGTGTGATCGAGCGCCTGACTGTTCATGTCGAAGAGGTACGTGTAGCGCTCGTTGGTGGCGATGTGCGCAACCTCGTCGAGGTCGGTGAGACCCGACTTTTCGGTAAAGATGCGCAGGGGCTGCACCTGAACAAACTCGTTGAAGTCCCCGGCCGCAATCACGTAGGCCTTGGGGTCCTTTTCGAGGATCTGGGCGATGAAGCTCTGCCGGTTGTATGAACGACGTTAGAAACTAGCTTTAGAAAAAGGTGAGAGGAGATAGGGGATCTACTTACAGCAGTCACATCGGCCTGGGTGGCTCGCTGATCGACTCCCTTGTTCACGGGGGCGCGCGTCACCGTGAATGCTCGTCGAACCGCCCTTGCTCGTGAAATGCACGTTGACGGTAAAGAAGGGCTTCTTGGCCCCCTTGACGGCGCGCCACGCCGCCACGAGAGGCTTGCGGCTGGCATCCCACGCAGCGTTGGTCGGGTCGATGCGGCCCGGGTTGTACTTGAGAGCCGGCCCGTCCAACACTTCGTTGGCGTCGAGGCTGCCGCCCTGGTTGGGCTTGTAGAGCTCCACAATGTCCGGGCGGTAGATGTAGGCGCAGCGAATGTTGCCTCCGGGCTGGCCGCCGTCCATGCCGTCCTCGGGCGCGACCTCGGCAAAGTCGTACCGAACGCCGCTGGTCTCGAAGATGCTCTGGGTCAGGATGGAGAGGGTCACGTTTGCGCTCACGACGCCGTCGTTGGTGGGGCCCGAGTTGTCCTGCACTTCTTGGAGGAAGATGAGGTCGGGCGTGCGCAGCTTGTTGACGATTTGGTCGACGACTTGGGGGAGGTGGGTGCTGGTCGGGGCGAGGTTCTCGGCGTTGTAGTCGGCGATGGTGAGGCCCTTGCAGGTGCCGGTGCTGGAGAAGCCGACGGGGTCGTGCTCGGCGGACGAGTTGCGGAGAGGGGTGATGTGGGTGAGTGGGAGGATGCGGTAGAAGCCAAAGGCGTAGTAGACGACGCCTGTGATGTCGCCATAGTAGTCTCCCATCTTGGTGTCGGAGGGTTTTTGCTTCCGTCCAGAGGGCTCCCGATAACGATGGTTTCGGGGTTGGCATCTGCGCGATTCCTTCGTGAGCTTTGAAATTATCAAGGAGCGTGAAGAAACGAAAAGAAAGAAAAACCAACCTTCATCAGACATGGTCACACCACCTTGCTTATTTTCACCAGTGACCTTCCAGTCTCCGCGGATCCAGACATCGCCGTACTGGTTAGGCCGGCTGACGCCATAGGCACCTTTCACGGTGACGAGTTCGCCCATGAGGCTCTCCCAGAAATCGAGCCCGTACTCCTCGGGCTGGAGCTTCGGGTTCGCGACGGAGATCAAAGAAGCATTGTTGGGCACGCCATACACGCCACCTTCGTCGAGGCTCGAGAAGGAGCTCGTGGGCGGGGACAGCGTGTCCTTGCCGATGACCAAGGGTTGGACCTCGTTCCCGGAGGAGAGGATGGTCACGCCGGTGGGGGAAGACAGCTCGGTAAGGAAGAGATAGTCCACGGCAGACCTATATCATTGGCGCGCTTTATGTTAGTGTGTTCGCTCTTTCGCCGTTCGAGGACAAGTTGTAATTAGCTGCGACCTACCTATACTCGGTCACCTTGCCATCCAGCGTGATGATATCCCCCACAGCTACTTGTTTCGCCGTGTTGCTACCAAAGACGTAAAGGCTCTCCGATGTCGTCACGTCATCGTCCGGGTTGGTGGATCGGAGGTAGATGCCAGAGCTAGTAACAGCAGTCACCAGACCTTCGAGACCCGTCACGGCCTTGCCATTGTAGGGCGAGATGAAGCGGTCACCGTTGATCTCGGCAATCGTCACCGCCACGGCGCCGGAGATCGCCGCAAATAGAGGCCCAACTGTCTTCATGATGTCCAGTCGTGTCCGGTGGCAAACTTGAACGAATGAGGTACGCGGCGTCTCCCAGAAAAGCTTCGCGATCTTCGAAGATCCTTCCTTTAGGTTACTACCACCCCTCTTTATATTCTCCCAGATACTACATATAATACCCACACACGCCGCAGGAACAGCGCGCGGAGGATGCTCCGGGATGCGGGATGTCAGTCGCGCACCCGCGACGGATGGGCGTATCTTTGGCGCACAGCAGATGTGACAAGCTACAAAAGAACCCCGCCGTGCACCAGTGAAAGCATTCCCATCCGCATTGTCGCAACGGTGGTGGGGTCACATCTCATTTCGCAGCGGGTTCAATGGGGTTCAATGGGGGCATTCTTGGTGCAATGTGCAGTTATATATCTCTTATCTATCCTCAAAGCGATACCGAGTCACTGGGCCTCTTCCCCTCCACAAACGTCCACTCGAGCGCTGTCGATCCACAGATCTTCGTGACCTCAGCACGTTGTCGCGCATGGGCCATCCACGGGTGTCCAAGGCCGGTCCATGCCCCCGTTTCTGCAAGTTGCCCCAGCCCAAGATTCCCTAAAGCGGGAACCAGTCTCCGCTCATCCCGACCCTCCGCAATCTCTCTCAATTCATCCAACTGCGTTCTTCCTCCAGGGATGGCCACAACCACGTTTTCTTCTGGGCTTCTGGTTTGCTGCGGATTGCATCTGTTGATGGCCATGGCAAGAAATTCGCCAATTGTTCCGATATTTTCGATTTGCGAGGTCGGACGCATTCGACGAGTCTGACAGGCCCGTCTGAAATTACCCTTGGCCAGGCCTCGGCGTAATCGCGCCCACGTGCGACGCGAAGAACGCACTTTTGCACATCTCCAGCGGCGCAAATTCCAATCGCAGCGCCGCGGACGCATGCCGAAGGAGGAAGGTAATTTAACGTTGTAGCCAATGCGGGTGGCGGCACCCAACCAAGGCCAACAACGAGCCTTTTTGATCCGCTTCAAGGTGGCAACCGGGAAGGAACCCCACTTGAAGGTTGCCTCTTCTAATCAACAATTGATATGCAAAGAGAGGGAGCCGGAATAGCAGCAGAGGGGCGATAAATGTACCGCTGCCAATGCGTTGAAAGAAAAGAGGTTCCTCACGTTGCTTGTGGAGTAAAACCCCGGCACCCAGGCCAGATAAGACAGCGAATTTTCCAAGAGATCAATCTTGCCCTTGCATTAATCAAATTTGAAGCTGTTATCATTCTCGTGGGGCAAAGAGATAGACTGACGACGAAAGACATGGGTAAACGAACGCTTTCAGAGCGAGGGAGCGCAGAACTTCAGAACTTGTGACGTCGTCCAAGTTAACTCTAGCCACTACATCTGGACATCAACCATTTATAGGAGATCAGAAAGACCTCGGTCCCTATTAGGTCCTTGATGCTTGCGATTTTATCCAAGCGACCCTTTCCATGACCATCCTGATGAGGTTGACATAGGGCAATCAGGAGGACAACCACATCTTCGGCCGATGAGGTGAGAATAAAAAAGAAAAATAAGAAAAAGACCCCAATATGCTCCCTCTTAGAAGGATGTATCCGATATATCTTAGCCAGCCAGTTATAAATACCTGCTTCCGAATTCCCGGGTTCACCATCGCTCATCTACCGTCCATCGATTGATATCACATGAGGACGGTCGAGTGGTTACCGCCTGTCTCCCTCCATACTAAAAGAAGCTGCCGGAGCATATCCTTTAAACAAAGGGCTTCCAGCGAGTCTAGAACTATAGTTAATAGGCGGCTTCATGCTACGATTTACAGATCATCGTTTGATGTAGGCTGGAACACTTAACCCCCATCTGAGAACAGGCGGCGTTGTTTGGTAGGGTTGAACGAGCCACTGGTTCGCACTTTTGTCGCCACTGTCAGTTTAGTCTCCTCTATGGGAAGGAAAAATAATATAGTAAAAGGTCTCTCGTTTTCCTGCCTGCCTTTGAAATGCCGCAGATGGGTGTTTCTGTTGATTGGAGTAATCGGAGTAGCAACGGCGTTAATATTAGAGCTGCGGAAACATATCTCGCGTTCAAGCAAATGGGTAACTTCACATGCTCAAGCGCTTCCTCTATTAAACAAACAAGGGAAGACAAAAGGCGGCTTATCAATGGTTTAAGTCATCAGTGTTCAATTCTGATATCTCAAGTTGCCAAGTTGCCTACACGAAGCTTACAAGGCAGAATTTTCTATGGCAGCCAAGAACGCAGGGAGCCACAGCGCTTTTAGCTCTCACTTTATCTTAGTAGAGCCCATCGAAACGAGACGATACAGAATCAATATTTATCCACATCGATATATCCTTATATATATAGAATCAGCGGTTCAAAGTTTGATGCACAATGTGACCAACGTACACCCTTGGCCCCAGGGCAAGGCGTAACTATAAGGTATGTGGTTGGCGTGGCATATTCCTTCGCGGTTGGCATAGCAAATCGATATCTCCCTGCTGGAGATGCTCCCAGAGTACCCCTAGAGGTGTGGGATGGAAAACCACGCGGAACCACAAGGGCCTGTCCAACGACCAGGAGCGAGGACCCAGCATTCAAGGCTTCTTACATTCGGGTATAGTGCAGTCAAGCCTATATGCAAGGAGTTTACTACATCACAGATGACTTTTATCTACATTACTGCACAAATGTCTTAGATAGTAATTTTCTATTCCCCTCCGGATTTCCAGCTGACATTGAGCTTCTTTAAGCTTGACATGCCTCCTAAAGGACCAGCAGTGGGCGGAATCGTAGCCCATCTCTCGCAACAGACGGGAGGAACTACAACCCAGCGGGCAGTTTCCAGGCGAACCACGTGGATAAAACCGGAGCAACCTCGCCTCGCACTCACCGCCCTCCTTTGCCCTTCAGCCAGCTCCCCTACCAATCCACCGGTACCAGGGGAACCGATGGGACCGAGGCAAAGGCACACTAACTACTTTCAGGTCTGTGTACGGAAAGGGTGACCAAGATCCCACCTCTCACCTCTAGAGAGGAAATCAAGCTCTTGGCTGGCCGCTTGTAACTCGGTCGCTATAGACACCCCACGCCTTCGCTTCTGCAGCCCTACCGTTCCCGTCTCGATCGCCGACGGTGGACGCTGCAGGCTAGCTAGATCCTCTGCAGAGATGTGGCTGCGAACCCTTTGGGTGCACACCTCTGGGTAAAGTTGGAGAAGCACACGGACAGCTCAGGTCCGGACGTTTAGCAAGGTATATACATTCACACCTTTAGCCTCACACAATCACGAAAAAGGAGGAGTTACGAAATCTTGTCCCAAATGTTTACGTTATCTATATCCGTCTATTGATTATCCCATGATATGATACAAAAAGCACAAGCAGGCAAGAAAATCACCCTTGCCTAGCGGCATCAAGCGTCACCTTGTTCTTCGTGATGCTGTCAATCTCGTCCATGATCTCCGGGGTAAGCTTGTCCAGGATCTGGAGGGAAGCAATCGTCTCCTCGAGCTGCTCGGGGCGGCTCGCGCCCGTAATCACGCTGCTGACGTTGGGGTTCTTGAGGCACCACGCAATAGCGAGCTGGCTCTGCGAGACGCCCAGCTTGTCGGCCACGGGCTTGAGGTTGCGCACCGTCTCAATCTCCTGCTTCCAGTCGTCCGTGCCCATGCGGTCCCTCATGAAATCCGCGAACCCGTCCTTGCTCGCGCCGAAGCGCGAGTCGGCGGGCGGGTTCCCGTCGACGACGTCGTTGTACTTGCCCGAGAGCAGGCCCATCTTGATGGGGCTAAAGGTGGTGAGGCCGAGCCCGACGCGCTCGTAGAGGCGCTGGAACTGGCCCTCGACGCGGTCGCGTACGAGCATGTTGTAGAAGGGCTGCTCTACAACGGGGCCGATCATCCTGAGATCCTTGGCGATACCGACCTAAGGGGGCGAGGGTTGTGAGCGGCCGAGATCTTGGATCTTTGCTTTCGCAAAAAGAAAATGGGAAGGAGAGCCATTTAAGCTGACCGGCTTGTTCGGGTTCAAACACTTACTGCTTCAGTAATCTCATCGGCACTCCATTCTGAAGTGCCCCAGTAAAAGGCCTTGCCCTGGTCGATGACGTGGTTAAAAGCCCTCACCGTCTCCTCCATCGGGGTGAGCCTGTCAGGACGGTGCGCGTAGACAATGTCCACGTACTTGAGCTGGAGACGCTCCAAACACGCATCGAGGCCCTCGATGATGTGTTTCCGGGACAGGCCATGGTTATTGACGAGAATCTCGCCGTTTGCAGCACCATAGTTGATCTCTAATCGAAATTGAACGAATCCAAGCCGTTAGTGTTTTTGCCCAAAGGATGGTCTTTTTGGCTAGCAACTTTTGGGGCCCAACGAAAAAAAAAAAAAAAAAAAAACTCACTTGTGCTAATGACGAGATCACTGCGCTTCCAGCCAAAGTGCTTGATGGCCTTTCCTACCACAATCTCCGACTCGCCCGCGGTATAATTCTCGGCGGTGTCGAAAAAGTTGACCCCGAGGTCGTACGCCTTCTTCATGCACGCAAACGCCTGCTCGTCGGCCGCGTAGCCGCCAAACGTCATCCAGCTGCCGAGGCCGATGGCGGACACGTGCAACCCGGACTTACCCAGGCGACGGTAGACCATGCCAGTCTTACGAGGTTCTTCGAACGCCATCTCGAACGAAAATGATGCAATTGCTTAGGGGTGAGGTGATAGTGGGGGAGAGGGGGGAGACGGGCGGACAGGGAGATTTTTAGAGGATGGTTGGTGCGTGCGAGCGGTAATGTCTCCAAGTACAGAATGGCAAGGCGGGCCCCTGAAGCAGAAGAAGGATAGGAAGAGATTAAAGCCCAAAAAAGAGAAAGTCGCGATTGGGGAAAATACTTCGTAGGTGCAAGTCGGCCCACGAAAAGCTACCCAAGTTCCTGTTTGTGCAGGGGGAAGCCTTTTAGAGGTCGGCGAGGGTTGGCGCGAGGACCATGTCTGGGATTGGCCCCGGAGAAATTTTCGGACCTCCCAATTTTTCGGAGGGTGCGCGGAGTGTGGCCGGGGGTGTGGACTTGGGCGAAAAAGAGGGCGAGGGAGAAAAGTACAAGAGAATGTCAAGCCACATTCTGTTTGCGAGCGGAGGCGAGGGTTTCCCTGCTGCTCGGCAATCCCCGCATGGAGGATTCGCCCCTCCCCTCCCCACCAACAACAGATGCCTTTGGGTTTTTGTGTTCCTTTCGTCTGTTTTTCGCGGTCGGGGCTCCAAAGGGATCGATTGGGAGCTAGCGCTGGCTCCGGCGCTGGATTACCCCAGCGAGCCAATATAAAAAAACGAGGTGGGACCCCTTGTGGGTTTGGGGAGGATCGTCTGCCATTACGCCTATTGTGGATTTAGTGGCGTCATCTGATCAAGACCCCGCATTCCCCATCCGTGTTCATGGCCAGGAGTTCGTCGAGCGTCTCCCGGGTATCTATATCCAAGAGGATACGAGTAAACGGCGACGGCGATCGAGCCAAGTTCCCCAGGTCGAGCGTGAGCCATGGCATCTGGCTCAGGTCATCTTCGCGTCCCGGCTGCTGCTGCGCGGCGGGCGCCGACAACGTGGCCTGAGTCGGCAGCAGTGGCGTCGCGGTGGCGGTCAAAGGCATCGACGCGAGCAAGTCGTTGGACGCCCAGATGCTGCTGAGATCCTCGGGGTCGATCGCCGAGGGCCCGCCGAGTGGCGCGGCCTGGCGCTGGACTTGCACCATGTAGGGCTGGAACACGGTGGCTGTGGCGGGCGAACCGAAGATGGCGCCGAGCCGCATGTTCAAGCGAGATAGGAGTTTATTGTTGCCGCCTCGGGACGACGAGAGCATGTCCCGGAGGGAGAAGAGGGTGTCGGCCGTGCCGTCCACCGAGATTCCGGGGTAGTTTTTCGACATGGCGTCGATGACCGTGGTCGCGATCTCAAAGGTTTTGAATTCCTAGCAAATAGTAGAATCAAATTAGCATTTCGTGAATTTTTCTTTTTTCAAGGGCGGTTGTTTCAGCAACATACGAGGGTAGCACCGTGAGATTCGAGCGCGGCGGGCGGTATGCGAGACACAAGAGACAAGAACTCGCGCGCAATATTCACCGGGTTCACCGTAGGACTCTGGATCCCCAGCTTGAACGCGGCACGCGACAAAATAGCCCGCATCCACTGCCGCGTGAGGAAGACGTCGGCGCGTTGCACGTCGTTGCCCGAGCCCCAGTCCTCGTCCGTGATGGACTCTTGCAGCTTCTGTTGCAGGATCTCCATGCACGACTGCACCAGCGACCCGGCCTGCGCCGTGTTGGGCTCGGCGTCTTGGAGGATGCCAAAGATGCCCGAATGGTCAAAGATCCAAAATAGGTGCACGAGCTTGAGGAAGGCGGGCAGGATCTGCGAGCAGCCGTCGGCGGCCCCCGTGCTGGGGAAATGGATATTGGGCTTCAGGATGGGCGGTAGCTTGTGTAATAGAGCAACTCCGCTAAGGGGGTGGAGCAATATATCGTTAGCTTTCTTCACACTTTTCATCGTTTATAGTGGTGGCATTTTTGAAGATTCTACGGCACGCTACTTACCGCTCGGTAACAAAGAGGAGCCATAGGACGCGGCGGCAGATTTGCTGCTCAGCATGGGGTAGCAAGAGGTACGACGACTCGTGCTCCAAGCGCAGGATTTGCGCCTGGGTGATGGCCTCCCGCAGGTACAGGAGAGATTTGGCCCCGCCGGCCGTGAGGTTCTCGTGGTAGATGTGCAAAAGAAGGAGGTGCGGAGATCGTCGAGCAGATCGGCCGTCTCGCCGGCATCGAGCCGGTTGATGGCCTCCGGGTCCGGCCGCCACGCCGTCTTGAGGTTCAGCTGGGCCGTGGTCGCGAGGGCGACGGCATTAGCGAGGCGCAGGGAGCTCGCGTGGTCCGGGTCCACGACGAGGGTCTGCTTGAGCTTGGAGGTGTCGATGATGGGCCACACGGGGAACAGCCGCGAGGCGTAGACGTCGATGACGGAGAGGAGGTGGTAGATGCTGTTCGCGGCGAGGTGTAGGGTGGGGGCGAGGCGGACGACGAGGAGGAGGACGAAGGGGAAGACGAGGAGGAGGCGGGAGAGTGAGATGCGCACCCGGCGACGTGGCCCGTCGTCGCTGCCGTGGTGGCCAACGGCTTCGTTTCGGGGAGAAGATGTCGGGGATATGGAGTGCCTCGCGGGCCCCGCGCCCTGCGACGGCGGCTGTTGCTGTTGCTGTTGCTGCTGCTGCTGCTGCTGTCGCTGCCTTTGCCGATTGAGCTGAATCTTTCTATAGTCCCAGCCCGAAGGCCTCGCGGGCCGCGCTGCGCCTGCACGTGGGTAAAGGTACATTCGATGCCCGCCGTCACGCACCCGCTGCAGGAGCCACCTCGGTGCACCGGATTTTGCGCACCTTGCACGAGTCGCACGCTCGTCTCGCGAGCTTCTGCCGCGCTGTCTTGGGGCGTGGCATGGTTGGAGTTGGTGCGTTGCTTGCTTGCTTCTTTTGAGGATGGGGAAGGGAAGGGGAGGGGGGAGGCCTTTGCCTTGTCCCTTGTCTTGTGGTTTGTAAAATCGATCAATGTGTTGTGCTTCCTCTCATAGTGGTTTATTTTCTTTTTTGCGTGGGTGAGCGCGAACCTCGAGCCTGCTTTGCTTTGGTCCTAACCCCCTTGTCTTTGCTACTTGTTTTCTCCACAAACTTCTTTCCCAAAGTAACCTCTCCCCGCCTCCTTTCATAGGCGGAGGGCAGGCGAGTCTATTGTGCGGGCTGGGCGGGGCTGGCTAGCCAAGCGATGTCGAGGTTATCTAATACGGGAGACTATCAAAAGGAGAGGAATGCAGAAGCAAAAGAATCTACAAAAAAAGAAGAAAAAAAAGGCCGTGGTGGGGAGAAAGAACGGAACAGAGACGACAAAAGTGGTGGCTCTCACGACGGCAAACGCGACGGTAACCACCGAAAAGCGCACAAGACAAGACTTTCTGGGGACGGGAATGCAGCACGGAACAGACGGTCACTGAAAACCTGGGTTCGCTGGCGTAATCCCAGGGGTACCCTGCGTGGGTGTGCGCCCCTGGTCCTTGGGACTGGACCGGCCGGCTTGTGAAGGGATCAATTGATCTGGTCCTGGCGACTAATAATACTACGTAGATGCACCAAACTGGCGATTGATCCCTCCCCCACCAAGCCAGTTCGCTGGAATCCCCAAGGACTTGCAAAAACCCCAAGTACAGTACCTGTCTCACCAGGCTCACTGCTCGCCCTCAACTGCAGCGAGACGAGTGCCGGTTAACCACCATCTTGCCCCCTGCGACCTATCCACCACTCTTCCTCGGCACGGTCTAACCTCCTTTCGTCCCCCTCTCCCCATCGCGGCGGAGAGAGGGGAAAAGGCCGACTCCTAGTGCAGCAGACCAATCACGGGAAAGATGGAGTCATGCTCACTGTCCCACTTCTTCTCACAAAAATCCCCCATGTCTGGTTTGCTTTCTCGTAAGCGAACGGGCCCCCTTTTTTCTCTTCTCTCTCCTCTTGTCCACAAATCTTCGCCTATGGAATACTTCCAAGACAAAACCAAGAATACTCTAATTGGCGGGTCGGATTGTGGGGTTCACGCTAGAACTAACCGAAAATGTCGGAGTCGCAGAGTGGAATAAAACGCGGCAATATCAATGTGGAGCTAGGACACGACGACCTGTAAGACACTTCGACACTAGGATCAATCAATTGCACTAGGCTAGCTGGCTTCTCTCATGGCGTATTTGCTTTTTTCTTTTCTTAAGGGGTAGCCCCCGTTTCTCAATTACACTAAAAGTTGACATTGACCCATCAAAGCTTCATATTTCTTCGTTTCCGTTTTGCCCGACTCCTCTTCTCTCGCTTATTTGGGGGCAAAAGCTATACCCGCTCCGCTCACTGTGCTCGGGTTTTAAGCGTCGAGCGCCGCCCTTCGTCCAGTGCTGCTGGGGTCCAAATAAGGCGCCTCGCCGAGGCTGCACACGCGATCGCCCGCCCTAGCGGCGTCGTAGTCGTACGTAGCACAGTGGAAGGTGGACCTGTTGTCCCAGATGGCCAAGTCGTTCTTGGCCCAGCGGAACCGCACCTGGGCATCGTGGTTCTGGGTGACGAGGTTGAAGAGGTAGTTGAGGAGCAGGTCGCTCTCGTCCCGGACAGGCCGTTGATGCGCTTGGTGAAGCCCTTGTTCACGTAGACCGACTTCCAGCCCGTCACGGGGTTGGTGCGGATGATGGGGTGCACCGCCGTGAGGTTGCCGCCCTGGTTGAGGGGAGAGCCGCGGATACCCTCGCGAAGGGGGTTCCCGAGACGCCTGGCCTCGTCATGGAAGAAGGAGGCATCGTGAGTGGCGGTCAAACCCTCAAAGAGCTGCTTCATGGGCTCCGAAAGACGATCATAAATCTCGTAGCCCGATGCCCAGAGCTGCAAGCACACAGACACATGCATTAGTCTCACGGAGTATTCAAGAACCTTATAATAGCGGGCGAGGCTAGAGTGGGGGAGGAGGGGAGAGAGAGGGAGGGACCCCCAAAAGGGCAGCAGATTTTAGGGGGGCAGGGAGGAAGTGAAGAAGGGGAGGGATCAATAAAAAAATGCGAGGTCCAGAAGAGGAAAAGGTCACGTACTGTATCACCACCCGTTTCGGGCAAGGTGTGAATCTTGAGCATGGCATAGTCCGAAGGCACCTTCTCGAACGTGCTAAACCAAAGGGGAAGAAAGGAAAATGTCAGCAGGCACTAAAATGAAGAAGGATTAAAGTTCACCCGTCGTGTTGGTCTTGGTCTCCCCTCCCACGAGGTTCCCCTCTAGGATTAGGAGGAGGGGGAGGGGGGCGGACACCCGGCGGGAGAAGGCATGGAAAGAAAGAAGCAAAGAAATTGGACAAGGGAGAGAGACGCTTACATGTCGCTGTGCCATCCCGCGCTGGCGAAGCGAGACACGTCGCTGAGCTGGTGGGTCAAGCCGCCGCCCTTCTTCTGCTTCTCGCTGGAGATGACGCTGATCTGGTCGCCCAGCTCGCTGCCCTCCTCGGTGAGCGGGTGCACGTGAAGGCCCGAGCTGGCGGGGCAGCCACCGGCCTCGGTGAGCCGCAGCATGAAGTCCTTCATCTCGCTCGGGGTGACATCCTGGTCCTTGAGAAACACGACGCCGCGCTGGGAAATGAGCGAGGCCATGTCCCGGAACACGGCTTCGTCCTCTTCCTTGAGGATGGCGCGGATTTGCAGGCCGTAGATCTCGCGGCCAATGACGGGCGTTACATCGGCAAAGGTCTTGATATACTTGTCCAGGGCGCCGCTGTACGTGATCGGGGATGAGAGGCGTGGCCGGCTTTCCGCGTGGCCGCCGACCAGGTTGGAGTCTTGCACGGTAACGGAGGGCATCTTGGCGTCAGAGAGAGAGGATCGGCGCTTTGGTTTTTTTCGATTCCCAAGATTTCCGAGGAATGGGAGGGTAGCAGTGGGAGAGAGGAGAGATAAGTGCTGGCGAAATAACAAAGATGCCTGCGCTACTATGCAGTTGATGGTGGTTTGCGACAAGGGATAGGTGCAAGGGGGTGGTAGTCCAATGTATTTTTGAACAACCGGGACAAGACGGTTCAGTGGGGGAAGGGAAGCAGGAAGAGGAACTGCTGTAGCCTGTGAAAGCGAGCTGGGACCAATCAACAGTGCAGAGTGGGGGAGTAGTACTTGGCTGTTTTGGGGATTCGTCTTTTCTGCAAGTGATTGCTTCCAACGGACAGACGTGTTTTGCGAGATACAAGCGGAGCGAAACTGCGAGGTTGCAAAGACAAAAATAAAAACGAACAGGGCTTGATTTCTCTTGGGAAAGTAGCAGCGGTCTAAATATCGAATCACAGGGCCCAGGAAAGACGACATCCGGCCTACTTATGACAAGCCCGTCCCTAGCCATGCCATCCTAGACCGGAGGTGGAGGTGCTGGAGAAAATCTCGGAGAATGAACCCATCACCCCACAACGCCACACCTGCACGGTGGATTGCCCGAGGGTGCGCTAGTGCGCTGCCGAGGACCCAATCCAGGGAGCATCACCGGGTGTCGCTTCGGAGCCAAAGTTGGCCAGGCCAGCGCACTGCCAGGGAGAAACCATGGAGGACAAGACAAGACCCCATTTCACGTCCGCCAGCCAGGCTATTTTTCCACCGAGCCCAGCTCCGCACCGCACCACTCCAGTGCTCACGCTCCCAAGTGAGCAGACGACGGAGCAGAAGGCCCTCCCCTCCCCCTTTCCCCCATCGAACATCGGCGGCCGAGAGGGCGTTTGACTAGCTCGGGAAATGCCCCGGATTGTGTGCTTGAAATCCCTGCAAACTACCCTGTGGAGATTTTGTGGAGAGGGAACCGGACCAGCTGCCATTGCCGTGGGATTTTCTCGAGCCATTGCCTTTTGTTTTTCGTCCATGATCCAAGCTTTCGCCTTGTCGAATTTCGAGCTTCACTACGCTGCGTCTTGTATATATTATCGCCGGACGACCTCTCTCGTCTCTGGTCCACTTTTTTCCTCCTTCTCGTGCTATCTCCTCTCTTCATCTTCTCACCCTTGGCCGCCGCAAAGGGATCCTCGTGAACCCTTTCTCTTAGCAAAAGAACTTGTTTGTTTTTTGTTCACGGCACCATCCACATCTTCCTCTCCCCTCCTCCACTCCTTTCTCTTCCTATCCACCTTCTCCCCCAAGACCAGCGTAACAGGGTGCCATTCCTCCGCTTTTTCGCCATGAGCAAAGGCGACGTCGAAATCGCGGCCCCGTCCCTGGAGCGGACCTCGGACGTCGACAAGGGCAGCGTCGCGGTTGGTCGCCAGAACCTCCATGCCGCCGTCGCGCCCCACGCCTCGTACGAGGGAGGTCACCGATGGGATCCTTCCGCCACTTGGTCGCCCGAGGAGGAAAAGGCCGTCATCCGTAAGACGGATCTGAAGCTGCTCACATGGCTCTGTATCATGGTATGTTTATGCACCACACACAATCCGCACTAATGCCCCTTCTCTCCGCCCCTTTCCGTTGCGTCTTAGGGGTTGGACGTTATTCCTTTTTTTCCGTCGATTATTTTGTAATCAACGGAGAAATAAAAATGGGAGCTCGAGGCGTCTTGACCCTGGCACAATTAGCGCCTGCACGACATGCGCCGCCCTGCTGGGCAACGGATCTAATCATGCCCAGCTTCCAACGGTTTTTCTAACGAATGTGCGTGTAATAGTTCTTTGGCCTTCAACTCGATCGAGGCAATCTGAGCAACACCCTCGCGGACAATTTTCTCGATGACTTGGGCCTCACCACCGACGATTACAACAACGTAAGTAGCCACCACTACATTTTTGAATCGCGTCGCAAGATTTGCGCAAGTAAACCTTTGCTAATTTTTTTCCATAATAGGGTACCACCATTCAACTCGTGTGCTTCCTGGCTGCCGAGTTCCCTGTTCAGTTCTTGACCAAGCGATATGGCTTCAAGCACATTCTGCCCGGGGTAAGGACTTTTCCCAGCGCGAAAATACAGGGTCCTGAATCGTAAACTAATTCGTCTTTTTCTTCTCTTTCAGCTCATGGTTGGCTGGGGTCTTGTCTGTAAGTTATACTATCCCAAGAAAAACAAAAGTTGCCCTCCAAAAAAAATTCGCAAACGCTAACCTCCCGCGCGAACCACAGCAACGTTCCAGTGCTTCATCCATGACCGCACCTCGTTCTACGTGACCCGCGCCTTCATCGGTCTCTTCGAGGGCGGCTTCATCCCCGGTGCCATCCTCATGGCCACCTACTTCTACACCTCCCGGGAGCTGTCCGTCCGCCTCGCCGCCTTCTGGTCCACCCTCAACGTCGCCCGCGTCATCTCCGCTCTCCTGGCCGCCGGCCTCTTGGAGATGCGCGGCGTCAACGGTCGCCCCGGCTGGTTCTGGCTTTTCCTCCTCGAGGGCCTCCTCACCGTCATCCTCGGCCTCATCTCCTTCATCTGGCTGCCTCTCTCGCCCACCGCCACCAAGACTCTGCTGTGGCGCAACCCGTGGTATACCGAGCGCGAAGAAGTCATCATGATCAACCGTATCCTCCGCGACGACCCCGCCAAGGGCCTCACCGCCATCACCGAGCCCGCCACCTGGGCCGACGTCAAGAACACCTGGTCCGACAAGTCCCTCTGGGGTCTCTTTTTCATCGGCCTCATTGCTTACATCCCCGCCACCCCCGTCCAGGCGTACCTCACCCTCACTCTCAAGCGCGTGGGTGGTTTCACCACTCTCCAGAGCAACCTGCTCACCGCTCCCTCTGCCGCGCTTCAGATCGTCACCATGTTGGCCCTTGCCTACAGCTCCGAGTTCTTCAACGAGAGAGCCTTCCACTGTCTCTTCGGTGAGCTGTGGTGCCTTCCCCTCTTCACCGCGCTCCTCACCCTACCAGACGGTGGCCGCGAATGGGGACGTTTCTCCCTCGTCACCCTCATCTCCGGTTACCCCTACTTCCATCCCATCGTCAGCTCGTGGATCTCAGAAAACACCTTTGACGTCAAGAAGCGAGCTATTGCCGCGGCTACGTATAACGTCATTGTTCAAATGTAAGTTGAATCAGTTGCCTCAGCCTGCACCTTGGTCGTCATGTCTGCAGCCAGAATTTCGCAATCTAACAAGTTCTATAGTGGAAGTTTGATTGGTAGCCAGATCTACCGCAAGTGGGATGCCCCGTACTACAAGACGGGCAACAAGGTCCTGGTTTCCATCCTTGCCCTTGCCATCGTCACCTTCATTATCCAGCGCCAGTGGCTCATCCACCTCAACAAGAAGAAGGAGAACGCTTGGGACGCGATGACGGCCGAGGAGAAGCTTGAATACCAGACCAACCAGGAGGCCCGTGAGAAGGACGGAAACAAGCGCCTGGACTTCCGATTCCAATACTAATCATGGACCTGTCTCCCTTCCCAGAGTCCGAAAGCAAAGTTGCGGCAGGGCTTCTCACGGAACCGGAGCAGCTTCCTTGTGAAACTGGCGCTGATTCGGGAATCTGGGACTCGTTTTTGTTACATCTCCTCTGTCATAATAATATTCTCAGTAGCGGCTTTTCTACAGTTTGCGTCTTATACCTCTCTCATTCTCAGATAATCTTATTTCTTTTTTTTTCTTATGGCTCCAGTCTCCTCGTGTACAGATTGATCATTAGAACCGTGATGTGATGTAACTCGAGCAACAAAGTAATTCTTAGCGGCCTCTCCGACCAAAAACCGCTTACCCCGCACTTTCTCCTCCCCAAGACGTTGCCATGTCCACTCAAGGCACAGATCGGAACGCGCGTGGCAAACTCGCCAGGACGATCATCAACAATGTCATCCCGACGATCCTCAAGGGAAACCCCGTGCGCGGCGCGGGGTCGACGCGGTGCAGCGGATCTCGGACCCCGACCCGCTCGCCACGCCTACGCCTCCGCGACCGAATGCCACCAGCAGCTCTGTAGCAGCTCCCCATCCTAACCCAGCCAGTGGCGAGGAGCAACCACTCGTAAACCCAGGTTTAGCACTTTTGCCACCAACCTCAAACCCCCAAACAGCCATGTAGCTTCTGCAGCGCCGGGACCGGGGACGCACCTTTGCTCGCCGTCCTGATGATCGCCGACACACTCGAGGCCGCGGCGCATATCCGCAGCACGCACCTCACGCTCCCGCATCGCCGCCAACCTCGCATCGCCGTGCTCAACATGGCATCCCCTTACGTCCGGGCGGCGGAGTGCTGTCTGGCGCGACGTCCCAGGAGGAGTCACTGTGTCGTCGCACCACACTATACCCTTCACTCCGCGAAGAATTTTACCGCCTCCCCGAATACGGTGGTATTTACTCCCCGACATCCTAGTCTTCCGCTTGGACGACGACATGCCTGCCAAGGGAAGCGCGCAGAAGGACTGGTTTTTCGTGGACGTCATCACGGCAGCGATGCACCGGCTCCCGAAGTAGACGAAGCTGGCGAGGAGAAGCAATACGCGCGACAGTCGGACCGGGAGGCGGCAGTGAAGAAGATGACCGCCGTGATGCGCATGGCTACATCGAGAGGCGTCGATCATCTCGTTCTAGGTGCTTGGGGATGTGGCGCATACGGTAATCCCGTGGGGAAATCGCCAGGGCGTGGAAAAAGACGCTGCTCGGGAGCACAAGCAGGAAGCGGGCGGCGCTCGCTAGTGTCGGTGCTGCAGATGCGGATGCAGGGGCATCTCATATATGGGGCAACATCAACATTTATTTTGCCATCAAAGATGCAAAGATGGCGGATTCCTTTGCGGAGAGCTTTGGGCCTGGGATGAATAGATTGGAATAGGCTGCGAATAGCGAAGGCACAGGAGGCTTTAGATATGCGGATGGAGATGCGATATTTGGAATGCGAGCCGAGCCCCAACTTGTTTTCACACTTCTTTTCTTTCCTTGCTTGCTACCCTTGCTTTTGAATTGCCGACTCGGCAAACCCCCAACACTCGATGACATTCGAATCCCTGCATGTCGGTCCATCAGGCCGTGGTAATCAATCAGGTGCCATGAGCTTTACATGCATCGATATCAAGGGGCCGCCAAGGGAAAAGGTGCGCCAAGAAATTGACAGCGCGCGCACGTATGCCTGATTAGATTCTCTACCTGAACGACTAGTCTTTGGCTTATCATGGGGTGAGGAGATAGATCTTGAGAGCTGATTTGATTTTTCAGCAACACCCTCCTCGGAGAAGCGCATTTCTACGCCATGTTGTTGAGACAAGGCTAGGGCTGAAAACACCCCGGCCGAGCACCCGGCCCTGATTGGAAGACGAAATGAGCTTATGCTTGACCTAAACCCTCTCCGATCGAAAGAGCAATATTATCTAGCCATTTTTCGATTTCGCAAAGGGGCTTGGATCTCTTGGCGCGTCATTAGCTCTGTGCTCGCCCTTTCAGCGTCGATAAGTGAAGCCATCTTTCTTATCTGCCATGATCTCGCCGCCCGACTGACTGCCCATGGGCCTGGATTCTCTTTTTTCAACGACTCTTCCCCTCCCAGTCGCCGGGTTTGAGCTCAGTCGTTGCTGTTGCTGTCACGCCGCCCCAGAGTTTCTTCCCGCCCGCGATTTGAGTTTCCCGAAATCACCGCCATGGAAAACGACTACAAGTGGTACGCAAAATATGTAGCCGAGCTCGCGTCCAGCGCCTTGGTGGACCAAGCCATCGAGGCCCCCTCGCGATTCACCACCTACGACTCTCCCGCATCGGGCCGCGTGGTCATTGCCGACGCGGACATCGCGCCGATTTTCCTCGCCGCCGTCACCCTCAGCATCAGCATCTTCATCCCTCTCCTCCTCGCCCGGTTCCCGCGCGTCGTCGCCATCCTCTGGTGCTACCTTCGCCGCGTACGCCCCGGCGACGACGGTGCGGCGGAGGCGGCGAGCGCAAAGGCCCACGGAGCCCAAGGCCAGACCCCGTCCCATCTCCCCTCGTGCTCGCGAACAGCGGGCTATTCCTCAGCGACGCCTATGGCTCCGCGGTAGCCTTTGTTCATAACCTGAAAAGGTCTCGGGGATACACTGCGCTGACGTACCTGGCATTCTCTCTGTTCTGCCTCGCCGCCGCCGCCTTGGGCCCTCTGGTGGCCCTCCTCGTCTCCCGCGAGGTCGACAACGGGTTCCAGGGGCGCCAGTCCGGAGCGTGCATGGCGCAGATGAATTTCAGCGACGGCGCGGAAAATCTCGTCGCCCGCTCATTCGACCACCACGCGCGATCCTACGAGCTGCTCCCTGGATTTCCACCTTTCGCTACTCGTGGACGGAGGAGAGCACAGTCTACACCGACAACGCCGTTGTCGAGGATCCTGTCTCTCAGGTGGTGTATGAAAAGCTGGACGGATGCCTCCTGGAGGACGAGGCGCTTTGCGATGAAAGATTTCCCCAGACGCACAAGGTGTCGGTCGACCTCTCGCCCGCTCGACTCGGCCTGTGGTACGATCCGTCTTGGAGTCTCAGCATGGAGGGCTACTGTCTCCGCCTCAATTCGACTTCGATATGGTCACGACGAAGGAGGGCCTCGAGCTACCAGTACGCCCTCCACTTCGCGCCCGGTGCCGTTCGATTCGCCGAGCCTCTTTCCGACATATGCCCGTACGCCACGGATGCCGCCGAGACGTGGTACCTCGGCCAACGAGACCGGCAACGCTTCAACCGGAGGAAGAGCGTGGTGACGGATAGTTATTTCGTCAACGCGGATAACGACACGACGTACCCGTGCTATACATGGCCCAACTCTGTGCGGGCCCTGAACGCGGACTCGATAACCATATTGACAGTGCTCCCTCCTCGGGAGGAGATCAACCAGAAAAATGGAGACGAGTTATACCTCACGCCACTTCCTGATGATCAGTTCGAGTATACCCCGGACCAGGTCGCGCACATCATGTGCTGGGAGCACCTCTCCGTCAAGACGGCATCCGGGACATTCAAAACATCCGCCACGTGGAATAATCGCTCCGAGCTCATCGCGGCGCACAATCTACCAACCGGACTGAACCCCCTTCTCCACATGGCAAATACCGAGTTCGTCGTCAAGCCGGTGCGATATCTCCGCGGCTCCTCCTCTCTGCTGCAGAGCATCGGCGAAACTCCGCGATGGGAGTTCGACCCCACAAACGCTCCGCCCGTCCCATTCGCCGCCGAGGTCCATCGTTGGGCTCACATCGGCGCCATGGATATCGCCAGCAAGTCGACGAGAGCAACCACCGGCTTCTACGCTCGCGGAAACACAACCGCACTCGAGTTGGCACGCGGCGAAGCTGCCGCTGCCCAGTCCAACCCCGAGCTTGCCGAGCTCTGCGACATGGTGCGGACGGTGAAGGAAGGAGCGGTGTCGATGCCCGTCGGGGTATTAGTGGCTCTGGCCGTGCTGGTCGGCGTTTCGGTCGTGTGGTGGCTCGTCGAGCGGCTCGGAGTTATCCTCGCTAGTGCGGGCGTCTACGGCCCGGCGGGCATTTTCCGCGCATTCTTGATTATGCCGGCGGCCACTCCCGTCAGCCTTGCTGTCGCGGCGGAGACGGCGATTCTCAGAGCCAGGGGAGCAGGCGTCGTAGGCGATAAACCCCCTTCGGCCACAGCCAGCGGGCATCCTCAGGTCGATTATTCATCCCATAACGTTGAACCTGGCCCGAGTCTGGAGCAGACAGAAAGGGGTTGGGTGCTAACGTGGGGTCTCGCCCGACTCAGCGCAGCGGGTGCGAGAAAAGTTAAGATTCTCTAAGATTGGGGGATTTGAACTGGACAAGAGACGGGGAGGGGGCCAAGGAACTTTAGAGTACAACCTATTATGGAACCGGCTCTGGGCGGTTTGTGTTTGAGTAGCGACTAGGAGCATTTTTGTGCATACCCAACAAGAACAGCCAACTAATATCATAAAACTTTAATTTGAGCAAGCAATATTATTGTCTTCCGTTGCCTCTCTGTAACTAATCGACCTCGGCTGCGCTCTCGCAGCTCTCATTTCCGCCGTTCGGATCCTCCGGAAGAAAAAGACGAAGAAAAAAACATGGGGCAAGTGATCCTTCCTTTCAATCCGCGCCTCAGCAACTTTTGTTGAATGAGCCCAGGGTGAGAAAAAGGATTGACGTCGCCGCCGTCGCTGTGATTGCCCGGCTAGGTCGAGTGCTTGGTACCCCGCGAGAGCAGAGTAGTCCCTTGGGATTGGGTCGAAAGCATAGACCGGTTCCGTGCGGCGTGCGACATGTGCACACGAACAACGGAAGCGCCAGAGACTCGGATTCCGGGGTCAGCACTTCACCAGGAGAGGAAATTCTCGCGCGATCAAGAATTTTAAGCGATGCGTTGGAACACACGACGGACCCTTGCACCTTGCTCGATAATCTGAGTCCGGTTGGTCGTGCTGCATGCCAAACTCCAGCACTGACCCTTGATTTCGTCTGATCAAAAGCCCATTCAGCCTTCACCCTGCGCGCCAGCTCCCGAGGCACAGGGTCCAATTGTCGATGCTACGCTGCCCCAATTGACAGGATCTGCCAAGGATTTCCTCCCCACCACATCATTGGAGGAATTCCACCAACTCGTTGTGTTTCCCAACGTCGACTCAAGGCGGGAGGCTCTGAAACAGCCAAATTGGCCCACACTGACTCCTGTGCTAATCAGCCCGCCCTTCCAAACCTCTTCTCCCCTCTTCTATCCCCGAAGACGGTGCTGGACTGAGGGGAAGGCGAGACTCCCAAACATCATGGTCCGATTTCCACCAGTCTTTCTAGCGTGTGTTCGGGCAACCGCCTTAGTCAAAATGAAACTAATACTATTATGCCCCCGCCCTCTTCCTTTCGATTGCCCTCCCTTGCACAACCCTAGCCATCGCTTCATGGGATCCATCCTCTGGGAGTCTTTTGCAGACTGCAAGGGGAGACCCCAGCACCTAGAAAGGGGAACTAAGATTGAGGACGGGGGTGAAGTAGTTTCCTAGCGTAGGGCAGGATGTCAGAAGAGATGACTATATTATCATCAAATACCTCTGCAAAACTTCACCATGGGATTGGACTTTGATTCTTCTCCCTCTCCATCCGCCGTCGTGCAGTCATTCCTTTGAACTTGTTGTGTGTCTCCTTCGTTTGGAGTGTCCATTCTCTTTCGCTTCTCACTCGTTTATTTGTGTTATTACCAAATTCGTCTCCACGTTGTTGCCAGTCATCAAATCAAAAAATGAGACAATCACTCCCTTACCTTTCTTTGCTCCTGGCGGCTGGCGCTGTCGCGCAGTCCGGCTCTGGCTTGAGCGAGTCTTCTCTGGAGAAGCACAAGGACGCAACCACCCTTTCCCATTCTTTCAACCCCATCATTCCGGCATATTGGACCGGTTACCCTCACCACCGTCGTACCCCCTTTGCCGTTTCTCCGGATGGCGGCTCCGCCTACTTGGCCTACCTCGACTCGAGCGGGACCGGGGTCCACATCCAAAAGATCAACCCCACCACCTTTGCGGCCGTAGGCGCCGCCGTGACCATCTCGACCGGCAAGGAAGCCGGTGGCCTGGTCGCGCACAACGATGGCTTTGCCATTCTTACTAACGAAGTCTCATCTTCCAGCGGTTCCACCATTCCCATCCCCGTCATCTACCGGTTCAAGAACGGCCAGCAGGCATGGAAAACCTACATCGGTGGCCGCAACGTGGACAGTGACGGTGCCAACGCTTCGCCCGACATCAACGGCGACCTCGTCTTCTCCGAGAAGGCCGGTTACTACGCGGCTTACATCGTCGTGACGGCCTACGAAGGCTGGGCCAGCGGCCACTTTGGCGATGCTATCCGCTACCTCGATACCGACGGCAACATCAAGAACATTGCCGGAGCCTCCAGCAGCTGGGGCTGCTCCCACAACACGGGTATCGCCTTCGAGGCCGCTGATTCCGCCCCATTCGCCTCCATCTGCGCCGAGGACCAGGGTGCCATCTGGTTGAACACCAAGGGTCAAGGCATGTCCACCGCCGGGGTCAAGATCTCCAACGAAGTCACCATCAACGGTGGCAGCAACGAGCCCATGGGAGGAATGGGAGGCTCCTATAGCGCTCTTGCCAGGTTCATCGGCCAGGATTCGTACATCTTTTCTTGGGTCTCCCGCGGCGCCAAGGACCTTACACTGAACGAGTGGATGGGTAAGGGATACACCAAGTCGCAGAAGCGTACCAACAACCGCAATGTGGCTATTGCCCTCTTTTCCGACAAGAACACGATCGTCGGACAGCAGGCCACCTCCCAAGTCGGCGCCGCCGACGGCGACTCGCAGATGCGCTGGGTGACCGAGGGATCCAATGACTGCTCCAATGCCCACGCTGCTGCATTCGACGGTTCCAACGCCCTCATCACCTGGGAGGAGATTCAGAACCCCGTCTGCGATTTCGAGGCCATGGGCTGCAAGGGTCAATTTGCTGGTACTTTCTACCAACTGATTGATAACAAGGGTCAAAAGATTGGCTCTCCCGTCAAGTCTACCGACTCGTTTGTTGCCGGCGACATGGTCAGCATGACAGACGGCCGCATTTGCTGGCCTTATGTTAGCATGACATGGGACCTCAGCGGACCCGCGCGTAGCACCTCGTCCACCACCAAGATGTCGTTTGCCTGCATGTCTCGCGGTAGCGGCGGTTCAACGACTCCCTCTCAGAGCTCTTCCGCTTCTTCCGCGGCCTCCCCAACTTCTCCGCCTGCTGTTTCTTCGACCTCGGCCAATGCCGGTGCCGAGCCCACCGTCCCCACCACCACCGACGCAGTTGTCGCCCCATCCGAACCCGCGGCGCAACCCGAGGACCCCGCCGAGACCACCGCAGTGAGCTCCGCTGATGAGCAAGTGGCAGAACCCACCTCGATTGCCGACTCGAACCTACGGGCGCCGCCGAGCCACCCCCTCCGCGACCCAGGGCAGCACTACCACTGCCGTTGAGGCCGATGCTGACCCGGCTCCCACCGCTTCGTCTCCTGAGCCCCCGCTTCGAACCCCATCGTGGAATCGAATGGCCCATCGACCACCCTCGTTCCCGCCACTCGTCCCAACCCCGAATCGACTCGGGTTCCGTGCCCCAATGCTGGCCGCCGCGGACGTGGTGGCCGAGGCCGGGGTCGTCGTCGGGGTGGTAGGACCCAGAGTGCCCAGTAAGGGAGTGTAGTATTAAACTAGCGCTCGAAAGGCTGTATCGGAGTAGGCGAATACTATGGCCAGAGGCATAGTTCTTACCTTCAATTCTTCTATTCAGTTCTTGTACACAGTTTAGGTGGAACCTACGATATGAGTGGGGTCCAGCTCCCATATACAAAATAAAAAGGCTTTTCTATTGATGGACTTTCCCGTCTCCTCATATAAGGGACCGCGTCACCAGCAATTAGAACTTTCCATTGAAGTGACCTTGGACCGACGAAAGAAATCCCCTGGAATGTTATGATTAGTAAACTTGAAGACGCCCGCTTTCCAATCCCGTGTCGTTCGGTGGATGTCAATCTGAGATCGCCCTTTCCAGGGTTCATTGTCTCGGGGCCTAATGTGGGAATTCGCAGCCCCACTTTCCCTAAATGGCGCTATCGGTATATAAAAAGAACTGTCTCCCAACATTTTACATGCCCGAGGGGCACAAAGCCGCTAACGACAAGTACATCAATCCGACCACGACCAACGACTAGCCGCTGCCAGGCTTAAAGCGAGATTCCCATTTTCCGATATGGACAAACTCCCAGATGAGATATATGACAACATCATCTCGTTTCTATACAAGGATAGGGAACCATGGGTACTTCCATTCATGGCCGAGTGGACATACCGACCACGGGTCTCGGGCATCTGCACCATCTCCCCAAGGTGGCAACAAGCCATGGAGCGAAGAACCTTTAGAAAATTAACCATCACAAGCGATGATTTCAATGAGCTCGAGCGAATCGTCCACGGGAATCGCAGACTGGCCCTCCTGTCGCTCGATGTTGAAATCTTACTCCCCGCTATGAACATGACCGATGCTTCCACTATGAGACAGATGAGGACAGGGCTGCGAATGACAAGGCAACGGAGACGCACCTCCGACGTCTTTGCGAAGTATTGGCCGCCTGGGACACGGGAAGCTCCAAGATGAACCTTGGAATTGGGTTCGGTTCCCCATCGGATTTGGAAAACGACGATGAGATGTCTTGGAAACATCTCGAAGAGCAGCGGTACGCTGATTCTTTCCTTCGCATTCCGAGAATGCATGGCACGCTCGAAGTCAAGTGCGTTGGGGGCTAGCCATCGCTTCCTTGGGAGCAAGAAGAATGGAACTCGGAAGCTGCCTGGAGTTGACACTCCTCTTTCCTCTCGCCGCATCCGTCCTGTGGAATTGTCGCGAACCAGGCATCTACGACCAACTACGAAGGGATATAAGAAAGAGATTTGTTGATACGGCATCGGATCAATCCTCCACACTACCTCCCTCCGTCGACACACTAGACATCACCTTCCAGGCCCCATATTATCAACACCATCGAAGGCTCCCATGTATCCACGGGGGCTATTCTTCCGACCCTACAAGCGCCGCCCTTCGGACACTATCCACACAGACACGTCGCTTCATATATAACGGGGTTGCGGACTCGACTCTGTTCTGGCCCGGGCCCGAGGAATCAATATCAACACCGCATTGGCGCGACATAGCCTACCTTGATGTTCAACTCTCACTCCAGTCTCCATCGGGTCAGTGGTACTTCAGATGCAATGACGCTAACAATGCCTACCACATCCCCCAGTCAGATATCCCCCTACCCCATGACGCACCGTCTCTTATGCCACCTGGCTATGGGTCCGAGGAGGACACGCAGGCGGCCCTCGAGCATGCCGCCGCCATGGAACGGCCAGCATTTACGTCATATGGAGCATTCGTTGGACTCCATGACCCCTGGTTTAGACAATACCCGAATGATCAGGCGATTAACCCGGTGCTCGAAGCATTTGGCAAGGCGCTCGCAGAGATGCCAAAGTTGAAAAGAGCCGAACTGCAGTTCAAGAGACCAAGAAGCTACATGTTTTTGGCGTATGCAGCACCAGGGCAAGTTGGAAGAAGCTACGGTGGTCTTCCCCTCGTTCGCCCTCCTATCGGCCTCCCGCGGCTTGACGTGCACAGTTGGGATTGGAGGATGGGTGAGAATTTACACGGGATCTATCGAAACGTCGGGACGAAGTTGTATGGCCAAGAAACGAAAATCACGTACTTACCCGATATTTTCGGATCCGATTGATTCGGGATGCGCAATGGAACAGATCAAAATGCCTGATCTGAAAGGCCCCTACAACTATTGCTCCTCCTGCCCAATCCGGCACCCAAATTACCTAAATGGTATTGCGGACGACTGGGAATGTTGGCACATTTCAAATATACCTCTGGGGTAGTGCGCCGCATTTCTCCTCAAGCCCCCAAAAACAAAGTGTCAATGGCAGTCCTTTAGCCGACATCTGCTCTTCAGGAATCGTAACTATACCCCAACCGAGAATCCTCCAGAAAATTACTATCCCTTTTCATGCAGCAATAGTTCCCACAATCCTTCAACCGATCTCAGGGCTGCTAGGAAATATTGCTCCAAGTCAGAAAAGAACGGTTCATCCAAGTCACACTGCAGTTGCTCGTACGAGAATGGAACACGGCGGCCTTGCATCTTTTGTTTAAACGTTCTGAAGGATTTTGAACCCTCATACACAGTCGTAGTTTTCATTTGTTAAGTCCATGGGAATCCATGGGTGAACCAAGGGATAGCTCCCAAAAGTGGCTGACTTGGTTGCAATGTCCGCTTTAGGTGCGGTGCATCAATCGCGTGAGACAAGCAGCAAGGACAAAGAGAAACCAAATTGATAACTAGTATGTATCGCCGTCCCAACGCAAGGGATCGTTCGAGCCGAGCCGAACCGCAGGTTAGCGGGGAAATACTAGCATATCCATTCATGATTCGGAACTCAAATGATTAGTATTCCGTTGTTCAAACCTGGAAGCTGGCGAGGGGAGGTAGTTGCGAAGCATCATGGACGAATTTTGTACGGGGTGGGAATCACATCCCATAGTAGCAATGATTCCTATATTACTACTCTACCATTTTCTCGCATTGGCTATTTATCGACGTGGTCTTTTATCCAGGTCGAGCGGTGCCAAAACTTTGGCTGGAGCTGGCTTGGCAGCATCGTGATTTAAATATCGAGCCCTGATTGCTCGTCTCGAGGCCGGAACCAAGACAATTGTAAATTAAGGCCCACACAGCAACCAATTGTGGATGCAAGGGGCAAGAGTCTTGATAAAACCGCCGAAAAAGAGAATCCAGACACCGGAGAAATAGATATAAATCAATCTCGCCGCCGTCTTTTGCCAAAACCTGCGTAAGCTCTAAACAGGAGCCTCCTCAATCCACTTAACCTCAGTCCGATTTTTCTTTCGTACTTTGCGATCTCTTCTCGCACCTTCTCGCTCATATTTTCCCTTCAACGACCATAATGTATTCCACAGCCAGCCTCTTTTGTTTGGCCTTCTTCAGGTCACAAGCGCCTCGCCTTTAGTCGCGAGAGCCGAGTGCGAAGTCCTCCAGATTCAGCCCAGTCAAGGCTGCCACCAACTTGCAGAGGGATGCGGCATCACCTCTGAGCAGCTCATAGCCTATAACCCCAAGGATAGTCTCTGCACCACTCTGCGTATCGGCCAGAGGGTATGCTGCACTCCCGGTGACCTGCCGCCCATCCGAAACAACCCGGATGGGAGCTGTAAAGAGGTAACCCTCACAGCGGGCATGGACTGCGATAAGACCGCCGCCGCCTGCGGCGTTTCGCTCCCGGAGCTCCATAATTTCAACAACAAAACACAGTTCGAACTCTGTAGCAATTTGAAGGCCGGTCAGCGCGTCTGTTGCTCCCCAGGCTTCCTCTCCAGCAAAATCGATCATCCTTCCCCGAGGACGACAGGGATTGCACCAGCTACGTGGTGCGGAAAGGCGATACCTGTTCAACCCTCGCAACGAGCTTCGGTCTCGGCAGCTGGGGACTATTGGAGGACTTCAATATTGATACCTGGGGGTGGCGCGGATGTGAGGGGCTCCAAACTGGCACAACCATCTGCGTGAACGCCGGCCGTCCCCGTTGCCAGCTTCGGATCCGAACGCCGAGTGCGGGCCACTCGTTCCCGGCACAACAAGGCCGGCCGACGGGACGCCACTCAGCGATCTTAACCCTTGCCCCAAGGGCCTCTGCTGTAGCCGATGGGGCTACTGTGGCAACACTACAGACCATTGTCGCTAGGTGGTTTTTTAAGGGAACAGTTCAGATACATAACCGACTCTGTTAATTTTGGTTTCTAGCCGACCGTCCTTACTTTTGAAAATACTCCTGCATCACTTGCAGAATCCTCACAGAAAACTTGTAACGCCATTGAACAGAATATAAAGCACATAATGTCGTATCGAGCAAGGACTCGGAACGGAGAAAGGGGACGTGGGCCGCAAACCGATAGGTTGCCCGTAGATATGATCGGGATCCTGACCTGAAGAGATTGGAATAGCGAGGGTCCGCGAATGGCCTTCCATACCCCGAAACCGTGCTAGTAGACGAAAAATGGAATGAGAATAGGTTAACGAAGACATCAACTGTTAGTGGAAACGACATTCTCAGTGTCAATATAGTTTCAAAGTGCTTAAGTGACCAGAGATTCATAACTCCCTACGTTTCTAGATATTCAGTTGACGAATCCCACTGCTTTTATAAGAGCACTCAACCGGATTTACTTCTAAACCAACGTGAATGTAACTCTTGGGTCAATATTGGGCTCCTTCAGTGGTTCCCAAACATCACCTCCATATTCTTAATCCCGCTTGATAGCTATAGCTTATCTGCAATACTAGAGAATCATCATATCGACCCTGAAATAGTCCTCTCGAGTAACCACGTAAAGCCACATGTAATAATTCATATCCGCTAGTTCCCCTGATCGGTGCCGTTCAGGCCCGATACCATGGCTACGTGCATGCACCTTTGCCGATATGGATTCCCAGTCAGATTAGGTTATCCTCGATCCTTTATACTATATATAGAGTGGTATCCCTTTTTCCCGCCTTCTCAGATATCTGGGGTCGTACCTAAAATCCCTGACGACCAATGCGAAGGATACGCGTAGTGCCCACTCGGGTCTCTGAGAAAATACGAATCGACAATCTAGGAACCGCCACGTACGCAACCACACAGGCTTTCTTCCAGGCGATGATGATAGTAACATTCCTGCTCCCTTCATCAATCAATTAGGACTTTTCGCGAAAAAAGCTATGTAAACCTGCTATACCCACTGGTTAATTCAACGACTAGGCTTGGGCCTATCGTATCGAGTTATCGAATATCCCTAGAGTCCCATTTGAGCCCTTCAATCCTAAACACCGAGAAACCTAGGAACAAAGCTTCTGCACCTCGGACCTCTAAGTCTTTTAAGTTTAGCCTCCCGAAAACGGCTTCGCATCCGGCCGAGAGCGGTTGGTCTGACGAGTGTGGTTACTTGTGTGTAGTCTTGATGTAACCTTTGTGTTGCCCTTCTCCCGAAACTACCTCCTCCAGCGTACCTCTAAAAGAATGGGTTTTAAGGATAGATTAGACCTCGCGCCGTCTCTTGACACCAACGGACATCTCGGTTTAAATTAGATGCCTGACGAGGTCCTGTTATGCTGTCCAAGAGTGGCAACTTCCCCGCATTTCGCTCCGAACTATCCGCTGGTTACCTCCAACAAAATTCCAACAATTGTAAGTCGGATCAATAAAACCACCGACTTGAAGTGGCCCGTGTGCCGAGAAAACGGCCCGTCTCGTCGGTTTTCATCCGGGGTACGCTATCGAGACACAATTTCTCGGTCGAGGTTCAAAACTCGCATTCCAGAGGAAAACACGCGGTCATCACGGCTTGGCATTGCGCCGTGGAGGGTGAGGGTAGGAAAACTATATAAGTATCCCAATCGAAGACATGGTGTCGTGTAAACTCAACAGACTTGGTCTCAGTAAGATTTTTTCCAACCAACTACAGTGAAGATCTACTTGTCGCCATGCGTTTCTCCCTCGTCGCACTCGTTGTTTCCGCTACGGCTGTCCTTGCGGCACCAGCGCCTGAATCCAACGCGAACCATCTCCAGGCCCGCGCCATCATCTGTGACCGCACGACTAAGAACAACTGCCCCGCTGACTGCCTTGCGTCTTATCATGGTACTCAAATGAACTGCGCAAAATCAGTTGTACGTACTTGTATCAAAGCTTTATCTATGGAGGTCGCGAGCCCAGGTATTAACTGAGAGAACTAGTGCCAAGCAACATCTATCACCGGCTCCGGGAAGTGTAAATGCAACTGCACTTATGGTTGAAAGCAGATGGAGGAATGATGCATGCAGGATGGCGATATTATTAGTGATCAGGTCTATTTTTATTCGCACAATAGCTAGGATTGCCCCAATCAAGCCCGCAAGCGTTTTTGTCGTTCCATGTTCTATACATGTTACGTTGTAGATTTGAATAAATCGATGACCAAAAGTTCCCACCTTGGTTTCATGCAAGCAGTGGGCTTTCAAGTCTATTGGGCCACAATTTATGTTCATGGGGCACGAAGATGGTACCTCATGCTCAGAAAGGCGTCTCCACTGCTGTTGTGTACCCTGTGGCGTATGCTGCCTTTATGATACAAAAGTTTTCCGAAATATCGAAGACAAATCCTGGCTCGATGATATTCTAGCCTGTTTGATCTAAGGTTGATTTATGAAAATTTGTCACTGTCTTGATAGTCTATCACGGCAGCGTTGGCAGTTTCTCTGGGTGTCATCACACTCCCGACAACTCGCCACAAATTCCTGCCTTTTCCGTGTATGAATTTACTCTTCGAAGCTGTTGCTCTGGCAGCTGCTGTCAGGCGCAATATGGCTGGTTGCGAGGTCCACCAGCGTGGTTGATGTCATCAATTGTTGCCTTGCTTTGTTGATTGGGCAGAGAATGATACCATACCATCCCACAATACCCGAGATCGTCATCTCAAAGCTCCTCCGCAACCTAAACCTTCACCGACTTTAGCGGATACAATTTCAAGCAAAAACGAAAGGCTCTTGGATTGAGTAGGCCGCAATTAAGAGATGGCTTCTCCTTCGAGAGACGACGGGCCAGACCGGCCCCTCTTGTCCAATTATAACCAGGCGAGCGGAGGCGCCGACGCTGATGGCAACGATTACGGGACGTCCAGGCCCTCGCTGGTCCCCCACGACAGCGACACCGGGACATTCAAGCGAAACCTGGGCGTGTTTGATGCTTTTGGCATCATCATCAGCATAGTCATAGGTAGCGGTGTATTTACGTCGCCCGGGGCTATTGACAGCAATGTTCCTTCGCCAGCAATGGCTTTAGTGATTTGGGTTCTGGGGGCGTATTGGCCTGGACGGGCGCTACAACCTTGGCCGAATTGGGAACCGCAATTCCGGGAGAAGGTATGTGCATGATTCTCTTTCTTGTTTCATTCAACCCGCTTAAGTATCTAACAAGGAGAGCAGGCGGCATTCAGCCCTATCTACAGTACATCTTCGATGACGTCCTTGGCTTCTTGGCGGCATGGACATGGATCATCGCCGTCATGCCCGCCACGTTAGCCATTCTCAGTATCGTCTTCGTTGAGACCATCTTCTCAGCCGCGGGATCGACAGAGGGCAACGGGGGCCTGCTGCACAAGTTGTTATCCATCCTTATTCTGCTGGCGATGACGGCCGCAAACTCCATCAGCACAAAGGCGAGCACACGCCTCAACAGCTTCTTTGTCGGCACCAAGTTTATCAGCATCCTAGCTATCGCTGCAGCGGGCCTGGCTGTCGTCGTCGTTCAACTCTCGAACCCGGATCGGGAAATCGGTGGCCGGGACTGGTATCGCAAGTCCTGGTTTGACTATCGTGACACAGTGGACCCGTCGGGCCATAGGACGAACTGGGGAGAACTGAATGCCTGGGAGATTCTGGGATACCTATCTGCCGCGTTGTACGGAGCTCTATGGGCATACTCGGGCTGGGACAAAGCTATCTATGTTTCCGAAGAGTTGTCTTCCCCGAACCGACAACTTCCTCTGGCGATCAACACCGCCATCCCCACGGTCATTCTCTGTTTTATTGTCGCCAATGCTGCGTACTATGTGCTTTTGCCTTGGGACTCGATTTCGACCACCGATAGCGTGGCAGTGGTAAGTGTCCTTTCTCACTCCTCCAACATGACCGCAGCCGTACTAATTCCCACTCTTCACAGACCTCTATCGCTCGACTTCTCGGCCCAGCCGCCGGTATCGTAGCGGCGGCCCTAGTATGTCTCGTTGTTGCCGGCTCTCTGTTGGGAAACTCGTTCGTCGCTAGCAGAATGATTGTAGCGGCGGGAAACAGGACTTGGTTCCCCCGTTTTTCACCGTCATTGGCCGGGTCGGCTTTGGATCGAGGATCGAGGGAGATCAACTGCCCAATGCGGCGGAAGGCGATTCCGACGCCCCATTGAACGCGCTGATCCTCTCCGCCATCCTTTCCTCGCTCTACATCTTGCTCGGAAACTTCCGCGCCCTCTTGCTCTTCAATGGCCTCGGGGAATACACCTTCTTCTTCATCGCTGTTTTGGGGGTTGTGCTCCTACGCTTCAAGCAGCCGGATCTCGTCCGCCCGTACAAGCCCCCATTCTGATACCCATCATTTTCGCAGTCGTGAGCGGTTTTGTGGTCGTTCGAGGTGCGCTTTTTGCGCCTACGCAGGCCATAGTACTGCTTGTCCTTTGGGGTCTCGGTCTCGGGTTCTACAAACTGTTCGTGGTGGTGTAATCACGATTGATGGGTTTCTTGGTGCCTAATACTCGCCGAATGTGTTGCCCGTCACCTATCGCAATCGCCCGTTCTTCTGATCACGACGTTGCTCTTTTTGTGGGGGTAGAAGTTATTCCGCGAACTGTTTCAAAGAGCATTAATTGCATGGAATCATCTTAGAATAATCTAAAATCAATTCATATACTTGTAGCACTTTATAGTCATTGACCTGTAACATTGTTCAAGTGGCCTTGCAAACCCGCCTCTCAAGGATGGCCTTCGCTGTTCTTCCCCTCAATGTTGCAACGGGCACCATGTGTCTGGACGTCCGGCCCGGTCTTGGCGCGTGGGTAGGAACCTGAATGGATGGAATGGGGGCAATAAATGCGGATCAACAAGTGGCATGAAATTCATATGCAGCTTCCGGGGCATAGACCTCGCCCATATATTCCAAACGGGCAGACTCCAGTCTCCAAGGGCTGCGAGCCACAGTGCTCCTTTTAGGCTCAAGTGATCCCCGGATTACTACCGCAAAGATCAATACAAGCTTTTCTTTTCCATCACAGCTGATAGTGATATACCTCGTACTTCATCAATAATGGGTCCATATTTTAGGCTATTCTGCCCCGCGCCGACGAACTCTGTTGACATCCACGCAGGTCAGTGTCTATTCCTCAGCGACGCTGTAAAATCATGTGCTGATGAAATTCCGAAACTTTTCACATCTCCTCCAAAATTCTCGATGTCCTTTCACATCGCTTTCATCGTAGGATTTGAGAAGTCAAGATTATTTTCAGTTGTTCCCTGCCAGGGGCAATGGCCGTAGAACGCTGTGTTGACGAACAATTAAATCGGGGCGCGTGACACGGAAGCGGAAGGGCAATTTCCGCATTGTGGAGAATGACCGGAGAAGGTGGGCGACGGCATATATATATATATTTACAGCGGAAGCGTCATCCGACCTGCTAGAGGCGAACCTGGACCCAGAGGCTGTCCACATAAATACCCCCGGGTCAGGTCGATCCAAAGTATCCATTTCTTGGCTCTTCATCCTGACCAACACCATATCCCATTCCTCACCGCAAAAATGTTCCGCCGCGCCTCCCTCTTCGCCCTCGCCCTCCTCCCCTTTGCCTTTGCGCAAGTCTCCGAGGACTTTGAGTCCGGCTGGGATGAGAGCGCGTGGCCCACGTACGCCGCCGACTGCGACCAGGGCGGCGTCGTCACTCTCGACACCTCTGTAGCGCACAGCGGCTCCAACTCGGTCAGGGTCGACGGTGCGGGCGGCTACTGCGGACACAAGTTCTTCGGAACCACCAAGGTCCCCAGCGGCGATCTCTACGTGAGGGCTTGGATGTTAGTGAAATAACCTGCTAGGGCCAGGAGGCCTTTACCCGTCCGAATGTGAGGGGCTTTTGTCTAACCTGGATGCGTGTGTAGAAAAGCTTCCAAAGCCTTGACTGATGCCCACGTTTCCTTCATCACCATGCCCGACCCCGCCCAGGGCTCTAACAAGCATCTCCGAATCGGCGGACAAAGCAAGATTATCATGTTCAACCGCGAATCCGACGACGCCACCCTGCCCGATCTCTCTCCCCAGGGTATCTCTGCCTCCAAGGCCCTTCCCACCGACGCCTGGCAGTGCTTCGAGTACCACTTGGGTACTGACGGAACTGTTGAGACTTGGCTGAACGGCGAGGCCATCGACGGTCTTACTGCCAAGTCTGGAGTAGCCAACCAAAACGCCGGCCAGTGGCAGCGCAGCTCTCTCGTGCCCAAGGTTACTGGTGTTTACTTTGGCTGGGAGTCCTATGGCGGAGATACTAACACTTTCTGGTATGACGACATTGTCATTGACTCTGCTCGCGTTGGTTGCGACGAGTAAGCGTGCGTAGTGCGTGCTAGGGATAGAAGTTGTGTGGGAAGCTATTGCTCCGAGTGTGGGCAAAGCAATCGGGTCGCATGATCAAACGCCCATGCGGGTGAACAGTGAGATACCAGAGTTGCAGCACTGTACCAATGTATATACAATTGTGAAGGTAAACATTAAATGTACATAAATAAGAACAACTGTTTGCCTTGACCCTGCCATCACGACGTCTAGGGTGTATCGTTTCCCTCCCGTCTTGCTTAGATCGCCCGATTCGGGATTTGGTTGGCTAACATCTAGAAAAAGGCACGCCCGAGCCAGAGAAGTCGTGATATAATGCTATTGGGAAAAGGGATGTGTACCCTTGCACTGCCTCGGACGTATTGGAATCAGGTAACGAGCGTTGGACATATGGATATCGTATTCCTCTCAAGTGTAGCTGTTATACATGATGAATCAACGGTTTCTTGACCCTTTGCTCATATAGTCTAATAATGGAATCAAAGAAAGGGTGAAACAAAAAAAAAAAAAAGAAAAGAAAAAAGGGAACGACCCTAGCGAAGGATCAACAAGGCTCTCATGCTCTCCGGAGGGTATACCGAGATCAAAGACCCTTATACACTAGAGCTGACCTCCCACTTTCTCTCCACTACAATGGTATTTTTCCGAGGCTTCGTTGCGTTGGACTGTGGCGGAGAGGCCTCAACCGAGAACCCCGGGTCCATGGTCTGCAGCTGGACTTCCGAGCCAGAGCCATCGGCGTCATTGAGCTCCTCAAACGCCCTGGCCCGGCTGCTCCTTCCAATGCTCTTGTCCCCAGTGATCTTGTAGTTCGAGGTTGTTGTGGGCGTCGCGAATCGTCCGAGAAGAGGTCGGAGGTACGGGATGCAGGCCAGCGTGATGGCGACGGCTGGCTCGAGCGCCGAGAACAAGGTTGCCAACAGTCCAGTGTAGGTCATGTCACGGAAGTCGAGTCCAGGCAGCGTGATCTGGCGGTAGATGGATATCGCGCATGTCCTGAAAAGGGGATTTAGTGTCAGGGGCATCGTTCCGTTATCAACCCCGAGTCTTGGAAAGCAAGGTATGGTTGGAAGGGGAGGGTTGGTTCTCGAAAGACTCACATTATGCCAATGGCAAACATGCCAATCAAGACCAGCTTCTTCATCATTGGAAGGTGTAGACTGTAAAGGAATGGCATGGGTAGACCCAAAATCAAGACATCGGTGATGATGTTGAAGACGCCCATGACGAAATAAAAGTCACGCTGGCTTCCGCACTTGCCACCGGGAATGGTCTGATCCCAGTTCATGGCAAACGGCTTGCAGATGAGAAGCTGTCCCAGAATATTACCCGTGTTCCACAGAATGATGAAAATGCCGAGACCGGCGGCAGGGTAGAGCATCTTCTTCATGGGCATCAAGGTCGTGTACAGCCAGAGCACCGAGAGCTTACTGAAGCAAATTGCCACGTTCCAGAGTATGCAAAATGCCATGATTGCCTAGCGACGCGTCGTTAACGGTTGGTTCACGTTAATAGACTACGCGCCGACGTGGTTAATGGCCTACCTTGAAGAAATAAGTGAGCGTATCGGGCCCGAAGCGCTGGGCGACATCCATGAGATGGAACCCGAAGCCGCCGTGGAGGACCATGAGCAGACAATCGATTTGGAGTCCGATATTGAAAACCTTGCGTCAAGTTAGCCGCGGGAAGGCCTGAGCCCGGTATAGAGGACTGGGAGGGACGGGGGAGGGGATCCATCATACCAGACCGATGAGGATGAAGTAGTCGCTCATGCCCAAGGACCGACTGGTCATGGTTCGCGCGTACAGACGCAGGCCGACAAAGACGGAAGGAATGACGATGGAGAGCGTGCACACAACTACCATGGAAAGCTGTTTGCCATTCTCAATGGGAATGGGCGACTCGAACTGAGGCACCACCTGATCCTCGTTAGACGACATGTTTGCAGTGGTGCGCCAAAAGGCTTGATCCCAAAGTTATCAAGAGGCCTCGGGGTGTTGGCACATTGGCTTCGTCCAAAGAGAACGAGATGTGGGTTCGCTTGATCTTTAAGGCTTGGATGGCATGGTAGGGGGAAGAGGTCGGCAACTGTTTGATCTCGCTCAGCTTCTCCTCAGCAATCTTGCCGGCAACTTCAACTTGGGATCTACACGAGGTGTTTCCGCATCGCCTCGATGTTGCGTTCCCCAAAGGAAATTCTCCCGACGAAGAAGCGCGACCCCTGAGGAGGGCATTGAAGGGATCTTTCGGTTGTTCCTCTTCTTTTTCTTTTCCCTCCCCTCTGCCGCAGGCGATTTATCATTCCACCCTTGTCGACCGACCCGTTGCCCGACAGGTGCCCCCACCCAGGCAAGCGAACCTGACAGATTACAAGTGATACTTGTGTGTGTGTCGGACGTTGTATTGTGCCACTTTGCTGGGCGGAAGCTGCCCTTTGTCAAAAGTGACTGATCATGTCCCCCAAGGGAGGCGAGGTCCAGCTCGGGAACCAATCAATGGCCTGCGGAAGGCGTATGCCGGACAGGGTTTCCTGGTATCCGCGACTTGTTGATCATTGGCTCGGACTGAATCCTCAGCCGATCAGCGGCCTCGACACTCAGGACGAACACTAGATTTGATGGCACCGCTGGGCCTTGGCGGGTTGGCGCAAAGAAGCTCCTGGAAAGAAAAGATGATTGGTCGTCCTCACGCCGTTGACGGGAAACGTGTGTGTTCAGCCACTATCCGGGCCTTGATTTCTCTGAATGTGCATCTGTCAAACCAAAGAAAAAAGTCTAATGTGCTGATCGGCTTCGCTGATCCAACTTGGCCATCGAATGAGTTTTTGTGGTTTTTTCTTTGTTTGTTCCTGTTATTGGATTGGGAGAGGACAGGGTAAATGATGGTGGAGAAGCCCCCAGTATCGAGCATAAATGTCACCCCGTACTGCCATGGGTGACGGAAGAGAAGGATTCTTTCCTGAGTTCTCCTTACAGGAGGATACAACCAGGGATCCGCAAATAAACGCATCATGAAACGTTTTTGAACAGGGGTCGGGGACGCAGTACAGCAAGAAGTCCCGCAAAAATCAACGGCGCAACCCAATGAGAATTTTAGTCCTCTGCCGATCGCTTGTCAGTCGAAATTTAGCGAGTGCATTGCCCAAGGCCTACATCTACATGCAGACAGCAGATAATAAAGAATCTTCGAGCAATGCAATAGTACAAAGAGCAGAACCCGTCAACTCGGGTGGCCTCCCCCTTTCCCTTCCCCACCCCTTTCCCGACCTGCTGTTCCATTCGGTAAGACGTAAGTGGAAGTTCTTGAGAATTCTTCAGCTTTGGCGCAAGGCAAGGGAGATGGTTGGGAAATAAAGTTGGCACATTGGTGGCGAGTGCACACTTTGGTTGAGATGGTATGAAGAATGGCGAGGAATCAGATTTTCTTTCTTTTCTTTGACATAGTCTTGGCACATTATCATTACCTCGGTCCACCACCGTCGCATTGCCCCTGACTCCATTCCCACTCAGCCCAATGCATTGTCGTCGCAGCAGTCGCGGAGCCGGCGATGGGTTCTGCCCCACACCCTGCTCCGCTTCGGTCCTAATCCAGCGTGATTTTCCCTACAACGAGGTCGAATCGCCTGTCCATGCATCTTCACACTCGAAACCGCCTCTTTCCCGATTTCTTTTCTTCTTTCTTTTTACTCCGTAACCTCGTTTCCATTCTCAGCCGCCTGCTTCGGTGGACCTTGAGGGCACCCTGGAGCTCGCTCCTCTCGCCATGGATGATGGCGAACCATGGCTCGTACACCTTTTCGTTCCTTTGCGCCACCTCCCCGCTCTTGTACTCGGGAATCTCGTAATAGTAGAGCTTATCATGACCAGCTTCCACCGCTTGGCCCGTGACGGCTTTCTCGTCATCCTTGAGAAACTCGTCATACGCAGACATGAGCGTATCCTTCAGTGTCAGGCTGTGAAGAAAGAAAGAATTAGCCACCTACTACTCCTTCTGGTGAATAGCCTAGAACTTACTGCTGAGGCAGGAAGGCGGTCGTGAATCCCGGCATGGCGGGTGTGTCATACGCTCCCGGGAGAACGCAGTTGATGGTGATGCCTTCCTTCTCCTTGAGAATGGGGGCCATGACGCGGCACCAGTGAAGGACACCAGCCTTGGCTGCACAGTACTCGGGGAACGTCGAGCATGGGTGCACGCCAATCATGCTACCAGTGACGATGATCTTGCCGCCAGGGGTGCTGTTGTGCCGCATAAAATGGGTGGCCAGCTGCGTAGAAAAGATGACGCCCTTGAAATCGGTGTCAGTGCAAGTGAGGTCGGGTTCCCTGGGATATCCGTCACGGCAGCTTTCTTTCCGGCAAAGTTGTAGATGGAGCCCCGGTCCACTAGACCAGCGTTTGCTATGACTACATCGAGGCGAGACCACTTTGTCCACACAGCGAGAAACATCTTAGACTGAGAGGCGTGAGATGAAACATCGCACTCGGCAAAGATGACATCGTTGCCTTCGGGGTCAAGCTCTTTGGCGATGGCTTCGCCCTGTGCCACTCTGCGGCCTGTCACAGCCACCCTGTACCCCTTGGCCAGCAAGAACTTGACAAGATCTAGACCGATTCCGCTCTTCCCTGATATTAGCGACATGTTATTTGCCATTTGTGATACAACTACAAAACTCACCGTGGAGCCGGTGACGATAGCAACTTGCTTTTCGCTTGGAGCAACGGAACCCATGTTGTTTGGATGGAACGGAAACTGGTTGGAAAGGATATAAGAAAGGTGACAAATGACAGGATCCTCGGTTGCGGTTGGGTGAGCAGGAACTGTGGGGGAAAAAGAAAGGAAAAAGAACAAACTCTTTATCCTTCACTGATGATATGCGTTTGGAAGGGGACAGACAGACACGGCCTCCGCACCAGAACAGGGTCCCGGAGCCAGCACTTTTAATATGTGGAAATAGACCTAGGGGGCATGCACAATGCGCAGGGCGGAAAGGGTCGATGTCCCCTGGGGTGTTGTCATATTGTGCCGATTCCAGTCTGTTTTTCCTGCACCCGCCTTGTTGGGTCGCAAGCAGGGCCAGTGATGCAAGGGTTGAGGGGATAGCAAGGTGGGGGCAACTTGATACAGGCGGCGGTGAAATGAAGCTGTTATCCTGGGCGTCTAGCTCCATTATCTTGAGTTGAATGCAGCAGCCCCCATTCTCCCCTCCCTCCGCCTCCTCCCCCAATTAACCCGCGCTTTCTAGCCCTTTATGCTTTCCTCCAAGGCTCCCCTGCTGGACTCGCTACGGCTGGGCAATCGCAGGTTTGAATTGATGCAGCGAAAATCAATAAAGGGATGCACTGCTCAGGGAAGGGGCCGAGAGAGGAAGGGAAGTTGAAGCGATGACACAGTAGAACCTTGTCCAGGCCTGCGAGAATTATGACGAGTCGGACTTGAGAGCCCGAGAGGCCGGTTGCAGGCCAGGGGTATCAGCACTGTTCGCTCCTTTATTTCCCTCTTGAGTGTTGCTCGAATTGTATTACTTGTAGCATACACAACCAATCTCCCCGTCCTCGCAACAGCCGATAGCAATGATAGTTGTCGCGCCAGGGGTGGGGGCGCGGAACCCGAGTTGTCTCCCGGGCGAAAGGTCACTCCCAAACCCACGGAACCAGTCAAAATCCGTGTGTGGCCCTGTGGCCCCTCCCTCGGAGTTGTTGACCATGATTGAGTGTTTGTCGAGCAGTACCTCCATCGGATAGGTCATAAATCCTACCATGGCAGGGGTGCCTGTTCTTGGAATAACCCCGACCCACCAGCAACTCTCCATTCAACTCTTGAATCCACTCACTCCCAAGACTCCGTGTCGCTCTCCGTGCGTCGCCGACCCGCACGAACAGGGAAGAGCAAGAAGGGAGAGGAACAACAAGAAGAAAAAAAAAAAAGGGGGCGACAAAGTGGATCTCTCTCGCTTGTCCCTACTTTGGCATGGTTGCCGCGAGTGGCCCCCTTTACACCGGATCTGGTTAGCGATGAGGAAATCCATCATCAAGAGGAGGGATCGTCATTTATCTCTCCTCACTTTTCTCCATTGTCAAGCGTTGTCAAGCGTATGGACAGGGGAAAATCCCAGGGATAGGGAATTATTCTGGGGTGAGAACACGTAATAATAAACAATCGTCACGGCCTTCCTTTCCCCAGTGTCGTGCAGGGATGTGCGGAGCTCCTCTTTGGATGGGGCCTTCTTCAAGCACTCCCGGAGGGGTCCTGGTTATCGACCCATTGTTCCCCTCATCCCTAATCCTATCGTCCCGCATAGTGTTGCTCCCTTCCCTTTGATCTGCACCTTGGTTTTTCCTTCTCCCTTTTTCCTCACTTTATAGCTCAGCTTTCTTCGGTATCTCCTCTTGGCTTCCTCGGGGTCATAGTCTCGCTTAAACTCGTCAACCAACCATTTAACTACCACAAACCTAAAACAATGACGAAGATCATCGCGGTTACGGGCGCCACCGGCTCTCAGGGCGGTGGAGTCGTCAATGTGATGAAGAATACCGCCGGGTGGAAGGTCCGCGCTATTACAAGGAACCCGGGGAGTGATGCCGCGAAGAAGCTCTCGGACGAAGGTATTGAAGTTGTCCAAGCGGATATGGATGATGAAGAGTCTCTCAAGAAGGCGTTTGAAGTGAGTTCTTCTTTTTGTATTTCTTTATTTGATTTCGATTGGTGGCCAAATGGACCTCGGTCGGGGTAAAGTAGAGGCTGTAGGAGACGAACTTTCTAACACACCCCTAGGGCGTCCATGCCGTTTACGCGGTGACGAATTGGTGGGAGCAACTGTTCCGCGGCCACGGCCCGGACGAGTCAGGAGAGATCGAGGAGAAGCACGGCATGAACATTGCTCGCGCCGCCGCCGCACAGCCCACCCTCGAGCACTACCTCTGGTCGACGACTCCCAGTGCCAAACGCGTCTTTGCAGGCGAGCACGTCACGCCTCACATGGACTACAAGGCAAACGTAGACGCTAGGATTAAGAGCGAGCTCCCCGAACTGGCGGCCAAGACTACCTACCTGTACTTTGGATACTACCCCCAGAACATGGCTTTCTTCCCCTCCTCAAGCCCTTCCAGATGGTAAGAGCAGACTCCGGATCGTGCTCTCGAGGCGATTCTCGAACCCCCTTATTGTGTCAACTCACTTACTAACACGTCTTACCAAATAGCCGAACTCAGAAAACTACGTGCAGATCGTAGCTTCTGACCCGGATGCCAAGGTCCTTCTCTCTGGCGACATGGCCGTGAACCCTGGCATCTGGACTCGCCAGGCTATCGCCAGCGCTCCTCACAGCTTCGGAAAGTACACCAATGTCGCCCTTGAGAAGTGGTCTTTCCGTCAGATGATGGAAGTTTGGTCAGAGATTACGGGTAAAAATGGTGTTATCTTGCAATGCTCTGCTGAAGAGTGGACGCGCCTATGGGGCCCGGCAGGAACCGAGGTAAGACAAGTTGTAGCCGCCCTTCGGCCCCGCTCCCTTGAATTTTTCGTGATCGTACTAACAGCACTCTCACCACCCTAGCTCGCATTGCAATTCAAGTACGGAGAATTGTGCGATCCCTGGGCCGAGACGGATGAGTTCATTAGCCCTGAAAAGCTTGGAATCAACCCAGACGAGGTTGTTGGCTTCAGAGGAACCATTGAGCGCCTAAAGGCCTTCTTTAAGATGTTGAGGCGTGACAGGCACTTGGGGAGGCGCAATTCTAGAACTTTTCCACTCTGGGGCATATTTTGCGACGAACGGGCCATCGGCTGAGACTGACCGGGAATGATTGCAGGCAACCTAGGAATGGCGCAGGATTCAGATAGCTAATATATACCCACTACATCCCACCAGCAGACAGTGCCCGCCCCCAATTTCATGCACGAAAATTACCATGAAATTGACTCAATGAAGTACAAACTGCGCTGCTCTAATAGCGCCTAGGCTAGGTCCTCGCGCGCCTAAATGGCGGTTGGAGCGTACATCACCTCGTTTGAAGCAATGCAAGCCATCCGCTAGCCCGGAAGGAAGCCTGTGCGCAATTTAGCTGGAGAAACAATCTAGACCACGAATGGCTAGATTTAAAAGGAGAAAAAAGTCCCGGCCCAGCTCGGTGCGGAAAGGTGTCATCGCGGGGTTGGTCCGGCTTTTTGTGCACTACCTGGAAGGAACCGCGCACCGCTGATTCCCGTCTGGTACCGCCCGATGAGAGCCCGCAAAGCCTGGCCCGACGATATGCGAGCGCCGCCCCGCGCGGCATGCATCCGCCCTCTAACCTCCACGAGTACCGAAACATGATGGCTCTACACCCCGGACCGGGGACGATCTGAGATCTGAGATGGTTGATATTCCCGCCTTCAGATCCCCAAGCCACCTCCACACCTCCACACACCCCAGAGTTCTGAATTGGCCGAAGCCAAATGCCGCGTAACCGATCCATACAAATTGACTTCTCCGGAATTCTAAGTGGGCCGGACGAGTTGGCTTTTACCCAACATACGCTTATTTCAGGGTTGCGCCCGAGGATTACTCCTTCTTTTGAGACAATGCATAATGCATCGCCAATACGAGTCCGAGGGGCGTGCGTGTGCGATTTTGATTACACGATCAAAATGAAGGGTTGTTCCTTTTCGAAGAGGGTGTTTCGGGGATCGTGACAAGCCCACTTGTTTTCACGGATAGAAGGGCGAGCGATGTCAATTGAAAGACCCCTGAGGAATTACAAATTCTTTTTGGCTCAGTCCGCGAAACGTCAGGCATGGTTAGCTTTCCTTCTCGGCCGCTCCTTCACCATTGCTGCTGTTCGTAACATCTCAATGGACTGGGACATTAAGATCTTGAAGTGTTGAGGAACGAGATCCACCCCCGTTTGAGCAAGACCAGCGGGCAGACGAGAAGCCAGCGCCCGTTTCGTGCGGCATCTCAATCCTGCGATTGTCGGGCTAGCGACGTGCCTAAAAGTGGAGTTCCTGGCGCTAGCTCCGGAAATCATCAGAGCAGCAACGGCCATTGGAGTATTTTGGTAATGTCAAGTAAAATCTTTTTCCCGGTGATTCATCGTCATGGCGTGTTCCCCGCCCGCGAGACCGCCCCATTTGGAAGGTCGCGAAGGCCGAGCTTCGCGCGCTTCGGGGCTACCCCGGCTCGTTCGTTCGGGGGCCAATCGTGCACTTGTGGTGGAGGCAAGACTCGCCGTCGCATGTTACTCATCAGGAATTCCTACCATGTCATTGGTACATTCGGCGCCATGCCTCGGCCCAATGGCTCCAACAAGCTCAGGGGGAAAAGTTGCTTAGCCCTTGACGGCGTAAAAACTCTCTTCCACAGTCAATTGTTCGGTCTCGTTGGCATGCCTCGTAAGGAAAGAAAATCGAAGCATTATTTCCATTTTCTCTTGGGGCTAATTCACACCTGTGTATGGACAACTTCCTGTTCCCTCCTCCTGATTTCCGCTGATTCATGCGTGGGAGAGTGAGGGTAATTTCACGGACCGAGCGAAACAAACGAGTTGTGGATGAAGAGCTAGGGCAATACGGGGATTTAACTCCAGACTACGGAGGAGATCGCCGTGGGGCGACAATGGGCAGGAAAAATCAAACCCGCATTGTACCAAGTTCCCCAGTTATGCTTTCGGTCAGCTTTGATGATTAGGGTTAGTCTACGCCACCTTTCGGTCGCCCTGCCCCTTCAGTCTAAACAATGGAGGATTTCTAGTAAGTTTTACTGAAGTGTGCCAGGAGTAATGGTCCCCCGTGGGTCCGGCTCCCGAACTCGGCGCACGAATACAGCCCGCTTCCGCCACGCCTCGGTGGACCCGTTGGGCAAGACTCGATATGTCAAGGAATTCCTTTAGCCCGTCACTGCCGGTCCCGGCTGCGTTCCCACTGTTCCTAGCACGAGGAATCCATTTCAAATATGGAGCATGCCCTTCGTCGACTTTGTTTTTCTCCCCAGGCTGCATCCTCTCCTCGCGTGCGCACCTTCGCTACCTTTACACACCAAGTTTGGCCGTCTTAAGCCCCCTCAAGCCTTCATCGCTTGGTTCGAATATACGCCCACGGCTCCGCTCAAAGCCAACGAGTACGCGACGCAGTCATGGGTGTTGCACCAACCGAGGCCCCACCATCGCGCGCCGGCGTCGATGAAGAAAAGGTTGTCCAAAACGGCTCGAACCCTTCCCTTGGTGCCGATGTCTCCGATTCCCAGGTCCAGGACCCCTTCGAGGGTGAAGTGGGTGAGATCATCGACTATAAGACCCTCACTTGGTGGTATGTATCCGTGCTGTCAACCGGCCCGTTTTCGTCCAATACTCGGATTCTAACTTCGACTTCTCAGGCAAGGAGGAATCGTCTTGATTGCGGAAACTGTTTCCCTAGGCATCCTATCTTTGCCTTCGGTACTCGCAACCGTAGGACTCGTCCCCGGAATCATCCTCATCCTATTCCTTGGCGCCTTGTCAACCTACTCCGGTCTCGTGCTCGGAGAATTTCGAAAGCGATACCCTTATGTTCAGAATTTTGGTGATGCCGTTGAGATCGTCGGCAAGTCGATTGGTATGGGACGTCTGTTCCAGGAACTCTTCGGCTGGGCTCAAGTCCTCTTTCAACTATTCGTCATGGGAAGCCATCTCTTGACCTGGACAATCTGCTTGAATACCCTCACCAATAGCTCTACATGCACCATTGTCTGGGCAGTGGTTGGCCTAGCCGTGTTTTGGATCTGCAATCTGCCGCGGACGTTGAAGTACACGAGCTACATGTCAATGGCCTGTAAGGACAACCCAATTACCCTTCATCTAATGGTATCGAAATCCAGACTAACCTTGGCGGTTCACAGCGTGCCTGTCCATCACCACAGCCGTGTTGATCACCGTAGGTGATGTTGCGGCGGAGCGTCCGATTGGAACCGGAAGCATCGAGGTCGCTAGGCAACTCGGCTTCACTGGAGCGTTCCTCGCCGTAACGAATATCGCCATTGCTTTCTGTAAGAAATATCCCCTACCTTTCCTCTTCGGTTCATGGTAGCTAACACTTACTCTAGCGAGCCACTCGTGCTTCTTCACCGTGATTTCCGAGTTCAAGAACCCCGATGATTGGCCCAAGGCCTTAGCACTGCTTCAAATCGCCGATACGACGATTTATCTCGTCGCCGCCATTGTAATCTACGTTTTCGTTGGGCCCAACGTCCCCTCCCCTGCCCTGTCCGCGGCCGGCTCCCTCGTCGTCCGAAAGGTCATTTGGGGAATCGCCATTCCAAGTAAGCCCAATTTACCCTAAACGCTCCACGACCCAGAGAATTGATGCACTAACACTATAATGTCCTAGCCATCGTCATTGCCGGAGTTATCTACGGCCATGTAGCATCCGCCTACGTGTTTTCCAGGATCTTCCGCAACACGAAGCACATGGTCCGCCGAACGAAGATCTCCACCATCTCGTGGTTTGCAATCACCTTTGGAGCATGGACAATCTCAATGATCATCGCTGAATCCATCCCTGTTTTCAACAACCTCCTCGGCCTGATCGGCGCCCTGTTCGCGAGCTGGTTTTCTTATGGTCTCCTGGGATCTTTTGGCTTTGGATGCATTACGGAAACTGGTTTACCGATGGCAAGCAGACCTGCCGATTCTTGGCCAATGTCGCGCTTCTTACCACGGGGTTCGTGATGTGTGTGCTGGGCATGTGGGCCTCGATTGATTCGATCATTCAAACAGGCACTGAGAGGAAACCTTGGTCTTGCGCAACGAATGCCGCAGCCTAAAATAGCAGTTGCTTCGTTCAAATTCTTTTTTCCTTTGCATTTACTGAGAGGTTACGAGTATGGATTATGATAAAAGAATTGTGTGTAAAATATATATTTCAACGCTGGTTAATATTAATCATTGGCTACAATCTGTGGTATCATGTCTCGAGTTTACTTCTGGTTCAACTCTAACTCAACGCCACGCTGTCTCGCTTTACCCTCGTCCTATTTTATAGCCCGTTAGTTATTCCATTAGACAAGTATCATGAACGGAGGCTGGCCTTACATGCTGATTAGCATATCGCTGTTCCTCTACCCGGTCCCCGGTGAGCGCTGCGGCGGCCCCGCCAACAGCACCGTGAACGCGGTCGCCGATGCCCTGGCCGAGGTCGCTCAGTTGGCCCTTGGCCTGCTGCGCTTGACCATGCGCATTCTGGTCACGACCGCTTTGCCTCAAGCTCTCGTTGCCGAGCAGATTTCCGGTTGCCTCCTTCACGCTGCCAACCGTCTGGTCGTATTGGCCCCGCGTTCGGTCCGGGATGTCCTGAGCCACGCCACCCTCAGAACCGATAGCGAACGGCCCGACCTTGGCGGCAGAGTGGGAGGAAGCATTCTGAACCTCAGACTTTGCCTTGGTCTGCTCTGCGTTGGCCTGCGGATTGTTAACCTCTTAACACTTCAACGAGTTCGGAACGATGGCACTGGGGGTAGTCACCTTGTCGGCCGAGCTTCCGGTAACAGCAGCGACGCCAGACTGGATCGCTCCGGCGGCTGAGTTAATATAGGAGCTGAGAGTGGAGGTGGCGTTGTTATCAGACATGGTGATAGTATGTGAGGTGTATCTTGAGGAAAGATCTTGATGTTGTAATTCTTTGTGTGGTTTATGTGAATTGAAGAGAGGATGAGTTTACTGGACTAATTATTGTGATCTCCAACACCGGAGACAGTCTATTTGTTTTATACTTAACACAAACCTCACTTACAGCAATGTTGGTGGTTCCAGCAGTTTCGAAATATCATCTGACGTCACAGCCATGACATCATGGAGCGCGCCACGCTAGCCGCATCGCCAAGAAATCTAGTAAATGACGACGATCGAACCCCAAGTAGCACTGAATCAGCCGCACGCACGTGCAACATCAAAGAAAAAGAAAAGAAAAGCGCTTTACGAAACCTCGCTTCTTGACTTGGGCCATACCCGTGTATATTCTTTTCTCTCCCAAAATGAGAGTATCCCCAGGTAGACATTCTCATGACCCACCTACCATCCGTTATCCTTATTTTACACCGGCGTTCGCCCGGAAAGTTTGGTGGGCTACAATAAGCTACTATTATCAATCCAATGTCCGCCCTTGCGAATAGACAGCAGCAGTGGATACCAGTTGTCCGGGTAGAGCCGGGGACTACCACATGACCGCACCCTTGTACTGTTCGATAGTCTTGACGTTGATACTCTCCCACATGAAAGTGCTAGCCCAGGTAATGCTGTACAGCGAGGTGGCCGCGATGAGCATCAGCTTCTGTGTAGCGCCGTATGCATTGTTGATTCCATCTCGCGTGGGCGTCCCGATAGCATACGATGTCTGGACGGCGATGTCTCCGTAAATGGTCGCTAGGTCGCCCTGCGCCTCGGCGGGGAGATATAAGGCAAGCTTCTTCGGGAAAATGTTTGTCCACATTGCCGAAGCTACGGTGGAGCCAATACTCTGGCCCATCGCCGCGACCATGCCTTCCATGGCGAGAATGGCAGGGATGTCTTGATGCCTTGAAACTGCCATGACGGTCATTTGCTCGCAAATCACAAGAGTGCCTCCGCCGAATGCGATGAAAATTAGACACATTACGACGTAGCCAATGTTCACGTCGGGCTGTCGGAAGTGAATCATGAGACCAACACCTAAAATTGTCATGGGTACACCGAAGAAGACGGCGGGCCATTTGAGACGGCCATTATATCGTATGAAGACACCGAATATAAGTGACCAGAAGGTGCTACCAACGGTGTAAACGTTCATCATGTACGTCGCGTCCTGGATATCAGTGTTGAAAAGAACAATAAGAACGGAATAGAAGTAGTTATCCCAGAGATACCAGGCAGTGTAAAGGGAAGCCATCATTGTATAAGTAAAGAACACGGTCCTGTTCTTGATCAATCGCCAAGGGATAAACGTGACAGGCGCGAAGAACCTCTCCCAAATGACGAAAGCGATGATAAGCAAGCCGCCGAAGATGATGAAGCAAATGATGAGAGGGGATTTCCATTGCTTCTCTTGGTATGCGAATAAGCTGAAGGACAAAAGGAACAAACCGATGCCGGCTGCGGCCAGGAATATGCCGAGGATGTCGAATTCCTTGGCGTAAAACAACAGGTTGGCAACTGGTCCGCGGCCGTGCGGCTTGACCTGCACGAGGCCTTGCTTGACTGCCTTTTGTTGATTCCAATAGAAGAGGAACCAGAGGGGTGCACATACAACCGGCATGATGATGGCAAACATGCCATATGCCCACCGCCAGCCCATGCCCCCAGGGGCAATGATTTTGTCACAGGCAAGGCCGTAAACCCAAACTGTGATGAGCCAGGGGAGGCCGCATATGCGATCATGAAAGCTCGGTTCTTGAGCTTAGACGTGTCGGCAATGAATATAGTAATGGTGAAATCCAGCCACGAGTATCCGGTGTAGTAGAATACTGTAGCGGCCGCGTAGGTTTCAACATTTTTGCACGCTGCCATCATGATAAGGCCGATAGTCATAGCGCCGACGGCAAGGACGAATCCCTGCGGTCGTCCAAAGTTATCAATATACTTTGCGTAGGCAAGTTTCGTCAGGCCGGGAATCAAGCCAGAAATGATGCCGGTAGTCGATACGAGGGAGTGCATCCCGAAATCACTGGTGACGTAGGTTGTCAGGGTGCCTGCAACACCAGAAGAGAAGGCATTAAGGAAGTTGATAAGCCATATACTATATTATCAATGCTTAGTATAGACATTTCTCGGCAAAATGTTCCCTTACTCCCGATTCCGAGACCCTTGGCGTGCTGGAGGAAATGAATGGAAACCCATCGGGCTACCTCTCCGCGTCCTCTCCGCAAAACAGTGATACTCACAAGATGTAGGCCGCAATTAAGTGCTGCCTCGTCCAGACCTGTAGTGTGGCCTCGGCAGCCTGGACACCAAACTGGAGATCTCTCTTCTCGTCATCGGAGGTCTCTGATGCTTCGGTGGCATTGAAAACCTGATCCGAGGCCTTTTCGCCAGAGATACCTGTTGACCGAGCTTCGGTATCGTTTTGTTTTCCGACAACTTCAGGGATATCGCTTCCCGCAAGTTTGGGCCCAATTAGGCCTCGGAATTTGATACCCATGGTCTCAGATATATCCGCTCTCCGCACAGGCTGGAAGGAGGTTGTCCGAAAGGGTTGCCGGCTACACGTCCAGGGACAGAGTAGAGTAGTGTACGGAAGCGCTGATAAATCAAAAGCGTGTGGAAAGGAGGGAGCTTGGTCCTGGTAAGATGGCGAGGGGGACGATATAAATTATTCCCAGGTTGCCCGCTGGTCGTCCGGTATCTGGGTGACTCACCCCACACCACAAGCGGTGATTTGTCCGAAAACGGAAACCTTTTGCACCCTGCCGGCAATGCGGCATCATGGCCCACTACTAGGAAGATGGGCAGTGATCCTGAGAATGTTAATCAATACAAAAGTTATCGGGCTAAGTCCTTGCAGGTGGGCCACTAGAGATGGTGCTGTTGGGAAAATTTTCACATCCTTGACCCTCTCATGTAATTTTGAAGCAAAACTACTGGCATATCTACCATCTAAGTGAGGACAATTATTAAGCTAGACCATCCGCGCTTCAGTCAAAATACCACTTTTCTGCTATTGGTCACCCTCACAGATGCCGCGACTGCTCCCGAACCGACAAGGTGCCAACCATCCTTTACACCCACGCTGCTCCCAGCAAGGGCTGGGTAGTTGAACGTACGCTAAGCGGACGAGTAAAATCATGTGACGGCTCATCTCAAGATGAATAAAAGGAGGACTATGGGCACTTCATGCGCCAAGGAGACTTAATTGCTCACCCTAGAAGTGCCGTTCTCATTCTGCAGGCCAAAAGCTTGTTTTTCTTTCCCGTGGCCTGGGCCGAAAGTTTGGGAATGGAGCTCGGACCCCGACGGAGAGATGATCAAGGATCTAATCAGATAAAAATCTTCACTCCATCGCCTCATTAGTCTCCACCTTATTATATCAAGCCAGCCATTCAAGGGGGAGGGAAAAATCGGTTATCTGATCTCTTAGTGTCACTGTTTGCCACTCGCCACAAGCCAGGCATTAGCGGCTTTGCGTAAATCCTCCATAGTACTTCGTGTAAAAAGGACCACCAGTTTATTGAAATGTCATTAGAAAATGTACTGAAGTTCTAAGCTCGGTGAGCCCGCGCTTTAGCGAATCTCTCAGAGAAAGATGCGATTTACACCCCAACTCGACAATTTCTTTTCTCATTGTATTAGCCTGGCCCTATCTGACTATTAAAAAAATCCCTTCGCGAGCTTAGTTTTACCACTATCCTATGAAGGTCCACTTTGATGACAATGGACAACCGATCAAGAGCTAGGAAATGATCACATCAGAGAGAACACCCGAAGTGTCAAAAATCCCGCACTGGAGGAGGATTTTAGGTGCAGGATGAGGGGCAAGGATGCAGATCATAATGGTGGGGCTTATGGGTTGGTTGCGAGTGCCCAAGTTTTGCTCTCCCGAATTATTGATCAAGAAGGGGCAAACAGCCGACAAGGTGACGCGTCTCGTGCTTAAGGACCTTCCTCTAGAAATTACGTGACTCGTAAGGCGCGACTAATGGAAAATAATACCAAATCGCCTTCCTGGTGACCATGGTTCGGTTCTATGCGTCAGAAACACTTCGTGTTCACAAACGACGCAAGGGTTGAATTTCTCTCTGTCCTAGCTAGCACCACAGGAAGTACTCGACCCACCTTTTCGCGATACGTCTAGACTAGTGCGAATTACGGCTCTTATGAGGCATTCAAATCAGGATAGAGAGCCGATTCCTGACTTCAGTTCTTGACCTTCCGAGCTTTTGTCGCACGGGGTCTAGTTACTTAAACCGTGACTCTCTCTCTTTCAACGAAATGAATGATGCGCTAACTCGGAAAGGTTTTGAGGAACGCATATATCAACCCTTAGCACAGTTTAGAGCAGCACCTTGCCTTTTCGAGTCAGCTTCCTACATGTTCAGACATGCAGGGTCCAATTTGGCCTAACGGCGATACCTCGTCGTCATTCTCCCCGCCCGAATCCCAATCATAATGTCTAGCTGTTTGATTACGTGAGGACAAGATACATGGAACCCTGGAACCAACCTAAAGCTGTTATTATGAGGAAGTTAGGAGGATGAAAACCTCGTAAAGGAAGACAAGATACCTAGATATGGTAAACCTCTAAATTGACGTAACATGTTAAAGGCGCTATACATAAAGCTATTAGAATATTCATTCACAAGCTATAAATAGACACTGCTTGATCGCTTTAGTTGTGGGTAACGTGGTGGCAGGATTCTAAGGTCTATCCTAGATATACGTCCCTATCTCGCTTCTATCAACTTACTGGCCTAGTGGCAATAACAAGAGGCCTCTAAAAATTATACATGACCTGAAAAGCATAAATTCTATCTCTAGGCAGGCTTACCATCGAGAGAAAACATGTTCGCCCCTACTGCTCTAGCCGTTGGAATTTTGGGCTTGCTTGTTTAGAGTAGCATACGGTGATTTAACTTGAATAAGGCTCTACTATACTAGGTTACATCTAGGCTGAGACTCTGATGTAAAGTAACTCTTTAAGGGAAGACCCTTTCAATGATCTCCTAGACTGTTGGAACCACCACATTGACTACCACGTGAAATATAGCTCCGAGACGGAACGGTAAAGAAATGGGACGGGCACCAGTGTCGCATCTAATTTCAACGTCTTAAATGGTACCTAACTAAGGGGCCAAGTGTTGTATCAAGCTTGTCAAGCCTAGCGTCTTACGGGTGAAGATATAACCATTCGATTACTGTACCCGTCTCTAGCGCATAGCTAGCGCAACAATAATGGCACCTGGAAACTTTTATATGCGAGTTAGATCTCGCCTCGGTTGATATGGAAGACGAATAAGCAGGCAGTATTACACTAGAGCTTTCATATATGGCATGATTAGCGATACCTAGGAGCGTCTAAATATTCCTTTCTGCCCATGGCTTCCTTCAGCGAAATATAACTTGAACGCTGGTGACTATATAAAGGCTCGAACTTGGTATTACCTACTGCGTGCAGTATCCGATCTATCCCCTATGTATGGGCTCGTAAAGAACGTACGTTCCTTGTGGAGGATAGGACGCATCTGTAACCTGCGATCTAGAGGTCATGACACCGCATTTCGCGCTTGCACTAACGCCTAACTAGTCTACACACAAAGGGTATCTAGAAGTCAGATATAAACAGTTTTGAGACCGCTGGTTAATGGAGAGGCAAGAAGAGAAATACAAAGCGCACACATACTCATAATCGCAAACCGGGGCCCAATCCAGGAAGGTGGGGTAGGCTTCAAGGCGAGCTGGTCCAACAGCCACCAACCTGATATGCGGGTTCTCGCGGGTTCTCGCGAACGGTCGGGTCCATCGCAAGGGGGAAGGCGCCCCAGATTACACTAAAGAAGCGCGGCCATAGATCTCGAGATAACGCAGACCAGTTGATTGGCACTAGGCGACATTTCCATTCTCGTTCCAATTTGCTTGCCTGGGGAAAAGATCGTAGTTGGTGAACCTGGCATGAAAGCGGGCCCAAGGAGATACGCGAGAGACTCATACTATCTACTTAGGTCTTCCTGGGCTCAGATATGGAAAATAGAAATAAGTGTTTTGATCATTTCTTAACTTAAGGGCAGTGTTAATTATGAAGGATTTTAAGAGTCGCTGATGTTATTTTCCATCTCTCCGTTATAATGTGGAATACGCTAGAAACTTAATAGAAAAGAAAATTTTAATCACTAAGAGGCACTCAACGTTGCAAGCCCCGAGGTATCGGTCCGTAGCGTGTATCACGACGACTCTGGCTCCTCAGGTTTTCGGCCATACACAACATAGCTTCTCGTGTGTTAGTTGAGATCACAAGTAAAGGGGTGATTGTGACTTACATTGGAATGTAACCATGCGTGTTGCGGTCCTTCAGCGCCGTCCTGAACTTAAGAGCGGCGAGCGTGACTTGATCCTGTGTCCAGCCTAGATACCTAGTGAACAGAGCGACCAAGATTCCCTCGATTCCGCTGTGAAGATTCTCCTGCGTCCAGGCTCCGATCTCTTTGTAGTGCTTATCCTTGGGCCAGGTGTTGAGGGGCCACTTCAGCTGACGTTCTACGACATCGACGAACCCAGCGTCCTCGAGGTACCTCTTGTATTTAAGCGGTAGGGTGAACGGACGGCCTGCCGCGTTGCCGGCATCGACACAAAGCTGAGAGATGTGGCGCAGAGGGTTGTCCTCTGTTAGTGTGCCGTCGTCGGACTCATATGGAAGTAGAATATCTTGCATCTCGAGGTAGCCGCCGGGTTCCAGGTTACTAGGTGGTGTTTAGTAGCTATACAACGGCGCTAAGCGGGCTAGATCTATGTAGTAGATGCGAAGGGAAGCGGGTGTCGGCGTGCAAGAAGGACGGGAAGAGTAGGTTACGGGTTGGAAAAAAGCAACAATAAGGAGAATTGTGGAAGTAATACTTGAAGGCCTTTTTCACAAAATCCTCTGGCTCGGCGAGACACCCAGTCATGTAACGGGAGAAAATGAGATCAAACTGCTGTGACCACGTCCATTCCTTCTCGAGATCATCGATTTCGAAAGCGCAGTTTGGCGGAACCCTAGTCATCCGTTAGCGGGGGTACCATCAGTTAAAGAGAGTGTAGGGTGCTTACAATGATGGTTGGATAGGGCTCAGATCGACGCCGATCACCTACACCCCATTAGCCCCGCCAGAGCAATGTCTTGGGATTATAGAATGTGAGTTTCTTACTTCAGACTCCGGATGTTGGTCGGCTAACATGGCGCATGCCAAACTTTAGTATTATGGAGCTATGCATCAACGCTTCGAACGATGTTTCTTACCGTACTCAATCGCCCATATCCCGGTACCCGTCCCGGCATCCAGAACCCGCTTCGCCCCTTGCATCGCCTTAGGTGAGAGACCAAGCTCGCCGCGCAGCGACAGCAACCATAAATTGTGGGTCAGGTCTATCGGGTTAGAGGCGCCCATGAACTTTGATCCGGATGAGAACCTACCAAGTCGCTCATTTTCTCTCTCATCGTTTGGGAGATAATACTCTGGTAGCGACAAGTTAGCACTTGGCCGATTCCTGGTGTGAGTGAGTCAACGCACTCCCGCTGCTCATGTTATGATAAGTACGCCCATTTTCCTCTTGGAATCTGAGGACGCTCGAACGCAGAGAAGTCAGACCAGCCGAGACAGGCTAAGGGTGTTATGTTAGCTTGCGGAACCCGTTACACGAACCCGGAGGTCTGGATCTGTGGTGCCTTGGAAAGTGCATACATTAGAGATGGCGGAGTCGCCATCGTCAAACGTGTCGGCCGCCTATCAGAATTTCTTAGCATCAATGTCCTCGAAAACAATTCCCGGGTCGTGCCAACGGGTCCGTACCAGCGGTCCAGATGCTTCCTCTATCGGTGAGCTCGGCATGATTGATATGAAATAGATCAAGCCTTAGGAGGGGGAAATATTAAAGTGCGTGAGGAAGAAGGTGAGAACGAGGAGAGAGCGCCTTGAGCTGTGGGAAATTTAGTTATGTCGGATGGCCATGGGGTAGCTTTACGAGGTTACTAGGTCCCACCACCAATCAACAGAACAAACCTGGCGAAAATCCTTAGCATCAGCGGGCCGCAGCGTGATGTGACAACTCGTTGGCTGGCCTGGGTCAACTTGCATGGCCAAGTCTCAATGTGACACTAGTTGAGGAAAACCGAGCGGGGAAGCAGGCATCACTGCGCCGGCACAGTGGGGGCGTTCTGAATTCCTGAGAGAGAAAAGCCGGAGTGGTGTCCAGAGCGACAGATGTCGCTGGGAGAGAGGTTGAGTCACAGGGATCAAATGGCTACCCCTTGTTCAAGCTGATCCCACGCGGGATGGTTTTATTACTGCCAAGATGGCTATGTGGCAGTCGACCCAGTCGGGCATTTGTAATGCATGTCCTGGCCTGGTCGAATAAAATGGAGCTCTTTGCCTAGGAGGATTCTTCACGCTTGGCCTCGGGCGGTTTTGTTTTCCATTTCTCCCTCTCTCCCCAAGATTAAATTGTTATTACTTGAACCGCCCCAGCATTATTGCCGGCGCTGGGAAGGGAAAAAGCTCTACATGGGAAGATGTGCGAAGTAATAAGGTTGGAAAGGATTCGGATTCGGAACAAAGTGTGAGCTAAATCGCGGCCGCGTATTTGAGCCCCTTGCCGGTCCCTGAAATGTTCCTAGCCCATAATTTTTCTACACTAGCTCCCAGCGATCCACCTAGCCGTCCGCTCTCCACTTGTCCCATACGAGCTAATAACCGAAGCGAAACTAGAGGCCATGCGTCGAAAATGTCGTCGCGCCCCTTCTCGCACACAAAACAACGCCATGGCACCTGGAATCAGGCGATCACGTGATCACTTGATTGCAACCAATATTCAATGTTGAACCTTTGCTCTTCAGTTGTCAGGCCCAGAGCCCCGTCAAGCCGTCTAGGCCCACCGCCAATCAGGTCAAACGACGAGCATGAACACATGCAGTTTGCTGCGAAATATAGACCCACAGAGCATCTAGAATGAGCATGTCGACTGTTGATCTTGTCTATTCTCTTGCGGGGTCGAGTCGGCTTTGATCATGAACAAACGCAAGCTGAACTTTTGGTATTGCTCGTAAATTCAAAGTCCTAAGGTCGTTAGGGCACTCGAGATCCTATCTCGGTAGGTGGAATAGCATGCTAAGCGTGGCTTATAATTATATGTCTCGTGCTTGTTTATGCCTTTTTCCCTTCGAAAAGAATCACCTCATATACTAGCTAGTCTTGGTGGCTAGGTTTGCTGGCGAGGAAACTTACGTCTGTCAATTTGTGTCATTCGTACCTCCTTAGCTTAGCTAATATCACGTGCGACTTAGCGTTCAACCGCCTGGTCAAGCTGGTGAGAATCGACTGGTCAACTATGGAATTATATCGACGAAGTTTCCGCTAGCACCATTGTAATAACCGCCAGCGAGACTATTAAGATGTCTAAGCGAATATTCCATAAATTTAGCCCTGATACTACGGTCGTGGCAAAACTTAGGGTGACCCTGCGTTGTTAGTTCGTCTTACCAGGTGGCACGAGTAGCACAACGACGCCCTTTCACCCTCAGACCTGCACATTCCCTGCGGCCGTCGACTATGGTTATGTTGGCTCCAGCTAAAGGAACCTAAATACTATATTACTTCGCGGGAGCGGCTCTGGGGCGAGATCAGCAGCGTCAACAGCAACCACCTTACACCCAGTCTTAGTCACGAACTGTACACCAAAGTAACCCAAGGCATCCGGCGCGCCTCGTCCACGTCAGGTTCTATCATGTATAGGCGCGGGAGAGAGCGTCTTGAATTGTCAGCCTAGCGCGGCAGCATAGGAGTATGAGGCAGCTTCTACCGAGCCAATAATGATCACCTTCCGTCGGGCCGGGAGTCTTCGCGGCATACTTGCCCACGTATGAAGTGTTGAATATCTGGCGGACCTGTGATTCCCACTTAGACAGGCACCAAGGTTCTAAGTAATGGACGACACAAAGCTAATAATAGATAGGGTACTTCATCAGCGTAATTACTCGTAAACCTTTACGTCAGCTCACTTATCAGTGTCATGACCACTATATCTTAATAGGTTTAACGCTGCTCTAAAATATACTTAGCCTCATATGAGAACACGTCTGTCTTAGTAGACTTCTCAAAATTAGGCTATCTTCCTTGAGCCTCGGGCGGCTCTTACCTTCACTCTACTGAATATTTACCTGCGGTCGGCACTTAGTACTCTAGTCCCTTGTTCACATACGCAGCTTTCCTCCTAGTCTAGCACCCTAACTTACTATTAAGAAAAAAACCATATGACTCATTATAGTGATGAATAAGGAGTACATAAACCCGTGAGAGAAGCACTGAATACCATGTGAACTCTCCACTAGTGTATTATTTGAGAGTAGGTCTCCGAGGTGATCAGTATTAATGATAATTGTGGAGTAAATTTAGGTGGCATAATCTTAGTTGTTAATGGTTTCACTTCTTAAAATACGGTGCGTTTCCTTTTCTTCTGGCTGCGATCTTGCCTTGTTATTACTTAGTTCTGCTTATCTCGGCCACTCTGGACCGCTGGGCCAGTTTGTATCACTGTCCGAGGCAAATCGAAAGGATCCGTACCGGGGTGGGTGCTTTTAAAAGCGCCCTAAGTGGATGCTCAAATTTTACTCTATTTTCGGCTCTTCCTTGAAGGAGTATGATAAAGGTTACAAAGTCGAGTTGAGACAATTGATTAATTGATCATGACGGACTGTCTTCAGTACAGCTGCATCACGGTGATATAGTCGAGAATATCAGCATCAGTGATACGGGGTACCACACGGGGTCATTCGCTGATGTTTAGGCCCGCGCTCCTGGGATTTCTAGTGGCGACCAGCATAAGTTTAAGAACGAAAATACCTATTATCTTTTCCCATTAGCTATGAAGACCCTTTGGCACGATAGCAATTACATGAGCTTGGCCGAAGCCTCGGGGAAGACTCACGTGTCTTGGGCTTGAGAAGAGTTCGTTGAATCAGACCGTAAAACCGATGCCTTAGTTTGAATGCCCCCGCAGATTCTGCTGCTATAAGGAGGTCTCTTTATTCTCTTATAGTCATTGACGCCACAAACATTGAAGGGTGCTTTGGAGGTTCCGCAAAGGACTAAGCCCTGACACCGACATCTGCCCCCTCCTTCTATAGAAGTCTCGATGCTAGCACGCAAAACTAGTCAAGTAGGGAGCCTATAATACCATTATTTTCCCGGGGAGTTAAGGTCACTTTCCATACAGCGACAAGCTGAACCCCGAATCCCATGCCGAGTTGTTTCCGTTATGATCTAAGAAGACACTGGAAATACGTTGCCTCCCTTCTAGCTCTAGTCTGTCCCCGGGTGACTAGTCCTAGATACTGATGTTATGCTGCTCATTATCACGATCTATTGAAACGGACTGCTAAATTAGGATATACTTTACCATGTAATTTTATAGTTCAGATATCTCCTTTTATGGCATCGTAATAACAACTGTCGCGTTAAAAGACATGCGCCTCTAGTCTTTCTGTTACTCAACAATCTGCTTACATAGAAATTCCTTCAATGCTAGGCCCCTAGTGTTTTAAGCTTCAACTTTTTCTCCCTTCAAATCTTTGCGTCGTGTTCGGGATGGTAAGTACTCATATAACATTGGAACGGTCAAGGCTTCCATCTAAAGTCAGGATGCTTCCAGTCGAGCTCCGAAAGCTGTTCTCGGGTCAAGCCAGCCAACATTTCCTCCTTCTCCGCAGGGGTCATTCGATCTCGTTTTCTATTGTCCGCCTTCATCCATATCAGCCCACCAATAGATGCAACGCCAATCGCTCCCGATACAGCCAGATTTAGACCGTTACCAATAGGATACTTAGGGCCGTCCCAGGGGAGATAGGTCCAGGTTGCTACGAGACCTCCAAGGTAACCGCATAACACTATCAGGGTCATTAGCATCATAAAGAAATTGTGATCAAGTGTCTACACCTACCATTTGTACCAATAGCTACGCTTCGTGCAGTGTCGGATACAGTGTTGGCACTAACTTGTGCGTTGCAAAGGGATCCGCCCAAGAAAGCACAGCTAGCCGTCAAGAAGATGGCAGCATACCGAACATTTGCGTTGCTGCTAGCCAGCATAATCGCATATCCCGCCATCACTGTCGGTGCGCTCATGAAGATGGGGATCTGACGGGTGTTGAACTTTGTTGCCAGCCATGAAACCAATAATAAACAGGCACCACCAACGACGTAAGGTGGTACAGTGAGGAGCTGCTGTTGTACGATGGTACGATTAGGGTAGATGGTGCGAATAATTGTAGGTAGGAAGAAGGATATGCCTAATACGACTACATTGCCGCAGAGGAAAATGAAGGCGGTAATCAATGTTACCGGGTTAGAAATGCCGTTTTTCACCTTGGCCAAGTTCATTTTATCAACAATCTCTTCTTGTGCAATTCGCTCACTCATGACACGGGCTACTGCAAGCTCCCTCTCCTCGGGAGTAAGCCAGCGGGCTGTGGTTGGGTTATCAGTGAGCAAAAACAATAGGATTGCCGCGATACCAATGGTTATGATTCCCTCAATACCAAAGATCATACGCCATTGCGTAAGAGACCCGAAATTCTCCAGCTTGAGAATCCCGGAAGCTAAGAGGCCACCAAATGCACCAGCGGTGGGAGTCATGACCATATACATGCCGAGGCGGAACGAGAGCTCGGCATGCCGGTACCAACGGGAAAGATAGTACGCAATACCAGGGAGCAGGCCTGACTCGAAGATCCCCAGCAGGAAACGGCATGCGATCATCTGGCCTTTATTCTGACAGAATGCTGTTCCGACGGTAACAACACCGAACAGAAGTGTGGTTAATGGAAGAAACCAGCCGGGCCCCATGTACTTGCAGAGAAGCACACTTGGTATCTCGCATAATGCATACGAGATATAAAATATTGAAAGGATTATGTTATAGTCTTGCCCTTCGAGACCGAGATCCTGCTCAAAGTTGGCGAGACGCGCATTGCCTTTATACAGCTGTATGAGTACGAAGATGCTTTTCTATAACAATTCGAGACATGGTATCTTACCGATGTTAGCACGGTCTATGAAGCAGAATAAGTATAAAAGTGCCACTGGCGGCACAATATAGAGATCGATCTTGCGCCGCAGCTTATTCTCGGCTCGAGGATCGAAGATTTGAGTGGCCGTGTCGGGCGCCCCTTTCGCGCTGCTGGTAGAAGCAGGGGCGACAGACTCAAGCTGCTTGGCGTCGGGCTTAGACTCATTCCACATTATTCTGGGTGAGGCGTAGGGCCGGGTCGTTGGGATGCGCTGGGATGTTAGAGGAAGACCAGGTGGTTCAAATCTAGTCAGAGAATAGGATAGCGACTTAAAGGAAGTAAAAGGGATCGAGAGACGTATTTATAATAGTTCAATTGACTACTGCATAACGACTTGGCTTTAGATGTTGCGTTAACTAGATTGGTCCTATTACACATCTGAGATCCCACGTTCATTCACTAGATGGTGCTCAGGCGGCCAACTTGCAGGATCGATCCTGGACTCTAAGTAGTGCACCTTCGACATAGGTCGGTAGTTCAGAGTGGCTCCTAGTTACTTTGCCGGGCGTGGGCCATCACGGTAAGCTGTATCTACCCCAGCTTTACCCCGGACTTTCACGTTTGCAACAGACCTTGAGACTTAAACTATATCGAGGAGCGAGAAATGGTCGACTCCGCACCGTATTGCTGTAGCTCGTCGTCATCTGGCGAAGGTCGGTGCTCAGGCAATAAGCTACGCCCATGATTCGCCAGATTAATTTCGGAATTGATCTTTAACGCCCCTAATTCCCCGCCCCTCTTCTGTTTTCAGACTTCTCGCGCGCTAGGATCGGGTCCCTCCACATGGGGCCGAACGGGACCTAGCTGCCGATAACGATCAGCCACTTAGGAAACAGTCTTCCCCGCATTCATTGCCTCGGCCGCTGTCTTTGTTAATACCACCTTGAATTCTTACTTTATGTCGGGAGCTTCATCAAAATCCGTTTCCAGGAGTGAACGATAGAATAGATCTTAGATAGAAGAACAATAGTAGAGGCCGTATAAGCACCGCCTTGGCGTATAAATCGGTGAGGTCGTCCATATAAAGATTATGAAATGAAGAGTCTACGCTACTAAGGCGCTTACTAGCCAACACTAAGGTCCCCTAAAACCGGCCCATTTAGGCTATGAGTGAGCCTTGGGCTCAACTCTACCGAGGTAGACTGTTCTCATCAGGATAGCAACCGTCTCTTTCTAGAGCATTGATTGACTCGCTGTGAGATATATCTAGCGTTGCAATTATTCAGAGCCATCGGCCCGTCTTACGATTCTAATCCGCTACTTATTATGTTACTCTATCCTGAAAACTAAATCGTACAAATCGTGCACTCTCCCGCAATGAAGGAACCCACGACATGAGATACAGGATCGCTCGTCTGCTGTATGGGAACTTCTCAACCCCAACCGCCTCACAGAAACGAACTGATTCGAGTAATTGTAGGTGAGGATGGATGTCTTGTATTTTACATAAGTCATCCACAGCCCACTGAAATATTGCGCCAGTATTTGCGACAGCCTCTAAGTTCCTTTTCTGAAGCGAAGATAGGACTGCCGAGTTGATACACTCAAAGACCAATTCTCCTTGGCTAAATCTTTCGACTAAGCGCAAGATGAGTCGATTGATATCCTTCTCTTCGAGATATGATAACAATCCTTCCATGATCACAAGAGTAGGCCGGTCTTTTGGGATTTCCTCTAACCAACGGGTGTCAGTAACACTCGCGGCTAATAACTGGTAATCGCAGTTCGAGAATGAGGTCGGCATGATTTGTCGTCGAAGCATGATCACTTCTGGGAGGTCGACATCAATCCACCGAACGCCACTACCACCCCAGGAACGCGCTGCATACGACTGTCTAATCCGCATGCTAGGTGGAGTACCGTACAGTGGCGATGGTTATTGATAAATACTGTCGTCCATCGATCAAGTTGCCGTGTCCGCAGTGCCACTCCGCCGCTGTCCAGGGGTGAAAGCTTCATTTCCTGGACATTGTATTCGATCTTATTCAAGATATCGTTAGCGTACGAGTCGCCGAGAATCGGATTCCGTGATTTTGCATCAGTCGCTCGAGCCGCAAGGGGATAAGCAAAGTTTTAGCCACACCTCTTAGTCGCGGTACAACTTTAAGGCCTGTCGTGGTTATAAAATCCATATTGCTAACGAGTCTCTGAGATGTTCATTTAGTTAAAGATAGAGGTAGAAGTAGCGAGGGGTGATTGAGACTATGGAGGGGAAGCTGGCTGGAAATGGGTAAAATCCAGGAATCAACCGAGCTTATATATCTTTTTGAGTTGAAACCGGCATTTGGGAACTACTGTTGTCTCCTCTCGCGGGGTATCACGGTACAGCGGTACCTCTTATTTCCTAATCTAGATTCACCTCGAGTTTTCTGCACAGACCACCTTTCAGCCTCTTTTCAGGGGCAAGATCTTCCACCTTACCTTATAAAGAAACTAACTAGCTAACCAATTTTCTAATCATCAACTTGGCAACATTTTATACTCAGTATCATAGAGAAATTTGTAATAAAAGTCGAGAATTATACTATATGACCTCTAGTAGAAATGAGACAGCTAGTGTCTCCTTAAGTGGCCTATTGTACCGAGGTATAGGGTTTAGACGCTCTAATGAAAGCACGACGAGCTAACCTCAACATAGAGTCACTATAACGAGGTCGATCAAACATATTTCGATGTCTAGGCGTCTGATTGACGATTGCAATATCAAAATACCAAAGTCATGTCTGAGGCCTCGTTCTATGTTAGTGTTTATCTAACCCTATCTTTGTCACTGAACCTCCGAAGAACGCGTAGAGGGCCTATAAGAATTTTTCTCTATTAAATTAAGCCGACTTATAATATTCTACTACTACCTTATCGCACGAATCGTGACTAACCAGGCCTCAGGAGAATTTAGTAGTATTAATTTCATCTAGCGTTGCCCTCAGGTCCTATATTAATCCTTCTCCCTATTAACTCCGGAGGATGGATGTCAACCGTAACATGCCTGGGCTCGCGACGTGATCATGGTTGTCCTGATCTGTGCTTAGGCTAATAGGTTCTCCTTCATCAGCGAGTCTTAGCTGCTCCTGACACTTCTGTCGAATTAGACTAAGGGCATCACTGCCTAGAATAACGCGTAATTCGCGCGGTCTGTCACTAAAGAGACCTTCTGCCTTGACATAATCTACTATCCGCTCGGATAATTTGTTGACATCGCCGGGAATATTAGGTGCAATCTCGTTCGCGAATACCTCCATGGTTTTGTCGAAAAGAGGCCTATAATCAACGATTTGCGGTTGGTAAACACCGAACCCTTCCTTCGAACCGTCACGGGGAGCTCCCAGCTTCGAAGCAAAACCGCCTGGTTCGAATATTACACATTCAACACCAAGTTCGCCGACCTCCTTAGCGAGCCCCTCAACAAATATATCGAGAGCAGCCTTAGAGGCGGCGTAGTGCGTGAGAAAAGGGAGTGGACCCCAGCCTACACCGGCGCCCGTAAAGGCTATAGTGCCACGTCTTCTCTCACGGAACAACGGCAAGATAGCTTGTGTGATATGCAACGGGCCGAAGAGATTTACATTAAATATGTTGTTTGTAAATTCTTCCCTATGTTGAGGATTCGATCGTCAGTCATATATAAATGAGAGGTTCGTCTTGAATTTCACCTACCCCGCTTCCTCAATACTCTTTGGGTTCGAAACGCCGGCGTTATTCATAAGGACGTCTATTCCTCCCCAGATATCCCAGGCTTTTCTAATCTGCGCTTCGATGACGGCTATTCCCGAAGTAACATCAAGATCGAGTAAAGCAACGCTGTCTGACTTTAGGTATGCGAGACGTCGTTCCGCATCTCGACCAGTAGCGATGACCCGGTCACCCCTTGTAATGAGGTGATTAAGAAGGGACTCCCTAGACCAGAGGTAGTGGCCGTGATAAGCCAAGTGAGTTGAGGCATATTTATCTCTTAGATGGGGCGAGGTCGACGTTGGAATTATCTACTTCGTATGATCGGCGTCACTAGGATCTATCCCGAGATCTGCGTCTTCTCGCTGGTTTTATAAGAAATATTCTAGGATGATCGGATTTGCGATGCCGGAGGAAAGAACCAAGGGTCCAGGATTTAGAAATATTAGTTCCGGACCTAGAGCCGTGGGGGATCACCTAAGCGGAGATATGTGCCGTAAAGCCGGTGAATTAACTTCAAAAGGATTTCTTTGCCTAGTTAACGGATTTATTACGACACAACGCCTAGCGATAAAGCCAGGCCATCGGGAATCCGGGTCAACACGATACGCTATTTAATAGCATCTTCATGCGCCTTCCCATTTATGCCGCGATCGGTCCCGTTAGCTGATGAAGAACAAGCTAGCGGGCGTTGATATTGACCGACTGTTTCATTTCTAGTCCCTGGTCGATAAACTCTCGCAACTCGGCTTTAAAGGGTCAATGGGCGGCGGGAACACTATGGGGAACATGATTATAAGGGAACTCTCAAGTTCATCATTGCTAAGTAAAATTTTCTTGCTAATAAATACTTGTACCTTTTCACCACGACCCTCTATCTCTATATACGTATACTGAGGAGCACTAGTCGCGAAAGTCCATGGCTCGTAATCTAAGTAGATATTGTGGTCTAGCTATCTAATATGAGGATAGTGAGCCTGTTTACAATGCTAATAGGTTTCGTGAACTAAATGTTTATATACTACCCTTAGCTGGTTTTCCTATTAACTCTAAAGAGCCTTTTATTAGATAGCTAAATTTATTAAATATACCTTAGTAGAAGCTTAGTATCTAGTTATCGCTTAAGCTTAGAGTATTTAGTTTATATAAATAGACGACGCTTAATTCTATTATAGGAACCTATAATTAACTTATTAAAAAATTTGTTAATATACCTATAGATACTATACTCTTCTCAACTCTTTTCTTTCCTAAGGGGAAGATGAGCTTAAGAAGGGCCCCTCACTTCGCAGAGTAGTTATTAAGTAACTGACCTCGCGTTGTTTACTAGAGTCGCCTTTTGCCTCAGTTTCCATCTTACGTTCAGGCTGCTCTTTTTTATCCCCTTTCACTTTAGTAGGCATTTTCATCGGTCGTTAGGATTGTTACTTGGTATGGAGGTGGTTATATATTAATGTGTTACCAAGTACGATCCTAAGGTTCATCGTCGGCATAGTTCAGGACTTACTATCACGCAATTTAATCTAGATCTACTGCATTTTTATTGGGACTATCCGCCAGTTTTACCTTTTTTATCTCGAAGATATTTTGAGAACTCAATATTTGGAGCGCTTAATATTAGAGGAAATTAGATTGTCTCATCAATCGTAGGGGGTAGGCGTTAATGGTGGTCGAATGGCTCGTGATGTGGCCGTGCAAGATATTGCGCTCTGAAGAAAATTATCTGATCCTGCATTTCGAAGTACCGCTTCGTATTCTCTCAAAAGCCCCCGCAGGTCCATTCCTGCGCTACAGGGGCAGAATAATAATTGGCCAGGAATCTGAACTGAGAGTGGGTCCATGTCCCTCAATCTGAAGGACGAGTGGAAGCCTTCAGGTCAGAAGGATCGTGGTGGATGGCAAGGTAACAGGCAATGGACTCAATTTGGTGAGCGGAACGAATCGAACCATCCAAGATCAATGCTCTTTGCTCCTGACCCTGGCAGGCTCGAGAGATTCCAACCTCAGGCCTTCTTTGTCAGTGATATATTTAAGAATGGATCTCCTTCCTACTGCTTATTTCGATCTTAGATTCGAAGATATTCAGCTGTTTATTCTATTGTTTTTGCGCACCTTACGAAAGACAATAATCGTCAACCTAGTCATTTGACTCATAAGCTTATCATGGCCCCTGCATGGCTCGAAAAATTCATTGTCCGTGTAGACGCGACTCCCGACCCACGACGCAACACCGAGCGACCTGTTTGGGAAATGCATTACACCGTGCTTATAGACCACCGTCGGATTATCGGAGTGGTGGGCGATAGGACGCCGCGCTATGAAGTGAAGCGCGACAGCGTCCTTGGAGCCTGGGGAGATAAGTGCCATATCACATCACCTCTTAATGGGGGAAGGAAGTGGCCTCCATCGATTTTCACTCTATACCCTCATCTAAGACCGAAATTTATTCCTACAACGCCACCATACAGTTTATATCAAAGCAAATGATGGCGAATATGAGTCTAATAGTGGACTCGGCTCTTTACGATGGAAGCCGACAGGTATGGTCGCGTATGGGAAGGCTTCATGGGAGCTTAGGGACAAGTCAGACCTCGTCATGTCGGTTATAATCGATGATGATCACATAAACGGCGTGATCAGCCTCTGGAAACAGGATATTGGTCCAGAAACCGTGGAGGAACTAGTGGTTATCGGAATTGCGAAGCTCGAGGAGTATAAGCGATTGATGCGAACGTCGATGAGGTCCGGGGTTCTAGCCGCCACGAGTGTGGCATGGCTAGCAGCAGCCTAGTAATGGTCTGTCATGTTCTTGCTCCCATCTCCTAGAGTTATATTGACTTAGATACTAATGGAATATATCAGTGTAGTGCGGAACGAGCCAAAGTGGAGGGGGCGACGCCTTCAACTATACCCTTCGACATGGGAAATTATCGAAGGGGTGAGGAGGAGTTTGCTTAGTTAGGGTAAATTTTATTCTACTGAGGTACACGGAACGGACTTGGGACATATCGCTCGAATAGGAACTAAGAAGGCACTACTTCCCTTAGAGGTCTTCGCTAGTTAACCCTAACCCACTCTATCTGCCACTTTTGATAGTAATAAAGTGTGTTTTCATCAATCTTTATCCTGCCGAAGGTGCCAGCTAAATAAGCACTCTCCACTCATTAGTTTAGATAAAACTCTTAGTATTGAATCTAGTACCTGCTCTAACGCGCACCGGGTTCTAGAGAGTAAGGTAGATATATAGATTAGCGTTTGAAAACCGTTATAAAAGTGTAATAAAGGGGGACGGGTTCGTTTTTGTTGCCAGGATATAAGCCTCTTTCGACCTCTAATAGACAGGAGCGTTCACAGGATCGTTAGGGGCGGAAATGTCGCGCCGGTAGAACTCCGGATAAGCCTAATGTCCATCGAAGCGGACGTGCGGGGTAAGACCAACGGTCTCACATAACTCGTCTATCATCACTTCTATCACAAACCTGCTCTATCTACCTCGGTAATATAAGATGGGTTCGAAGACTCCCCTTGAAAACTATAAGACGCCCAGCGGTTCGTAAAATACCTTATTGACATAGAGAAATAGTAAATCGCTAATTAAAACGCAGTCAGCCAACCCGACAAGGCTAACGGCTCCGCTAAATTCCGAAGGAAGTCGAAAAGTGGTGTTCTAGCCCAACTCGATGGGGAAGAGTCTGATAACGACGACGCTGACGATAACGACGTTGACGAGGATATTATCAAAACCTCTGCTGCTTCTGCCATCACCACTATTCTAGGAGAAGGTGGTGCTAAGAAAAAGCCAATAAAAAGAAGAAGCCGAAGAAGAAGCAGAAGAAGGTCCAGACCGACCCACCCTCGATTTTAGTGTCTAAGTTGTTCCCGGGAAATAGTTATCCTAAGGGGGAAGAAGTTGAATATACCGATGAAAATCGGTACCGTACTACAAATGAAGAGAAGAGGTACTTGGATAACAGTAATGGCGACTTCCTCTCTGATTATCGTCAGGCGGCGGAGACCCATCGCCAGGTCCGTCAGTGGGCCCAGAAGAGTATCAAGCCTGGCCAATCCCTCATCGAGATCGCTAACGGCATCGAGAACAGCGTTCGTCAACTCACCGGACACGACGGTTTGTCTGAAGGCGATTCGCTCATTGCCGGCATGGGGTTCCCTCTTGGGCTGAACCTAGATGATATTGCCGCCCACTTCAGCCCGAATGCAGGCGATAAGACTATTCTCCAACGGAATAATGTTATGAAGGTGGATATTGGAGTCCACGTCAATGGCCGCATTGTCGATAGCGCCTTCACCATGTCTTGGGACCCCACATACGATAACCTCATCGCAGCCGTAAAGGATGCGACCAACACAGGCATACACGAAGCCGGAATCGACGTTCGGCTCGGCGAACTCGGCGGCCTGATTCAAGAAACCATGGAAAGCTACGAATGCGAGATTAATGGGGTGAATTACCCGATTCGGCCGATCAGAGGCCTTAGCGGCCATAATATTCTGCGCTATAGCATTCATGGCGCTAAGAGCGTGCCCTCCGTGTTAACCGACGACCCTACTAAGATGGAGGAGGGCGACGTCTTCGCTATCGAGACTTTTGGTAGTACCGGTCGCGGATGGTGTCATAATGAGGGGAAACCTCGCATTATGCTCTATGCAGTGATCCGCCAAAGGTAGATTTGCGTTTAGCTTCCGCCCAGTCGCTCTTGAGGACAATCAAGAAGAATTTTGGGACTATTCCGTTCTGCCGGCGCTATTTAGATAGGATTGGGCAGGAGAAATACTTGCTCGGTGTATGGCAACCAGTTATTCTATATTTATATGCTTGGACCCGCTAACAGTCCGAATAGCTTCATTCACTTGTTAAGTCTGGTATTGTCGAAGATTATCCGCCGCTACTAGATAAAAAGGGTCATACACGGCTCAGTTTGAGCACGTAAGTCATCACCATGCCTTTAATTTGAATTTTATTATTAACAGGGCATAAAGACTATCCTACTTAGGCCTACTGTAAAGGAGGTCATTACCCGTGGAGATGACTACTAGCTAATTCGATTATGATTTTATTTTCCTAAAAATATATATCTATTTTAAGGCGGCCTAGTTCTATAATATATCGTGATCATCTATAGATTCCTCTAAGTAAAATATAGATTTTCCTAGCTTAACCTGATAACTATCTTATTAACAGTCTTTACTATTTAGGGTTTATAACCTTAGGATACTATATCTAGCGATATAGGGTAGCTATAGCTATTATAGGTATAGCTATTAGAGAGCTTTAGTATAATAACTCTTAACTATTAATTATACTTCTAAAATATTAAATTATACTTCGTTTTTAATTATATAATAGTCATAACTGTTTCCTTTAATATACTATCATATCCAAAACTTTTCCACCTACATAACTTTCCAATACCAATACGCTTAAAAATAGGACTATTCTTAACTGATAAAGGCAACCCTTTAACATCTTCAGTTGTTAGTGGGGCGAGAAGTAAGCATCCCCTAGCTGATAAAAGGGTGGCTCACTACATACCCTCAGACATACCACCTCTTTACTAAGTAAGGATTTACACTGCTCTACATCATCTACTTTAAACCGTTTCTCTGCTTCTGGGTCATTGAAATGCTGACCGCTCGGCATCTTACTCCTCACTACCATCTCGTCCTTATCTATCTTTAAAATTGTCGCTGTCACGACCTGCCCTTTTAAAGATAGCCAGCCGAAATTGACCTTACCAAACGGGTCCGTCGTGCTTAGTTGACACCCACTTTGACTATGATCAATCGTAATATCAATCTGAATGGGTTCCTTCCTCCATTCCCCTAAAGCCCAGCTAACACCTCGGTAGCTACTAGCCCAGCTCCAGCTCGGTGCGATATACTCCGTGTCAGATCGCATATTAGGGCTGTTAGGAGTCCAGAGGAGATTCCTAAGATCGCCTGTCCAAATACCAGCTAGGTATTGGCCCTTGTTATCTCCAGGCCAAATGCGAGCTATTCCAGAGAGAGCGGGTAATCGGTCGGATACTTTCGTGATTTGCTTTTGTGAATATTGGGTTACTAACAAGCGCCATTGCCGAAAGACATTAATATTGTTGTCAAATCTAGCGAAAAATTAGGTTAGCAAATACTACTACTATATTATTCCTATACTTGTACCTACAACTTGGGGTTTTGCGTATCAGTCCAGTCTGTGGCGACTTGCTGCCCTATCTTTGCCATATGACGCGACTCGTAAATCTTGTCATGGCGAAACCCTTTAAGTCTACCACACTCGCATTCAATTCCAGCTAAACATTCAAAGACCATCTCAAATTTTGTAAAGTGTAGCATCTTTGATGCGAGGACTCGCTCTTGGAAGCACCACGCTCGGTTAAAAAGAGGATATAGTTGAGCCAGTGTGGTACTATCGATAACATCCTTTTCCTGTATAAGGTGTGTATTGAACACCTGATGAGGTATAGCATTCCTTGCAAAGAATTCGTATGGTATTCCATCATGAGAAATACCCTGGACTTGTAGATATAGGGACCTATTCTTTGATAGAAATCCAGTATCGCCATCAGCAGATGAGGTAGCAGCGAGCACTAGAGTAGCCCCTTCATAGATAGAGGCCATATTCGCAGCCTCATCAACCCAATCTTGTAAGTCGTCTTGGATAATACATAGTGAGTCAATCCAGATATACTGAAGCTGAATCCTGCGTGCCACGATTATTGCGTCCTGAAAGGTATAGGAGAGTGAATTCCATGGGATATTTAACTTTCTATCATTTAGACTTTCTCGTGTGGTCTTCAAATGGTTAGTGTGGCCCCAGCAGTGAGAAAGACTAATATATGCAGGCATATTGCCATTCTGGATAATGTCAGTAGTCTCGATGAGGCGAATATTATCATCATAGTCTGTGCCAACATAGATAACTCGTTTAGGAGACGACATAATATATGTGTCGCGTCGTTGGCGGCAGACCTCGTGTGTCTCTATGCAATTTGTCATCCATTTCTGGATCAGCTTAAGACTTGATTCGTTTATAGTCTCCGCTGGAATATGTCTAGCGTTCCCCCAGCGAGGGTATTCCCTAATAATGCTGGATGTTCCTCATTCATAGAGCATCCGATAGATGGCCAGGGGCAAGGTAATGCTAGGAGGCATTAGTAACCTAAATAGTCATGAATGGTTCGTAGAATGGCGTGGTTATATTATAATAGTTAGATCGGGGGCATACTAGGAAGAGTATATAGTTCACAGGTCTCTATCATCTCCACTATACGCCCTATAGGCTTATGAGGGCCATATAAAAAGAATTCATCCTCAAACTCTTCATCGACATCGTCAGGGTGTAGTCGGGATATATATACCCGAAGAACCGTACCCCGGGAGAAGGACAAGCGTGCGACTAAACTTGGATCGGCAAATGAAATTTCACCACCGCGGAGGCGCTCTATAACGGTCCGTAACATTGTACAGGTCTCGCATCCAGCATCTGCTGTCGTTTGTAGAGAAGTGAGATAGATAGATAATTCGCATAAATTAAACTCCACTAGTGGAACTGACGCCTCAAGCGGGTTAGCTTCAACAGCTGCCTTTTTCTTGCTTTTAGCTATGGGGCTCGGACTAGTCAATAAGTTGGCAGAGGGCGGGGACCCGGCCACTGAGGAGTAGGATAAATTATAACATGAATTACAGAATAGTGGGTGCCGTGCCGCGGTATAGGTGTTTCCCACCTCGAAAGTAGTAGGGTGCTTAAGGTCGTCAATAGTAATTGTTTCCATAACGAACTTAATTTTGATAGAAGAATTAGGGGTAGATGTAGAATAAAAGAGGTTAGATCGTAAGAGGAAGTGCGAGGGGCGGGGGCGGGGTTATATTCTATATCATGACCTAGCCGCCTCACCACTATACATGCGATTTTAGACTCAAAAGTATATATCATAAGGTAGGAAATTAAGGTACCGAAGTAGAGTTTTCGCCTCTAATAGTGTGACGTTCCAACACTAGGACGTAGGGCTTAGGGTTAGGTTGCGTTAGGGTTAGAACGGTTAGGGCCTGTTAGTGGCTCAGCGAGGCAATCAAATAGTATAATAGTATCGTTATCTGTAATGCGTATTTAAGTATAGGGGTCAAGTATACTTGAATTAACTACTAGAAAGGATATAGAACTTCCTTTCCTCTAAGGTTTACTTATTTCTTTATATAGACCTAACTTCCCTTAGGACTATAGTGTCTATAGGTGTGGTCCTTAGGTGGACTATAGATACCTAAGATGTAGTCCTTCTAGGACTGCGTTTGCTCCTTATATAGTCCTTTCCTTACTAGTTAGTTGCTACCTAAGGATCTACCTTTTTACTACTAAATTTCACTGCCCTTTAGGCCTTCTTCTAGGCTACTTATAATATAATACCTCCCCTTAGGGTTAGGGTTAGGGTTAGGGTTAGGGTTAGGGTTAGGGTTAGGGTTAGGGTTAGGGTTAGGGTTAGGGTTAGGGTTAGGGTTAGGGTTAGGGTTAGGGTTAGGGTTAGGGTTAGGGTTAGGGTTAGGGTTAGGGTTAGGGTTAGGGTTAGGGTTAGGGTTAGGGTTAGGGTTAGGGTTAGGGTTAGGGTTAGGGTTAGGGTTAGGGTTAGGGTTAGGGTTAGGGTTAGGGTTAGGGTTAGGGTTAGGGTTAGGGTTAGGGTTAGGAGCAATACGTAACTGAACGAAGTACAAT